TGTACGATCCACTGGGTTTCCTGGCACCATTCACTTTGTTACCAAAGTTATTGCTGCAGGAGATGTACAGAAGGAAAGTGTCTTGGGATGAGCCTGTCTCCCAGGCAATGTCACAGCAATGGACGTCATGACTTCAAGACCTGCAAAAAATAACAGTTTAAAGTGAGTTGCTCTATTAAACCAAGCAACTTTGAAGAACCACTACAAGCTCAACTGCATAATTTTGCGGATGCCTGTGAACTAGGTTATGGTACATCTTACCTACGACTGCAGGATAAAAAAGAAAATGTGCATCTAGCCTTTATGCTAGGTAAGGCTAGAGTTGCTCCATTAAAACAAACGACAATACTCCGGCTTGAACTTACCGTTGCCGTGCTTGCCGTGAAAGTTGACAGAATGTTAAGAAAGGAATGTAACGGAATGAAATGACTGTTTTCCACCTAAAAGTCATTTCCCCCCTCTCCTCAGCAAGAACTAATCTGCATGAGATATTGCTCAAGGTCATGCATTTGATTCTAAACTGTTTTCCTTTCCAGCGCAAGAGAAGAATGAAAACAAAGGACTCTTTCTTTTTAATAAATCAAAGAACTCTATTTTTAATAAGCTCATCAAACAAAGTGTTAGTCAATAATAAAATGTGAACCAATTTGTGAAATGAAAATATTAATTACTTGATATTATAATCCTACAGAATAAAAGTAATACAATTTTAAATGTTTCCACTAGAGACTGATCTCACGTAAGGTTAAGACATATCACACATTGCTTTTACTGATCCAATCAGAATCTGCCAGACCTGACAGAAGCGTGGTTTTGGTGGTGCTTGGTAAATCTGTCATCTTTTCATTCGACCGTAAATCAAAACATCCGAATTATAAAACTATGCCCACGTCATCTTTAACGCCAGTTCAAAGCATTCTAGAGAAGTTGTCGGAGTGGCCAATCCGTAACTTTACTCTTCAGCCGGAAGAACCAACGACAAGCTGGATAAAATCTGTTGCTGTTCCAACTGCTGCAACGGTTCCTTTCAGAATAAAAGCTGAACCATCACGACCCCATTTTGGGTCTTGCTAGAAGCCAACAAAACTGTCGTGACCTGGAAGTATCTCAAGACTGGTCTGGTCAGCAACCGCTGCTTTTCCTACCGGCTTCAGTTCCAGAGAGGGTCAAGCTGGACCTCGACCTTCCTGATCTAACGGGGACTTCCGAAAGGGTACGTAGGCCGAGAGAATGGCGTCTCAATGTGTGTTATGAATCTCCTAAGCAAAGCTTAGCGCGAAGACATCACCTTCATTTCCCATCAGAACTAATCGTTTCTCCGGATTTGCTGGTTCTGAACAACATTCCACACTACACCATTCTCTGTCTCACTTCACCTTAGTTACACCATACATTTAGTGTTAAAGTTAGTCTAGTTTTAATTTGTTTAGTAATACATCTTTGAACTTTTACAACTTGACTCTCTTTCTTTTGTCTCTGTGTTAATACGAAGTTGTTACATAATCCCTGCAATAAAAAGTTCCAATCTTCTGGTTAAAAGTACCCAAAGATCCATAAGATTGATTTCATATTTACTATGGAATCTCATGTCTTATGGCTCATTAAAAAGATTTAAATTAAACCCTTTACAGGAACTATTACTTGACTAAACATACTCATGCTTCTGGACAAACAGTCAGACACTGTTGAAATATATACACAATGAGAACAAACGATTTTACACCATTGTTGCAAACAGGGTGGCTGCTATAAGGGAAACAACAGATGTATGGCAGTGGAGATATGTTGCTTCCAACCCAGCTGATGAAGCATCCAGAGGACTTACTGCACATAACTTCATGGCCTGTCGAAGGTGGACCACAGGTCCAGCCTTTCTTCTGAAGCCAGAAAAGATCTGGCCAGAGGTTTTTAACCCAAAGCCTGTTTCTTTAGAGGATCCAGAAGTTAAAGGTGAAGTTATGATGAATGTTCTTAGCCTACAGGCCGATGATCCTACTTCAAGGTTCATTCCCTACTTTTCAAGTTGGAGAAAGCTGAAACTTCAGTTGTTTGGTTTCTCAAGCTAAAGGCCATCTTGCTAGATCTTAGTCAAAGAAGGAAAGAATTCGAGACTTCACTTCCTGCTGCCGATGTAGTGACTTTCACTAAGACAGTACAAGAAAACATGAACAGAGTCAGAGATGCTGTTTGCACTTAAACATTGTCGGTGAATGATCTCTTCAAAGCTGAAAATGCAATCCTCTGTACTGCCAGTCAAAAAGATTCAAAGAAGGAATCAACACCTTGGAGAGTGGTGCTTCTGCCGTAAAGACCAAGAGCGACATCTATAAACTAGATCCAGTACTCAAGAATGGTTTACTGAGAGTGGGTGGAAGACTTAGCCGGTCGGGTATACCCCAGGAGCAAAAACATCCTGCTATTCTCGCCACAGACCAACATGTTTCCAAGCATATTCTGCAGCATATACACCAGCAGCTTGGGCATGCAGGAAAAAAACGCATACTCTCAGCTCTCAGAAAAAGATACTGGATTACTAGTGCTAACTCGGCTTGCAGGAAGATAATCTCTGAATGTGTTATTTGTAAACGACAAAGAGCACAGCCATCTTGGCAAAAAATGTCCGAAATGCCAGAACGCATCAGTCCAGATTTGTCGCTATTCACTAACGTAGGTGTGGATTATTTCGGGCCCATAGAGGTGAAAAGAGGACGTGCCATGGTTAAACGATACGGAGTAATATTTACCTGCATGGCAAGCCGGGCTATACATCTGGAGGTGGCACACTCACGAACAACTGATTCTTGCATCAATGCCATAAGACGTTTTATATGCCAAAGAGGGCCAGTTCGCCAGATGAGATCAGATAATGGCACAAATTTCGTTGGTGCAGAACGTGAACAGAGAGAGGCTTTGGCAGCGGTGGAACAGAACAAAATTCATCAATTTCTGCTTTCAAAAGAGATTGACTGGACATTTAATCCCCCTGCTGCATCCCATCATGGAGGAGTTTGGGAGCGTCTTATTGGAATGGTTCGAAAAGTATTATTTTCTGTCCTTCAACAGCAGTCACTGGTCTACAAACCTTCTTGTGTGAAGTGAAAGCCATTCTAAATGATCGCCCCATAACTACAGTCTCTGATGGTGCAAATGATCTGGAAGCTCTCACGTCACATTGCATTCTGCTGCTCAAAGGGAACCCTATTCTAGCTCCAGGTGTATTTGAAGAAAGAGACTGCTACATCAGAAAACGCTGGAAGCAGGTTCAGTATCTGACAGACCTGTTTTGGAAAAGGTGGACAAGAGAGTATCTACCTTTGCTACAAGAAAGACAAAGATGGTCTAAGCCTCAAAGAAGCTTTGCAGTGGGAGACATCGTCGTGGTGATGGGTCATACTGCGCATCGTGGATCTTGGATTCTCGGTAGAATACTCAACACCTATCCTGGTAAAGATGGACTCGTTGGAACAGTTCAGCTGAAAACAAAGACTGGACAGCTGGAGAGACCCATCTCGAAGATCTTCCTACTTCAAGCATCTGTACAGGATGGAGAGAGGATACTACATGGGACATGTTTTGGCTCCTTATTCTGTCATTGTTTAATTGTGCTGTCTACACAATGGGGCCGGTGTGTAGGAGCCAATATCATTTTGGTTTAGATTATATTATGGTCTAAGTTGGTTTTGATAATGAATCATATATATTTCAGTTTATTGAACTATGGTTTGTATTTCCTTTAACCACTGGTGGCACTGCGTGCGGAGCCTATATAGGTGTCTAGGAGGCAGTGCACTGGCGTTTTGGGTGACGGGTGTTCACACGGTTTTTTACCGCTTCATTTGGTTTCATTCCACAACTAATTTGCCATTGTATTTTTCATCATTTTCATAACCGTGACAAGACATCACCATTCTGTAACCTGCATAATTGTGATCGTCAACATCTTCAATAAATAGGATAATAAACCCAAACCCGCTTTCTGCCTGGACAATAGTGTTGAAGCGAGTCATTGCCTCCACCCGCACCCAAGGGTGACTAAAAGTGGGACTTGATAGTCACTACACTGGGATTTCAACGAGTCAAACAAGGAAAAAAAGTGGACATTCAGGGTTTGATGAATGATGTCCTTTGTTTAAAGAGGAAATATTTTATTGTTTCAAGGAATTTCAGAAACAGAATCTATCCCTGATCCAAAATCAGCCTTCTGTTTTAGGCTCCATAAACAACTGATATGTAATGGAATGAAATAACTTTTTTTTCCCTTCTTTGCTCAGGACTAGTCTGCATGAGGGATAGTCTTGAGGCTTCTCCTACCGGCTCGGTTTCCAGAGAGGGTTCACTGGACCTCGATATTCCTGATCTAAAGAGAACTTCCACCGAAGGCATGGTAGACCGGCAAATGGTGTCTCAAGCTTTTTCTGAAGCTAACCAAGGCTTAATGCAAAACAACATCTTCAGTTCCCGTCAGAACTAATTGCTTCTTCGGATTTGCTGGTTCTGATTGACATCACACGTCATCCATTCATCTCCTAATCCATTTTTAGTTACACTATACATTTACTTTTAAAGTCAGTCTAGTTTAATTTGTTAGTAATAAAATTCTTAACTTTTAAACTTGACTCTCTCTATTCTGTTGTCTCTGAGTGAATACGTAACGGTTATCTAATCTCTGCAATAAAAAGATCCAATCATCTGGTTTAAATAAATTAGATGGGATTCATACTCGATATGGATCTTAGGTCTATGGTCATTGATTAAACTGTAATAATCTCATTTCATTACACTCATAAAGTCAGGTCTAATCTCTACATTAGAAATCCAACCTGCTCAAAGACTGGTTTCCATCATCAGTCACCATGGTACCAAACCCAGAAGGGAATCAGCTCCTGAACCAGAAGAACCACAGAGATGAAATTGATCCATAACAGTCATCTGGTTAATGTTGCATTTGTCCCTCCAGGGCCACCGTTCAGAACATTAACAGGAACAAAGGCAGCGTTGAGTCGCTTGTTAAGCTAAGATTTTATTTTGTGTTTTCCCTTTAAAGCAACATTCAATGTGAAAAGAGAAATCAACATTGCGTGCTTCTTTACATGATGGAAACCTGTCACCATGGCAACCTGGTGCACACTGTGAGAAGAAATATGATTTAAAAACAGTAAAAAAGTTTTTACAGTAAATTTACAACAGAAAGAGCAATAACACTTCACAAAACGGGTCCTTATTAATGCTACCTAGTGCATTATTAAGCATTAATAAACTATTCAGTTATTAACAACTGTTAATTATTAATGTTATTAAGTAATAATTAACAGAGAGGGAATGAGAGGGAAGTCCCAGCCTCTCGACTTAGGCTACTGCCCCTGTGACCCGACTCCGGATAAGCGGATGAAAATGGATGGAGTAACAATTACAAAGCAGCCTCCCCACCCCCATCCTAACCTTAAGACCACAATATCGAGAAAGTTAATTAAAGGGATCCTTTGTTTATTAATGCTTAATAATGCAATAGGTAACGTTAATAAAGGGACCCTTGTCTTAAAGTGTTCCCAGAAGACCTGTTCTGATTGGCTGGCAGTGAAATAAGCCTGAATGAAACAACTAGAAAGTATGGAGGCTGAGAAAGTCCAAACAGAGATTAGGTCAGAATGGCTGTTTCTTGATGAACCTGGTAAACATGCTGAAAGCAGCAACTGGTTTATCTGATGGAACCATGTGACCAGAACCCTGCAGGGAGACAAAAATCAATCAATCAGGTGATCAACAACATGTTTCTGCAGCAGATCTGGTTCTGTGAAGCCAGCAGATCCAGATATGATTCACTAAAAGTCAGAACATCTGTGACCTTGTGTCCTATTTGGAGATCAAAGCCCCGCCCCCAAAGTGACATCAGAAGCTCACTGTGGATAATGATGATGGTTACCTTCACAGTGAGGAAGGCGATGTTGTCAAACTCTTTGACGAAGCCTCCAACCTGCTCACCGTCTATGTCTTGATAGAGCCAGGGACGCCGCTGAACCTCCACCTGAGAGACAAACATACAGGTGAACACACCTGAGGAGTCACTAACATTGTCCTTTAAGTTTAGAATCAGTGCTTAATTTGATCCGGATCTTGCCGGAACAAGATCCGGGAACTGTCTTATTTTGAAAGGACCGTTCCGGCAACTGTCTGCTAGGATCCGGCAACTCACGTGACCAACTTGTGCTATACGCAGGGTTCGAATTACGGGTGAGCTAAAGGGATCCTGGCTCACCCCAAAGGACGACAGGCTCCCCTGGAAGCCCTCAGTTTACACACCCAGGGGGAGCCCAAGAACAATTCTGGTTCTACGTATATTACATTATCTATGTGGACTCTCCGGGGATTATTTAGAGCTGAGAGGCGCAGAGCTCTTACGCGCTCCAGACAGATGCGTCCTGAGCACGGCCACAGTAACATTCAGAAAGTGTCGCCACCTCAAAAACAAATTTAACACGCGATCCTTTTTATGTCGGCTCATTTCCTTTTATGTTTTCTGTCTTTTATTTGTGCCTGATGTGTCTTTGACATCACCTGTTTTGTCCTTCGGTGATTTCAGCTTACCGGTGCGGCCAACGCGCACTCCGCTATATTTGCTGTCGGTAGATCTTTTAGAACTGCAGTTCAAAGGTAACTCATAAGGTGAATATATATGAAGCCATGTAGCAGTTTCTCTTTAGGATTGAGAGAAGATGCAGGAAGATAATAAACAGAGACAGGACAGGAAAAATAGTCAAATAAAAACAAGTTAGCTTTTGTACCTGGTGGTTGCAACAAACAGACACCATTGAAGGTAATCAGAAGTGAGGAACAGAAAATGAAATAATTATTTTAATGTTTAGAGCAGCAGGAACTCTGAGAAAAGTTTCATTTACAAATTAAGCACTTTTTAGAATCTAAATCTCAAGTTGCTCAAAGTAAACACTACAATCTTCATTCAGGTGTTTGTTACCTGCTGATTCAGAGATTCAATGAACCACTCATCTCCCATGAAGTTACAGGCCATGTCCACGTCCCCGTTATAGACCAGCACCCGGTACTTCTGTCCAGAGAAAACACACACACACACCTGATGAAGAATCTACAGGTGATTATTCTACCTAAAACACCTGGAGCTAGAGCAGGGAGAGGTTAGGTTTAGGGCTGGATCTAACACAAGTGAACTGGTCCAGAATCAGGTGTGAATCCTGTAATAATTCATATATTCAGCAGAAAACGGACCAGATGATCCTGACTCATGAGTTCATTTTGATTTGCTGTAAACAGTATTTGAAGTTCTGTTCAGACAGGTGAAGCTGCTGAACAGGTGCTGTGCTGCGTTTACTGACCAGAGCTGACAGCAGCTTCAGGTACTGTTTGCTGACATCCATGTAGAGCCGGCCATAGTTCAAGTTCACCTCAGCGCTGCAGCACAAGACAGAAACCACTGAGTTTCAATTCTGAACCAACTCAGGCAGACAGGTGAGAGTGAGACAGGTCATTGTGTTACCTGCAAATGACCCAGTCCAGAGCATTAGGACTTATGTGCAGAGCACGCTTGACATAGATGTTGTTCAAGTAGAGGTATGAGGGGGTGGAGTTGGTGCAAGGCGGGTCCAAACGGACAGACAGGTGCAGTGCTGCCAGGTTTTGTAGCTTCTGCAGGTAGACAAACAGCTGAGTAGTAGTTGTGTAGCAACAACCAGGTGAGTCACATCAAAGAGACGAGGAGGGTTCATATGTACCTGGCTCCACTGCCGGTTCCACTGGTGGTGGATGAAGGTGTTTCCCAAATCTCTGATCACCAGCTGGCCACTCTCCACACTGCCAACCAATCAAAAACAAGTTACCTGCCTGGGGTCCGGGCCACAACTGCAACAGGTGCAACTAATGGGCCATTCCCATCTGTACCGGGTCGGCCCAGGCCGGGTAGCCCCAGTCGGCCCCAGCCTGGCCCGGTTGATTCCACACATCCTTGTCTTAAGCCCATGTGGGCTGATTCTACCCACCAATCAGAGGCTTGCTCTAATGGAAGGTGTGAATTTGCTGTCAGCAGTGGGTGTGTTGGCCCTGGTCGGCCTGAAGCAGACCCCCTCGAGAAGAGGGCTGAGAATGAGCCTTGGTTGGCCCGGAAAAATACCAGGCCACCCAGATATGTAAACAACCTACGCTACCCGGCCCGGGCCGACCCGGTACAGATGGGAATGGCCCATAAACAAGTTACAGCTCACCTTAATCTGTGAGGGACTCCACCTGGACAGGAAGCATACAGGTTGTACATGTTTAGTCCTGAATTGTAGACAATGGTCTGGACCTCCAACAGCTGCAAAGACACAGAGATTACTACCAGAGGATACCTGTAGACACCTGAGACCACAAGTAAGGTACTTCTGTCCAGTCCAGACTCACGCTGTCAGAGCAGTTTTGGTTCTGGTTATTGTAGAAGTTGCACTTCCCATCTTTGCAGCAGAACATCTGCAGCTGTGTCCAGAGCCGAGTCCCCAGCAGGCCGTGATAGTAGGCGAAGAACACCAGAGAGTTATCGTTCAGCTCGTAGCTCGACATCCCGTTTCCCACGGCAATACCCTGCAGCACAGGTGAAAGCGGACAGCTGAAATGGACAGACGCACAGACATGTCTGCCCTGCAGAAGAACCAGAGCAGTCCCACCTGCAGGTTCATGCTGGCGTCCTCCATCACCCTCTCAGCGAGCGTTGGGATGTAGATTCCTCCATAACTTTCACCAGTCAGGAAGAGCTCGTTGCTGCTGAACTCCGGGAACAGGCGGAAGAACTCCTTCAGGGCCAGGTAGTTGTTCATCGACACCTGCAGACACAAAACACTTGAAACCTAAGAACACCACAGAGCTGCATCAGAGAGCCGAGGGCATCGCTGACCTCTGTGTCGTTGGTGACGTAATTCTTATCGTCGGAGTACGAGAAGCCGACGCCAGCTGGAGACTCCAGGTACAAAACATTAGCAATCTGCAGGTGAACAACGAATCAATGAGCTTTCAGAAGATGTACTAACCATCACTAGGTCACATGACACACCTTGTTCCAAGAGTAAGGGTTGTACTGCAGGGTTACCCCATCATCCTGGATCTGAAAGGACGGATGTCAGAGGTCATCTATTGTTGGGGTGGTGGTGGTGGTGGGGTGGGGGTGGGGGGTCAGAAGTTACCTACCAGGAAAGGGCCATGTTCAGTCAGCAGTCCATCCAATGAGCTGCAGCCGGGACCACCGTTAAGCCACAAAACCACCGGGTCAGAGGACGGCTTGTTCTGGGACTGCACAAACCTGAAAAGAGAAGAGGAGTTCAGGCGAGGCTCAGGTGAGGTCATAATTCAAGTGTGTGACAGTCGAGGTAATGACCAGTAGTGAAGATGTTTCCCATTGGACACGTTCAAGTATCCGGAGAAGTGCCTGAAGCTGGGCTGTTTCTGTAGACCAGGCAGGAAGGTGATCTCATCATCAACTGGAGCTGCATCAGTGCCCAGCAGAGGCACCAGGAACAACCACAACAGCACCTTCATCTAAAGGGAAGAGGACACAAACACCTGCAATCAGACAGGAAGTGATGCCATCATCTATAGCTTCATACCTCCGGCAGGAGCTTGGATTAGAAGAGCTTAACTCAAATTACAAAAGTTACTTCAGATTAACATTTGAGCATCTCAGAAGCTCCGACGGGGAGCCTAAGGCTCCTCCCTCTCCGGTCGGCTCACGTGTCCCTGAACGGGGTGATAAAAGTTATTTTCTAATGTAAACATTGCCCAATGCCCAGAATCACACCCAGTATTCTTCAATTAAATGATTAATTATGGGAGCTGATTTATTAACAACAAATCAGACGTGTCATATATGAGGTCACAGCAGAAGATCCCCTCCCCCACTGTAGCTGCTACTGACCACATGACCAGATTTACGGTGGTGCTCTCCACCTTTAATGCTCCTTCTGTCATCCTGGAGGAAGGACGTGAAGCTCGCTAAACTCACAGCTGGTTTGGTGAGATGAGCGGTTGGAGTCCTCTACGTGTTTTCACACAAAACTCAAGTAACTTTGGCTGGCTGCTGAAAATCAACGCTTTCTTGGCATCTTGTTAAATCCATGACACATCAAACAGGATCAGACAGTAACTGTCGGCTCATAGACTCCCATTCATGTTTTTTGCAGTAGGGGACCAAAGGTCTGGAAGTAGATGGGCTTGACTTGGGCGCCCTACATGAACATTCAAATCCATTTAAAGAACATTTTAAGCAGAACCGACCCAGAGGTCCATGATTGGTGTGAGTTTGATGGGTGAGAGGTTAAAAGAGCCATTATCTGAAGAAGAGAGTCCTCCAGGGAATCTAGGAAGTGGAGAAAGACCTCCTTCTCTGGTAGGACTTTGATCGCTTGTTCTTCTATCACGGAACCAGAGGAGACCAGTCCACCGACAGGAACGCTTAGATAATGTGGAGAGGACAAATCTTCCAGAATGTGATACAGGCCCTTCACCTGCAGCTGACTGAAGCTCTGTGCCGACCATCTTATGTTCATTTTCATCCAAGATCTTCAGCAGCTTTTAGGAGCGTTTAGTGTCCCTTGTGCCCTAAAATACAGAAGTGAAGAACACCACTGGAACTCCTCAAGATGTCTGGGCCCAGTGAGTTCCTGGTCATGTGTTCAGGGAGAGCTGGTGCAGTGTGTGGGTGTAGATGATTAATCTCAAAAACATTTTATAAACCTCACATTTATGAGTCCAGGACTAAAGGCTCCACGTGAGTCTTTGGCGCGTGAAAAATCAGACTTCCAAGTTTTTTATGGTTGTGACTGGACTCAGAGGTCAAAGATCGTTGATTCCCAGCACAACCAGTTTGTATCCAGGAGTTAATGAAGCTTCAGGAAAAATAGAGGAAGCGTTGGTCTGCCAATAAAACACGTGACACTTTCGGTTCCGACCATCGACATATATATTCCGACCAGATATAAGCGGAGTTGACACACCTAGGTTTAGTTTAGTCTAAAGGAGAACCAGATGTTCCAAAGAACTGAATCTATAGATTTTTCTCTCAAACTCTCAACTCCGGCTCGAGACTTCCGGTTGAAACAAACAAACAGAACCACGTGGGTTAACGGACACCCTAAGAACGGACCAACCGGACACTCACCTTCACACACCGGCTCCACTGTAAACAGGCTCCGCTGGTCATGTGACGGCGCAGTCATGTGACTGTCCTTTGCGTTGCTGCACCTCATTTATCAATACGCTAACAAACGGCGCGGCGGGCGGAGACTGTCCCAGACTCACTTCTGGTTCCAGGTAGTGGGTAGGACCTAGCCTGACAAGCCAGACTATATATGTGAATATATACTTTGCAACGCAAGAATTTGGTCTAGTTCACTAGGCTAGGGTAGGACCAGGACACTGTGATCAATTTTTGGCAAGGGAAATGATCATTTGTTGCCATTTTTAAGGTGTTTATGAATGTGGAAGACACCTAGCATCATGTGATGGCACTAACAACATCAAGAGATAAAGTAATATTAGGTAAATTTAACCCTTTACAGGTGACCAGGACACTAATAAATTTTTGGCAAGGGAAATTATCTTTTTTATTTTGTCAATGCCATTTTTGTTGTCTACAATTAAATCATCAATAAAGAATTTAAAGACATTTTGAGGCGTTTCTTATAGGTAAACAGGAGGGTATAGTCTATTTGGCAAGTGACAATCTTAATTTTATGTGCTGAAGTGCTTTTATCTTACTTTAAATAGAGCAAAGTAATGTATAGATAGCAACCTACACAGTGTCATTAAAGCCAAAGCTGGATCAGTTTAAATACTATTTTTCAAGTAAAAATGTGCCCTTTTACTCACCCCGACTTCTTTCATCAGAACGGGGCTTTTTAGTCTGAAACACACAGGACTAACTTATAATGGTGAAGCAGAGGTTAGGGGGCCACAGAACACACCCAGAGGTGAGGTAAGAAAAACCTCCATCCAGATTTAGGAGGTCACTTTTTCTTTATTAGCTTCAACAGAATCACAGACACAAGCAAAGACAATCAGAAAACTTTATTTAAAACAGAAAACAGGTAAAAAAAAGAAACTATACATCAGCCAAGAGAGAGGGTGGAGCTTCTTTAGGGTCTGGGGGGTGGCCTCATCCCAGGAGGGGGTGGTCCTAGAAAATAAACAAGTCATGTGATCAGATTTAGAACATAATAGATGGCATGTTGTGACACAGCTGCTCAGTCTCCATGGTAACAGCTCACCTCTCATTCCAGGGGGAGGTGGCCTCATGCCTGGAGGGGGCATTCCCATGGGAGCGCCACGACCTGGACCAGGAGGCATTCCCATTGGTGGGCCCATCGGGGGTCGCATGCCAGGGGGCGGACCCATCATACCTACAGGGGAGGAGCCAGGTAAAAATAAGTGATCACTGACTGAAAGAGGCTAAAATATGAAGTTTAAAAGAAACCAACATTCTGGAGGCTAAAACAGGAGCTACAGCAAACACATTTCACCAGCAGAACCAAGGTCCAGAAACAAAAACACAGCTGAGCGAACAGATAGACCAACAACAGGAAACCATCGAGTCTAGCTGATGGGCAACTGGGTCAGAACAGGTCAGTCAGTCAGTTTTGTTTTTTTAAACTATGAAGACCTCTGCATGCCCCCTCCACATCTTACCCTCATCTTTGTTTAAAGGTGCTTTTCAGTCCATTGGTCCCAGCATGCTCTATAATTAATGCTTCTCTGGTCAGGTCCCTGCTTACTTTAGGAATGCTGTAATCCACCCGCTTCTTAAAAACCAGAGTCTTGACGCCTTTCTCCATAGCAGCTTCAGACCCATCTCTAAACTTCTGTTCATCTCCAAGATCTTGGAAAAGGCTGTGGCTAAACAACTCACAGCTGCTCTTGATGGACATAACATATATGATTGCTTCCAGTCAGGTTTTTGTAGAGCGTATTTAACGCCTCCCACAGGCTCGGGGATTTCCACATCCCTGAGAAGTCCTTCGGATTTATATGTTAACACCACACCGTCCATTCGAGACTGAACTCACGCCATCCTCCCCAGACCATACAGACGCTAATGCAGGGATTGAAGCAAACAATTCTCATCTGACTGAAAATGATGTTTTCCACCCAGTTCCCCACTCCCCGCAGCTCGGCGCATCTGTCTGCTGCGCGGGCTGCCGGCTTGTGGAGCTCTGGGATGGAAACCTTTCCACCCGGTTCTCCCCAGCGGCAGCTCTGCGCATCTCAGATCGCAGCGGCGCTTGTCTGCTGTGCGGCTGCCGGCTTGTGGAGCTCTCGGAGACCTCTGTGTTCCACCCGGTTTTACCCAGCGGTCAGCCCGGCGTATCTCTGACTCAGAAGCTCTGGTGTTGTGCACAGTTAACTCCGGTTGTAGCTAGGTTGCTACCTCCGTTAGCTTAGCTCCCACCTCTGCGTTAGCTTTGGGTTAGCTTCAGGTTAGCTTGTAGCTAGTTCAACCAGGTGTCATCAGTTGATCCCAGCCTTACAGCCCCACCTCTCTTCCCTTTTGTGGAATTGTCTGGGCTTGACGGAACCTGTGACACGGTCAAAATGTCGGTGGTGGCCACCTCCCATTTTTCTTCAAAAGCGTGTTATTGGAGTCTATGGACACCCATTTTCCAATATTTATATGTACGCATCAGTCTGGTGCATTTTTGGGGGGAGATGTATATAAACACGTGTTTATATACATATCTATGGGAGGAATGCTAACCAACCCCGTGCGCTCTCACGGACACCGCAGGAAGACGTTGCTCTTGATACCATTGTTCATTTTCTTTTTCCCTTTCTTCACATCTTTAATTACAATTTTTTCCATTTTCGTCTTTTATGTTTTTAATCCTTGTGAAACACCCTGTGATTTTTATCGTGAGAGGTGCTATACAAAAGATCCTTTCTTCTTCAGACCAACAGCTATGTATACCTGCAGACACTGAACCAGCCTGACCCAGGACCTGGACGAATCTGTGCCTACCTGGAGGGGGTGCAGCCCGGGCCATTGGGGGAGGAGCTCCTCGTCCAGGAGGATACTGTGTCGGTGCCCCAGCAATGCTGGCTCCTGCTGCTGCCACAGCAACCGTCCCTCTGCCCTGTGGGGTCATCACCTGGCACACACAGAACCTGTTAGGAACCAACTACTAAATAAACCCAAAACACCTGCTGTGCTACCATGGTTACCTGCTGTGAGGGCCCACCCACCCCCCGAACTGGCCCTGCAAGTCCAGCTGGAGCCTGAGGCATTGGAGCTCCAGCAGGAACACCGCGTCCCGCCGCCCGACCCACACCTGGACCTCCGGCCACGCCCGCCAGGGGGACCCGGGCAATGCCAGTCTGAGAGATATCACAAGTCAAAGGTCAAACAGTCATAAACTTTATCAGCTCAGGCACACGTCCATGTCTAGAGTGCTGACAAGGAGTACACACATCTTTTGGGGGTGGGCCCTCCACCGTCATGGACACCAGGTTCTCCCCCCTCAGTAGAACCAGACCCAAAACCCTCTTCTCCTCACGTTCTGGCTGCTTAGTGTTCTTTGGCCTAAAGGAGGAACACAGTCATGATCAGTAAAGTTTTGAAATTAAAACTTCTTCAGATAAAAATTATAACAGGCACAACTTGGACCTACTTGATCTTCCTGAACTCATCGCAGTCACAGAGGATCAGGTTCATGTGTTTGTCAAAGGCTTTGAAGGTGCCTATAAAGATTCGTCCGTCTTGAAGGATGCACCTCATCCTGAAGTCGATGTGCTGCAGCATCTTACTGCTCTTCCCCACCGTCTACACACCAATCACAGTTATCACCATGACAGCTCAGCAGCAATGAGCTGTACAGGTGAGGTTTCACCTCACCTCTGATCCATCAGTAACTGCTAACATAACCAGTTACCAACATGACCGTACTCTACTGCCTATCCAACTCTGGAATACTTCTTTTCAATACATTTGAATTCACTAACAGATTACATTTTCCACATAATCTATTCATCTGTTTTTACTCTGTAAATTCAGAAGATGTTAATGAAAATCAGCTGTTTTAAAACGTTGTGTCTGATAGGATTCAGGTGTTGTGTCGATGTGTGTTCCCCCCTCGACATGTGTTTCTTTAGCACCCAGCTGTGAGTGGAAACGACACACTCACAAAAAATAACCCTCACCCTAACCCTAACATTAACCACCTGGTCACCAAAAACGTATTGCACACTTTTATTTTTTGAAAGCATTATGTGTAGCACAATTTTTATGTTTGTTTCAGGGTTGTGGTAAGGGTTATGGTTAGGACACGCATTTTTTGCGAGTGGATGGTTCAAACTCGCAGCTGGGTGCAAAAGAAAGAGCTCGGAGGGGCGCACATAACACAGGAACGAAGGTGATATTTTTGGTTCCCCGGTGTAACACTCCGTTAAGTTCTTGTTATTTGTGTTTCTGCTCACACACTGTAAATACACAGCTGGAATGTCTATTACATTCAATAAGACCATTTATACGCGTCTGTACGTCACTTCCCTTTAGCTAAAGTTCAAAGCAGCAACCTTCCCGCCTCAAACCGGTTTCTGTAATTTTAAACTCGAACAAAGGCCCAAACCGGCCGGCTGCTCCCGGTTAACTGGAACCCCGAAAAGCCGCCGGAAAACTTCAAAAATTGTTCACTTATATTACAGTACGTTAACACTGGTCGCTGTTCTGTTGAACGTCCCGCTCACGTTCACATAAACTGCTGCAAACACCGAATAAACCCGTAAAACGGAGAAAAATGACGCTCTCCGGGTCAGGCAGCGACCCGAGCCTCTGGCCGGGAAACACTCACCATGTTTACGGTTCTGATGGCTCCGACTCAAGTCGGATTCTATTCAAAAATTAGAGTGGACCTGCGAACCGGGCCTCTTTCATCACAAAGCACAGGAAGTGATGAGCACTTCCGTTCCGTGCTGAAACTGGTCTGGAAGGGGAAAACTGACAGTTTTTGTGTTCCTACCACAAACGAAAAATAAAATGTGCTCAGGGTGTTTTTATTTGCAGTTTATTTTATTCTAAAACGAGTTTTTATAATATTATAAATTAGGGCTGTAAATTACAGAAAATGGCAAAGTGTTTGAAGTAAAATAATTTAGATTCTGCTAACGTACATTTAAAATATCATTCTGAAAACAGATTTAAACAACCAAACATTTTAAACAAACAGAACTATTATAAGATCAAGAAACTGAAACTAAATTGTTTTATTGAATAGGCATCGCGTGCGTACACAACTCACGCACACTGATTATATGTATATATATATATATATATATACAGAACAGAGGAAACGAGAAGATGAGGGTTCAGCTCTCATCCTCTTCTGTCATCAATTGTTGAGGTTTTCTTGATCTAACTGGAACCTATTATCTGCAGAATGAACTCTTTTTTATCCAAGTTCTTCATTATATGAAAGCTATAATGATGTTCCCTTTTTCTTTTTCGTGTTTTAATGCAAAAACCAGTAAATAAAAGAGTCTGTGGGTCTGCAGGTGTCACATGAAGTCGTGTTATGTAGGCTGACCACGGATCTGTGTTTTATAAGCTGCACACCCTTCATCATCACACTGAGCAACACCTTGGCCCATCAAGGATCGAGAAAAGAAAAAAGCGTTTCTACTGTTTTATTTAGAAGACGTGATGAGTTAATACGTGCTTCCAGGCGCATTGCAAGCTTTTCAAAAGTGTGGGGGAGGGGGTTGTTGTCTGTGACTAAAATAATTTCATGTTATTCATCTTGTTAGTTTAATTTCCATAATAGCGCAGCAGGTGCGAATTTTAGACGCGTCATGCATGTCTCCGTTTTAAACATGTTTAAACTGTTCAGAATACAAATCCAGGCTCTGTCTCGTTAGATTGGTGTAACTAAAGTTTGTACTGAATGAAACTTTACATTAAACTATGTTGAAAAGAAAAGGATCCGATTAAATTGTTTCCCCCTCATTTACAGTCAGGAAGTACAGTGCAGTGTGCGTGGCTCTGGGGTTAATCAAGTTTAGTTGTTTCTCTTTGCAACAATCTTCACAAGAAGGCAAAACAGTTAAATGGCAGGTTACAGATCCATTTGACTGTTTATTTTGATGGATAAACTCAAGGATGTTGGTCAGGGCCGGATTAACACTGTTGTACCCTGGGCAACAATATTCAAGGGCCCCATCATCACGACCCAAGGATCACCATAATATGGTCACATACAGAATATTTTACTGTAATATGCAGAAAATATACTCAATACTTGAATGCCTGACATCACATAACCCGCTCAGGGTAACCTTTGACCCACCTTGTGTGGACTGACCAATGAGGAGAGGATCTTAACTTGAGGCCCTTTCTTAATTGGTCAGTCTGCATGAGACTGACTCTCAACTGATGTTCAAAGTCATAGGCAGCGAAGAGTCTCCATGCAGCGCAAAAGCCCGGGTGGACAGTTTGTTTAATGTAGGGTGATCATGTTTCCATTTCCAAAAAAGAGGACAGGGGATTTGTGCCTATGACGTCACACTATGGCAACGCCACACAAACCACGTTGGGACCCTTTTTTTTGTAAGAACTAAATACATTTCAGATTCTGTCAATAAAAGGGCTCTAAAACAATTCATATGTAAATATTTAGCATCTTTATTGCAAAATCTCATTTTTCTGCTTTAGTGCTGCAACAATATTTTATTAATAAGAAATTATTATACCTTTTGTTTTACTACATTATCGGTAAGCTTCCTGTGCACAGATTATTAAGGATGCTTGTTTCAGCTGTGAGATTAGACGACAGGATCAATGAAAACATAAGTTGTCACAGACTCCATGGAAACTTTCAGAGAATCCATAAATAGTGGCTTTCAATCAGTTTTGTTACTTTTAGCAAGTTTAGAAAAGAAGCAGATGAGACAGCATGTCTGATAAGTTAGTTCTTCATCTGATAATATTAGAACATGTCAGTAATGCCTGAGGGGCTTTTATAAACACTGTATAACTAATATTCCTGGAGAGGATATGAATTACACAGAGGCTTCTGGGGAGTCCAGTTATTGGGGGGGGTGCTCATTTTGCCTTGGCCCCCAAAATGCCTTCAAACGGCCCTGGGTGTGTGACTGAGTTTTGAAGGTGATCTGAATTGTATAGATGTATAAATCTTACGTGCGTAACTTAGTGTTTTATACAGGTACAAACACGTAGTGGAGATAAATCTACCTACATTTTACTTTGTTTTCTTGTTTTTATTTAACTATTTCCTGTCCTGTCTGTCTCTCATTTTCCTGCAACTCCTCTAAAGTCTCCAGAAAATCTGCTGCCTGGATTCTTACTTTTTCACCTCATCAGTTACTTTTGAGCAGATCAAAGGGATCTCCTGACCGCAAAGCGGAGAGCGCGTTTCTATGCTGCGTCAGTGAGGTGGAGTTACCGCAGCACACGATGAGCTCCGCAGTAGCAGAGCGCTTCAGGCACAAATAAGACAGAAAGTAGAGAACATGTGCGGACATGAACGATCGTGTGCTAATTATAGTTTTTTGTTGCCGCTTTGAGAATGGGCCGTGCGCTGGAAGCAGCTTTCTGGAGCGCTGTGCAACAATGCGCTGGATGTGTAGGATATCCAGCTCCCCCATAATTCGATCCCTGCTCCTGGATGAAAAGCCAGACATTTTCATCAAACCCCCCCCCCCCCCCCCCCCCCCCCCCCCCCCGACGTCCAGGACAGAGAGTGAAGAGCAGACATGTCCGGGGAAAACAGGACGTACGGTCACACTAGTTTAATATAAAGCGGGAGATTACAGATACAGTATTTTGCTCGTGCTCTTGCTGCCCTGAGCCTGGGCCCTTTAGAGTTCATGGTCCCTGGGTAATTGCCCAGTTGCCCATATGGTTAATCCGGCCTTGAGTTGGTTGTTTTGAAAGAATTACCCCGACGCACACTGATGCGCACACAGATGAGCTGATATTTTAATCGTTACGTACATCGCGGAGGTAACTAAATCAATCAAGAAATTATTCCCATCAGAACATCAGAGCTTTATACTGGACACTGTGCTCAGCGCAGCTCAGAGCGAACACGGTGGACAGTGAGCTGAACATCTGTAGAGGGGTTTACAGCACAGTGCAGAACCACGGCGCATGCAATAAGATTTCCTCCCACTGAAACAGTCTGGAAAGCCGGTCTCTCTGAGGGATCTGTCACTTGGAAACATGTTCGCTGATTATGAAACTTTGGCTGAATAGCGCTTGTTCCCGTCTCTAATATGGAGACCCCCGTATATTTATGTCGATGATCCAGTCTGAGGCAGAATAGCCTCTTCAGCTCAGAAAGCACCTGCAGAGACATTTGATCACGCACAAAGTTTATGTGGAGCAGAAGCGGGGCCACGGCAGGTGAAATGTTCCTAGCCAACATGAAGTGAAATTGTTTAATTGTAACGTTAATATGTTACTGAACACACTGGTCTGGTTGGTTAGACCAGTGTTTGAAGTGGAAAACACACACGCACACGCGCGCGCGCAAACACACGCAAACACAAACGCTCACACACCAATTAAAATAATGCTGATATGGACTAGAAGACAGGTGCTTGTTTACGTATTTAAATGATGATCAGGCTGCTGTAAAATGTAATCTCCATCCACATCCAGACAGAATTACCCTCTATTCTGTCTCTATTTTCTCTGCTCTTGTCTGGGCTGACGTAGCTGATGTTGCGCGCGGCGCGCCTAACTAGCGGCTGTGATGCACATTTTACGCATTTGGAGAGGTGGGCTGGATGCTTTGCTTTTACTGGAAGACAGATTTTTTTTTTCAAAAATGTCGGAGATCTTGCCCCATGAATAACCGTAAAAACTACTGGTGTGCATGTACCCTTATGAAAGAGTCCTAGTTGAAAGGTAAATATAAGAGGTGCAGGTAATGCATTCTGGTGCCTATTAATGGAAAATGAATGAAAATTAAATTGGGAGTTTTTACTTCATATTTTAGAAATAAAAATGACGGGGGAAAATTTTTATGACGTCTTTTTAAACGAAATTTTCTAGCACGACCTGCCTGTTTCAAAGTCACTGCTTATTAAGGTCTGTCCAAAATTACCGTGGCCCACCCAAAAATGAAAACCTGGCGTCGCGCCTGAGGAATAAACCTCTGCAAATTGTTGTTCTTCACTTTATCAAACTGAGAGTTTACAGCTAATGTCAAGATGTAAAATTATGAATTTAGTCGAGCTCTTCCGTCCCTCTCCTGTTTCAGAAACAGAAGAGGAAGGGGAAGAAGGAGATGAGGCAAACAGAGTGAGTGCGAGAAACCAGACTGGTGTAGTCTGGTGAACTGACCAAATTCTTGCTTTCCAAAGTTTGATATATAATAATACATTTATAAATAATACATTTATTTAGTCTGGCTTGCCAGGCTAAGACTGGTGTGGAGGTGAGCAAAACGGCTGGAAAAGTGTGAATGCTGAACGATCTCAATAAGAAAAGTGTGGGTGTTGAATCCCCCACATCCCCCACCAAGTGTTGCCCCCAGGAGTGCCCTGCGTGCTTCATTTCCAGTTCTGAGGAGACCAGTGCTCAGTAAGTTTGTATTGAACATCTGGTGGAAAAACCTGGGAAACAAAATCACAAAATGTAAAACTGTGATTTTATTTATATATTAAAAACATTAAACTATTAAACTATCATCTGAGTCATGTAAAGTCCTGGTTGTCTGTGTCCTGTTGGGACACTTGAGTTTCTCTGTTGTTGGTGTGGTTTTAATCAGCTGATCGATGCAGTTAGCGGCTAACCCAGATTTCCCGCCACCTCTCTGCGGGACAGTTACCATGGGAACCGAGCTCCCTTGAACGGTCGCGCGCCTCAGTGAGTTGGAGGAGAGATGGTGAGTCACTGGGAGCAGCTCCGGTAGCGCGCGACGAGCACGGAACGACACCGACCACAACAAACTGCTGCACAAGACGTGTTTCGACTGTTGATCAGGCTGATGAGCAGCCGCAGTGACGTAACAGCGTACGGCAGCAACATACTCAATGGAGACAGGAACCGAAAAAGCTGGCGACCCAATTCGGTCGGCCTGAGAGGAATTATGGTCTGGAATCCTAAGAAAGAGAAGAGCAACCTGCAGCTGGGAGGCCACAACGATCTGCGTCTGTGATGTAACACTTGAATCTGGGAGGCAACAACCTGCAGCTGGGAGGCAACAACGATCTGTGTCTGTGATGTAACACCTGAATCTGGGAGGCAACAACCTGCATCTGGGAGGCAACAACCTGCAGCTGGGAGGCAACAACCTGCAGCTGGGAGGCAACAACGATCTGTGTCTGTGAGGTAACCAAAGCTGGGAGGCAACAACCTGCAGCTGGGAGGCAACACCGATATGTGTCTGTGAGGTACCTGCAGCTGGGAGGCAACACCGATATGTGTCTGTGAGGTACCTGCAGCTGGGAGGCAACACCGATATGTGTCTGTGAGGTACCTGAAGCTGGGAGGCAACAACCTGCAGCTGGGAGGCAATGACTGTTGATGTTGATTAGCTGAACATCTAACATGTTGCTGCAAAAGCACCATCAATTAAGCATCCAGACTCTCAGTAACAGCCAATAAGATTACAAGAAACTGTAGCTCCACCTCTTCTGTAGATGAGCAAACTGAGAGAAAAAAAACAGTTTAAATTTTTCTGTTCAAACTCAAATCCAGAGTTCAGCCTGTCAGCTCTGACATGTCTCACAGAAGGATGTCTTTCTACTATTTGGATTCCTTGGTTTGTCAGATTCCTTGGTTTGTCAGATCAGTTGATCTGGTGTCAGATGACACTCAGTTAGGCTCCACCCACTTCTGATTCCTGCTTTTAAACAGCTCAAAATATGAAACAGCTAAAGGAACAAGGCCAAGAGATGGAGGGGAAGGTGAGATTTCCCATCGTGCTTCAATGCAGACACTGTTGGATGTGTTTTTGGATGTCTTCAAAGATGGTGAAGGAACATGAAGAGAGTGTGTGTGTGTGTGTGTGTGTGTGTGTGTGTGTGTGTGTGTGCTCTTCTGATGCATTTAGGGTCTCCTGGACATTGTTTTTTGTGGTGTGTTCAGGTACAGACCTGGGCTCAGTCTCTGGTTTATACTGTGGAGGAACTGGAGTGTAAGATCTGCTACAACCGGTACAACACTCGCAGCCGGAAACCCAAACTCCTGGGCTGTCTTCATCGAGTCTGTGCCAAGTGTCTGAAGAAGATGGTTGACATGGGTGAGTTTACCTGACAGGTGCATAGCAGAGTCCATGTTTGCTGCAACTAATGAATCCATGACAGCTTTAAGAATGACATGCTTCTAACATATAAACATATAAAACATATGAACTGGATGTCATCTGTTGTTGAAAAGTAAAGCCATGAAATCCCACCTGTAGCTGCTGCCCTGTTGGAGGTGAGGCTCAAGCCCCTCCTACTCCTACCACTTCCCACAACCACAGTGCATTTTAAAATATCAGCTAAATACAGCTACACATATTAGACTAATGAATATATGATCACACAAAGCAACATCTACAACAGGAGACAAAATTATCAGAAGTGTGTTTTTATTTTTCAGTCAGAAATGTCCAGTTGATTTAAATGGAGGAGGCGGGGCTTAAAACCTGTCCAGTGCTTTGGTTCCTTTCTGCAGAATGTTCCTACATCTGTATTTTATGTCTGCCTTAGACCAGGGGTGTCAAACACACAGCCTGCGGGCCGGATCCGGCACACAAACGGGTTAAATCCGGCCCGTGAGATGGTTGTGTAAACTTTATTTTCATACTTTACAATGTAGAATGAAAATAAACTCTAATTTTTCTATTAAAAAAACTGCTGTTCCCAATACGTCCGTTAGATGGTGCAATAGGCATTTTGTTAAGCAAGCAAGCCATTTCAATTAAAAATTGCGCCCACATTTTCAAAGTTAAACACATCTCTTTTAACAACGGTAGTTTCTGCATCCTGCTTCAGCCCTCTCCCCCTTTCCCCTGCGCAGCGGCTGCAAACTCACTGATGCACCTGCAGCCTCTCAGAGTTCCTGCTGCTCTAAACATTAAAATAATTATTTCATTTTCTGTTCCTCACTTCTGATTACCTTCAATGGTGTCTGTTTGTTGCAACCACCAGGTACAAAAACAAACTTGTTTTTATTTGACTATTTTTCTGTCCTGTCTCTGTTTATTATCTCCCTGCATCTCCTCTCAATCCTAAAGAGAAACTGCTACCTGGCTTCATATATATTCACCTTATGAGTTACCTTTGAACTGCAGTTCTAAAAGATCTACCGACCGCAAAAACAGCGGAGTGCGCACGTCCGCTGCACGGATGAGGTGAAATCACCGGAGGACAAAACAGTTGATGCGCTACGCTCCGCAGCAGCGAAACACATCAGGCACAAATAAAAGACATAAAGTATAAAAGGAAATGAGCCGACATGAACGATCGCGTGTAAAATTTGTTTTTGAGGTGGCGACACTTTGAGAATGTTACTGTGGCCGTGCTCAGGACGCATCTGTCTGGACCACATCATAGATCAGAGCTCTGCGCCTCTCAGCTAAAAATAATCCCCGGAGAGTCCACACTGAAGAAAGTGTGTGCGTCCCAACATGTAGCCGACATGAAGCGGTTCAAAGATAAAATAACGGGACTGTTGAGGGAGTTTGAGCTACGCTTTCAGATTTTTGGTGAACTCGAGATGGACTTCCAAATTTTTTGCTCTCCATTCACAGTGAATCTCTCTGATCTCCCCGCCAGCATCCAACTTGAAATAATAGACTTGCAGTGTGACTCGTATTTGAAGGGCAAATTTTCCACAGCTGGCTTGGACACATTTTATCAAAACCTTTTACCTGGTTACCCCAACTTGACAGCTCTTGCTGAAAAGCTGTTGAGCATGTTTGGAACCACTTATCTTTGTGAGCAAGTTTCCTCTGTAATGAGTATAAATAAAACAAAGCTGCGCTCAAGGCTCACACACAAGAACTTGAATCACATCCTGAAGTTGGCTGCCACTCAGGATGTGACTCCTGACATTGATGCTCTGGTGAAAGCTATAAGATGTCAGGTATCAGGAGTCAAATAAACTTAAAGTGCTGCATGAAACTCTGGTATAGCCATGTGATCCAGTTCTTTGAATCACTGAGGAATTTTACTTTTTTGTATTTCAAATTTTCAATTCAATTTTATTTATATAGCGCCAAATCACGACAAGAGTCATCTCAAGACACTTCACATAATAAATATTCCAATTCAGGTCAGTTCATTAAGCCATAATTCCAATTCAATTTTCAAATATGCTTCAGGTGTTTTATGATTAATAGTGATGTTGTGGTTGAACTATTTTAGAGACACTGTCCTCAGGCTCCACCTGACGATGGCTGCCACTCAGGATGTGACTTGATATTGATGTGCTGGTGAAAGCTAAAAGATGTTAAGTAAAACGAGTCAAATATACTTTAAGAGCTGCATGAAACTGATCTAGCCATGTGATCTGTAAGCTCTGAATCACTAAGGAGTGTGTGTGTGTTTTTTTTTCTCCAAAATTTCTAGTACACTTCAGGTGTTTTATTAATAGTGATGTTGTACTTGTACTATTTTGGATACACTGTCCTCAGGCTACAGCTTTGTTTTTTATTGATTGTATTAAAACAAAGAAAACAATCTGAAGTTGTTTTTAATTTACAGTACCAGTCCGGCCCACTTGGGACTAGATTTTCCTCAATGTGGCCCCTGAGCTAAAATGAGTTTGACACCCCTGCCTTAGACCGACAGAAGAAAGTCTAACTACATCATTTAAGTTTTCCAACATCAAGTCTTAGAAAAAGCTACACTTCATTGAGCATCATCAGCTGTCATGTGACTTTGTGCCCAGGAGATTCTTCTCCTTCGGTCATCAGCTGTCCGTTCTGCCGCCATGAGACCTACGTACCTGATGAAGAGGTGAGACAGTTTACTTAGCTGGGGTGATACAGTTAATTTACTCAGAAGAAGTGAGACTGTTGAGGCAGTGTAGCCAGAAGGAGCCGAGGGTAGATGGTTTCTTGCCTCAGGACGAGGTGAGGCCATTTAACTGGTTGTGCTCCTCCTTCCTCCTCACCTCTTTTGTCAGAATTGAGAAGTTAAACTGTCTCCTCCATCTGCAGGTGTGGTTGATGGAGGATGATCGGCACATCCTGGCGGTCTTGTCCTGTCAGGACCGAGCCCAACAGGGAGAAGGTGCAACAGGAGGAGGTTCGGAGGTGGTGCTGACTCCCAAAAGTCTGAGTGGTAAAATAAGACCAGTAGCATTTTTCTTTTATATTGTTCTGGTTCTGAGATGTGGTGTTCTGATTGGTTTGTGTCTACAGGAGGAGGAGGAGTCCCGGAGGCATCCCATTGCTCCTCAGACTGTCTGGTGATCACAATCATGGAGCTTCCTGACGATTCTCCGTCCTCAGACTCACTGAGCATGCTCAACGTGGTAGGTCTTTACCGACCCCCCAGTCTGGACTCCCTGCCCTGCAACCTGCCGGCCCAGAAGTGTCATGCCTGGACGTCCCGCAGCTTCCCTCGCTGCCTGCTGGGGGCGCTATGTTTGGTGAGTGCATACTGAAGAGCATCAAACAAATGCAAGTATAGTAACCAAAAACCTAATTTCAAGCACTATTATAGTGACACTCTATCTTACATAAAATTGATTAGTGGATCACTAAACAAAACAGCTTTAAAAACTATAACTATTTGCACCACCTATAATTTATTTGGATGTGTGTAACATTTCTGTAGTGCACCCCCTGGCATATGTTTCATCTTCTTTGTTCAATTTTGTATGCAATTTGTTTGTATACTTATCACCTTGTTCAATAAAGTTTTTTTGGGGAAAAAAAAAGAACTAGATCACACTTTTTTTCTCTTCCTGTGTTTGTTTGACCTGTCGCTATGTGTCTCCAGGTATATTTCAGCTCACTGCCTCTGGGGATCTACCTGCTGATGATTGGTCAGCTGTGGATGGGCGTGGTCTTGGTCAGTCTGGTTCCGTGCACGCTGCTACTGCTCGTCTTATACGGCTTCTGTCAGTGCATGTGCCACGAGGTGAGAGAGGCTCTGGCTGCACACAGGCTGCCATGACTATAACACCTGCTACCATGGCAACAACTCTTATCTGCTGCTATCGGGACAAGAACACATGACATACCATGGCAGTGGTGATGATGATGAAGAAACCATCTGACCCATCATAACAGAACAATAAATGACTGAAACCAGAGCCATAACATTGGGCCGAAGCACCCACTTTACCTGTTAGGCTATGGCGTCACACAGGCTCCGCCCCTTCTGAGAACCATTTGTCTAAACAGCCAATCAGAAAAAGACTAAAAGAGTAAACTACGAATCAAGTTCACTGATGCAGTGAAGTCTGCCAACAGGACCAAGATGGTGCCGATATTTCAGCCATCGTCTGGAGCTTCTTCCACTCCATCCATCCATGTCCCTGACTAAGTTACAGGAAATCACAAAACCCGACATCCAACACAAGGACAAGAAAGAACTGTTTGGGTGGAGACAGAAGGTTCTGGAGCTTTCACCTCAACTGACGAGAGGCTCATCTATGATTCTGTCCCAAAAGCATTTAGATCACTTCAGTGAACACATTTATTAAATAATCTACTAATCCACCCATTAATTCAATTAGAGGTAGACCTAGATGTGACAGTGTGCGCATCCTGTCACAATGTCCCGATTGATCATGCCCCCTGGCATACTTGGCCAAGGGGATGTCCTTTTGGCTGACTGGTTAGAGCGTATGACTCTCACCCGGGAGTCTCGGGATCGAATCCCGCCCGGGCCCTCGTTTATCCACCTTGCCACATATATATCGAGCCGATATTTACTGAATCTTATATATCACATCAGCCGATATTTGTCCTTAGTAAAGTCCACTTAAAGCCAGGTGCATTCTTGAGCAGCCTTTAATTAAGTATCTGACTTTAACACTGAGCAGTGCACAAAGTTAAGATTTAACAGTTAAATGGTAAATGGCCTGTATTTGATATAGCGCCTTCTAGAGTCCTGGAACCCCCCAAGGTGCTTTACAACACAATTGGTCATACACCCATTCACACACACATTCACACACTGGTGGGGATGAGCTACGATGTAGCCACAGCTGCCCTGGGGCGCACTGACAGAGGCGAGGCTGCCGAGCACTGGCGCCACCGGCCCCTCTGACCACCACCAGCAGGCAACGTGGGTTAAGTGTCTTGCCCAAGGACACAACGACAGTGACAGACTGAGCGGGGCTCGAACCTGCAACCTTCCGATTGCGGGGCGAGCACTTAACTCCTGTGCCACCGTCGCCAAATCACCAGTTAGATAAATTCACAGTTAAAAACTAATTCAGCTTCAAATAATTTGTGCGTCAACTGTTATTAATGATATTTTAGCATGAAAACAAGGTGGAAAATGTCTGGATTCACTGTAGGCCATAAAAATTGGCCCTTAAAAATCGGCAGTACATATCGGCATTGGTATTGGCAATAGAAAATCCAATTTCGGTTGACCTCTAAATTCAATCTGATGTCAGCTGTTTAAAGTAAGCATCTGATGGTAATGTGCTTCTCAATCAACATCTTCCAGAATGTCATCAATGGGAATTTCCTAAGTCGAAAGTCACACCAGTTTGCTAAAAATGAAACTTTGATCAAACACGATCATTTCATCCATAAATCTAACAGAAAGGTTCCTGAAACATGGCTCAAGGCCTGTGGGACGTGAAACACCAGGCAGGGGTCTTGAGAGATACCAGTGGCATATTCAGCTAAATCCTTTACAAACATAAAAACAGTAATCATAAAAATAATATCATGTTCGTCAGGATGCGTTTAATGGCAGTTGTTTAAACCAGAATGGGTCACACAGAGAAGGATTTTTGGTCCCAAATCTGAAAAGTCCAGGAACCAGAGATGTAACATGCAGATGTTCTGATCTGGTGACCCAGTGCCAACAACATGCAGTCCACAGACATCAAACACGGAATTTTTAAACTTTATGCAATTTACTTGATGATTCAACAAATTGCCAAAAATTTCTTATTGTTCCTGTTGGTGTTCATGGTTCACTTCTTTCTAATACTTTTACCTGTAATTAGCTATTTGATGGTGATAAAACACCTTAATTGTTTGCAGGTGAGTATAGGCGGTGCCTGTTTGGGTTAGGGTCGATGGTTGCCATTAACAGCTGGAGCTCTGTTACTATGGAGACAGCTTGGCTCAAGGAGAACTTGAAATTCTGACTTTCATCTCAACATATCCGTATTAGCCAATCGGCTCTCAGGAGATTTCATCACCTGCACAACTGATGTCAGCTGATCAACACATACTGTTAACCAATGAGAGGAGGCGTTCATCTGTGAATGCTGCCGCTAGCGTGTGCTGATGGACATGCTGAGGACTGCTGTTATTATGGTATTAATATGATTCAAACACACATGTAACATTCCATTTGTAAGTGTATAACTCTAGTCATCAGCACACCAGTACTGTCACATGATCACCAATGCTAAGTGTAGCTTACCACAAAGACAGGGAAATGCAGGGAAGTGTTAGCCTAATGCTAGTATGAGGCGTTGTAAAGGAAGGACTGCAGAGTATTTTCCCTCCCAGCAGCCTTCATGCCAAGCTAGGCTAACACTTTCCCTTTATTTCCATTCTTTGTGCTGAGCTAAGCTAACAGTCCTGGTGTCTGCAGGCTGCAGCAGTTAAGGGAACGTGGGTCAGTAGTTTGACTTAGCCCGGAAATCATGTGAAGATCATGTGACAGGTTCAGTCCTATGCTACTTCCTGTCAGTGTGGTGGGTTTTTGTATGAACTAATAAATGTCACTGAGATGAGATGCTTATTTATTCAACGAACAAGTGTCTGCTTCTAGACCTGCAGAAAGAGAAAAACAAACAAAAACAATGGGTCACACAACAATACAAGAGCAAGCTATCACTGTCAACCTTATGAGGATCAGAACTGTTTTAACAAAGCTTTCAGGTTTATTTGACAGTATGTAGATCTGTCAAATAAACCTGAAACATCTGGAAGACGCCACACAGCTGGAATCTGATAGGTCCTGCCAACTTGCAGGACCTATCAACTTGTCCTGCAACTTTTTAAAGAAGGAAACAGGAAGTGGCCATTCACTTTGTTCTTTTAGAGTTCTATTTTTTGGGAAGAATCCACAGTGTCATTCTGGAGCTCTTTTGCTCACAGGTAGTCAAAAAAAGGTCAGTCGCTGTTGCACACAGAGATCAGTTTTACAAGTCCTGGGTCTAGTCTGGTTCTGGTACATGTTCAGGTTTGGACCTGATTCAGTCTGATCTGAGCTGGAATGCCGTGAAAAGAAGGGTGGGGGGTCACAATTATGACTTTAGACTCAACTTGAAGAATTTACAAATGACTTGTGACTTTCCTCTGACTTGATCTGACTTCAGACTTGCGTGTGTCTGGACTTGATTCTAAAGTGGAGAGACTTGAGAGTTATTAGTGACTTGTTCCCACCTCTGATGACTGAAGATGTGAACCTGTTGATGTCAGAACTTTAATTTTTCGTTTCATCTCCTGGATGGAAAAGATGACAGCAACACCTGAGTCCCTCTATGCAGTCATGTGCACCACCTGACAGTCAGGTTTACCTTTGGGGCGGAGCGGCCTGGGAGCTGAGAAAAGCCGAGACTCAGCTGGTCTCCTAGCTTTAATTAAAACACCGACACCCCCTTGAGAGCAGCAGAAGAGTGTTTATAGAAACCTGCCTGTGCTGCTCAGTCCTCCACCACAGAGGAAGAAGGTGGATGGATTCGACATTAAGCAACTGAGATGTCGTTCCAGATCCTCGTCACTTCATTCAGGTAAATTCTAAACTTCTCTGCAGAAAGTTTCTTCTCTTATTCTAAACAGAACGTTCTACAGAAGTCTTTGTGTGAGTCTCTGGTTCTTCTGAGCCGTTCAGTCGGTCAGGTCCAGAATCGTGATGTTCCCTCTGCTTATGGCATTTCTGTTTCCAGACTGAAGAAAAGTTTCAGCTGCTGGTTCTTTGATACAGATCTGGTTACAGCCTGGTGTGCATCTCCAGTGGATGACAGGTGGGACCACACCTGGACAGGTCACCTGTCACAATGAAAACCTAAAAAATAAATTCTGGATTAAATATCCTGTTTTTTTATTTATTTTTTTATTCCTCTCGTTGTTTCGAGTTCCAACAAAAATAACTGTTCGTTTAGCATCAGGATGTTAATTTGAACATTCCTATGACATCACACAGGTGATGAGCTGTGGTTGGTCAGGGAGCTGTAGGGAGAGTCTTTAACTTTATGATGCTTGTGTGACCGTCTGCTCCCACCAGATGAGTGATGACATCATGAGCCGGTGGCGTCGTTCAGTGGAAGAGGTGACAGCACGAAGACAGCTGGCTGAGTGTGAGCGTGCTCAGAACGCTCTCAGTCGAGTCACTTCCTGTTTTCAGCAGTTGGTGATGTCACTTGGCAGCTCAGCTGATAGCAGCTTCTTGCGAGAAGAGATGGTTGAGACCAGAGCGCTCGCTCATCGGATTTGTACTGGTAACACCTGTCAGTGTCTAACCTGTCTGTCTCTTACCTGTCTGACTCTCACCTTTTCCTGCAGGCCTGTCTCGCCGCCTGTTATCCCTGCTGTCAGACAGTAATCCCGCCCCTTCAGGTGTGGCAGACAAACAGGAGCCGGAGCGTCTCTGGGTTCTCTTTCTGTCTGCAGTGGAGAACTTCCTGTCTGACCTGCGTAAAGCCAATGATCTGATTGGACAGTTTCCCCTGACTCAGCGCTCAAACAGGCATTCTCTGGTCAACACAGGTGAGTTGGTTCTGAGGTCTGCCTGTGCTCAGCTGCTTCCTGCTGGATAGCCTCTAAATAAATAACTCCATCATGTGGCTCACAAACCATGGAAAATAATCCTAGTGCTCAGCGGCGGTTTTACAATTAGGTACAGGTCGTCGGCCGCCTGGGGCCCCCTTGTGTTGGGGGGGCCCCTAGCCCTGACCGCCGGCACCCCTCTGTTAATGCCACAATATTCTTATTACCAACCTGTCGCCGCTGACAGGATTGGACATGCACACTTCTCATTACCATAATTCCTGAACCGTTCAAGATGTCATTAAAATTCCAAAAGTGCTGAAAAGATTAAAAATGGGGCTTTTTGTGCATATACAATTCATTACGGTAGCCACCGGGATTCACGTAATTTTCACTTTAGAAGTGCGGGCGGGGGGGGGGGGGTATTTTTACAGTATGTTCTAATGGGAAACAGGCTTCAACACAAACTGTTGTTTTCTGCTTGGTCCTAGAGCTCAACAAGTGTCGATTTGATATAAAGTAATATTGTTTTTGGATGGTAAAAAGTGCAGGGGTCAAAACTTGACTTTGGAAAAAGTGGGGGGGACATGTGCCCCCTGTCCCCCCCCCCCCCCCAAAAAAAGTTGAGCGCAACGAATCACAAAACAGATTCAGAGACGTGCTGAGTTTGTCATCCAAAATGCTCCGTTTCATAACTTTTGAATGGCTGATCAGATTAAAAAAATTCCAACGGTTCCTAAAAGTACATAAAAGCAGCTTCCCACTATAGCATGAAGCAATCAGAGTTATGGAAAATATCGCTACGAGGGGAAATCCTGCTGTATAGCCTGATTGAAACGGAGCACAGCGGCGCGCAGCACCGCAGTGAAAGTGGATAACGGAAGGAGGAAGCTAATTAGCATAAAAAGCTGGCATGAAATTATGGAAATGCCTCAAAGAAAATCAACACGATCAATTAGGTGTCCCAGAAGGCTTATATCTGAAGACAGTGACCACGAAGGACAGATCTCCAGTGAATCAGGGTATGAATGTTTGTTCCGTCTTTATTTTTTATTTTTTTATTTGAACAACCCTAAACTATTTGCTAATTGTAAGATTCAGCTTCATTCCAGCATTATTTATCTTTTTACAATAAATAATTATTTTTGCTAAGCACCCCATGGCAGTGTGAGATGTTTAGGACTCGGCCTGCAGCTGGAGAGAAACTGCTTCAAGGCCTACCACATCAAATAAAAACGTCTGAAAGTTTACAAAAATCAATGATCTTAAATACTGCTAGAAAAGATACCATTCAAACTTTTTTAAGAATAGATTAATTACAGTTCAAAGTTTAAATTGTCCATTCCAAATTGTTTGCCCAAGTCATTTAGAAGTTCCTGTTCAGTAATAAATGTAAAAAATTCAAATCCGTTTTTTGCTTTTTTCACGTTTAAGCTGATTTTTTAAAGGCTTTAATAGAAATACATTCTAAATACAAACCATACACTGAAAGCTGAGGTTGTTCTGAAAAAAGGAGAAGAGTTACACACACTTTGCACTTTTTATCACAATTTTACAGCCATAAAATAAAAAAAATACCAGGTGGCCGTTATAATTATGGTCATAAGAGGGTTATTAAGACGGCGATGCACAAACAGGAAGTGATTGGTAGTCGTTCCACTCCAATCCAGTTGGTGGCAGTAATGCACCAAATTGTTGTTTGCCAAGTGCCATAAGACCACAAATAAGAAGAAGAAGAGAGATGGGAGCATTCATAACAAACGCAAAGCGATAGTCAAAACATTAAACATGAAATGGAGTTATCCTAGTGGCTCCAATAAGAGAAAGAAGCAGCGTGCTTCATAAACGCTTTTATTTTCACTTCTGAAAGTGACGTCGTTTTTCGATGTAAACATCAAAAGGAAGCAGAAAGGAAAGACAATGGAAAATGTTTAAAGGGAGGAAAACATGGACCAAAATGGAAAATAGGAAAAAATAATAATGAAGGCAAAAGCACAGGAGCACTGACAGGAAAAAGAAGGCAGAGCAAATATTGAAAGTGCTCAAAAGGAGGGAAATACAGGAAAAAAAGAGGAGGACTAATAAAAAGGGAAAATAACTCGTGTCAGAAGAGGGGAGAGTTTCGCAAATCCAGTTAAAGGTAAGATTGTCGAAAATTTAGTGTAAGGGGCCCCATGTCTGTGTTCGCCTTGGGCCCTCAAATTGCTAAATCCGCCACTGCTAGTGCTCCTGTCGCAGCCAACTGTGATGACTGCAGAAACGAGTAACAGAGCTCTAAATGATTACCTACTTTAAAACCAATAAACCCCATAACCTGCCTGAAACCCCTACCTTTGGGCAGAAGATCTGAGTCTAAGAGATCTTGAAACCTGTCAGGAATAAGAAAGAATTAAAGTTCAAAGGACCCGGCCTACCAGCTCCACATGGGCCAGGCCCAGAGATCTAAGCCCTACCCAGTTTCCCTTTGGGATGATTCTGCTATGTTCTCCAAAACCTTGGATGTTCTAGAACTGTTCTCCAGAACTGAAGTCCTGATGTGAATAAACAAAGTAAAGATATATCCACGTTTCCCTGTCTTCACCTGTCTCTCCCGCTTCCCATCCATCTACAAAGTCCCACAATCATCATCACACACTGGTCAAATCTCTCCACATCTGACCCATCCCCCAGGGGAGCGGAGAGCTGCAGACACAGCCACACTCTGCTGGTTTTAACCCCCGATAGGACCACTTGATGCTGAGTGTCGAGTGGGAAGGCATCAGGTCCCATTTTTAAAGTCCTTGGTATGATCCGACTGTGGATTTTGAACCCACGATCTCCCAGTCTCAGGGCAGACACTCGTACCACTAGGCCACTGAGCTGGTTAGGTCTTTCCTCGTCCTCACCTGCCTCCCTCTTCTCAGGATGCATGGATGGAATGGTGGGCATGGCAGCTCGGGTGGCTCTAGTCCAGGTTCCTTGGCTCACCTTGGAGGAGGTGCCTAGTCCTGATCTGGCCAATCACATAGCAGTTCTGGAGGCCATGCTGAGTGAGATGCAGCTGAGGGTGAGGCAGAACCTCCAGTGAGAAGCTTCAGCACACGAGAACAGCTGTTTTTTTAAAGTGAGCCCTTTGATGCAGGTTCCTGTTGCGTTCTGGTCGGTGGAAGCAACCCAGCCAGCGTGGGCTGAAGCTCTTGGAGAGCCTGATGATCCAGACACCAACCTGGAGAACCTGATGCAGGCCGAGGTCACCTTCAACAGCACCAATGTGTCTGCCTGCTGCGGACTCAGCTGCGTTGGCTAGACTCTTCAGACTGGAGGTGTTTTGAAGAGCGACACATTTGAGGATTCAGGATCAGGATCAGAGCCAAGGAAGATGAAAGTCTTTTTAGCCGATTGGTTCAAATAAAATAATCAGAGTAACTTTATTCCTTTCTTATGGAGCGAGACTCCAGCCAACTGCATCATTAACACAACGAAAAAATCTCTGTATTTTATAATTATTCAAATCAATTAGATCATAACAAATGCAAGTTAAAGCGCACGAGCTTCCTGCTGTTACTCAGCTGTTCTCAAGAGGGCAGGTGACCTGTTGTAGCTCTACTGCTGCATTAACTGACCTCTGGCCCCAAATATTCCTCACTTCGCCTGCATCCGGTTAGAGATGCTAAACATCCATCTGTGGCTTGTTTTGTAAAATGTTTTAACGAGGTTTAGTTCAACATCTCTAAAGGGAAACTAAGCAGATGCAATGTTTGTAAGCGGCTACTTTTAATAAATTATCAATAGAATATAAAGGTATTCAATAAAATGTAATTTTCCATAAAATATGGATTATCAATTTTATTGAGCCTTTGATATTCAATTGATGATGAAACTAGGTACGTTGGGTACGCCAGGGAAACAGCACTTATAATTTGACACGGAGACAGAAATATAGTTTATAAAAATCTATATTACTATATTTCTGCTACTAGAATGAAATGACAAATGATTATGTATGCCGAGTTAAGGTGATATCAACTGAATGAGAAAGGATGAAATACGAGCTTAGATGCTATGTTAATAAACCTAATTAAGTCTTAAAAGATTGTGATGTCTGGGTTGTAAAAGTAGTTTAGCTGAATGCAAGTCACTCCAAATCAACATTTTTTTTGCTGTTAAACTATAAATGAGTGTCTGATCGTGCTGTAGACAAATGTAGTCAATAAATTTGGCACTTTAGTGCATCTTAGTTAAAATTTAAATTTTCTGCCTAAAACGGTCAACGATGCACGTCATCAGGCAAAAACTCTGCACTGCGTTTGAATTTAAATCTGCCATTGCTATTGGCTAAGAGGTACCCTGATGTTAGATGGGACATTATGTCACAATGTCGTGAGTGTATTTGTTAGCGGCTCCACCCTGTTTGCTAGGCAACAGCATTTGTTGCATTTTTCAAACAGGAAGTGGGAGTTGAGAAAGAATCGGGTCGGGGGTGACTTGCTCTTTAACAAATTATTAAAACCATCCTGTCGCCAGGTGAGAGACCACGATTACCCTTGTGATGGAAGTTCTCGGTAGGTCCAGCTGGCTAGGGAGTAGTCAGCTTGCTGTTGGGAGGAGTTGACTTCTGGAAGGTCAAAGGTCGCAGCTTCCTTTGAATTTGCACAACTGGCCAGTGAGATACATCCAGGTCTGCTGGCGAGATGTTGCACGTCTGAGAGGTTTCTCTGATGGGAGTTTTGCAAAGAAGGATGGTTCCTTATGCTACTGACCCAGTTGGCCTAACAGGACAGCGTGCTAGAACTGAAGAATCCAGGAAGTAAATTGTCTTTTATAAAATGGGTTCTTTACAAAGTTAGACAAACCAGTATGTAGAACGTCTTCAGACACCACTTCGTTCCTGCAACACTTAGAGGCTCATTACACTTAACATGAAGTAAATCTGTTATACAGTCATTTATCAATATAGTAATATTATGTGAATATACTGATAATAACTCATTAAATTCAACAAGTAGAATCATGTGGTGTTTTTAAGATCTGAAATAAAACATTTCCAGAATAAACATTTATGTTGATTCATTCATTACTGTGATGCTGTCAGGATTATTGACTGTAAAGACAGGAAATTATTTTATGAAAGAGTGTTGAATTAAGAACTTTATTGACACAACAATGTAAACAAACATAAAAATATTATACAAACAAAACAGACAGAAGAAGAAAAGCTGGGACTGCTTCACTTCTGGAAGGTAGCGTGCAGGTGAGCTTTGAAGGCTAGAGAGAGAAAAAAACAGTCAGAACTACAGCTCCCAAAATCGTTTGCTGCATGTACAGAGCTCACAAACTGGTCTGAGGTCAGTTCTACATCTGTATCATCTGCAGGTCATTTAGTTCACTCCAGGAGAAAACAGGCTCAGCTCAGTTTAAAAGGACAGCTGTCTGATTGGCTGCAGAGGAGGTTGAACCCAGCAGATGTTTAAAATGAAAAGGAATAAAGTCACAAAAGGAGTCCAAAAAGGTTTCAAATGAAGGCAACTGGACTTCTCTGGCTTCTTGAAGACGTTTTGCTTCTCCTTTGAGGAGCTTTGTCAATTCTGACTGGAATCTGTTATTTAACGAGCCGAAACTACTCTGAGTACCCCTCCTCTCTACCCACTGAGTCGTTGGCCTCTATAGACAATAGGCAGCTACAGCTTATAAGCTTGACTCTTCCATTTCCAGTTAGAACTGACAAAGCTCCTCGGATGAGAAGCGAAACGTCTTCAAACCAAAGAAGTCCAGTCACTTTCATTTGAACCCTTTTGGGTTACCATGACCTGGATGACAGAACCTTCACCAGCAAAGTCACAAAAGAGAACTGCTCAAAAGTACCCAAACACCGATTGTATTAGTAGCTGGCCGTTCTCTGGGTTCTGCTGGCTGCCTGAAAGGTTGTGGGTGTACTTACCACCTTGGTTGCTCCACAGTTCTGCTGCGGTCGTGTTCAGAGGACTCTCGTTGTTTGGTTCTGGGGAATACAGAAGGAATTGTGTGCTGCTCTCTGAGCTGTGCAAAGATGGCTCTGATGGATCCATCAGGTTTTAGCAGACAGCAAACTGGTGGTTCCGGTTACCTCCCAGTAGACTCTGGATGGACAGCAGGATAGAACGAACATCGTACAGTGCCGACCACTTGTCCTTCAGGATGTCGAGACAGATGAAGCCCTGATCGTCCACATTGGGATGGAAACACGGAGTGACGAACTTTACCCGAGGAGCATGGTACGGATACCCAGCTGGAAACTCCAGAGACAGACGGTACCGGAGGCCTTCGTACACCTGGGCACACAGGTAAGAGTGTCGGGTGAATCAGAGCAGCAAGTGGAGGGGTCAAGTTTTAGATCGTGCTGTATTTATGTGGTCATACTGTTCCTTGGGCTCCATCGATGGTTCCGACCCATTTGAAGAGATTATCCGATTCTGGAAAAGCAGAGATGCCCTTATCACCCGACATCTACAGGAGGGAGGAACGCACAGGTCACATGACCTCAGAAATATCAGGTTTTGTTGATTTTACTAATGTCAGGTATGTTGGTATTGATGCTCCTGTGTGAATGATCAGACCAGAGAAATCAATCACAGAAACAAACAAATCATTGATAAGTGTCTGGATGAGAACGGAGCAGCTGACCTGCAGATGACTAACGCCACCTGTGCACTTCAAGCTAAACACTCATCCTAACCAGCACCAACTCTGCATTAGTGTTGAGGCAGGAGATCGTGTGACTATGGGTGCATCAATCAATGAGTAAACACCACCACCCAATGAGGATGAACTTGTGCAGGTCATCAGGTTCGTTAACATTCTGACTAACAACTGTCCTGTGACCCGTTAGGATCGTCCATCTTTCATTTTGTTATTGAAACCAAAATAAAACTATAGATGTGAACTTACCATGAGAGTCATCAGCTCCTGCTGCAACCTACACACACACACACACACATACACGAATTAAACAAGTGCAACACAGGTCCAGAAATAAGCTGCAGTAATAAGATCAATAACAGAACAATTTGTTTCACAAATAAAAAAATTCAAGCACCTGATCAGTTAACAACTCAAACTTTCCTGTTTCATAAAATTCATTTTTGTGATGAATAAAACCAGGAGAGATCAGATTTCTTCAGTTTTAGGATCACTTCATTAGCTAAAATATCCAGAATTGAGTTTCAATTTTATTTCCAAATCTGAAGGATCACGCTTTTTCGATTAATGATGCTCTTGTTCCAGATGTTCCCAGCAGAACACTTGGCTCTCAGGCTGCTTTTTACTTGTGGCTTCAACTTTCCAGCGGTCCTAAAAGTAGTAAGGAGGCAGAACTTCCAGTTCTCAGGCTCCTCTGGTGGAACCAGCTTCATGTTTCCACCACATCAAGCAGAAGCACCTTTGCGTAGACTCTAGGTTAGTTTAGATTATCCTGGCACATCTCTTTAGTTATGCAGCTGCAGGCTCACATTGCTGGAGAACTCACTGGGTTATTGATATTTTATTGTCCAAAGAAGAACCAAGTCCAGCAGAAACGTAGACCGACAGATGGCGTTTCATGTGTGTTATATATCTCCAACTAAAGTTTAGAGCAAAACATTCACTCCCACTCAGAATTAACTGCTTCTACGGAGCCGCTGGTTCTGAACAACATTACACACACACACACACACACACACACACACACACACACACACACACACACACACACACACACACACACACACACACACACACACACACACACACACACACACACACACACACACACACACACACACACACACACACACCATCACGTCTCACTCCACCTTAGTTCCATCAGTACACAGAGTGTTTAAGTTATTCTTGTTTAAATTGTGTAGAAGTACATTTCTTTAACTATTTTAAACCTGACTCTCTCTCTTTCCTTGGAGTTAGTACAAAGTGTTGCTTAATCCCTGCAATAAAAAGTTCCGATCTTCTGAACAAAGATCCATCAGATTGATATTTCATATTTCTATGCAATCTCACATTTTATGGTTCAGAAGTAAGATGTAAACGACCCATTCTTTACACCTGTAAGGTTCCGGTTCTGTAACGGCCCGGAACTCACCGTTTGGTCACCGAGCCTCTGGTCGCGTTGCCACTGCTTTCGCTGCCTTTCAGAGCGGCCGTGGAGGAAGCTGCAGCCGCGGCGGGGTCCATATTCTGGGAGGCCATGAATGCTGCTAGTCCGACTCCTGCCGAGGACACAGATATAACATCAGACGGACTGAGCAGGGGAGGCAGGCCGAACCGAGCCGATCAAATCCAACCGAGCGGGCCGTAGCTTCTGTAGCTAACAGCAGCTACATGCTAACTCCCGGAGATTTCAGAGAAAACGCTGAGCCGTGCCTCGTGGTACCGGTCAGAACCACTGGCTCTTTGTCTTCATGCTAACACATGATTACATTTATAGCCATACTATAGCTGATTTAAACACTCACCGGTGTTCAGTTCGTGGTGGAAGGCTGGATTCTCTAGATTCAAACCGATTCTTCTGCCGCCCCCAGTTTAAAACGACGTTTCCTCACAAACAGCCAATCAGTGTCTGACTTTCAAAAAATGAACTACCCTCATCGAACCAATGAGAAGATGGTGATTAAAAAGCTACATTGTAATTGGCCAGTAGAATCAGCCAGAACCCGCCCCCACCATCTAGGCGTTCACAGCGGAAGTCATTGGTTCAATTTGTTATTTTAAACGCGTTTTTTAAATAAATGAACTTAAAATCTAAGTTATTAAACACATTTTTGTTTACCCCTCCTCCTACAGGGATGTATAAAATCTCCTAGAAGAGTCAAGAGCCTAAATCAAGTTAAATGATGGATCACAAAAATTGGAGCTTGGGAGGATGAGTACACCTGCAGAGGGTCAGAGGGGAATATATATATATAAATGAAGTGGCTGATATCAAGAAATCCTACCAAGAACTAGAAAGAGCTGGTCTGAAGAATAGCACAGAGGCACTCATCATGGCTGCACAGGAACAGGCCCTGAACATCTACCACACCAGACAAGACCCAAGGTGTAGAACCCTGAGACAATCCACCACATAACTGCAGGGTGTAAGATGCTGGGAAGGAAAGCATACAAGGAACGCCACAACCAAGCTGCTGGCATCGTGTACAGGAACGTCTGTGCAGAGCATGGACTGGAAGCCCCAAGGTCAAAGTGGGTAACACCCCCTAAGGTGGTTGAGAACAAGAGCCAAGCTCTTGTGGGACTTCCAGATCCAAACTGATAAAATGGTGATGGAGAACCATCCGGACATTGTGTTGGAGGACAAACAACAGAGGACAGCTGTTGTGGTTGATGTAGCGATACCAAGTGATGTAACCTCAGGAAAAAGGAGCATGAGAAACTACCTGGGCCTCAAAGAAGAACTTGAGAAAGCCTGGAGAATGAAGACATCGGTGGTGCTCATGGGCATCAGGGCAGTAACCCCCAGACTGGAGGAATGGCTAAAGCAGATCCCAGGAAAACCATCTCAGTCCAGAAAAGTGCAGCTCTAGGAACAGCTAAGATACTGCAGAACCCTCAAGCTCCCAGGCCTCTGGTAGAGGACCCAAGCTTGGATGAGACCACCCGCGGAGGGTGAGATGGGAATTGTGTGTGTGTGTGTAAGCCCATGTTTATTTTTTCAAAGCAACAATAATACCACAAACCATAAATACAAAGTGAACAAGAAAATGAAAGTTTTTTGTTGTTGCAACCAAATCCCATTAATTAGGAAAAACAGGTTTTTAAACTAGAATACAAGAACAAAATCACAAAGGTAAAAAATAAAATAATTTTTCTCTATTTAATTCAAGGATTAAAACTTAACATTTCAAGTATTTTTGTGAATTTTCTTTGAAAGGTTAAAAATGATGTCATGACAATATTTTTCTTTTTAAAGCATTTTATCACCATATTCTCTCACAATGCCCCTCAGACCTATCTGGAACGTTTTAGGACTTTGTAGCACCTTCACCGTATTATTTAGAATTAAACTGCATCATTTCACAGATCCCATAATTATTTGAGTCACTGGCGCACGGCCCCATCTGAATCTGAACAAAAACACAAACAGAAGTTTTCAATTAAAGTTTATTGTTTAGTGCAAATAATAAAAAAAGTTTCCAAACTCGTCACATTTTCATTTTCACAAAGTTCAGTCAGCTTAACGACTCAAACCACTCACCTGTCTGGGTCAGCTGGTGGACGGAGCTTCACTCAACACATCTGCATTCCATCTGGTCAGCTGATTTTCTGTCTCTGGATCAGTGAACCAATCACAGTCCACAACCTACAGCAGCCAGTCCTCAGAGACCGATGAGCGTAGGTCTCCATCATCTGTTACCGTGATGACAGAGCTCGGTATCGGTCACATCCAAAAGAGGAATGCAGCTCCATTTGTCCAAAACCAGTGACCTCTCACGGACCACTGAGCAGGACCTAGGTCCGAGTTCAGCCTATAGAGTTCTGATATGGTTCTGATCCACTTTGCTCCAACTGCAGCTGGATGACCCGTTTGAGTTCTGCTGCTCTCATCTGGTCTACAGTGCATAGAAACCAAAGGAATTCAACAAACAAAACAAAAAAACACATGACTCAGAAATGCAGCAGCAGAACATCACCTGACTCCTGATCTTTGACCCCTGACCTGCTCCAGCTGCTTCATCTCTGAGCTCAGCCTTGATTTATTTTCAGGAGATAAGATTTTGTTTAATCAACAGTTCAGCAGCTTGTTTCATCCAGAAACCTCCAGCGAAGTTGTCTTTTCATCCCTTTGTTTCCCATCTCTTCGGTGAAATGTTTGTTTTTTAGTCTCTGATCCGAGATCGGCTTCCGGGTCGATGGGACTTGCGTTAGTCAGACAAAGTTTCCACTCAGCTGATTTCTGCTTCCTTGTGATACACAGAACAACTCACCACAGCTTCAGCTTTAAATCAGATAAAGATGAAGCCTCTGAGCTCCTCACCTGTCCTTTCAGGTCACAGGTGAGACTCCAGTTGAAATTAGTCTGCTAGTTCAGTTTTTACCTAATGTCCAGGAAAATCATCTCAGATTTGCCTCTTCTATCCAACAGTGATGGGAAACTCCCTTTAAAAACGATTTTAATCCTGCAAACTACAAACAATCACCTGAAGAATTCTCACCTGGTGCTAACCCCACTCATACACAATCTAAGGGAGGTTAAGCCTTCACAGCTTTTACTTTGAAAGGACTTTCCTTTGTTTCCACTGTGTCAGTGGGCCGAGTCTGAGCCAGCCCCACCCAGCTGGTGCCAGTCCACCCAGTGCTGACCTGGGACCAGCCTGTTCAGATGGATGAAGGTCTGCCCCAGCAGCGTGTTCTCCCAGAAGGCGCCGTCGCTCAGAACCCTGAGGTGGATCAAGCGCTGGTCCAGATCCCCCCGAGGGATGCGATCATACACCAGCTGTAGGAAACAGGGAGAGACATCGTCATTGTTACTTTACATTGTTACAGCAATAAAATTCTTCTCAGTGTAAAACCCAGTTCAGTCCCGGAATGTTCGGTTCTGTCTCTAAAGAATCCTGAGACTAAGGTCCAGATGTTTGGACCAGCTGATGTGACAGCTTGGCGACGGCAAATAGACTTAAAAGCTGCTTGACACTGGTGTGTTCGTGGATCTGACTGGAAACAAATTCAGAGTACAGTTTCAGATTTGCAGATTACGGATTAAAGCGATCGGAAGGAATTTAGGCCATGTTCTGTTTTTGCAGCATCACTGATTGCTGCATTTGACAACAGGTTGGTAATGTTGCATCAAAACGTTTGTAGTATTTATTACACGTTTTTAACAGTAATTACTATAAAAGGTGGATGATAATGTTTTTGCCAAAACACTTCCTAAACCACTGAATGAGTTGTAATGAAATTTGCCATTGGATGAATGCCAACTTTTAAAGATGGCCGGTGCAGCTAATCAACATCAACACTAACTGGTTAATATAAAAGTTTGGCTGCAGGAAGCTTCCGCACCATCTCGTTGTAGGTAGGGTTACAGGTGCGGCGTGCAGCTTTCGTCTTCTTCTTGCTCATCTTCATGGGGTCTGGCAGAAGGTAGAGCTTCACATAAGGGTCAGGGTCGGTGCCATCCTGCAGGGGCTGCTGCAAACCCAAAACCAAGTCAGAATCAACTGCAGTCAATGACCCTTAAAACAACAGTATGCACACACTCAGACTGACCAGGCCTCGTATGTGCATCACCATGATAAAGAGTTTGTCATTCTTGTAGGAGATAGATAGTTTGATTTCACCAAGCTCCTTTCCTGAAGCTGGAGCCCAGGAGACCTCTGTAACACACACACACACACACAGTCAAAATCACAGCAGGAAACGTCACTTCTGAGGAATTCTAACAGGGAAATCTAAGAAAAAAGGACACCTGAATCTGAACTTTTATTTTGAAGAGTTCTTCCTGTTTGTTGCACACTGGAAATCCTGAAAAAGCTACTGTACCGACTTTTATGTTGACTGGTCCATGAGCATCAGTCATGACTCAGCATAAGAACAGTGAAATAGTAATGAACTCATGCCCCCCCCCCCCCCCACCCCCACCCCACACACACGCACACACACACACACACCTGTACTGATCAGCTGACTAAAGTCTAACCACTGATTTGATTTTTTTAGCTGATATGAAAACCAACATGAAAAAAATGTCTGACGCAGTTCAGTTTATCCTCTTGAACCAGTCCAGGGGCAGCAGAAGCTCAAGAGGTAGAGCGGGTTGTCCAGTTTTCGGAAGGTTGCAGGTTCGATCCCAGCTCCGGACAGATAATTCTGCTGTTGTGTCCTTGGGCAAGATACTTAACCCACGTTGCCTGCTGGTGGTGGTCGGAGGGACCGCTGATGCCTGTGCTCGGCAGCCTCGCCTCTGTCAGTGCGCCCAAGGGCAGCTGTGGCTACATCGTAGCTCATCACCATCAGTGTGTGCATGGGTGAATGATTCACTGAACTGTAAAGTGCTTTGAAGTCCTCTGAATCTGAAAGTCGTTAAGCAAGTGCACTTCTTTTTTCATTCATCAGTTTAACCTCCTGATCCGTTCCAGTCTAACCCAGTTTAGTGGCTGGAGCTGGCCTACCTGCTGGTTTGGCGCTGGCTCCTCCTGTCTCATCTCTGGGCAGCGGGTGGAAGAAGGTGTAGACCAGGTCACACTGAAACACAGAGATGACTTTAACCAGCAGAAAACATTAGATGCTCGCGGAGAGGAAACGGATCAGAACATCGGTTCTTCTGTCTTAATGGTTCTTCACAAACACACACACTCATCTAAAGGATTATCATGAACACCACACTAATACGATGTTTGACCCCCTTTGGCCTTCAGAGCTGTCTTAATTCTACACTGCATTGATTCAACAAGGTGCTGAAAGCGTTCTTTAGAAATGTTGGCCCATATTGACAGGACAGCATCTTGCAGCTGATGGAGATGTGTGGGATGCACATCCAGGGCACGAAGCTCCCGCTCCACCACATCCCAAAGATGCTCTATCGGGTTGAGATCTGGTGACTGTGGAGCTTTATGACATGGTGCCTTATCCTGCTGGAAGTAGCCATCAGAGGATGGGTACATGGTGGTCATGAAGGGATGGACATGGTCAGAAGCAATGCTCAGGTAACCCGTGGCATTTAAACCATGCCCAATTGGCACTAAGGGGCCTAAAGTGTGCCAAGAAAACCTCCCCCACACCATTACACCACCACCAGCCTGCACAGTGGTAACAAGGCATGATGGATCCATGTTCTCATTTTGTTTACGCCAAATTCTGACCCTACCATTTGAATGTCTCAACAGAAACCAGCTAATAGTGATCAGAAATGTCACTAATGTGTTGGCCAGGCATTTTTGGGGGAAAAGTTGTTAAAAGGGTCTGAAATTAGGTTAGAAATGGCTACAAAGTCGCCGAGTTGTGAACACTTGATTTGCAACTCGGTAGATCGTGAGGGTGGAGTAAATAATCGGCTCTGCACACAGCTAGGGTCGGAGGTCAGGGACACACCACCACAGCTCACCTGGGTGTGCTTTATCTGGACTCACCTGAGCCACCTCGGGCGCCGCATGGATTAGGTGCCACACGTAGCCGTTTAGCTCATCCTTCCTCCTGTCAGCTGTCGCCTCGCCTCGGGAACGGCCAATCACCAAACGGCTGGGGAAACTGTGGGCGGGGCAAAGGTAACTCGGCAAATCCCATCTAACATCTGGAATATCTCCAACTTTTCCAAGACTTTCTGTGATTTTCTTTTTATTCCTCAGAATGTTGAATTAGTTTTTGGTGTTTGTTGTGTGAGACGAGACGCAGCATCTCAGTGTGTGTGTGTGTTGTTTTTGTGTGTCTTGTATAGTTGTGTGTACCTGGGCAGCTTGGACGAGGGGAAGACGAGTCCCAGTTTGCTGTGAAGTTCCTGAAACTCCTCAAACGTTCTCTGAACCAGCTGAACTTCCAGCTGACCTTCACGCTCCACCTTCACCACAAAGGCCTGACACCCACAAAAGCACACACAACCATAAGGCTTTGCAGCAGCTACCTTTGACCTTGTCGAGTGGTTTCCTTTTTGTCCGAAGGACAATGGTCTCCTGAGCTGTTGAGATGTTTTTTTTCTGAATGTGAATTACTGAACAACAAACTTTTGATAATTGCTTAGTCTGACTTTTAGGCGTTTCTGAGTACTTCCTGTTATCTGTGGACTCAGGAATCTGTTGGTCTTTGATTTCAGAGCTGATCTGGTACCTTAATACTGAAATCATAAGTTAAATCACATTTTTCATCAACAACAATAATCATGGGAGGAGTAAGCCTAACCCTTTCTACAGCTTTGCACAAGGTCAACTTGCAGCCTGTAAAATAGTTCATTACTATGTGAAAAATTGACGTTTTGAAACTTTTCTATCCTAACAAAAACAAAACAGACAGTTTTTATTGGATGTCCAGAATGTTTTGCTCTCACTGAAGCTTTAAAATCAGGTCATCGTCATGGTAATAACTCGCCACTTACGTAACCCTTGCTGGTGCTGGCGGTGCGGATGTGTCTGCAGATAAAAAGGTTCTTGATGAGGCCGTCGCTCCTCGCCGTGTAGACTCTAGGGGCGAACGACAGAGTGAGCCGATCCTCCGACGAGGCGAACTTCATCTGAGCCAGATTGTGGAAGAAGAAGTTCAGTTTGGTGGCGACGCTGCAGAGACTGGACTCGATCAACCTGTCAGAAGATCCAGTCGGTTAAAGGAGGAGCTCTTCAAACCGTGACTTACTAACCTGTTGGTTGGAAACTGGGTTTTCATTTGATCGATCTTGTTAAAAATAATCTGGATCTTTGTTTTGTTTACTGTCTTTCTACTGTGAAGAGTGAAGAAAGACCCTGAATGATCCAGAGACTAAAAAACAGGACAAACGGCAAAGGCAACAAAAGTCAGTGTTGAGCAAACCTGTCGGCACCGTCAGTTACGCTGCCGCCATAAACACTCCTCTATGATCTGGACAGAACGATTTTATGACAAACACCCACAAGAGGGAGCCCCTGTGGTGGAGGGTGGGGGTGTACCTGGTAAAGTACATCGTAGCGTCAGCCTCCGACTCATTGGGTCTCAGGGCATCACACACGTACTTTAGGTCATCCAGGTCGGAGAGTTCAGGAATTCCACACGACAACATCTGGACACAAACAAAAACCAGGTCACACAAACAAAAACCAGGTCATACAAACAAAAACCAGGTCACACAAACAAAAACCAGGTCACACAAACAAAAACCAGGTCACACAAACAGATCGGGAAGAGCCAGAAATGACGGAACCCCCAAGTGTGACTGATGGATCAGCTTTGAACTGGACTGCAAAGAGCACAGATACGATTCTGTACAAGACATATAAAAGTGCTGTGTGTGTGTGTGTGTGTGTGTGTGTGTGTGTGTGTGTGTGTGTGTGTGTGTGTGTGTGTGTGTGTAACGCACCAGGCCCAGCAGGTTGAGGAACAGGTGTGTGTGTTTGCGGATCAGGTTGTATGCTTCACAGCACAGATCAACAAAGTCGTGGAAGCGGCTGGACGGTTTGTCTCCCCCGTTGATGACGTACGCCATGTCAGAGGTGAAGACGAAGGGGGCGCGGTCTCTGTGGAGGACACAGCGTTAAAGAAATGAGGATGCTGTTAACAACAGGAATCTGTAAAACAGTCCGTAGTTTTTACCGTTTGATGTTTCCAAACATCTGTGCATGTCCTAGGAACTTCCCAAAGTCAATGTGGAACATGTGACCACTGGTCTTCAGCATGATGTTGTCGTTGTGGCGGTCACAGATTCCCAGGATGTATGTGGCCACGCAGCAGCCGGCGCAGGAGTAGATGAAGTTCTCCACTGCCTGCAGGTGTTGGCTCAGATATCATCTTCCTGTTATAGCTGGAAACTTTCACAGTAAAAGGCATCCAGGTGCTTTTATTGTGAAAGAGTGACAGCAGTCTGAGATTTACCTCTGTGTGTGTGTGTGTGTGTGTGTGTGTGTGTGTGTGTGTGTGTGTGTGTGTGTGTGTGTGTGTGTGTGTGTGTGTGTGTGTGTTACCTTGTCATACTGCTCATCAGTAGGGTTGTGCTTCTGCAGCCAGTCAGCCAATGTTCGGTCTTTGAACGATCCTGTGACTCCATGTTCCACCTGGATTTTCCTCAGAGTGTCAGCATGAGGAATCATCTCCACCATACCTGAGAAAAGTTGAGAAAACAACCTCATCTGAAAACAGCCAACATATACACACACCATCCACCTGATCCTACAGGTGTCCACCGCCCATCCTCACCTCGCCCTCTGCCAGTGGAGAAACATTTGAAGATGACCATCCTCATGTCCAGACCCTCCTGGATCCAGATTTTGTTCATGATGCGAATCATCTGCAGGGTCAACATGTCCTGCCGCAGGTCGTCTCCTGACTGGACAGAGTTGTTAGTGGGGACAAATCAGACATAGAAAAAATCTGTTAATTATCATTTATCGAGCTATCGGTGCAAGTCTGCTCAGTTAGGACAGGTGTTACCTTGAAGATGACGTTGATGTTCTCTCCCAGAGGGTCCAGATTCTGGAAGGAGAGCTTCAGGGGGACGGCGTTGGAGTTGAAGAAGGAACAGGACTGTGAAGACGTTTCGTCAGAAGGAAAGCAGAGTTTCAGGTTTCTGACCAATTAATTAGAAGTCGTTAAATTTTGTTGAAACAATCTGATCCAGAATAAATGAAATGGAGAAGGTCCACAATCGCTTCCTGGTCCTAGAACTGCATTCTGGTCTTGTGAGGAGCAAACAGGTTCCTGGGGGCGACGACCCAGACAGGTGTATGTTTTACCTGGATGTTGATTCCTGTTACGAGCAGCGCCGGGTTCAGAGGAAGTCTGCAGCAGCTGTTGATTGAGAAGTACTGCTTCATTTCCTCTAAACTCTCCCTGAGGGCACCCTGCGCGCGCGCGCGCGCACGCACACACGCACACACACACACACACACACACACACACACACACACACACACACACACACATTAGGTCACATGACGCTGGGTTTCTTCACTTGAACAGCAAGAAGAATCACTGAGACTGTACATTTTTAGAATTCGATATAAATGAGTTTCTGACTCAGAACCTGATCAACAGCATCAGAGTTTGTGTTTATTGTTTTCATAAAAAGTTCTTATGAGCAACATTAAAATTTCTTTAACTGGTTGTTTGATTGAGGACTCGTAATCATGTCAGCCCCCTGCTCACCTGCCGGCTGGACGGCGAGGCATCGCGAACCTTCTGGGCCACCTTGGTGAGGATGGAGACGAGCCAGCACTGCCGGTCGAACTCGTCCCTCAGAGCCCGACCCACGCAGCAGAGCAGAGCGGCCAGGAGGTGCTGGTACCGAGCACTGAACTGACTGTCCTGCAGGTTGTCCTTCAGCAACCTGGCCAACACACACACAGTTGAACTGTGATGTCAGATCATATCATATCATGAGTGTGTGTGTGTGTCTAACAGCAGCTCACCAGAAGAGGTAGTGAGCTATACGAATGTCCCCGATGGCTCTCCGTAGAAGGAAGCGAACCAGAGAACTGTCCAGGTAACACTCGTACTTCAGCGCCTGAAACACACAAAGTGTTTTTACCAGACTGATGGAGCAGAACCAACAGGACCCACGTAGGTTCTGCTTCCAGACTACAGCTGATGTGTCTGTGATTCTGGTTTACTTTGTGCTGCAGACGGAGCTCCAGCTGAGCATACGGACAGGTGAGTGACGACCTTACCTGCACCAGCTGTGGTAGGTAGTCCAACAGTTCAGTGTCTGAGATGGAGTCCATCCATTGTACTGCTGTCCTCCTCAGCTCCTGGTCTGGGAACCTGAGACACATAGGATGTTAGGTCAGAGTAAGGCGAACTCACCTGTTTGCTGCAGGTATGAGTTTACCGATCTGAATCATCTTATGGTTCGCTCTAAACTTTGACATCCATAACGTGTTTTTAACTTTTTGAGTTTAGTTTTTTGTAAAATAAAATGTAAAAAGGAAGCATTAATGTTTCCGAGAGTAGACACATAAGTGTTTCCTCCCCAGGTGAGAACATACGAGGCATGCAGAAGTCCAAGAGCATCCAGGTGCACCAGACATGCCCACTGACGGAGCAGAGCATAGATCTCTGGAAGACACGCCCACTGCCAGCAGGGGGCACTGGCCAAAACCAGAGGCAGCGCCACACTTTCTGTCTGATAATACGCCCTCTTCTCCCACAGGAGCCGCTTGTCGTCTGCTGTCAGCCTGCACACAACAGGGGAGTAGCATGGTAGCACATGGGAGGAGTGTGTGTGTGTGTGTGTGTGTGTGTGTGTGTGTGTGTGTGTGTGTGTGTGTGTGTGTGTGTGTGTGTGTGTGTGTGTGTGTGTGTGTGTGTCTGACCAGAAGAAGGCTTTCTGCTTCAGGACATTCTGCAGCTGGGTCTGACTAGTAGTGTCCAGCCGACTGAATTCATACTGAGGACAGAAGTCTGCAGGGGGGGGAGTGCTGAAGACCACCTCGAAGGATGAGGTGGGGAAGTCCACCTGAGGGACAGACGAGGGCAGAGTTATGGTAAATGGCCTGTATTTGATGTAGCACATTCTAGAGTCCTGGAACCCCCCCAAGGTGCTTTAAAACACAATCAGTCATTCATCCATTCACACACACACATTCACACCCTGGTGGTGATGAGCTACACTGCAGCCACAGCTGCCCTGGGGCACACTGACAGAGGCAAGTCTGCCGTACTCAGGCGCCACCGGCAGGTACAGTGGGTTAAGTGCCTTGCCCAAGGACACGACGACAGCGACATCTTGCAACCTTATGATTACAGGGCGGGCACTTGACTCCTGTGCCACCGTCACCCAGTTAGCTTAAAACCTCTGCGCTGACTCTTGCACAAAACGGTCAGTAAATCAATCACTAGAAAAAATTGTAGAAAATTCAGCAGAAAGGAAGATAAGGAAGAACGATCATTTTAACCTTTAATAACTGCAGACCTAAGAACCAAAGGATGGGGAGATACTAGAGGTATTTAGAGAAACAACGTAAATATATAAATAGGTGGGCTGAAGCAGAGACAGGGAAGTCTACCGGACTGGATTCTAGGAGGACGTCCATTTCCTGTACTGGCCTGGAGTCAGACAGGTGTGGCTCTCACCTGCAGGATGACGCTGTCCGGCTGGAAGAAGTTGGGAGAACTCGTGCGAGCGTTTCCGCTCCTCCTGGGTGTCGAAGGCCACAGACCCAGTAACTTCCTGCCACACGTCAGGATGCTGCAGACACAAAAACACACACGCTCCTATCAGCACACACACTTCCTGTTAATGTCAACGGGAAGTCTGACTGACTTTAAACCTTGGTGGGAATGAAACCTTCATGTGTCCATGCACTTCCCTGAACTCAGTGTGTGTGTGTGAGTGTGTGTGTGTGTGTGTTGGCGAGTTTGTCTCTCTGGATAAAAAGTTCTCATCAGGAAGTTGCTGCAGAGGAAGGAACACCGAACCCTGGTGTTCGTGTGCTGTGATTCAGGTGTCAGTCGGACCAATCGGAACCGCGAATCAGAAACGGGGGTAGGGGTTTCTTTTATAAACTCAAAGCAGGTTAAATGCAACCTTTGACCTCACCTGAGGTCTCAGCTCCAAACAGAACTCTGATTCCACCTATCAACATCAGAATTTTGCAGGTGAAGGTAAAGGTCACGTTTGAACTCCAGCTGATAACAACAATCAAAACCAAACCCTAAAGAAGAGAAAACAGCTGATCTGGTTCTGTAGAACGAGTTCCGAGTGACCGGTTGATGAACAGGAAGCCGGAGACGTTCAGGCTTCCTGTGTGTCGTCTGACTCACTGTCTGAAGTTGAAGAGCGGCATGGTGACCCAGCCCAGAGCCTCAATGCTGCGCCACTGCTTTCCCTTCTCCTCGCCTCCTCCAGGGGGGGGCAGCAGACTGGCGTGCAGCGTCACCGTCAGCTGAGTCTCCCGGGGCAGCTGGTTGATCGGGACAGGAAAACACACCCTGAGAGAGGAGGGGGGAGTGGGGGGTTAGACTAAAAACATTAATGTTCATGTGAGCGCTGACATCACAGTGACCATCCTCCAGATGATGATGAACTACATTGTAGACACCGTTGCCCACAGGCGGGTTAATGGTCTTGCCCAATGGCACAACAGCAGCACTCTAACCCTCCCATTACTGAACAAGCTGCTCTACCTCCTGAGCTACTGCTGAGTGGGTAGTGGTACAAAAACTGCAACTTCTCAAATAGATTAACAAACAAAAAAAAATGTTTCATGAGGAATACCTGGAATATGAATACATTGCAATTCTTCGTTTTAAAGATTTAGAAGAATAAAACCTGGTTTGTTGTAAAAACGCACTGATTTTAATTGGGGTCATTTTGACCCCACTAAAGTGTAGGTGTTGGTAAGTTGTGCATCCAAGGGTTAACTTCTTATTCAGGACACCAAAATGTCCACTGGAAAGATCCGCTTCTGCCAACAGGAAATAGCGCTTAGCAGTGGTGACTTCAGGCGCCAGGAGAAATGTCAGAGTATTTATTACTCCTTAGCTATGGTGCATTCAAGGACTAATGAAGAAAACGATCACTGATCTCCTAACAGGCCATCCACGTCTCTGACTGATCCATCACTGTTGTGGAGAGATGACTCAACAGCCTCGTTAACTCTGACCTCATTAAAGCCAATTCCAGGTAGGATATTATTATTTTGAACTATTTTACAATAAAACAATATTTTATATAGATTCTTCATTCGAAGTGATTCCAGCCTCTGCATTTTATGACAGATAATTTAGATGACACTGTGATGTCACAGCCCAGACAGGTGCAGCTCAGGTACAAACCTCTGGTCCCACACCACCAGGTGGAACAGGTATTTGCTGATGGCCTGTTTGCTCGTGTGCTGCGGAGCGCAGAGCTCCACCCCTCCATGAGTTAGTGAGCAGGACAGGAAGAAACCCTCATAACTGACCAATGAGAGCAAAACACAGACATGATGTCATAATATTGTCACAAGAACTTAAAAAACAAATCAGATTTCAGATCAGCTGATTAGTTGGTCCATCCACTGAAAAGAAAACAGAGAAAAGCAAAACCACCAGGACATTCTAGTTTTGGCTGCAAACTAATTCTCAGACAGACGCTGACATTCAGGCACGCCCGCTCTCTGAGGTCAGAGGTCAGGGTAGGTTCCCAACCACTCAGAACAAAAGCAGAGAGGGAGGGGTGGCTGAAAGCATCCCTCGGTTTTATCAGGAGAGCGTCTGTAGCCAGCAGGGGGCGCTGTGCAGATGTTTGAGCCTCTGGGAAACCTGATCTAACAGCATCACAGAAACAGATGTTAGCAGCTGCTCACCGACACCTCTGAGCAGGTTTACAACCATTCTTTAGCAGCAAAATTAAAAAAAAGTAAAAGAAAAAAAAAACATTACAAATAAATTCATCTGGAACACAAAAAACTTTAAAAAGTTTTAAAACTGACTAGAGTAGGTCTGGACAATATAAAAAAACATATTGATAAAAAAATTCATGCTGATTGATATCAATATTTATTGATACCTATGAAAAATGTAGAAAATCTATTTTTTGTGCAGTCCTGGCCATTCTATGTTATTCCTTTATGATAAAACGGGTTGGTTGTGTTGCCGGACTTGATTTTTATCGATTCTCTGCTAATTTAGCAAACAATCGTTGTTTGTTTTTGTTTTATCGCCATGTTGGTGAACTCCTGTAACCTTTTACAGGATGAATCTCTCCACCTCTCCTCGCCGTGACAACTTGTTTGTTTAGGTTTGGGAAGGGAGGGCTTGGTGACGGAGCCTGGGTTTGTGTTTTTGATTGGCTGGGAGTAAGTAATGACTCTAGTATGAAGCTACCTGATAGGCTATAATAAAAACAGAAAGAAAACTTTTTGTTGAAGTTTTTATCGACCCATTTTTTCTGTTGCACCACACGTCTATGGACAGATACATATCATTATTGAATTATTGTCCAGCGCTACAATTAGGCGTCTTTCAGAGTAAACATGAGGACATTCAGAAAACAGATGTCATGTATTTAGACCTCTTCTCACACAGTGCGCAGGATCAGAGGGGTGCGTTTGTCTGGTTGTACCTGGTGGCCCAGGTGATGGGGATGCGGTGGGCGGCGTACACGTTGAAGGACAGCAAGTTAGTGACGAGGCCAGCCTCCTGGATTGGCGCCATGCAGCTCCGACTCTGGAGCGTCGTGTGAAAGTTGGCATTAAACGTGCTGCAGTACAATTCCACCAGGTCCAAGATGGCTGCCGTCAGCTTCTCCACCACCGACTCTGCATGGCGACACCATCAGACAGCGGTAAATATTCGTAACTTTAAAAGCCTAAAGATCTATTTATGAGTTTGCTTTTGTCCAAACGTTAATCTGGAGAACTTTTTAGGAAGGATGAATGAATCACTAAAGTTATTTTTGTTTGTATCCTAAATGTTCCAGCTGTTTCTGATTACGCCTGATGCTGAGACCAGATGTTTGCTCTTCCTACCTCTGTTCTCTTTGACCGCCAGCACTGAAGCATCCTGGGAAATATGCAAAAAACATACATAGATATAAATACATACAAAAATTACAATAAATAAAAAACAATAAAAAAAAAAAATATATATATATATATATATACACATTTATATATATAAATATAAATCACACACACACACACACACATACTCACCCTCAGGACTTTGGGCTGCAGACGACAGGGGCATGCTGGGAGCTGGTTCAGGGCCGCCGTCACATCTGGCGTCTCCACAGCAGCTAATGAACTGCAAAGCGCCTTCACTGACTGGACAAGACGTTCCACATGCAACGAAAGCTCCACCTTCAATGACAGATGAGGATGGTGTGTATGCATGGTATTATATGTGTGGGTGTATGTGTGTGTGTGTGTGTGTGTGTGTGCGTGATACCTGTGACAGCACAAAGGACTCGGCTTCGTTGTGAAACGTATCGAGCAGCAGCGTTAGCGCCTCTCTGATTAGACAAACCAAACACGTTAAAATTCTTCAAACTTAGGAACAAACTGATGAACTTTGACATAAAACAAATAGAAACAATAAAATGGTGAGAATCCTGTAGTTGGGCCACACCCCTCACCTGGTGACAGTCTGTTTGACTGGACGCTCCTGAAGCAGGATGCAGTGGTTCATGGAGGACGGGGCGTCGTCGTCTTCTTTCTGTCAGTTAAAGCAAATCTCTGACTCAAACAATCACTTCCTGTTCCTAAGCAGCTGATCTCAGATCAGACTGGTTTGATCTGCTGCACACCTGTAGGTGTCAAGTTTTATATCTGAACCACTCTGATTTAGATTGATGAAGTCTAACCGTGAAACACGTATGTGATCTTAACCATTCGGACATCCCGCTAGGATGAGAGGAGTCGCTCTGTGATTGGTCGCATTTGTCTGAGTGTTCCGTGTGTGTGTGTGTGTGTGTGTGTGTGTGTGTTTGTGTGTGTGAGCTCGAACCATGCGGGCTAGCTTGGTGTTGATGGTAGATCTCTTGGTAAGAGACAGACGGATGTCCCAGTCAAACTTCAGACACTGTTGGACAAACTCGAGACCCGCCAAAGTCTGAGAGCTGAGAGACAAATGAACAGAGAGAGCGGGGGTGGGGTATTAAAGCGAGAGGGAGGGACAAATAGAGAGAGTCATTATTAAATGTATTAATATTAAACAGTTTCAGAGTCTCATGGAGCTGCAGAGCTCAGAGTTAGATGAACAAATCAAAACACACACACACACACACACACACACACACACACACACACACACACACACACACACACACACACACACACACACACACACACACACACACACACACACACACACACACACACACACACACACACACGCGGACCCCTACAGTGGAGCAGTGCAACGACAACACAAAGGAATGGCTGCAGGTGCTTCCTGCTGACCGGAGGATCTGATTCAGGATCAGGTCTACAAAAGAACCACAAAATCACAGGAAACGTATCCGAGAGCTCCAGATACAGAAAAGCTTTAGTCGGCAGGTTTAAAGAACAAAATATTTCTCTAATATCAGACTTTAGAAAACACAGATTAAAAACGACTGGAGTTAATTTACAGGCTTTCCAGATCAGTTTGAGTGAAAAAGGATTAAATTATTATTAAATATTCCAACATGGAGCGAGGCAGAAGGTATCGTTCCATCCGCTGGAAGGATAAAACAGGCAGGAAGAGCTCAGAGCATCAGGACAGAAAAACAAACAGGAAAGAAGAACAGAACTTGGAGGAAAACCTGGACCAATTAAACGCAGTTTCTCGAGCCAGTGAGGGGCACAGATCTGAATCTGGAGGAAACTGAACAAAGTCTCCATGAGGAGGAAGGAGACGGCTAACAGGAAACAAAGGAGCTGAAACCAAAACATTTCCACAATTTTTCAAATCTAAAATTTTTTTATTTCTCGCTTATTTTACAACAGCAGGACATTCAGCTGCTGGATGAAGTCAGACTAATCAGGATTTGAGGGGATTTTATTTCTTCGATGCTCTTTTGTTGCCAGATGTTAAGCCAACAGGTGCGAGAGATGAAACATCTGCCCTTGTGTCTGCTTCAAGGTTTCAGAAGTGAAACTGATCAGATCAAAGAAAACCAAAGCACTTCAGAGACGTTTGTGAAACCTGCAGTCAGAAAACTTGCTGAGTAATCGTGTGTGTGATGGGTTCCACTCACACGTGACAGGCGTTTTATGAAAACATGAGTTTTTTTTTTACCTCCTGAGGAAACATCACAGCTCCTCCTCCTCAGCATGTCACATAAAACTAATGTTGTGTCTATTTGAATAACAGCTGATAATGAAGATCTTCGTTTTGTGATTTTATGACTTTATTCTGGAGTGTTTGAGTAAAGTCCATCCATCCATCCATCCATCCATTTTCATCCATCCATCCATCCATCCATCCATCCATCCATCCATTTTCATCCACTTATCCGGAGTCGGGTCGCGGGGGCAGCAGCCTAAGGCAAGAGGCCCAGACTTCCCTCTCTCCAGCCACTTGGGCCAGCTTCTCTGGGGGAATCCCAAGGCGTTCCCTGGCCAGGTGAGAGACATAGTCCCTCCACCGTGTCCCGGGTCTACCTTTAGGTCTCCTCCCAGTTGGACGTGCCTGGAAAACCTCACCGGGGAGGCGTCCAGGAGGCATCCTGACCAGATGCTCGAGCCACCTCAACTGGCTCCTTTCGATGTGGAGGAGCAGTGGGTCTACTCCGAGCCCCTCCTGGATGACCGAGCTTCTCACCCTATCTCTAAGGGAGAGCCCAGCCACTCTTCGGAGAAAACTCATTTTGGCCACGTGTATCCGCGATCTCGTTCTTTCGGTCACTGCCCAAAGCTTGTGACCATAGCTGAGGGTAGGAACGTAGATCGACCAGTAAATCGAGAGCTTCGCCTTCTGGCTCAGCTCTCTCTTCACCATGACAGACCGGTACAACGCCCGCATCACTGCACATGCAGCACCAATCCGCCTATCGATCTCACACTCTAGTTTTCCCTCACTCGTGAACAAGACCCCGAGATTATTAAACTCCTCCACTTGGGGCAGGACCTCATCCCTGACCTGGAGAAGGCATTCTACCCTTTTCCGAATCAAGACCATGGTCTCAGATTTAGAGGAGCTGATTCTCATCCCAGCTGCTTCACACTCTGCTGCGAACCGCTCCAGCGAAAGCTGAAGATCACATTCTGATGAAGTCAATAGGACCACATCATCTGCACAAAGCAGATACCCGATCCTCAGCCACCAAAACGGATGCCCTCCACACCTTGGCTGCGCCTAGAAATCCTGTCCATAAAGGTTATGAACAGAATCGGTGACAAAGGGCAGCAGTAAAGTCTTTGTGATTTAAAATAAATGGGATTTCTGTGTGTGGTCCTGCTGCTGCCTCAGTATCCCAATCAGGAGAATGAACTCAAAACCAGGTACCCGGTACAGGTTGTTGTCTAGGCTGATCCAGAGCAGCATGTTCCATGGGTGACATGACAGGAACCGTGTGCAGAACCAGGTCCTTGCACCATGGGGTCGTGTGTTTTCATGCAGCAGCACAGGGTCTCAGGACCTCTTCACGGATTCTCTGAGCTTTCAAAATTCCAAAAATAACATACAGCTGAAACAGGAAAAACTAGAATATGGTACAAAAGTTCATTTATGTGAGTAAAGGGTGAAATAATCTATAAGATAGACTCATTCCACGCAAAGCCAGATAGTTCAGCCTTTATTTTTTGTAATTGTGATGATTATGACTCAAAATGTCACACTCTAATCAGCCAATGGATCCAAAACACCTGCAAAGGTAACCTGAGCCTTTAGATGGTCTCTCAGTCTAAGCATGATTACTGAAAAAAAACTTTGGTGGCATATTTTAATTTATACAGTTTCCCCTGTACACCTGCCCTTCCCATAATCCCACCATCACCACTCCATCCACAACGCTGACATCAGAAAACCACAGACTGCCAAAACATTTATTTGCCATCTCCCCAGTGAAAACTGGGATTTCTCTGTGAACAGAACATTTCTCCAAAGTACCAAACACCATTGAATGCGTGCTTTAGTCCAGTCAGGTCAGGTACAACCAACTGCCGGCTAGCAGTACCCTGATATGGATGACAAGCCTGCAGTTGAGCTTCTCTGAGATGGTTTCTGACAGTATTTGCAAAAATGTGTTGGTTATGAAACCGACTGTTGCAGCAGCATTTTCAAGTGCCTTGTCTCAGACCACCATGGAGCCATCTGACACATTCGGGAACGGCTTATAGTGGAGCAAAAAATATTTAGATCACAAGCAACTGCACGCAGATTGCGCAGCGCCTCTATAATTGTGACAAAGTTAAAACATGTTAGTATGAAACAGGAGCTCTGTGGAGCACCAACCCAACAACCAGAACACCGTCTACTGCAGAGCTTGGGTTCTTACTTGTTTAGGAACTCTTCGTGTCCGCAGACCTTCAGAAGGTAGTCATCCACATTCACATGGTCCAGGTCGTCCTGAGCGTAGCACAGAGTCTGATAGATGAGCAGATCCACCGTGGAGGAGCCTGGAGCACACAGATGTTGGTGTTAATATAGACCTTCAACTGCTCTGATGAAACCCCAGAGGAGTAAAAAGTAACTTCATACCATCACAGGTGAAGGTCAGAGGTTCTCTGAAGTGCTCGCTGATGATCGTCACCTTCATGCTGACCCCCAGGGCCTGATGCAGCTCATCGTGGCCAACGGAAGGTGACCACACAAAGCCAGCATTCGTTGAGTAGTTGCTGTGGGGGTATGCTGAGCGCAACCTGGAGACACACACACACAGTGATGATGTCACTGCTCAGATACAGGAGAATCATGGTCTTACAACTGACTTCATGGGTTAATGTGGATTTTTATAAAGGCAGAAACGAAAGCAAAGTTTCTTCAGAAACACCTCCGTAAACCACCTTCTACCCCCTACACCCCCCTACACCCCCTTAAACCACCATACACCCCCTGCACCAGGGGTACTTAAATGTACGAGGGCCATTTTACAAAACAACCTTAAAGTTCTAGGTCCGGGGGCAGGGATTGGGTGCTGGCGGTTCGGGGGCCACAAAGAAGGCCCCCGCAGGCCGTACCTGGCCTATTGAATACCGCTGCCCTACGCTCTCCTACACCTCCATAAACCACAATACTATTCAATTCATTTTTATTTCTAAAGCGCCAAATCAGGACCCGAGTCGTCTCAAGGACCTTCACACAGTAAACATTCCAATACAGGTCAGGTCATTAAGCCAGTCAGTAAAAAGTTTCCTATATAAGGAACTCACACACACACACACACACACACACACACACACACACACACACACACACACACACACACACACACACACACACACACACACACACACACACACACACACAGAAGAAAACACTTAGAGAAAAAATAAAGTTAACAGCTGGAATAGCAGGAAATAATACAGTTAAAGAGCAGATTGTGGAAGAAAGTAGTCGAGTGTGGAAGGTGGTCAGTATGTCCTCCAGCAGTCTAAGCCTTTAGCAGCATAACTACAGAGATAACTCTAGATAACCTAGCCTTTTAGATGGAGGAATGTTGGAAGAAGAAGAAGAAGAAAGTATCATTTCTATGGCGCCTCTCAAGATAAAAATCACGAGGCGCTTGGAGGCAGGGCAAGGGAGAGCCATCTTTACCGACTGTACACTCCACCTCCCTCTACTCCCCCACTTGTCCAGATCTAGGCCAACATCAGATTTAAATCATAGGCCCTATCACATAAAACTGTTTTAAGCCTAGTCTTAAAAGTAGACAAGGTGTCTGCCTCACGGACTAAGGCTGGGAGCTGGTCCCACAAGAGAGGAGCCTGATAGCTAAAAGATCAGGGGCCTCATTTATCAAGCTTGCTTACGCACAAAATGGGGTCGGAAAACTGCGTAAGCAACTTTCCATGCAAACTTTGGGATTTATGAAAGAAAACTTAGCGGAAAAATGTGTGCAACTTTAAGTTGACTAAGGACCTTGCTTATGCACATTTTGGACATGGAGAACACCTGCGGTGCTGCTGCTGAGAAGGATAAAATTATGAAATCCTGCAGCATTATCACTTGTACTGCTTCATTTTCACACAGAACAAGACCCCCCACACGCACACACACACACATACATGCAGCTGAGAACCTTTCTAGATAGTTTCTGATTTATGAAGCGGAGATTGCGTGCAGCTGTGCGTGCTCCATGTTTGATAGATCACGAACCTACTTGGCGTCAGTACATTTTTTTGCTGAGCTTAAGTACGGTTTTAGTAAGGATTCTACGCAATGTTTGATAAATGAGACCCCTGCCTCCCATCCTAATTTTAGATGTTCTGGGAACCAAAAGTAAGCCTGCAGTCTGAGAGCGAAGTGCTCGGTTAGGAATGTATGGAACAATCAGGTCACTGATGTATGATGGAGCTTGATTATTAAGAGCTTTAAATGTGAGAAGGAGGATCTTAAAATCTATTCTGAATTTAACAGGTAGCCAATGTAGGAAAGCTAGGACAGGAGAGATATGATCTCTCTTTTTAATTCTCATCAGAACTCTAGCTGCAGCACTTTGGACAAGCTGAAGACTTTTAACTGCATTCTGTGGACTTCCTGAGAGTAATGGATTACAGTAATCCAGTCTTGATTTAATAAATGCATGAACTAGTTTTTCAGCATCACTCCAGGAAAGGATGCTTCTAATCTTAGCAATATTCCAATGATGGAAAAAGAAAATCCTACAAACCTGTTTAACCTGGGATTTGAATGACATGTCCTGGTCAAAGATAACACCAAGGTTCCTTACTTTGTTCTCGGAGATTAATGTAATGCCATTCAGGTCTAAGACTAAGCAATTTCCTTTTCTGCATTTCAGGTCCAAAGATGAGAACTTCAGTCTTGTCTTGATTTAAAAGCAGAAAGTTTTGAGTCATCCAATTTTTTATGTCTTCAAGACAAGCCTGTAATCTAACTAACTGATTAGGTTCATCAGGGTTAATGGATAAATATAACTAAGTATCGTCAGCATAACAGTGGAAGTTTATCCCATGCTGTCTAATGATTTTACCAATTGGAAGCACATATATAATAAAAAAATTGGTCCAAGCACTGAACCCTGTGGTACTCCACAAGTAACCCTGGAGTATGTTAATACACCCACCTCCATCCTCCCACACAATCGTGAATCGTATACTTAGTCCTACATTTTCCTACACCATTAAATCCTCCTACAGCTGAAACATCAACACCACATTTGCAACGTTGTCATGGCAACAGCATGTCACTCACACGTCCAGCATGTGACAGAAGGCAGCCACTTCTTCATCTCGCTCCTCCAACACCTGGAACAGCTCGTATCCAAACCCATTCATCCTGGAGCTCAGAGACACCTGTCAATCACACAAAGCCAGCAAATCAGAGAAGAGATTCTCAGAACCAATCAGACTGCATCTCCAGTGTATTGCTTGTAGGGCTGCAACAACGAATCGATAAATTCGATGAAAATCGATTACTAAAAGCGTTGGCAACGAATTGCGTCATCGATTCGTTGTGTCGCACAACTCTTCCAAAAGCGCCCCCCCCTTCCCGCCCGCCGTTGCGCGCAGACCAGAGCAAGTCAGATCAGCGCGAGGGAGAGCCGCAGATCAGCGCGAGGGAGAGCCGCAGATCAGGGCGAGGGAGAGCCGCAGATCAGCGTGAGGGAGAGCCCGTACCGGCAGATCAGCGCGAGGGAAAGCCGGCAGACTTGCGCTGCTGCGAACCGGTTCCGCATTGTTGCACAGCGATCCAGGCAGCTGCTTCCAGCGCACGGTCCATTCTCAAAGTGGCGCAACCAAAAAACTATAATTAGCACACGATCGTTCATGTCCGCACATGTTCTCTATTTTCTGTCTTATTTGTGCCTGAAGCGCGCTACTGCGGAGCTCATCACCTGTGCTGTGGTGATGTCACCTCACGCAGCATCGAAAACGCACTCTGAGCTTTTCGGTCAGGAGATCCCTTTGATCTGCTCAAAAGTAACTGATGAGGTGAAAAGGTAAGAATCCAGGCAACAGATTTTCTGGAGAACTAAGAGGAGATGCAGGAAGATGAGAGACAGACAGGACAGGAAAATAGTTCAATAAAAACAAGAAAACAAAACAAAGTGTTGAAAAGTAAAATGTAGGTAGATTTATCTCCACTACACGTTTTTACCAGTAAAAAACAATAAGTTATACACATGTAATATTTATACATCTGATACAATTCAGATCACCTTCAAAACTCAGTCACACACCCAGGGTTTCAAGACATTTTGGGGGCCAAGGCAAAATGCGATCCCCCCCCCCCCCCTCCAATAACTGGGCTCCCCAGAAGCCTCTGTGTAATTCATACCCTCTCCAGTAGTGTTAGTTATATGGTGTTTATAAAAGCCCCTCAGACATTACTGACATGTTCTAATATTATCAGATGAAAAACTAAATTATCAGACATGCTGTCTCCTCTGCTTCTTTTATAAACTTGCAAAAAGTAACAAAACCATTTGAAAGCCACTATTTGTGGATTCTCTGAAAGTTTCCATGGAGTCTGTGACAACTTATTTTTTCATTGATCCTATCGTCTAATCTCACAGCTGAAACAAGCATCCTTAATAATCTGTGCACAGGAAGCTTACCGATGCTGTAGTAAAACAAAAGGTATAATAATTTATTATTAATAAAACCTTGTTGCAGCACTAAAGCAGAAAAATTAGATTTTGCATTAAATATGCAAAATATTTACATATGAATTGTTTTAGAGCCCTTTTATTGGCAGAATCTGATATTAATTTAGTTCTTACAAAAAATGGGTCCCAACATGGTTTGTGTGGCGTTGCCATAGTGTGACGTCATAGGCACAGATCCCCTGTCCTCTTGTTTGGAAATGGAAATATGGTCACCCTACATTACACAAACTGTCCACCCGGGCTTTTGCGCTGCACAGAGACGCTTCGCTGCCTACGACTTTGAACGTCAGTTGAGAGTCAGTCTCATGCAGACTGACCAATGAAGAGAGGGCCTCAAGTTAAGACCCTCTCCTCATTGGTCAGTCCACACGAGGTGGGTCAAAGGTTACTCTGGGCGGGTTACGTGTTGTCAGGCATTCAAGTATTGAGTATATTTACTGCATATTACAGTAAAATATTCTGTATGTGACCACATTATGGTGATCCTTGGGTCGTGATGATGGAGCCCTTGAATATTGTTGCCCAGGGTACAACAAAGTGTTAATCTGGCCCTGGTTCCGCCGTCACATTCTCGCAGAAACTGGTTGATCACACCGGGGCCAGACTACTAGCATGTGGTTTTACAACCACAATGTCCTCAGAAGCAAAAACGCTTTTAAAAGGGAGGGAGGAGTCCTAACTGTTGCTGCAGGCGTGTTGTGTGAGAGTGCAGTTATATACTGGTTAATATATTTTTGGGTTCAGTTGCTTTCATGTGGCCTAATGTGAGTCTATTTGGGATCATTGGAATGATCAGCAGCATTTCTTGATGTGACTTTATGGCAGTTGCCCAGGGCATCATTGCAAGGAGGATGGCATTCATTTACTTTTGTTTTATTTGGTATTTTTTCAGTCATTTTTGGAAATAGTGATCAATTTTGATTAATTCACAGCCTATGTTTAATTACATTTAAAATAAATGTCAACAGATGAGATCAAACAAAACAGATGAGAATTGCCCTTAAGCTGTTTAACTTGGACCAAGCATTTTAGGTCACAGATAGATGTAGCTTAGGGTCTCTGTCTATGCACCTTATAAGACAATTTAGGTGATGGCATGTTGTTTTTCTGCTATTGAACTGTTTTCTAATAATGTTGTGTTAAATAAAGTGAAGGAAGGAGAGAAATAACGTTTCCCTAGCAGTTTTTAAAAATTTCCCCATGTAATCCGATTAATCGATTAATCGTGTCGAGACCCCATCCGATTAATCGATTATCCAAATAATCGTTTGTTGCAGCCCTAATTGCTTGAAAAAAAAACAACATGTATTTATTTCCAAAGAGCAATAAACAAACATTTGTGTCATGTTACATTTTCTTACTGCTGCAGGCTCGACTTGTTTCAGTCACAGATTCTCCTTGTAGGAGCTTTTTCTTTCAGAGCTTCGGGGACTGATAAATCCAGTCAGAAATAAACGATTAATGATAATTAGCGTTTTATTAATACAATCTTTAAGGCAGAAAATATGAGTGTCCTGCAGGCTGTCACCGTAAATCCTGCGGCAATATGAGTTCTGTGTCATTAACAACTTATAGTCATTGTGACTTAGCTGGCGGATCCGGCCTCACTCTGCATTTCGTGTTCAACGGAACAAGAAAGTTTCAGCGTGCAGAGCCAAGAAGGAAGAACCGGTTCTGTTTTGAAAGTGAAACCCACCTCAGACGCTGACAGGGATGCAGAAGAGGTTTTACACAGACGTCTGAACATGGGCGTGGTATAGCATGGAAAGGTTTCTAAGGGCCCGTGACAATGTTTGGATCCGTTTCAGACAATTGTTTCAAACTATGAAACAAAATAATTTGTCAGTACCCCGGGAACAATAAGGTCCAGTTCTGACCTTCAGCTGCTTCTTCAGAGAAGTAAGAACATGTACTTTTTCTTTGTAGTAAAACTCTGAACCTACTGGACCTGCAGGCAGATAAACTGCTGATTTGGGCCGTGACCCAACAGAACAGCAAGCTGAGACCTGACCTGAGGAGGAATAAATCTGAGCGCACGCTGACAGGATTCTCAGGAGGAAACCTGTGAACGTCCGACTGCTGTAGGACTAAAACATCTGGAATCTGGGTTCAGCTCAGAACAGCTACAGGAGAAACGATCAGGTTCTGGTCCTGCTGAGTTCTACCAAACCCATATGGAACACTGAAACAGTCACACACCTAAAGTGGTTCTGTTTAGTTTTCCCTGCTCAGATTTACAGGATCGTACTGGCACCTTCAGCCAATCACAATAACTCTAATGACATCAGAACCAATCAAAACCGAGTTTTTCAGGTTCTTACCGGGCCAGCAGAAACCCGCCGATGGTTCTTGTTGCTCTTGGCTATGGTTGTGTAGGTCCTGGGAGGCACCTGAGGGGGGAGGGTCTTACTCCGAGCCACGGGCTTCCCTGCTGTTTCTCTGTCGGCGCGGCGCAGGTGAGTTCTGTCCTCGCTGAGTCGGGACAGTGAATCTATGATGCTGTCATAGTCCAGTTCTGCTGATGTCACTTTTTGGTGACCCACATCGGGGGTGAACAGGTTCACGTCTCGGGGTGCAGTGGATGGCCGGGGGGGCAGGGATGGGGTCTCTGACCCTGAGGCTGGGGGGATGGGATGTCTTGGTGGGATGGCGGGAGGAACATCATCAGGAAGAGCAGGTAGGCCTTTGGACAGGAATCCTGACCCAGGCCCAAAAGAGTCCCCAGGGCTGGACCCAGAGACATCCCTGAGCTTACGGACTTCTGGACTGTCCAGAATGTAGGGGGACTCTTTGACATGGACACCATGAGGAGGGGTGGGCCTGGCTGGGAGGGGGAGGGGGTACTGGGATCCCCCGGGCTGATTCAGGGAGGAGTCGGACCCAGAGAGTCCCCTCAGCAGGTTCCCTTCTGTGGGGGCAGGGATGTGCAGGCTGGGGGTGGGTCGGGGTCGCTCGGTTGGAGGATTCAGGGTCTTACAGTGAATCTCATGGGAAGCTCGAGGTCCAGTCTGGTCGGGTCCAGTTCTGTTCTTGTCCTGTTTGAGTCTGGAAAGGGCATCATACTCCATCTGCAGAGCCTCAGCCAGAACCAGCTCCTTCTGACTAAGACCCAAAGACTCCAGACACCCCCATCCCGCCTCAGTGCTCTCCTTCTGGGTCTGCGCTGCCGACATGGTTCCTCCTGGAGGAGGAGACAAGAGGAGAACCTCAGTACAGTTCTGTTACAGGAAGACACAGGAGGGGGGTGATCTGTTAAACAGATGATCTTCTGTAAAACCTTTAGAGGACTCCTGGAAGATGAATGGCACACGCTGCTGCAGGAATCACACTTTCATTGTGTTACAAAAAAGGAGAAACGAACAAACGACAAACTCTAGAAAGGTTCCACTTCCTCTTGGTGAGATTTCACCTGCTGAGGTGTGTCTGACCAACCAGCTGCTGCTCTTTAGGGGAAGCTCCGGCGCTTCAGAGAAAATCTTCTACTTATTCCGAATCTTTTAGTTTAGTTTAGCTCTAACACGCAGGAATAACTGAAGGAATCCACCTGAGCTTCACCTGAATGGTGCTTCCAGGAAATCTGGACAAACAAGTTCATAACCTCAACTTGACTTAGTTAAATATGTTCATACATCATTTAGTCGTGTTACAACTTCCAAACAGACCTAAAATCATAAACAGACGAGAGAACTTTGGTGTAAACATGAAACATATTCATGTTAAACAGAATAACAATAATCATCCGTATGGAGCTTCATTTCTGGGAACTCAAAGAGTTTTCCAAAGATTCCGGCTGATGATTCATCCACACCCTGCAGGTGGAGGTAAACAACCACATCGCCCTGGAGCAATCTAATCTAAAGCGATTTACAGCTGTCTTTAACAACGCAGTTAATCAACCTAACATGCATGTTTTTGTCTGTAGGAGGAAACCAGTAAAAACCCACGCATGCAAAGGAAGAACATGCAAACCGTGCAGAAAAGCTGCTGCAGGGACTTGAACCTGCAACCTTCTTGTTGCAAAGCAGCAGTGCCACCATGTAGTACAGGTGCACTGCACCTGAGTGTATAGACCAGCTGATAACTGAGGTCATGGTTTCATAGCATAAAGTATTTTTTTATCAGCCCGTCGTCCATCTGCAGCTTGTTTGACCGGAGCTTCAGATTTCCATCTTCTGGTGACGCCGAACAGAAACGAGAGAGGGAGATGTTCCATAAATTCATCAGTGGAAGGAAAAGACAGTGTTATAACACAAGGAATGCTGTCCCGCAGTCGGTCTTGTCGAGCGACGAAGTGTGCCACCGGTCTGAGGTGGAGGCCTCCCCCACTCCTGACTCAGCCCCCCCCCCCCAGAGAGCAGAGGAAAAGCTGACCCATCCGACACCACCTGACTAGGAGGTTGCAGACTTTGCACCCCCCATCGGGTTCCACAACCTGGCCATCAGGACCCTACAGGGATAATGACAAACTTACCCCCATACCCCCTTCAGGCAGGGTCTGCTCTCCACCTAAATCACCCCCATCTCTAATATCCTCAACTCCTCCATCCAATTCTTGCTCCCTGACTTCAGGGACCCCCCTCAACTTGGACCTATGCAACTGCCGAAGCGGGCCCTCCTGCCCCACAGGAACAATGGAAAACACCACACCCTGCCCCGTAGGTGGCCGTACTACCTGGTATGGCATAGAGTCCCAGAAATTCTGGATCTTATTATGCCCCTTCACAGAGTGGTTCCTGGTATAAACCAAGTCTCCTGGTTCAAACCCAGTGGCACCACCTTGATCATGGCCCCTTAAATCCCGCTGTACCCTTTTTAAATCCAGACGATTCTGTACAGTCATACGCCACCGCCAGTGAATGTTGATGCTCCCGAACCCAATCCATTAGCAGCAGATCCTGCACGTCACCCTCATTTCCCACCAGGAAGTCAACTGGCAGCTAGGGCTGGGCGATATGGCCTAAAATCAATATCACGATATATTGAGGATTTCACCTCGATAACGATGAATGGACGATAACTACAGGTGTGCGCAGAAACAAAAGTTGTCCACTAGATGGGGCTGTCACGTGTATTACGAGTCACATTTTTACATGACTCAAGGTGGTACAGCTTCTTAAAGGGACATGAACGTTGCCAACCCACACACACATCTTTTCATTTTTTTATTATCAATTGTACTGACATGGGAAAAATGATCACGATAAGAGTCAGAAATTTCGATAACGACAAATTTTCGATTTATTGCCCAGCCCTACTGGCAACAGTGGTTCTCGCCCCAACATTAGAAAATAAGGGGTCATGCCAGTGGACTGGTGGACTGTGGTGTTATAAGCATAGGTCAGCCGAGAAAGGTGCCGACCACGACCAGGGCCAACGACGGTTCTGCTCCGGGGGGAGGGCACGTAACAACTCATGCAGTGTACGAGGGAGATGTTCCATAAGTGTTCAGCTTGTGTGTGTGTGTGTGTGTGTGTGTGTGTGTGTGTGTGTGTGTGTGTGTGTGTGTGTGTGTGTGTGTGTGTGTGTGTGTGTGTGTGTGTGTGTGTGTGTGTGTGTGTGTGTGTGTGAGGTGGGGGGTCAGAGAACAAAGAGCTGAGTCATGTGATCAGGGTATTATGCCCCAGAGACTGCTAGTGAAAGGGTAGAGCCTCTGTCATCTCCAAACCTCCTCCCACTGTCAACTCACGCACACACGCACATACGCACACGCACACACACACACACACACACACACACACACACACACACACACACACACACACACACACACACACACACACACACACACACACACACACACACACACACACACACCATTGACTTTCACTCATCCTAACCCAACACTTCAGCTGATTACTTGTTTTCCCAGACCTGAACAACACCCACAAACATCCTCGCTGCTGGACGCAGTAAAGAAAAGAACAGCTAGCGTGTTTGACGGACTGAGTCACTGATAAGATCGTACACCTGTCACCTGAGACTGGCTCATCAAACCTTTGTACCTTCAACAGCTGATAAAAACTAGTTTCATGTTCGTGTTTGCACACGCACGCTTGTCTCCTGCTGGGATTGAGACATCCAACTGAAGACAGCCACATAAGCTCTCACCTGCTGCAGACTGAGGATCTGAACATCAGTCGAATACCTGGACCTGACTGAACTTTGACCCTGAGACCCGGCGGCAGGAGGACGGATCTATAGACGGCTTTGTTCTACATCATAAAGGCGGTTTCACCAGTTCTGTTACTTTGGGTTTATAAGTAGCTGGAACTGTACCTGCTCCCTGTAATAAATACATTTAGAATGATGTTGTAAACCATCATTCATGACTTTGATTTGACATCATAATCCTGACTGAGCATCTGTGTCATCTCATTTTGTTGTTTTTTGTGTCAGCTTTACTTTATTTGGCTTTGACAACCCAAAGTGTCCCTGTTTGACCCGAGGAAAGGTAAACATTCTGTTTATTACCTCTTCTGTGCCACATCCATACAACATCTGCGGTGTTTTGTGTTTTCTTTAGCAGAACTAACGAGTTAAACTGGTTTCTGGTTAAATAAAAGGTAAACCAGCTGATTATTTGTTTTGTGATCTCCTCTACAGAAAAGATTGAACTGCGCAGACAGAGGAAGACAGGTAAGGTGACAGGTGTAAGCAAGAGTCAGGTGAGTCTGAACCAACCAACTCAGCACGGCTTCCTTCCAACCAGACTCCATACAATAATCTATGGCTTTTGCTCGGCTCTAGTGGCTAGCTCATTACCTCGTCACACCAACAGAAGACGCGTTCCCCTCCAGCAGCCAGAGCTCCGCTTAAACCTGCTTGTTTTGGGTCTTCCTAAACACGTTTCTGCCACAGAGGGCGGCGCCGAGCACACAGCGCCACTTCTGAAACAAAACATCTCTCTGTCATGGCATCAACTCAACATCATGAAGATTTATTTGGGAGCCGAATTCCCTTATGGATCCTAAACATCTCATCTAGCTTCTGAACCGGGCCAAATCCGAACCTGGGTTCAAGGGAAGGCTGAATTCTTCCAAATGTTTTATATGTGAACGGAGTTTTGTTCGCCTCCTTTTATCAAATCAGAGGCACGTTCTGGTACCAAGTGACCGGACGGTGTCGGTCCAGTTCACGGCAGCACGAGCTAGCAGCCTCCGGCCGTACTTGCCTCTCTGTCCGCGGTGTCCGGGAGGGGCCGCTGGCTGATTTACTTTACTCCACAAATCCCATCGATCCGCCGGCGATCCCCGGGCGGAGTCTGCAGGCAGAATCACGGTATCCTGACGGTCCTCTCATTCAGGCGGCCGAATGGACCTCCGGTTCCGCCGCCCTCAGCTTCCGTTATCAGTGTAAACAACGCGGTTCGTCGAGCGAAGCTCAGCGGACTCCTCTCCCGGTGTGAGGCGAGGACCGCGGCTCAACGTCAGCCGCTGCTGACATGCGCAGTCAGTCCACACCAAGGCACGCGCGCGCACGGCTAACCACGCATCATTCAAAAGCATCATTTCATTTTAGGAAAACACGCCTTTATTTTGCAGGTTTTTGTTTATACGTGTGTTTATTTTGGCTTCATAAATACAAATAAATCAAAAAGGTTATTTTCATGTTTGGTAGTTTAGGTGTTTTGTTTCTTCATTACTGATAATTATCGTTGTTGCAACTCACCTGAGCATCAACTGAGAGTTTAGTCCTAAAAATGAGAAAAACAGGGGAAAACACATTTAGTAGGTTAAATGAAAATGGACATTTCCCCGAAAACAAATAACTTTAAATCAAAAATTAGAATATTAAATCGGGTCTCCCTAAAACAGGTTAAATGAAATGTTATAGTTCAGGAAACCAGATGGACCTCTTAAGGAAAGGCAGGAGGCCCATTCTCTAAAAACATTCTCTTATGTTGTCTGGATGCAGAATATTTCACATACTTTGAGATTTTTAGAACATATAGTAAGTTCTGGGAAAATGCTGGTGAAGGTCAGGTGAAAATAAAAAATGAGAATATGGTGCAAAAAGTTTATTTATGTCAAATTAAAAGCTTTATCTGGTATAACTGTGATGATTATGGCTTACAGCTTACGGAAACCCCAAAGTCAAAATCTCAGGCAGTCAGAATATTGTGAAATGGTCAATAATCTAGACTCAAAGTGTCATAATCAATCAGCTAATGAATCCAGAACACATGCAGAGGGTTCCTGAGCATATAAATCAGTGGGGCTCAGTCCTGGTCCTGGAGGGCTGGTATCCGGCATGTTTTAGTGGTTTCTCTGCTCCAACACGCTTGTTTCAGCTGAACCACCTGTACAGGATCCTGTTGATTTAAACCAGGTGTGTTGAAACAGAGTTAAAACTAAAACGTATTTACTGAAATAAATGGACTTTGCCTTTGACTTTGGACCTTATTCAAACTGTTCTAGTTTCGCCGTCATCTGCTTTATGGTAAACATCGGAACCGTATATTTGTTCTTTTAATTTTCCTTGATTTTGTTATTTATATTTTAGTTCAATACTGTCTTTTGATTTGATAATACCGTACTTCTGTTATAATACCATATTTCTCTGAGCTGCATGTTTGTGTAAATCATGATTTTTATAAAGGATTAAAATCTAGAATATTCGAATAAAAACAATAGGTGCGGGATAAATGGCAGCCAAAACCACAGCATGAAACCATCTTCAGTTTTGTCCAAAACCTGTTTAATACAGAAAGGATTTCTTTTCTTCATGAATTTTAATACAGATATGCAAATTAATAAGACTTGTAAGTGCAAAACAATTCAATAAAAATACGTGTAAATGCTTTTGTTGTTTTAATCTGTGTTAATAAATTATAATTCTTTAAAAGTAGAAAATAAATACCAGAAGAAATAACTTTTCTGTTTTAGAAGTGGGACCGACCGGAAACAGGTAAAACTGCGACACCTGGTGGATACAAGTCTTCATGACCGCTGGGTTCTGTTGATGTGAGCGAATGATGAAACCATGAATGTGGTTCTGGATTTTTGGGTTCCAACAGTAAAACAGAACCGATGAGTCCGATAAGATTCCTCTGGAACGGAGGAAAGAGCTCAGCCATCACCTGAACCAGAACCAGCTCTCGTCAGCAGCTCTTCATCATGATCCAAACAATTCAGAGGTCAAAAAAGTTGGGCCAGAAAAGCTAGACCAGAATCAGACATCTGAACAGGCTCACAAACCCTTAACGAAGGGACGTCAGAACTGGAGGTGCTTGTTCTGTGTGGTTCAGTGTGGTTACCTTCTGGTCTAGTTGGAGTTTAATAAAACCCGCTCAGGTTTTGATCCAGTCATGAACATGTTTGTCAGAATTAAATGTTTCAAATGTAAAAACATAAGAATTAGTTTGAAAGGTTAGTTAGAAGATATCAGAACATTTTTAGACTGCAGTAAAACTCCAGGTACAAAGACCGTCTGATCAGGTGACTCAAAATAATTTAGAGTTCTGACATCAGAACTTCAGCTGCTCACGTCTTTATGGTGTGTTCAGGTACCAGACACCTTTAGCAGGCAGGGTTCCATCCATCCATCCATCCATCCATCCATCACTGGGTTTTGGAAGTAACAAGTTCAGAAGGGAACCCCAGCTCCTGAGGAGTTCCCAGGCCACAGCAGAAAATTATTTCAGCAAACTGCGGTTCTCCAGAAGGAGGAAATCAGGAGACTTCCAGAGGAAGATCACTTCAGCCACTTGGGTCCAGGATCTCTAGGGCTTCATTTGCAGATGAAGAATGTCCTTATGGTTTTGGTTATTCATTGTTTACAACCTCCTCTACTCTGGATCCATAGGGAGTACTTCCAGCAGGAGGTCAAACACGCCTTCACAGCACCATCCCAGTAAAACCAGTTCACACCCAGGAGACCCAGAAGGAGCTCTTCTCTACCGAGTTACACAAACTGATTCATACCTTCTCTCTGAAGTTTTACATCTACTGATTGTTTTTCTTAGAATTGGTACAAAACTAAAATGGAATATCTTCCCTGTCAATCAGACGCTGGTGTGTCTCCCAGCTCTCCTTCACTGACCCAGTCAGACCTGAAGGGTTTTGTCACAACACAAAGCCAAGCAGAATGACCCATCTTCAGCTTCACACCAGTCAGTAAACTCTGTTCATGTGAAATCTGCTCCTGGCTGCAGCTCTACTCTCGTATCACTCAGTATCATGCAGGCTGAGCTGGACCTCCGGTTCTGAGATCATCGGTCTGGTTTGGGACCCATCTGCCAGCTGTCCTACTGACACTGAACCCCATCACTCCAACAGTTGCTGTGAGACAGCCATAACAGTCAGTAAACCAATGTTTCTCTGAGTAAACATGAGCAGCTGTGAGCAGGTTTAACGTGGAGCACGTGGTCACACGGTGCTTCATTAGTTCACAGGACAGATGTTCGCAGCTGTTAGCAGGTTTCAGATAGCTGTCTCCAGAACAAACCCCTGTTCTCTGATTGGTTGAATCCAAATCTGATTGGCCTCAGTTACAATCTGCTTCCATATCTAAATCTGTCATTTCAAACCTGCTTCGTGTCTAACAGCTGTTACATTAACAGTTCTGCCGAAGATGTTTTCCTCTTTCAAAAGGCACGCAGAAGATAAGTGCTGCTCAGAGATGGGAGAACAATGTGGGGGAATCGAGTAGACCAAAATAGAATCCAGGACAGCAGAAAACACGAGCCTGGGTGTTTTAAATTAATTGTTTTTGTTGGTGTTTCAACCTGTAGGCATAGGAGCAGTTTAATGAGACCATGTCTGCAATCTGACCACTAGGTGGCAGTAACCTCTCCACTCTGAAACATTTTCTCCTTAAAAATGACAAGAGGAAAAAATATTAAGATAAAAGTTTGTTTCTCATTCTCTAAGTTCTGCAGCTCAACTTTGTACTGTGGTTCTGTAAACCTCCTGTTATTCTATTATCTATAAATAATCAGTGGTTCATCAATCAATAATCAGTGGCTGATTGATCAATAATCAGTGGCTATTTGATCAGTAATCAGTGGCTGATCGATCAATAATCAGCTGATCAATAATTGGTGGCAAATCTTTGATCATATCCTCTAGATTTTACATGCAACTCTGAAACATCACAGCTGTCAGCATCTGGGTCCCTGAGGATCGGCTGTCCCAGCTGGATTCTAATTCTTCAGGATGTCCCTGGTGGATTTAGTCCTCAGTGTCCTAAAAACATCTGGACCTCCTACACCTCCTTCTCCTCCTCGCTGTGGAACGATGTCCGTCTCAGATTCTCTCTGACTTTGATGAACTCTGGAGCCTTCAGGTTGTCCTCCTGCTGCTTCTCCATCTGCAGAGACAGAGATGGGGACATGTTCAGGGGGGCCAGGGCATGTTCAGGGGAACATGTTGTTGGTGTGTTGTTGGCGTATTGCTGGTGTGTTGTTGGTATGTTGTTGGCATGTTGTTGGTATGTTGTTGGCATGTTGTTGGCGTGTCATTGGCGTGTTGCTGGCGTGTTGTTGGCGTGTTGCTGGTGTGTTGTTGGTATGTTGTTGGCGTGTTGCTGGTGTGTTGTTGGTATGTTGTTGGCGTGTTGCTGTTGTGTTGTTGGTATGTTGTTGGCGTGTTGCTGTGTGTTGCTGGCGTGTTGTTGGCGTGTTGCTTGTGTGTTGTTGGTGTGTTGCTGGCATGTTGTTGGTGTGTTGCTGGCATGTTGTTGGTGTGTTGCTGGTGTGTAGCTGACTTGTTGTTGGCGTGTTATTGGCATGTTGTTGGCGTGTTGTTGGTGTGTTGTTGGCGTGTAGATGACATGTTGCTGGCATGTTGCTGACATGTTGTTGGTGTGTTGCTGGCATGTTGCTGGTGTGTTGTTGGCATGTTGCTGGTGTGTTGTTGGCATGTTGTTGGCATGTTGCTGGTGTGTTGTTGGCATGTTGTTGGCGTGTTGTTGGTGTGTTGTTGGCGTGTAGATGACGTGTTGCTGGCATGTTGTTGTCATGTTTTTGGTGTGTTGTTGGCGTGTAGCTGACGTGTTGCTGGCATGTTGTTGACGTGTTGTTGGCATGTTGCTGGTGTGCTGTTGGCATGTTGTTGATGTGTTGTTGGCGTGTAGCTGACATGTTTCTGGCATCTTGTTGGCGTGTTGCTAATGTGTTGTTGGTGTGTTGCTGGTGTGTTGTTAGCATGTTGTTGGTGTGTTGTTGTGTGTTGTTGGCATGTTTTTGGTGTTGGTTTGTTGTTGTCATGTTGTTGGTGTGTTGTTTGCGTGTAGCTGACATGTCGCTGGCATGCTGCTGGTGTGTTTTCGGTGTGTTGTTGGCGTGTTTATGGTGAGTTGTTGGTGAGTTGTATGCATGTTGCTGGTGTGTTGTTGGCATGTTGTTGGCGTGTTGCTGGTGTGTTGTTGGCGTGTAGCTGACATGTTGCTGGCATGTTGTTGGTGTGTTGCTGGTGTGTTGTTGGTGTGTTGCTGGCATGTTGTTGGTGTATTGTTAGCGTGTTGTTGCCGTGTTTCCCACCTCCAGCAGCTTTGTGTGCCTCTTCAGCAGCTCAGCCTCCAGAGGGGAAATCTTCTTGCGAGCCTCTTCTTCCTGTTTCCTCTGTCGGATCAGCTGATCCCTCTTCCTGGACTCCAGAACTCTCTGCAGCTCTGGTTTTGTCTCCACACTGGTTCCTCCTCTGCACAAACACACACATCATGTGTCATGTATGTTGTATATTTATGTTTGAGCACATCTGTGTGTGAGTTTGAACTAGCAGTGGGCATCTTGTCACAGCATCACTAAAGTTCTAGCTCTAAGATAAAATCAGGTTGTTGAATCCTTTCTGTGGGTCTCTGTGATTAGAGATCAGTGAGCCAGGGGTTTGTGCTCGTTGGTCTGATGACTGATTCTTTTCTGGCTGCTCCGTGTGAATCTGCAGCGTGTTCAGAATAAAGTTGTGGAGGATGTTTTTCTTGCTGTGATCTTTGTTTCCTGCTGAACAAAACAGCGAGGAAGAGTGCAGTGGGCTTTGTGTGTCTGTGAATAAGCCTCTGTGAGGAGGCGAAAACTTTCCCATCATCCTCGGCGGTGGTGGAGGCCTCTGAGGCTGTCGCTTAGCAACATAGACATGTCTCCTCACAAATAAACAGCCTGGACTCCATGAAGAGGACAGAAAAATACTAACTGTCTTCATGTGATCCCTGACTGGTCAGCATTAGTCAGGGGGAGGATAATCTGCACCAATCAGCAGCTGTGGGGGCTCGCGTGTGCTTTGGTTCTGACCCTGGTTCTGGTCTGAGCCCAGTTAAGAACCCAGAAGGAGAAGAACAAACTTCTGATTTATGTTATCAACAAAAGTTAAGTTTATCATCCCAACCAGTGTGAAGCAGCTGGGATGAGAATCAGCTCCTCTAAATCTGAGACCACGGTCTTGATTCGGAAAAGGGTAGAATGCCTTCTCCAGGTCAGGGATGAGGTCCGACCCCAAGTTGAAGAGTTTAAGTATCTCGGGGTCTTGGTCACGAGTGAGGCAAAGATGGAGCGTGAGATCGATAGGCGGATTGGTGCTGCGTCTGCAGTGATGCGGGCGTTGTACCGGTCTGTCGTGGTGAAGAGAGAGCTGAGCCAGAAGGCGATGCTCTCGATTTACCGGTCGATCTACGTTCCTACCCTCACCTATGGTCATGAGCTTTGGGTAGTGAGTGAAAGAACGAGATCGCAGATACAAGCGGCCGAAATTAGTTTTCACCACAGGGTGGCTGGGCTCTCCCTTAGAGATAGGGTGAGAAGCTCGGTCATTCGGGAGGGGCTCAGGGTATACCCGCTGCTCCTCCACATCGAGAGGAGCCAGTTGAGGTGGCTCGGGCATCGGGTCAGGATGCCTCCTGGATACCTCCATGGTGAGGGTTTGCAGGCACGTTCAACTGGGAGAAGACCCAAGGGAAGACCCAAGACACCCTGGAAGGACTATGTCTCTCATCTGGTCAGGGAACACATTGGGGTTTCCCCGGAGGAGCTGGCCCAAGTGGCTGGGGGGGAGGGAAGTCTGGGCCTCTCGCCTTAGGCTGCTGTCCCTACGACCTGACTCTGGATAAGCAGCTGAAAATGGACGAGTTATCAGCAAAAGTTCAGCTAGAATATGGGACTTCTGTCTTTGTTGTCAAAAACATCTCATAATGTCAGAAAACGGTTTCCAGAACAGAATGTCCTGAAAAGAATTTCAACCTTTCCACAGATGTGCTTATGTCTAAGAAAGGTGAGGACAACAACACGTTACCGTCTGCAGCTGCTCAGCAGCTCTCGGTGGAGCTCCTGGTGACTCCTGGAAGCTTTGACGGGATTCACCAGCTTCTTGGGTTTGATCAGGTCTTCGTCTTCGTCCAGGTAGTCAGGTGGGGGGACGTAGCTGGACACAGGGGACGGCCTTCTGTGTACGCCTTCAGAGTGGCACTGCTGCAGGTCAGCATATGCAGAGGCTGAAGACATAGAGGACACAAAAAATAAGGGCAGTGTTAAAAACAATGAGATGTGCTGTCCTGTAAAATGTCTCACAGAAGGTCCTCTGTGGTACAGCAGCCTATGGAGGACAAAAGACAGTTTTTAAGCTTAGTTCAAATTAAGACGCTGGTCTGTCCTTGCTTGCCCTGAGTTCCTCATTCTGTCTTTGTCCTTTTCAATGTCCTCCACTGTCTCAGAAGACAGGGAACTGATTATCAATCACCTGATCCTCACCCTAAGATATTCTGGGAGACACAGATCAGATGTCCTCATTGAGACCTTTCTCTGTCTGAAACCAGAGATCAATGTGAACGCCTGCTTCATATTTCAGAAAAATCAAATCAGCTGTTTGTCTCACAAGAGTCCACAGAGTCTAAGGCGGTGTCCAACGGTGGTGTCAGAGGAGAGCAGATCTGGTTCAGTTTAGTTCTGTAAAGGTTCTGGTCGGAGCAAAGGGCCTATGGTTCTGATGGATCCATTTTTAATAATTGCACATCCATCAGCAGGTTGTCTGAAACCGATTTGACTGATAAAATCTTGTTTCTGTCCCCCAAACAGACGGAGGTGGGGGGTGATCCCGATCTCAGGTCTCAGTGCCTGTTTAACCACAGATCTTCTATATGGGTTCCTGCCAGGGTTCCTCCTGCTCACTATGGGGGCTCTGAGGAGTTGTGTGGGGGATCTTGTTTTACGGTTATGTTGGTTAAGTTTAATCGATCATCTGAACTTGTTTTGATCAGATGATCTCATTCTCTCTGCTACAGAGATGCTGCTTCTCCTGAAGGTTGTCCTGTCCCCTGTCCCCCCAAAGACCAGCGTCTCCTCAGCAGGTTTACTTTAATCATGTTTAAGGTGTTTAACATGAATGTGTGTTTTAACATCCTTTGAGGGTTCTGGATGAGAGTATTTCTGTGCAACAGGATCGGGTTTCGTCTGAATAGAGCTGGAGTCAGACGGTCTTCTGTAACCAGAGTGCAGATTGGGTTTGGCTTTCCCGCCCTGCTCCAATCGATGTGAAACCTCAGAGTTTCTCCTCCCAACTTTCTGAACTCTGGTGGGACCTGAATGCCTCACAGCAGCTGAAACGTGACTCCTCCTTTTGATAGATGACGGTTGATTTCATGATGAGCAGGAACTGATCAGCTGACTGGTTCATCAGCCAGAGAGAAACCAGGTTCTTCTCATCAGGTAAAGTCCTCCTGATCACTTTGTGTCCTGATTGATCAGATCAGGAACAACCTTGGTTCTTGTCTTTAACCCTCTGGAGGCAGGCGTTGCAGATTTGCAATGTTAAAAGCTACCTACTTGGTTACTCCACATATGTATTTCATGAGCATTTTTTAACTCAGAAGTACCCCTGAAGGACTTAGTTGTTTGTCCTTTTATCAAAACTTATCTTGAGCCTGAGAGGGTTAAAGTAAACAACCAAGAACATTAAAACAGGTTCTGTCCTTCTGTAGAATCTATGGATGAGAACACAGAGTTCAGATTAGTGTTTTACCTGATTTTAACAGAATGTCGATACAGATGTGCTTTTACTAAAACAGCAAGGCCACGCCCACTTTAACAGATGTGGCATCTCTGCTTTTTTCTGTTGTCCATAAATGAAGCCAGAATAATCGATTTTCAGGCACGGCCATGTTGGATATCAGGGATCAGAGTCTGAGAATTCAGGGTGTGCAAGTGAAAGTCCCGGCTCCTCACCTGGCTGAAGGTCCCAGCTCCTCAGCTGCAAAACCATTGTGCAATTTTTAAACATCCAATAACCAATCACAGCAAAATGTATCAGAAAAAAATGGATATTTGGACAAAGACCAGTAAGAGAAGAACATTGTCACCAGAAAATGTGAATTTCACATTTTTTGTCAGGATAATATCTCATTAGTTTTTCTGGAGGCGGGGCTTCAAACTAAAATCCTGCTTTCACATCAGATGATCCAGAGTCATTTTAATGGTGATTGCTGCACACACACACACACACACACACACACACACACACACACACACACACACACACACACACACACACACACACACACACACACACACACACACACACACACACACACACACACACACAGAGGTTAAAGGCATCTTCTCATTTTTCAGCTTGGAATAAAATTTGTTTAGTGACTAAAACAACCTGCAGTTTGAAGATTAAAACCTTGAAAGTGTCAATTTGGACTCTGAGCAACTGGCTTCGATCAGAGAATCAACATGTGGATCAGCTGATAAGTGTTCAAACACACCATGCTGACCTCTGACCTCCTCCTACAGACATACAGCCATCACGTTCCAACAAACCTGTCTGAATCGGGTTAAAGTGCAGCTGCTGATGGGATTTAGAACCAACAGCTGAAGGTGTTTGTTTTTTTTATCATCAAGACACAAGAAAAGCCAGCTGGAGGAATTTAGCAGATCGACTAATAAACACACCAAGTTTTCCTCTCTGACTGACTCCTTCTGCCTTCCTCTCTGTCACCATGGACGGACAAATTACAATAAACCACAGGAGAAAAACTCAATAACTGAAAGTTTCAGCTGCTTTGTGTGAAGGTGAAAAAATCTTGTGGTGAAAAATTCCTTCACAGCCCGCGGTCTCCCTTATCTTCGCTTTTCTTTCTTATCACCAAGCTTCCATAAGAACAAAAGCTCAGGCTCAAAGTGCCACAGTTGCATCTGATATCTCACTTTTCTGAATTTCAAAAATGTTTCAGTTAAAACAAACAAAGCTGAAGAACAGATTAAACCAAACCAGTACTGAACCAGTGGAGACTACTGGGCCAAACCAGAACTGTCTCCTTGGTTCTTTGATGTTTCTGCTGCAAGCACTTCCTGTGATTTTACCTGACTCCAGCATCTCTCTGATCCAAATTCCTGCTCATCCGCAGTGTCCTACAGTCTGTTTTTCATTCACTTCCCGCTGTTTTTTAAAGTTTTACTGCCATCTTTAATTATTCGTGAAATGTTCATGCCATAAAACAGAAGATTGATTAACGTTGGTAACAGAAATTAGACTTCCTAAAGTAAAGTTTGCCTTACTGGGCAACCTTTTACATAGACTCAAACAACACAGATATTCATCATAAATGGAACAAGGCAGACTGTAGAACTGAGCAGCAGCACAAATGTTGAAATAAAAAAAATTTTCAGTAGATTGTTTAAATCATTAAACAGTTCATGTGAAAGTAAACAATCTGAACACTAAATCAAATGAGTTGAAAGCATGAGAAATTTACAGAAAATACAAGAGAACTCAAAGAAACTCAGTCTGACTCAGTTCAGGAGCATCCGTCTTACCAGACTTCACCATCGCCTCCCTGCCTGTGACGTGCTGTGTAAAGCTGCTGGTCCTCCACTGGTCCATAAGGTCTGGCTGAAAGTGTCTGATCTAGTCCTGGTAAGTTCTGATCAGGTTCTGATGGGTTCTGTTGAGTCCTTTTCTGGTTCTGATTAGTTCTGTCCTCATACTGATAAGTTCTGATCAGGTTCTGATGGGCTTTGATGACTCCTGTCCTGGTTCTGATGGGCTCTGATCCTTCTGCCTGAGGTATCTGCTCTTTGCAGCAGCAGCTCTTGTCTGCTCCTGACTCGACATGCCGAGTGTAAAACAGAGGTCACATGACCCCCCCCCCCCCCCCTCCCCAACCCTCCATCCACACCCCCGCCCCCTTTGTGCAGCAGCCTCTCTGTCGGCTTTGAGCAGTTTCCCACGATGCTTCACTCCTTTCATCAGCTCCAGCACGGAACAACAGAGTAAAGTTCCAGCCAGGACCTGTTGATGGCGCTGAAACTCTGGCTGCGTTGGAATAAGCTGAATGAATTAGATGATGAATTAACCAGATTTAATCTGAGTGGATTCAGAAACCAGTAGCCTGAAATAATGTGTATGTATGTGTATCTTAAATGGCTTTTTAGGTTTTAACTCTGTGCAGTGCTTTGGTCAGCTGACATGCTGTTTTTGAATGTGCTATATAAATAAAATTGGATTGGATTGAGTCCCCTTCTACAAACAGAAAACTCTTCTAAATAAAGTTTTCACTGAAGGAAAATCTGCTGCAACCAAACTAAACTTTGAATTAAATTCAGCAGAGCAACTTCACAATAAAACTACTTCCTTGCGTCACAAAACAGAAATGATCACAAACTAATTTCTTCCGTTCTTTTTAACAAGGAGCATCCTTTAGAGCTGCCGTTGCAGGTACCTGAACACACCTGGGATCACAGCTGTGATGTCATCCGTGGGACTAACTGGTCCAAACAGATCAGAACACCCAGTTTGAGAAACACTGCGGTTCCCATCTTCACACAACGTTCTAGCTGGTTTAGAACTGTAAACCCTTCATTTGGACCAGAACTGGGTTTGTTCTCATCTGTAAAAAGCCAAACTGTGAAACATCTATCTTCTATTGGTGTCCATAACACTGCATTATATTAGTTCTCTTCATATCTGTCTGATTGCTCTCACATCGTCCAACTCAAGTCTTTACAATTCCGTCCTCCCAGGTTACAAGTGGTGTGCCCCAAGGCTCTGTCCTGGGTCCCTCCTTTTCATTATCTACAGTCTCCCCCTGGGCAATATCTTCAGTCTGTTTCCATCGCTATGCACATGACAACCAACTGTATCTCTCTTCTAAACCATCCACATCTTTGCCTTCCTCCTCCTTGCTAAATTGTCTACATGACACAAAAACGTGGTTCTCTCATAACCTCCTCCAACTCAAAAGAAATATAACAGAATTCCTCCTAATTGGTACAAAATCCACAATCTGTAAACTACCCAAAATTTCCCTCTCAGTTGATAACTTCACTGTTCTCCCCTCATCACAGGTGAAGACTATGGGTGTCATTCTGGATAGCAACCTCTCCTTCTCAGCTCATACAAAAAGCATCAACGGCTCCGCCTTCTTTCATCTACATAATATTGTCTCCATCCCTCCCTAACCCCCACCGACACTGCAATTTTAGTTAATGCCCTGGGGCCTCATTTATCAAGCTTTCTTACGCACAAAACGGGGTTGGAAAACTGCGTAAGCAACTTTCCATGCAAACTTTGGGATTTATGAAAGAAAACTTAGCGGAAAAATGTGCGCTACTTTAAGCTGACTAAGGACCTGGCTTATGCACATGTTGGACATGGAGAGCGCCTGCAGTGCTGCTGCTGAGAAGGATAAAATTATGAAATCCTGCAGCATTATCACTTGTACTGCTTCATTTTCACACAGAACAACACCCCCCACACGCATACACACACATGCGCGCGTACACACACATGCGCACACTCACACACACGCATGCACACACACACACACACACAGCCTAAAGCGCAGAATACAGAATGCAGAATATCAGCAGGGGGACAGATTGAGACAGAATGTCATGCGTCTGTAACAGTGTGTGTCCTGCCACTGTGACCCGATTGATCATGCGCCCTGGCTACTTGTCCAGGGGACATCTCTGTTTGGGTGACTGGTTAGCAGGGGAGGCTGGTGATTGAATCCCAATTGGACCATTTTATTATATCCACCACAGATCTCTCTGAAGAATTCACAGCATTGACAGCTTCAGCAACGCTGTGCCACTCCGTGGATTTTCTCTTATTTGTTTTGCCAAAGCACTTCCTTTCATTTCTCCACCTCACCCACAGGTACCTCAATCTCTGCTTCTGTGAAATTGCACTTCCTTGATCTGCCTCGATCTACGGTCGCCATGTCATTGGTGGAGCGCTGCAACAGCTGGCTTATGTATATGCATGAGATCCACAAGGCACTTTGCATTGACTATTTATGGCAGAAAGTGGGCGTGGTGAGGGCGGGATGTGACTAAAATGCAGCTGAGAAATATTCTCGTTAGTCTCTGATTTATGAAGCAGAGATTGCGTGCAGCTGTGCGTACTCCATGTTTGATAGATCACAAACCTACTTGGCGTAAGTACATTTTTTTTTCCTGAGCTCAAGTACGGTTTTAGTAAGGATTCTACGCAATGTTTGATAAATGAGAACCCTGGTCCCTTCCCAGCTTGATTATGGAAATGCACTACTCTCTGGCCTGCCACAAAAACTACTCCACAAATTACAACCGTTACAGAATTCGGCAGCCCGTATCATCTCTAGAACACCATCTTCACACCATTTGGCTCCAGTTCTGAAGCAGCTGCCCTGGCTTCCGATCCACTTCCGTAATGATTTTAAAATCCTTTTGTTAACATTCAAAGCCCTCAATAACCTGGCCCCCTCCATATTTATCTCCACGTTTACTCACCGTCTCACAGTCTTCATTCCTCATCAGACCATTCCCTCACCATTCAATGCCCATGGTACTCAGGTCATGTGTTTCATCTGCTCCACAGCAATAAACTCCCACTGGGTATTTGTACAGCTTCATCTATTCAAACATTCAAATTCCTTCTTAAAACACACTTAAAACTCCTTTATTGTATTTTTTCATGTGTTGTCTTATCTGCTCTCCCTTTAATAACCTGCTCGCAACATGTTTTATGTGTTTCTCTGTTGTTGGTGTACATCGTTCTTACTACTTGATTTGTTTATAATGATTTGAAACTGTGGTACTTGTGTTCATGCATTATGTTCAGCGACCTTGAGAGTCTTCAAAGGTGCTTCTAAATAAAATGCATTATTATTATTATTATTATTATTATTTTGTTCACCTCTGCTGCTGGACAGCCTTCCATTTCTCAGAGAATGCTGCTTGGTCAGTGGCTCGTGGTCGATGCTGTATGACTTCTGGAAAACAAAGGAAACAAAAGAGAAGTTGAAGGTGTGAGGGCAGATGTGGACCAGATGTGGTTAGTTGTGATTCAGCAGTCCGGGGGAATCACAACTCAAGAAGTTTACTCAGAAAAATCTGGAGTCACAAACAAACAGAAAATAATTCTGTTGAAAGCTGAAATTCAAAAGTGTTTCACAGAAGTGCTCCATGTGTAGTTTTCCCTGAGCAAGGCCTCAGTGAGCTGGAGGTGGGGGACACCCTTACTGAGACCTGTAGTCACCAGTTTACCTAACACACGTGGTTTTAGTCAGTGGGAGGAAACCATCACATGCATGAGGAGAACATGCTAATTTCACACAGAAATGCTACAACCAGGCATTGAACCTGCAACCTCAGAGGTACCACCATGAGCATGTGTGTGAGAAAGTCCCACCTCCTCCCCTGAACACCATCATGGCATTGCAGCTAAAAGTGTTGGAACGCTACACACCAACAGGAGAAATAATCATTTTTGTTTTAAACATGTTCCATTGCTTTAACTTGAAGGGGGCGTGGCTTAAATGTTCTCCTGGAACCAGCCACTAGGGGGTGTTTAGTTTATACCCTTTCAGGTTCCATACAAGCCCCAATAATACTGGTCTGAAAGATAAGCCAACACGGAAGTGACACAAATTGCAGTTCCACCCTCATCCGCTGGGGGGTGGGGGTGGGGTGGGGGGTGGGGGGGGTGGGGGGTCAGAAGCGAGCAAATCCTCATTGACTCCCATGTTAAAAATACCAATTTCACAGCAGAATTAAACATGTTTACAGCCTGGTTCCAAAACATGTTTTAGGTTTAATAGATCTAGTTTACACTCATGACAACTCTGAGGGGGTGAATTTTTTTGTCACTCTTCTGTTTAAGTGTATTAAAAGCCTAAAGTTCTGTATAATTAATGAGCATCAGACCCACGTGACCGCAGAGCTAGCTCCGTGGAAAGGCCTCAGTAGAGCCTCGGCCTCGTCTGAAAACTGTTCCGTGATTTTCAGTCTCTCAACTTAGACCATTAGTTGTAGCGTTTATGTGTTCTTTTTGGATATTATTTGTGCAATTGTTGGACAAAATGACTTGCTGTGGCATTAATTGCACTAATAGAGCGTCCAAGGAGTCTCCATTTCATTTTTTTCGGTAAGTAAAATTATATTTATGTATTTTAGGTCACTGCCGCTCTTGCACTAGCAGAGCTTAGATTTTAACAAGTACTGTTTAACCATGAAATTTAAATATAATAGGGTAAAACCCAGTGCATTTAACATAACGCTGCATTTTAGAAAATGGGTTGAAATGTGACATGTTGGTGGAGCTGGATTCCGACTATCAGTATGGTCCCCTCCCCGCAGCTCGGTGCATCTCTGATCGCAGCGGCACTTGTCTGCTGCGCGGCTGCCGGCTTGTGGAGCTCTCGGGAGACCTCTGTGTTCCACCCGGTTTTAGCCAGCGGCCAGCCCGGTGTGTCTGTGACTCAGAAGTTCCGGTGTTGTGCACAATTAACTCCTGTCGTAGCTAGGTTGCTACCTCCGTCAGCTTAGCTCCTACCTCCGCATTAGCTTCAGGTTAGCTTGGAGCTACATCGCTTCAGTTCGATGGGGTGTTGTCATTTGATTCCAGCCTTACAGCCCCACCCTCAGCTCCACCTCTCTTTCCTTTTTTGGAATTGCCTGGGCTTGATGGAACCTGTGACACGGTCAAAATGGCGGTGGTGGCAACCTCCCATTTTGGCTTAAAAACTTATTATTGGAGCCTATGGACATGCATTGCCCAGTATAAATGTCAATGGTTCCATCTAAATGTCTGGTTCCCTTTTATGTTCATGTTGTTGGATCATTGGTGTTTTAGATTTATGCTGAAAGCATTCATTTAAAACACCAACATTTCTTCAGCTGAAGGCGAAATCAAGTAATTGTTGGTGGTATTAACTTTTCATAACTCCGCTGAACTAAACATCTATTCACAAATCTGTAAAACTATTTATTTTATTAAAATTTAGATTCAAGAGTCCAAAAGCGGGAAAATAAAAGCAAATAAACACAGGTGGGGCTCTACGTAAACCCTGGATCAACTCCAATCTACCTTACAGTAAAATAACAATCAGAAAATCTGTTTTTTATTTTATGCTATTTATTTCTGTCAGCTGTGAAAGCACCGAGCTCCAGTAACTCAGGAGGGTGAGCAGGAGTGGAAAACAAACACACCTTCATTGAGAGCACAGCTATGAAGAGCTCGTATTGTTATGTGAGAGCGGAAAATTCAAGACAGTAATATGATAATGTCAGGCCCACCTGACGTGTTCACATGAAGAATTTCCTTTTATTTCCATAAATGAGTTGAAGACACCCACAGTTACTTCTGCCTCATCTGTAATTCATGAGGATTTTTAAATCCTTCAGACAACAAAAGATAACTGCAGGGCTAAAACAAAAGATGTTGTAAAGATACAACCATCCCAACGTCCTGCCCATGAGACACATCAATCACATTACAAATCAAATCAAATCAACTTTATTTATATAGCACTTTTCATACAAAAAAATGCAACTCAAAGTGCTTCACAGATTAAAATGGCCCCATAGATCCCATATTCCCATCCCAGCCCCCCTCCCCAAGTATAAAACAATTAACAATTACGGTTCCCCTCCCGCAACCAATTTCCAAGGTCGACATACAATCACCCAGACACGCGCACTCGCGCACACACACACACACACACACACACACACACACACGTGAACAACCGAGTAAGCAATAGGCTGAGTTCAGTTGGGTCAGGTAATGAACGACACATCATCAGCAGAGCCATCTTCCCTGACAGTAACAGATCCACGGCAGCAGCCAAGACATCGGCCCATGACGCCCAGGGGGGGGGGGGGGGGGGGGGGGGGGGAGGGCGGAAACCCCCACCATTGCCCGGGCACTACCCGAGGAGCGCCCCGGCCGCCACCGCCGACCACCGGCCCCAAGGCAGAGGGCTCCGCAGAGGAAACACTGGAGGATTAAAATATATAACTGTAAAATAATAAAAGCTAATATGGATAGAAAGTAACTGATAAAAAGTGATTATAAAGATAGTAAAAGAAAACATAATCATGTGAAAACACTAAGATGTAAATAAAATAATAAATTAAAAGACATAAATAGGCATATATATATATATATATATATATATATATATATATATATATATATATATATATAAATAAGCAAATATGACAGGTGACACAGTTAGACTAAATAAATAGTAATCAGTTAAAAGCTAAGCTAAAAAGGTGGGTCTTGAGCCTATTCTTAAAAGCCTGGACGTTCCCTTCGGCCCTGAGGTCCTCCGGCAGCCCGTCTCAAAGGCGAGGGCCGTAGTACTTGAAGGACGCCTCGCCGTGGGTGTACAGACATGTGACCCAGTAAGTTAAGGGTTAAACTCCTCCATAATATACAGATAGCATAAAAATACAGTACTGACCCTGTTCTATAGCGTCTTCTAGAGTTCTACATCCCCCCAAGGTGCTTTACAACACACTCACGGTGATGAGCTACATCATAGCAACAGCTGCGCTGGGACACGCTGACAAAGGTGAGACTGACATACACAGGCTCCACCGGCCATCTAACCACCACCAGCAGGCAAGAGAGTTAAGTGTCTTGCCCAAGGACACAACAACTCCAACAGACTGAGTGGGACTCAGACCGGCAACCCTCTGGTTACAGGGTGGGCACATAACTTGTCTGTCCTTGTTGCCCCATAATGACCCAGTGGCAGCCCAGTAATGATCCATTTATGGTCCAATAACTCACTCTGCAGTTCTCCAAACTAATTAAATGGTTTAGTTTAATACACACCTGCATGTAAACCGCACGCACGCACACACACACACACACACACACACACTCTCACACTTGCACACGTGCACACTCACGCACATACGCGCGCGCGCGCACACACACACACACACACACACACACACACACACACACACACACACACACACACACACACACACACACACACACGTTAAAGCCTAGATTGACTTGAAAAGCCTCAGACCAGAAGGGGGAGTCTGACTCCTGCTGGAGCCACAGTAAAATTACATCTCAGACCAGAAGAACCAGAACCAGAGACCTTTCTCACTTGCAGGTTGAGGACCAGGGTCAGGTTACTTCAGGGTCACACACAGAGTGGGAACCTTCAGCTCCAGTTTTAGTCACTCATGTAGAAGTTATTTTTATTTTAATGTGTCTCCAAAGTCACTCAGACCATTCTAACTTCTGACTGAAGTTCTAGGCAGGACATCAGAACACGTCTGTCTTCTTATTTCTGAAGGTTCTGGCTTCTTTTCTCTTCTTGTTTCTGAGACAGTCACATCAGTTGTTCATTTATTTTTAGCTGCAGGATCTTCTCTGCGCATCCTAATCCATGCTTTGACCTGCTGATTGTGTGTGTGTGTGATACACACACACACACACACACACACACACACACACACACACACACACACCTCAGTGGCCTGACGGATCTGATCCTGAATCAGGTGTGTTCTGGTTACATAAGTACAGCTGAAACCTTTCTGCTGTTATTCCTGAACTCCTCACAGGAAGTCGGTGCTGATCTCTGATTGGTCAAATCGCAGAAAAACTCAGAAATCCTTTTTTTTTCTGCTGGATTCACCCTGTCTTCGTGTTTTGAGTTTCAGATGAATCAGAACTTGGATTCAATTATTATGACCAGAACCGCCCAGAAACCCGGTTCTGGGTCATTTGTGTAAAAACTGGTATTTACATTTGGCAGAAGCTTCGATCGATTAGCAGGTTCTGGCTACTTCCAGGCCCGTTGATTTCACTCAGAACATCTCTACAGTCTTACTGCACCACCTGTTGATCACATTATCACATTCTGTCATTGGGACACAGATCCAGTGGAACCGGTCTAGAAGTTCTGAGTAGTTCTGTTGGGCTGTGTTACACCTTTATCACCAGACTGAATTTTTAGAGTCTAAAAATATTCTTGTAATTAAAAAGAAGCAACACCTGCAAACCACGCAGAAGCTCTGCTGGTGACCAGTCTCAAACCTCACCAGGGGGAAGAGGAACCCTGTCTGGGGGGGGGGGGGGGGGGGGGGGGGGGTCCAGAAGGAACAAATCCAGAGAAATCTGCATGTGTGTGTGTGTGTGTGTGTGTGTGTGAGTGGTGTGTGTGTGTGTGTGTGTGTGTGTGTGTTTCCCCTTAAATAAACACTTGATTAATATTTTCTTTTTAACGAGTCTCTGGTCGACGATAGATTACTCTCCCCTTGTTGACCTTTGACCCTGAGACATGCCTCAGCTGTTGTCATTGGAACATATAACTTTAAATAACTCAATGAGTCAGTGTGAGCTCCACATTACAGCCACTCGACCTCCAGTCAGGCCCCCCGAACGGCTGGCTGTCAGCTGTTTGTCACCGTGGAAACCAGCCCACACGCCTCTACAGGTTTGAGCCCCTCATAACTCAAATAGTTTTCAGAGCTCCGGTTTCCTACAGACCCACAAAGACAAACTCAGCCATCACTGGAGCTTCAGCACCACATCCACACATTTGTGCTTGTCAAGTTTATTTAGGGTAGTTTTCCTGTAGTTTCTGTGTTTTTGTCCCTGCAGATCTGAGCTGTGTTAGATATCAGGGCAGTGCTTCAGCTTTGAGGATGAAGCAGGAACCAGAGAGGACACGGTCTTCAGCTGAATATCAGGACAGGTCCAAACAGCTGCAGAAGAAGTTTGACCTAAGCAGGAGTATCTAAGCATTTAGTGTCAGATGAACGTTTTATTTAAATTTTTAACAGTCACGTGTTTTGCTGTGACACGGTTGGTGTTGATGACAGGAAGTCTCTGGATCTGACTGTTTTCTAGTTTCTGGGTCTGATGAATAAACGTGAGTCTTATCAGGATCTGGGTCGTGTTTTATGACCGGAGCTCACACGTCTGCTTTTTAGTAAAGGTCAGTGAGGGCTTGTGCTTCTAGTTACCAGGCAGTACTGTGGCCTAATATTTTCATAAAAAAATATTTGAAATCTTCAGCATTTTTATTAGAACTCATGTCAGGATAAATCTAAACCTGGTGCGTCTGGACCTCGTCTTGGTTTTCGATTTTTGTTGCAGCGGCAAAGACATTTATCAGATCACCCGTCTGAACGTCTAACAGCCACATTTTATCTGAACCGCTGGAGAATGGACCTCCTGGTGGGACTGAGAACCTGTGGTCTGTTCTCTGTGAGGAGCAGGACTGGAGCCCTGAGGCTGGATGAGCAGCAGGATGTTCTGAACCTGTGGTTGTCTTAACAAACATCATTTTAACCCTTTCATGTTGTTTTCTGGCACAGGCTTCCATATGCAAGCAGGATAAACAACAAGCATCTCCATCATCAGTGAGAGATTACCAGAATCACTGAAGCACTTTGGGAGATGTCAGGACCTGCAGAACCCTGGTCGGACCTTATTACAGCCAGGACTCATTTCATGCAGCATTAACGTGATTATCAGATCTGTTCCGGCAGGCTGGTTTAGACATTTTCCAGCAAGTAAACACCAGCAACAACAGAGCAGAAACTAATGCTCATGAGCTGTGCTTACATTCAGCTCCACCTGCAGTCAGCGTTCAGGGTTTAGTTACAATCATATGGGGGTAAACATTTGTTCATAAGAAAGTCACTGGTCCTTCTAATCAGTCGACAAATCACCTTCAGGACCTCCTAAAAGTCTAAGAGCCTGTGAGGAGGAACTATTCTGTCAAAGGGAACCTTTAAAAACTCACTGACCTTCTTTCCATAAGCAGCTCCCATTATTCCCACTCCAACGGGCCTCTTTCCTTTCTCTCCACTCCAGCTCTTTATTTCCCAGCAGCAGTGATCCGGCTCTGTTGCTCCTCACTGTACTGTCCCCTTGGCCCGGCAGCGGGACACCCGGGTCTCTGGGTCCATTAGCTCGCCACAGGGTGAGGAAAACTTCAGATCAACAAGCGGTGGAGAAGTGAGCAGCCAGACAGGGCTGAGCCAGTCTGAGTGTCCGAATGTGTGGAGCAGCAGCAGGAGGAGGAGGAGGAGGTGTCCCTGCCACCTGTTCCCACATGACTCTCTGCTCTCAGCTGTGGGGAGATAAGGTGCTCTGACTGGATTAATGTAATTGGAGGAGACAAGAAACCAGAAAGCAGTGAAGTCTGAATCTGGAGTCTTCTCCACTAAACAAGTTCAGGGTGAAGATGACAGACCAACACGTGTGGAGCCAGAGGAAGCCCGCTCCAAAGGACAGATGGATCCACCTCCAGCCTGCTGTGGAGCTGAGAATTCACCCACTCCTTCCTTCAGGGTGGTGGAACCACTGAGTCATTCCTGCTCATGGTGAGCCTCCAGATCAGAATCTGTGCCTCGTTGGGTGAACTGGACCGCCTCTTCCCATCGGAAGACTTCTCATCTCAGAAGACGTCCATTCAAAGAGCTTCAGGCTGATTAACTGTACTGAGATCTTCATCAGTAGAAGCTGAGGACCGGAGTGAAAGCAGATGTTTGAAAACAGATGTCCTCCTTGACTCCTCTTGAACCAGTGAGCCTTGCTGTGTCACTTGTCCTTCAGCTGTAGGTGGACAGTAGGACCTCCACCCGTGGAGGCTGCGCTCATCCTTTCTGGATGGTGAACCTTCATCGGGGTTTTGGTTGAAAGTATGAAGGTGTGAGTTAGAGACTAGACTCAAAGCTGCGTTAGCGTTCGGTAGCTTTCTCTGGTTAACGTTGGTTTTCTCCATCTGAGGAGACATTGAACTGGAGGTTTCAGGTTTCCAGGAGCAACAATGCAGCTCAGAATCAAACACAAACTTTTTATTTCAGCACGTTTACACTTTTGATCTGCAGACAGCTTTGGTTCTCCTGATGTTGTGATCATTTAACATCCGCGTGAGAATCAAACACTCAGGTGTGAGATTAGTTTCAACTAGATGCTAAAATTCATTTACAGTTCCCAATTTTCCTTTTAAACACAATAAATACTCTTTAATTTCCTTAATTAAACCGGCAGAAACAAATGCAGGAGGTTACAGAGAGGTCAAACGATTCAATGTGAGCGAATATGGTGATCTGATCCAGCTGAGCCACAGGTTACCACGGAGACAGCAGGTACTAAGGGAGGAACATCTTCACTAGTCTACAGTGGGCGGAGCCTCTGACTCTTCCTGGCTTGGACCCGACATCTGCATGAAGAGTTCCCGCAGCTCTGTGAGGTCATCATCCAGGGACGGAAGGGGCGGTTCTGATCGCTGTTCACGCTCCTCGATGAAATCCCACAAATGAACGTTGTTCATGAACTAAACAGAGAAAACACAACTCAGCATCAGAAACTACAAATCCAGCTGATGATGGACTACCGCTCCCAGGAAAAAGCTGTGGTTTCTTACCCGGACGTTCCCCTCTGAGCTCAGCTGCTTCCGAGGCCGGTCCGGTTCTGCTCGCGTGCCGTCTGGGAAGGTGTGAAGATACAAGCACTTCCCTCCAAAAGGACACGAGCCACGACCCTGATCAAAGTACTTACAGGCCTTCTTACTGCACACAAACAACAACACATGAAAACACACTTCCACCTGCGGCTTTAACTTCCTTTATAAACTAGCAGCTCATTGGCTGAAGATAAGTGGGCGGGGCTCAAGCACAAAGCTCACCTGACACCTGACTTGAAGAGTTCGATCAGGTTGTCCTTCTCTGCCTGATCCTCCACCCAGTACACAGAGGGAATGACGAACTCCGAGGCGACCCGACACTCCGGACACGATCTAAGACGCAGAGAGAGACGCTCAGGTCCAACAGAACCACAGACTAGCAAAGATGCTTTTTAAAGCAGATGTGTATGCGATCTCCGTCTCAGAGACACAAACCGATCCCGTTCCTGCACCTACAGATGAAACTGGTCCAGGAGTTCATTTATGTCAGTAATCCAACCTAAAGGTGAAAATAATCTACGAGACAGACTCGTTCCTTGCTAATCCAAAGTGTCGCACTCTAATCAGCTAATGAATCCAGAACACCTGCAGAGGGTTCTTCGGCTTTTAGATGGTCTCTCAGTCTGAGCTGGATTACTGACATTAATGAACATTTTTACAGTTTAACCTGTAGAAAACTTTTACCATGATCCTAATAATCAAGGATTAGTCTCAGGTCACAAACATGTGAGCAATAAATGTTAACGCACGTTGGAAGTAACGTATCTTCAGGGTGGAGCGTTTTCCTTATAGATTCATAATCTTCATGTTAATCTTTTTTTTGGGTAATCTGGTATTTTCAGTTGTTAGAAATCAATCAGAAGTTGTGAAAATCAGCAGGTCAGAGCCGTGTACGAGTCAGAACCTCTAGAGACCCCGCCATGGCAACAGGAAATAAGAAACTCACTCACTCGGGTCGCAGGGAGCTCGTGTCTAACTCCAGCATTAAACAGAAAGAGGTGGAGGACACCTGGACCTGTCTTAAGCAGGGGTAGACATTTATATCGGCTCGATATTTGTCCTTAGTAAAGCTGATTTAAAGTCAGGCGCATCCTCAGGCATCCCAGTGCTGTTGCACAATTTACTTTAAATTCACATTGACTAATGACATCTGCATAATAAATACTCTAAATGTACTTAATTTAGGTGCCTGACTTTAACCCTGAGCAGTGCACAAAGTTAAGATAAGTTAAAGTCAGAGTTCATAACCGATTCGACTTCAGAGATTTCGTGCATCAACTGATGCCATCAGTAACATTTCAGCATGAGGTGGAAAATGACTGGATGAAGATCAGCCCATAAAAACCAGCAGTATGTATCGGCCATCGACTGATCGTGTCTCCCACATATTGGCAGCGGCAATAGAAGAACCGGTATTGGTTGACCTCTAGTCTCAAGTCCATCACAGGGAGACAGAACCAGTCCCACACTCGCTCACACCTACTCCAGAGTCTTCTGGGTCTAAAAAAAACTTCTTAGGACCCGATTCTGCCCCAGTCCCAGATTCTGGCCCCGGACCCTGGATGGCTTGAATCCGACTCACTTGATGATCTTGTTGCAGAAGGTTCTGGTTCCTCGCCACTGTCGGATGCAGGTGAGACAGAAGGTGTGGCAGCAGGAGGAAAGGATGCCAAACCTTCGCTCTGACGGATTCGACTTCTGAACCACCACCTCCATGCAGATGGAACACACCTGAACAACAACAACAGTGAGGATGGCCGTCGTCAAGGCAACCAGCTTACATACTCAACCAACTCACCTTATCCTGGCTGAGCTGAGCTGCAAAGGCCTTCTCCATATCAGCCTCAAATGCCAGCATGCACATCTGTGGGGAAACACGCATGCACACACACGTTAGGTTCCCACCATTCTGGACTCAAAGACATCTCCATTAACAGAACCTAGTCCAACCTTCTCATGCGCTCTCCTCTGCTCAGCATCATAGGGGTGGAGCACTTGCAGGCCGCATACATCACACAGGTTGCCATGGAGATATGTGCATCTGTCCTCAAAGTGACAGTGTCCAGCGGCAGCGTAGGGACACAGCTGGGGGACATTGTGGTAAGCCCCGCCTACTGGATGGGATTCTGCAGAAAAGGCAGGTAGATAGAAGTTTATCCCCCCTTCTCCAAGCACACTGATGACATCAAACAGAGCAGCCAATCAGACGGGTCAATCCAGACCTTGTTCTAGTGCCAAGACATCCAGTCCAGTTCTGATGGCGTCCACATACGTCTGTGGGGCTGCTGCTGCAGAGAAGCCTGAGTCCAGACTGTGTACTGGGCCGCCAAACGCAGCATCACCACCCAGAGCTGAAAAGCAGAAGAGATGTGGTGACAGAGGGGGTGTGGCCACCACAGTCGCATGTTGAACATCACCAGAGGCTTGTTTGTTGAAGCAAACTCTGAAAATCGAGGCACATTTAAAAGTCCTCACTTGAGTTAGCTTATCAGTTGAGTCTAGCTAGGTTTATTCTGTTCCACAAACGATGCTCAGGTGGAGGCAGTCCGTTAATCCATGCTAGATGAGCGAGAATGGAAGGAAAAGAAAGAGCCACGTCCTGCTCCCAGGTAGAGCAAGAATTAATTCACGCCTACAAGGATTACAAAGGTTTCAGCTGCTTGATGAAAGCTGGGCAGCTGGAGCCATTTAGTTGAGCAGCTGTGAGTTTTAAGAAGATAAGTTCATGTTGGTCACCTGACCCTCATGTCTTTAAAGGGATATTGTACCCCAAGTGAAATTTGGTCTGTTGCCATGACGGTGGCACGGGAGTTAAGTGCTCGCCCCGCTCAGTTCGTCGCTGTCGTTGTGTCCTTGGGCAAGACACTTAACCCGACTTGTCTGCTGTCCAGAGTACAAGCTGTTAAAATGTATAGTCACACCTATAAAGTTTTCCTTTTACACATGTTATGTTGGCAGATGTAAGTATTTAAAGCTATTTAACATAAAGAGGACAGCATGTTAATGATACGGGTCCATCCCAGACTAAAGCAGGAGCAGCATCAGTGGAATCAAACGCTCCTGGCTGCTAATGAAGATTAAACACAACAATATTCTTCAGAAGGATACAAATTCAACTAGAACTCAATTTTAAAAGATTAAACCCACATTTATTAATAATTTAGCCACTAAAAATAAAGATGCAACTGCTGTGGGCCAGCGGAGGCAGAGATGCACCACCTTGGTGCCGCCGGCAGGCAAGAAGAAGGGGCCATAACACTCACTCGAGGAACCAAACTGGGAAATGAGCCGGGATTTTTTTTGAGTGAGCCTGATTTATGGGATTAGCTCGATCTGTGGAACAATCCTCAGGTGTAACAAACTGAAAACACACACACACACAAATAATAGCTAATTTAGGTGCTGATATCACCTACTCTACAGGTGTTCAAGGCTGAAACCAAAAACACGTGTTTACCTCTGTCCCTCAGAACCAATGTCCTCTTGGCTTCACCTCTGCCTCCACCTGCCAGGTCCTCTGAAGGTGCACCCCCTCCTCCTCTGGGTGTGGGTTTTATGTGATCATACCTGTACACACATCACACAACCATCATACCTGTCCAAGCGATGCAACCACACCCAATCAGCAGATGCTTTACTACTGTCTAGGTCAAACGGAGCCAATATTACCTGTCAGGTGAATCATTTCCTGTCAGATTAATCTGCTACCTACCAGACTGACCTGTTGCCCGTCAGGCTTGTCTCACCTGCAGCGCTCTCCGTAGGCACACACTCCTCTCTGGTAGAACTTGCAGATGGTTGATGGTTTACTGTTGTTCGGGTCATGAGAGAACATACAGCGGCTGCCCTCTCTGCACACTCCATGGATGAAATACCTGAAACGAAGCACACCTGTCAACCTTACTGATGATTGCCTGTCATGTTCCATTTACTCAGGTAACCCCAGCTCTGAACATGTGATCCACCTCTTTTTAACTCCACAAAAAGTTCACCCATTCTAATGATGAAATGTAACAGACTGGGAGAAGGAAGCCCCGAAATTTTTGGCTTCCATGCAGCACGTTTGGACCGAATCATCCAATAGAGAGTGGTCTGGACCGGTTTGACCTGTAGAACTAGACCTGTGTGATCTGCAGAACTGGACCTGTGTGATCTGCAGAACTGGACCTGTGTGATCTGCAGAACTGGACCTGTGTGTTTCTATAGAACTGGATCTGTGTGATCTGCAGAACTGGACCTGTGTGTTTCTATAGAACTGGACCTGTGTTATCTGCAGAACTGGACCTGTGTGTTTCTATAGAACTGGACCTGTGTTATCTGCAGAACTGTGTGATCTGTAGAACAGGGCCTGTGTGATCTGCAGAACTGGACCTGTGTGATCTGCAGAACTGGACCTGTGTGTTTCTATAGAACTGGACCTGTGTGATCTGCAGAACTGGACCTATGTGATCTGCAGAACTGGACCTGTGTGTTTCTATAGAACTGGACCTGTGTGATCTGTAGAACTGGGCCTGTGTGTTTCTATAGAACTGGACCTGTGTGATCTGCAGAACTGTGTGATCTGTAGAACTGGGCCTGTGTGATCTGCAGAACTGGACCTGTGTGTTTCTATAGAACTGGACCTGTGTGATCTGCAGAACTGTGTGATCTGTAGAACTGGGCCTGTGTGATCTGCAGAACTGGACCTGTGTGATCTGCAGAACTGGACCTGTGTGTTTCTATAGAACTGGATCTGTGTGATCTGCAGAACTGGACCTGTGTGTTTCTATAGAACTGGACCTGTGTGATCTGCAGAACTGTGTGATCTGTAGAACTGGGCCAATGTGATCTGCAGAACTGGACCTGTGTGATCTGCAGAACTGGACCTGTGTGTTTCTATAGAACTGGACCTGTGTGATCTGCAGAACTGGACCTGTGTGGTCTGCAGAACTGGGCCTGTGTGATCTGCAGAATTGGACCTGTGTGTTTCTATAGAACTGGATCTGTGTGATCTGCAGAACTGGACCTGTGTGATCTGCAGAACTGGGCCTGTGTGATCTGCAGAACTGGACCTGTGTGTTTCTATAGAACTGGACCTGTGTGATCTGCAGAACTGTGTGATCTGTAGAACTGGGCCTGTGTGATCTGCAGAACTGGACCTGTGTGTTTCTATAGAACTGGACCTGTGTGATCTGCAGAACTGGACCTGTGTGATCTGCAGAACTGGACCTGTGTGATCTGCAGAATTGGACCTGTGTGTTTCTATAGAACTGGACCTGTGTGATCTGCAGAACTGTGTGATCTGTAGAACTGGACCTGTGTGATCTGCAGAACTGGACCTGTGTGATCTGTAGAACTGGGCATGTGTGTTTCTATAGAACTGGACCTGTGTGTTTCTATAGAACTGGACCTGTGTGATCTGCAGAACTGTGTAATCTGTAGAACTGGACCTGTGTGATCTGCAGAACTGGACCTGTGTGTTTCTATAGAACTGGACCTGTGTGCTTCTATAGAACTGGACCTGTGTGATCTGCAGAACTGGACCTGTGTGATCTGTAGAACTGGACCTGTGTGATCTGTAGAACTGGGCCTGTGATCTGTAGAACTGGACCTGTTTGATCTGCAGAACTGTGTGATCTGTAGAACTGGGCCTGTGTGATCTGCAGAACTGGACCTGAGTGTTTCTATAGAACTGGACCTGTGTGATCTGTAGAACTGGACCTGTGTGTTTCTATAGAACTGGACCTGTGTAATCTGCAGAACTGTGTGATCTGTAGAACTGGGCCTGTGTGATCTGCAGAACTGGACCTGTGTGTTTCTATAGAACTGGACCTGTGTGTTTCTATAGAACTGGACCTGTGTGATCTGCAGAACTGTGTGATCTGTAGAACTGGGCCTGTGTGATCTGCAGAACTGGACCTGTGTGTTTCTATAGAACTGGACCTGTGATCTGCAGAACTCGACCTGTGTAATCTGTAGAACTGGACCTGAGTGTTTCTGCAGAACTCGACCTGTGTAATCTGTAGAACTGGACCTGTGTAATCTGTAGAACTGGACCTGAGTGTTTCTGCAGAACTCGACCTGTGTAATCTGTAGAACTGGACCTGAGTGTTTCTATAGAACTGGACCTGTGTGATCTGTAGAACTGGACCTGAGTGTTTCTATAGAACTGGACCTGTGTGATCTGTAAAACTGGACCTGTGTGTGTCTATAGAACTGGACCTGTGTGATCTACAGAACTGGACCTGTGTGAGCTGTACCCATGCGTTTCTATCCGGACTTGTTCCATCTAGACTGGGACTTTTAATCAAAGCACATCTCTGAGCAAGCTGGATCATCTTGCTCGTTGAACCGTGCTCAAGCCCACCCTGAAGAGAGGATGGCGGTTTCCATGGTAACAGGCTAATTTATGTCAGACCAGTCAACATGTATTAATCTGATCTCGACTACGGTGTTTACGTCTAACCTGAACGTTTTCTATTAACTGCGCATGCTCAAAATGTAGGCGAGTTTTTACTGAAAACTATCGGCTAAAAACAATGGGAGAACGACAGCGCATGCGCGTTATCGCAGCTCGGACAAGCTAGTGAGTGAAAAGACGGCAGTGCTCACCTGCAGGTCACCTGTTTGCTGCTCATCTTCCTCGCGACTTTCTGGACTCTCACAATCACCGCTGCCGGAAGTGTCCTCTCGGTGTCACCGTCTAACAGCTCCGACGGAAAGCATTATAACCGTGAAGACTCGTGCAGCCGCGGTGCGTCAGCGCCACTGTGTGGCTTGGAGGACCCTGAGAAGAAATCTACTTCTGTTCTGACTACGTAGATGTGTGTTTAAGAAATTAGGATGGATTGATTTTTTTTAATTAAAATGAGATTTTGAGATTAGTAAAATTCCTGTAAAACTGCTTCCTGGCAGAATCTTTCCTTTTGAAAAATGTGTTTTACCCATAATTTCTCTCCCCATATCCTTATGGAACAATATAGTGATAACAGTTTACAGCAAATCCCTATTTATCAGAAATTGATTTGAAAGACTGTACTGTTTGTACCCCTGAAGGAAATTGTTAGAATTAGTGCCTTTTATTAAGAATTATAACTTAGGTTGTACCCAAAGGGAACACCAGCAGGTTCGTAAGACTATTCCTGTGGCTTTAAAGCAGCTAATTTACAACACAGTGTTGTTTTCAGTTGTTGAAACAGTGCTGCCTAACCTAAAAACAGCAGATTGTAATTTACTGGATGAAAATTTTGTTAACAAGGTTATTAATGCAACATTTAAATCTATTATTTTCATGATAATCATTCAGGAATGATGTTTCCAAGCTTTTAGTGACCAATTCTACATAAAAAGGATTATCTAAATATGTAAAGTGGCCAGCTGCACCAAGAAACACAATTCAAAATAATTAACCCTGTTGCAGAATTCTTGAAGGAAAGATTTAAATTGGAGTTGGGTCTGTGCCCTTTCAGTGATTCAGTCGGTGAAACACTGCAGCATGTTTTCATGTCCTGTATCAGCTAAGTTCTTAAAGTCAAAGTCCCATCAGTTGTCACACACACTGATGTGTGTGCGAAATTTGTTCGCATTTGACCCCCCTGGGGGAGCGGTGAGCTGCAGACACAGCCACATTCTGGAACCATTTGGTTGTTTAACCTCTCAATCCAATCTTTGATGCTGAGTGTCAAGCAGGGAGACATTGGGTCCCATTTTCTCAGTCTCTGGTATGACCCGACCAGGAATCAAACTCTGATCTCCCAGTCTCAGGGCGGACACTACCACTGAGCCAGTATCTGGTTGCAGATACACAACTGGTTATCACTAAAACCCAATGATATTCATTATTTTAGTACCTTCTACACAGCTCTCAGAGAGCACAGACGCTTTTCTTCAGCTCCCTTATCTGCTTTTCCCAAGGCTCTCTGTCCTGTCTGCCTACAGAGCACTTCTCTGCATTTCTCCTGAAATCACTACTTCTTTTTGGAAAATGGACTTAATTAACTGGTCATTCAACGCGAATGATAATATTTTTTTTCTACGATGAGAACAGAGAAGGGGGCTCCCACCTGTCCTCAAGGGACATTCGCAGCGGGATATGCACTCGATTCTTGGGAGGTCTGGCGAATCGTGTGCCTCTCTCAGTTGTCCATCGAGGACGTGGAAGATTTGTGGATATTCGGTCTGATGATCACTGGATTTCTTCTGATTGGATTGGGAGGATATCTGGTTTTCTGGAAATTTGGGAAGACGGGAGCGATTGGAGTGCGACCCGCACCCACGGAATGTGCCGCCTGTGCGTTGACCTCATAGACTGGGACGTTACTCGAGGTGAACCGTAAGCTGGACAATGTCCTCGCGGCGTTGCCTGTGTTAGTGTGCAAGATGGATGTCATCTCGGAGAGGGTCGCCGGACGGTGTGGGGATGTTTAGAACGTATAAGTGGCTTCACTGGTGGACATGAATGATCACTTAATAGACTCCAAGGCAGAGAGGAAAACTATCTCTGTCTGCCCTAAACAAAGTCTTGTTTATCCTAATATGACGCCAAGGAGCCTCCAAAGCTGCCATCAATATCACCCCCACGAAAGGAGGAATGCTGACAGATGCTGTGACCCGACCTCCCCCCCCCCCCCCCCCCCCCCCGCCTTCAGATTGTGACTTCTGCTTCGAGGTCATCAACCTGCAGGAAACTCAATGTGCTCTCTGGCCCTCATCTCTCCCTCCCACCTGTTTGACTGCAGCTGTGAGCGCCGTACACTGGCAGCTCCCGTTGGAGGATTCAGTGCTCCTGCACTAAAATGACTGATGTTTGTTTTTGTTGAATAGAATAGAATAGAATAGAACTTTTTAATCCCAGTGGGAAAATTCACTTGTTACAGCAGCACACACACTTAAGAGAAAAGAAAGAAGAAAAATTAGACTACAGGTAAAAACACAAATTATTGTAACCTTCAATCACTAAAACAGCACATAAATAGAAAACTTGTGTTTCCAGAACTATGCAGCATACTGTAAGGGACACAGACATACTGATGTACATCCGGTATTAAACACATACTGAGTATTGCATTGGTGGAATTGTGTACCAGGATAATGCCAGTACCAGTTAAACTGAGGAGTTCTACACTCTTACTGCAGAGGGGATGAATGACCTACGGAAGCATTCTATTTTACATCTGGGATGTATGTTGGGATCTTGGATGTCTGCCTCTGAAGGAGCTGTCCATGGTCTCCACAGTGGAACACAGTGGGTGGGAAGGGTTTTCCCAGATGGAGGTCATCTTCCCCAGCATCCATCCTCCTTTTGCACATCTCCTCAACTGAATCTACTTGACAGTAGTGATGGGAAAAATGAAGCGAGGCACCGGAGCGTGTGCCAAGCAAAAGTGGGCGTGCCAAATGAAGCCCTGCTTCGAGGCTTGTATCAGGAAGGGGGAAACCACGTGACCGAGGCCTCAGTTTGTGCCGGCGACGTCATTGGCTCGGCCAGCAAGTCGCTTCTCAAGCTGCATGAAAAGCTGGGAAGCTTCGTGGTGTTAGTGAGAAGACTGCGTGACCATACACATCACTTGGAGTCTGTTAGTGGTTTGACACTACCAACACTGCTGGATCCCAGGTTTAAAAAACTTGCCTTTGTGAGTCCTAGAAAAGCACAAGAAGCAGTGACGCGTTTAAAAAATGAATGTGTTGTCCAGCTGTGAGCCTTGGCCGGCAACAAGATGGTGCCTGTGCTTGGCTTAGCCGCAGTCACCGGCCACTTTTTCAAACTTTTCTCCACTAACCTCCTCTTTTCCACCTTGCTCCTGTCTGCGATCTTCAGTAGTGTCCCTGCTACCCTCTCATATGATCGCCAGACCCTTTTGTCCTTCCGTTCATTTACGATCGCCCAAGACGCGAGAACGGAGAAGGAAGTGTCGCCACCATCAGCGTCAGCCTGATGAAGTTTGCAGTCGCAAACTAAACGTAGCGGGAAAACAAAAACCGCTGTGTGTTTTTAAAAAGAACTACAGCATGGAATTGAAGACTCACTTGTTCAAGCTGGCTTTTGTATGACCTTCTTCACCCCTCGCTCCTTATTCCGCTTTCCCCGCCTATTCCACCTTCCTCAGGATCCACTGATTTCCCTCTTTCCTATTCACTCTCTCTCTTTCTTAAGATTTTTTTTAAATCCCAATTGCCTATTGGGATGATGTGGTGCTCACTCCTCACCCCTGCCACATGGACCCAAGGGATAAACCATCAATCCTGCTCAATGGTTAACTTTCCTCGTGGGGTCACACCTGTTAGGACAGTGGGAGGTTTAAACATCTTGTTCAGTCAACACATTTGATCATATCAAACTATAAAGCTGTAAAGTCATTTATGATTCAAGGGAGATGAACTTTATTCTGTGTGAAAGTGCAGAAAGTCTCGTCTTCCGCATGACTTTGTCTTCCAGCCCAGATAAGGTAGCAAGTAATTACTATTTCTCCTTTATCTTGTGACAAGGTCTTGTGCAGTGCTTTCTTGTTTGGAGGCCCGCCAGGTGGGATGTCTGTGCCGGCAAATTAAATGTGAATTTCTGGTCATTTTTTATGTGAATACATGACCATTGGGTACGCTACATAAGTAAAAAAAATCAAATACATAATTGCATGGATTAAAAATTCAATGCCATAAATTCTATGGATAAAAAAGTCATATTCTGTTGAAACTGTCTTTCTTCCATACTCAGTGAATTTTTTTCTCTTTCTTCCAAAGATGAATTTTGGTCATGTAACCCAGATTATAACTGCTTTTTATTAGTTAATGTTAAACCAGACCCCACCTTGTGTTGATAAGAAAATGAATTGTCGTGGTTTTTTATCTTACAAGGAAGTTCAAAGTTCATTTTAACATCAAAGATCAGCGAGACAGCGCTGCACCAAGAAGAAAACTAAAACTAAAAACAAGCCAACAGGACTAAGATCGGGACAGGGTTTTTGGTGAGTTCCAAAATCAACATTTTTTTAAATGGCAGGAAAACTTGCTGTTGAAGATCTGCTGAGCTGCTACGTTTGTTCAGAGACTTTCAGAGATCCTGTGTCTCTGAGCTGCAACCACAGCTTCTGTTCAAGCTGCCTGCAGAAGTTCTGGAAACAAGCTAACAACAGAAGCTGTCCTGTATGTAAAAGAAGAGATTCAAAGGAGTTTCCTCCAGTTAATTTTGCTCTGAAAGAACTTGCTGATTCATTTACTAAGAAGCAAAGTGAACGATCAGCTGAGACAGAGAGAAAAAACAAGAAAGAGGAGAAAGAAGTCACGGTTTGCGAGAAACACTCAGGAGCTCCTTTCTGGTTCTGTGAAGACGAGCAGAGAGCTGTGTGTCCTGTCTGTGAGTTTTCTCTCCACCAGAGTCACAAAGTGGTTCCTGTAGAACAAGCAGTCAGTGAGCTGAAGGAGCAGCTGGAATCTGACTTAAAGTCTCTGCAGGACAAGAGAAGCAAATACAAACAAGTGGAGGAAACATACAACGATGTGATTCAACACTCTGAGAAGCAGCTGGTGTCCACAGAGAGACAGATCAGAGCAGAGTTCAACAAGCTCCACCAGTTCCTGAAAGAGGAAGAGGAGTCCAGACTGGCAGCTCTGAGGGAGGAAGAGGAGCAGAAGGAGAAGACTATCAGGAGAGAGATGAAGAGGATTCAGGAGCAGATTTCCTCTCTGTCAGACAGCATCTCTGCTGTTGAAGACGAGCTGCAGAAAGACAACGTGGCGCTCCTCAGCAGTTATAAAGACACTCAGACCAGAACCAGAACCCAGAGCTCAGTGTCAGATCCGCAGCTGGTCTCAGGAGCTCTGATAGATGTGGCCAAACACCTGGGCAACCTGTCCTTCAGAGTCTGGGAGAAGATGAAGGACAAGGTCCACTTCTGTCCTGTCATCCTGGACCCAAACACTGCAAATGGCTGGTTGTGTCTGTCTGATGATCTGACCAGTGTGAGACGTGGAGACAGAAAGCAGCAGCTTCCTAATAATCCAGAGAGAAACACTAAGTATACAAATGTTTTTGGTTCTGAGGGCTTCAGCTCAGGGAAACACAGCTGGGAGGTGGAGGTGGGAGATCTTCCTGTCTGGGATGTTGGTTTGGTTAAAGAGTCAGTGGACAGGAAGGGAGAGCTAAAAGCTTCACCAAAATATGGGATCTGGTGTTTACTGCATGCTGGTGGAAAATACACTAATGGTTCTGGTCAGATTATCTCAGTGAAGAAGAGTCTCCAGAGGATCAGAGTCCAGCTGGACTACGACAGGGGGGACGTGTCCTTCTATAACTCTGAAGACATGTCTCACATCTGCACTCACAGAGACAATTTCACTGAGAAAATGTTCCTTTTTTTAAATATTGGTCCAGCAGGAGCTGCTAAAACCACTACGATCAAAATCTGTGAAACTGAGATGGTTGTGAAGTCGAATTGATTCGTTTTAGATGCTTTGCCGCTGTTGTTTTTCTGTGGTAGATTTTTTTCCTTCATCTAATTGAATTTTACCTTTTTAATTAAAAGAAAAAGCCTATATCCAGCCTATTTAAATTAAAATACTCAAATCATTATTTTTTTTTTTTTCAAAAAGTATATTTTATTGCATTTTCAGTTTACTGTACACCTTTCACACATTATTATGTTGTATACTGAAAGTACATTCTGTATAAAATCTTAATGGAACAACAGAACAACAGAACATTTTAACAATTTTGGTTGTGCTTCTGGCGATCCTTTCCAACGTTAGTGCATTTATAGTATTGAAGGCAATATTCACATAGACATGTTTAATAAAACTTTGAGTAAGAAGTCCCCGAATTACACCTTACTTTTGCTTCTCCCATTACAATCTAAATGCTGGTCAGAAGACCGATTATTTTCCTACTCTCCCACTTTATAAGTCCTTAGCTTTTTATGTCCATCCTCTTAATATATGTTAGAAAAGGTGTCCATATTTCGTCAAATAAATGTTGCTTGGCCTTTAAGATATAGGTAATCCGTTCCAGCGGCATCACCTGTAACATCTGTTTCATCCAATCCTTCACAGTGGGTCTATGGAGCGATTTCCATGCCATAGCTATACACTTTTTTGCTACCATTAAACTAAGATCCAAAAAGACACGCTGACACTTGCTATAAGCATACTCATTAGGGCAAAGTCCTATTAGAAACAATTTAGCATCCAATGGTACCTCCTTTTTGATAATTTTTTCAGTAGAAATTCTTACATCCTCCCAGAACTTTTTGATTTCTGTACACTCCCAAACACAATGATACAACGTCCCTTTATGAACAGCACATTTAACACATGTATCTGGTATATTGCTATTGTATTTCTTCAGTCTCTCTGGGGTGACATATGTCCGCATTAAATATTTATGCTGAATTAATCTTAACCTGGCATTAATGAACTTGGTATGAGCTCCTCCACAGGCCTTCTCCCAGTCCTCTTTACTCAGTTCTTGTCTGAGGTCGTCTTGCCATGCTGCTCTTCTATCGTTCGCTCCATCTGAATGATGTTCCACGATTATCCGATAACAGTCCGAGACTATTCCTCTTCGTGTGAAGTCCTTTGTCATCATTTCTTCCAACATGGTGATGGAGGGTTTGGAGTCCCCATTTTTTTGCTTAGACTTTAGAAAACTTCTGAGCTGGAGGTATTTAAAAAAATATTTCCTTTCTATTCCATATTTAGCCCTTAACTGCTCAAAGGACATCAAATGATCAGAATTTTGCAAATATAAGTCCTTAACTGATTTAATTCCCTGTAAATACCAGCTTTTAAACACGGCATCAGCTCTTCCTGGTGTAAATTGCTGGTTACCCCATATGGGACTGAAACAAGACAATTCTTGTTCTTCTGTAAGATGCTTTTTCACTGAGAACCAAACTTTTATCATATTTTTAACTATCGGATTCTTTATAGGTTTTAATAATTTCTTTTGTGAGTCAGAGTACACATACAAGAAGAATGGCAACTTTAGATCTTGTGATTCTAATTCCGCCCAGTGTGTGGGGTTTGTGGCTGAAAAGCAGTATGTAATAGTCCTTAACTGTGCGGCCCAGTAATACCATTTTAAGTTGGGGCACTTCAGCCCCCCTCTCTCATAGGGTAGATACAATAAGGAGAGTCTAAGTCTTGCCCGCTTGTTCTTCCAGATAAATCTAATGAATTCTTTCTCCAGCCTGGGGAATAGTTCCGTGGGGGGTGGCAGGGGGATGTTCTGGAACAGGTAGAGCAGTTTTGGGAGTACATTCATTTTTAAAATATTTATTCTTCCAATCAATGATAGTGGTAGATGGGCCCATCTCTCCATTTGTTCACTAATTTCTTTTAGCACCGGTGCATAGTTTGCTTCTGCTATCCGTTCTAGCCGAGGCATGATTTGTATTCCTAAGTATTCTATTTTGTCAGTTATTTTAAATTGAGTTATTTCTAACAGGGGATTTCTTCTCTCATCATCATTAAGCATCAGGATTGAGGATTTATTTTTATTAATTTTATATCCCGATATGTCACCTATTTTTTTAATTACTTCTAATAATACTGGGATCGATTTTTTAAGATTAGTGAGAAATAGCAGTGTGTCATCTGCATATAGTGCTATTTTGTGTTCACTATTCGCAACTGTAATTCCTTTGATTTGGGGATTTGACCTGATCGCTATGGCCAGAGGCTCAATTGCCATAATAAAAAGCAGCGGCGACAGGGGACAACCCTGTCTACACCCTCTTCCTATTGATATTGGCTTTGAGACATTCCTGTTTGACAAAACCTCAGCCTCCGCATTTTTATATAGTAGTTTGACCCATTTTATGAAATTTTCACCACAACCAAACTTTTCCAAGACTTTGAAAAGAAAAGGCCATTCTACTTGGTCAAATGCCTTTTCTGCATCCAAGGACAATATCGCCGTGTCTGGTTTTTCTGTATTATAATGAATAATATTTAACACCCTCCTTACATTATGTAGCCCTTGTCTTCCTAAAATAAAACCATTTTGGTCCCTATTAATGATATTGGGTAGAATTGTTTGCAGTCGTTTTGCAAGCAGTTTGCACATAATCTTTAGATCTACATTTAATAGGCTTATAGGTCTCATATTACCGCATTCGTCAAACGATTTTCCAGGTTTGGGAAGCAATGTTATTAGAGTTCTATTCATGAGTGGTGGTAAGTTATTTTCCTGAAAGGCCTCTTTAAACATTTCCAGAAGTGGTTTACTTAACTTAGATTTAAATTTTTTATATATCTCAATTGTGATGCCATCGGGTCCCGCTCTTTTCCCAGATTTTATACTATCCATGGCAGATTCTAGTTCCGTAATACTGATCTCCATTTCTAATTCCTCTCTTTCTTCTCTCTGTATTTTTGGTATTTGTAATTTATCTAGAAACTCTGTAATATCCTGCATCTTAACTGTTTTAGGGCTATACAACTTCTCATAATAATCTCTAATTATATTATTTATTTCAGATGGTTCTATTATATTGTTACCTTGCGAACGCAGATTTGTAATTGGTATTTTTGTTTCTAATCTTTTTATTTGCCATGCTAGAAGCTTTCCAGGTTTTTCTCCTTGTTCGTAAAAGCTCTGTCGTAATCTCTGTAGGCTCGCTGCTGCTCTTAATGTTGACAATTTCTCATATTCCGCCTTTAAAATCAGCAATTCTTTTTCGCTTGTTGGATTGTATCTTTCATTTACTTTTTTTTGCAGATTCTTTAGTCTATTTTCCATATTTAATTGTGTCTCCCTCTTTTTCTTTTGGTTCGTGCTAGTATAACTTATAATATGCCCCCTTATATAAGCTTTAAATGCTTCCCATCTAATACCGGCTGATGTTTGTGTTGTGTTAATTTCAAAAAATATATCGATCTGGGTCCCTAAATATTTTATAAAATCCTCCTCTAGTAGCCACTTATTCTGGAAATGCCATCTTGTTGGGTCTTTTGAGAGTCTATCCTCTTTGTATATCATGCAACATGGCGCATGATCTGATATGGCTATTACATCATATTCACAGCTTTGAATCTTGTGTTGCAGGGTAGATGATATTAAAATATAGTCAATTCGGGAGTATGTTTTGAAGACTGAAGAGTAGCAGGAATATGTTTTAGTCTGTGGATTTCTTTCTCTCCATATATCAATTAGATTTAGCTCTTTCATATAATATTGTAAGATACTCCTTGTTTTAATATGAGATTGATCTATTCCCGTGGATCTGTCCTGACTAGGATTTAAAGTGCAGTTAAAATCTCCTGCAATTATGAATTGCCCTGTCAAGGTGGAAAGATTCATAAATAATTCCTCGAAAAATTTGGGATCATCTGCATTGGGTCCATATAAGTTTACTAACACCAACTCCTCTTCTAGCAGTCTACCTTGAATAATTAGATACCTTCCCCTTTTATCTCTGATAATCTTTTTAGCCTGAATAGGAATTGCATTATGAATTAGTATCATTACCCCACTGGTCCGAGATGAAATTGAGGCCGACCAAACCATGCCCCGCCACCTCCTTTTGATTTTCAAAATGTCTTCATCTGGAAGATGTGTTTCCTGTAAAAAAACAACTTTTGAGTTTTTATCTTTAATCTTATTCATTACCTGTTTTATCTTTATAGGTTGTTGTAAGCCTCTGCAATTCCAGGACATTATATCTATGTTCATTTTATGTAATATTTGTTTGTTGTTTTGGATTGCCGTTCTTTTGCCTGAAAAGCACAACCAACTGGAACATTTGAACAATCAGAACTTTCATAACACTCTTTTTCTCCCTCGCTCGCTTAGGAGCAACTGTACCCATCTCTGTCTCCCGCTACGCTGGGACCTGTCCTCAGTGAGGAAAAGTCCAACCACTTTCCAAATACAGAACCTTAGTAAAAGGAAACAAACAAAAAAAAATCAGCCTCACCACTATCCACCACATTATTAGCGCTCCATTTGATTCTATTATTTAAGCAGGTTTAGTTCGCTCTTTATATCCCTCCCGGTCAATTAGCTTCTTCCTCTTTTTTTTTTTTCCCCCCTTTTAACTATCACTTAGCTCTGGGTGATTCCTCCTGGATTATTTTTAGTAGTTGTTTCGCTTCAGCGGGGCTCTTGAAGGCATGGACCTGGCCCTTGTAAGTAACCAACATCTTTGCGGGGTAAACTATTCCATGTCTGACTCCCAGCCTGCGCAGCTCCTGGCGTATTGGGTCGAATTGTTTCCTCTTCTGATGGACTCCTGTCGCCAGATCTTGATAGAACCACACCTGCTGGTTTTTGTACCGGATTTCTTTCTTGTTCCGTGCTGCCGTGATGACTGCCACTTTACTTTTGTAGCTAAGGAACCTCATGATGAGAGTTCTGGGCCGTGTCTCCGCGTCCCCCTTTGGACCGATGCGGTGCGCCCTCTCCAGTGCTACGCTGCAGCTCTGTGTTTCCAAACCCAGCACCTCCGGGATCCACTTTTCCAGGAAAACACAAGGGTCCGGTCCCTCTGCCCCCTCCGGAAGGTTAATCAGTCTGAGATTATTCAGCCTGGTCCTAGTTTCCAGGTCGAGGATTTTATCTTCCAGTGCTGCTTTGTGTTCTTTTAGATCCTTAACGTCGGCCTGCAGGCTTTGCAGCTCGTCCTCTACTCCTGATATACGCTGCTCGGCCCGGGTCACTCGTTCAACACAGTCATTTGTTTCTTTCCGTACCTTTTCAATTGCCTCCATGACATTATCCAGTCTCGCTGAGAATTCAGATTTTAATGAGTTAATCGCTGCTAGAATCTCGTTTGCTTTCTCTTCGTTCATTACCACCGTTGCTGCGTCACTCGTAGCCATTTCCTTAACTTTCGGTGTGTCGCTGCTGATCCGGAGGTCCGTCAGTTTAGGCTGTTTGGTTGCTGACTTAACCGCTGGGTCTGTCTTACGTGTTGTTGGCATCATAAAGAACTTCAACCTCTGTTATTCTTGTCTGAGTGGAGCTGTCAGTGCTTTAAAGAAGAATTGGTGGCGGAGCCGTGGTGCGCCCGTCCTCTCACATGGCAGCCATAACCGGAAGTCAAATCATTATTTTTATAGCAGTTTGACTTTTTGAGTTAGTGTAATTCTAAGAAACTCTTTAAAAATGATGAAACATGAAATTTGATTTAAACCGAATTAAAGAACAGGATTTTTACTTGTTGCAATTTTTAACTTCGGAAAAAAATTTTTGTTCTTTTTTTTTATCTCTGCTGATTTAAATGTAATAATTTTGACAGTGAAAAAAATGTTTCATTAGAAAGCAAAGAAGATGTTGTATCAGAAAGCCCTGCACATATTATACTGTGCTTTACTACTGCCATATATGAGTTACTGTGTAGAGGTCTGGGGAAACATACAAAAGCAGCATACAGATGATGACTATAATACAGAAAAAGGCCATTAGAATAATAAATAATGTGGGGTACAGGGACCATACAAATGCACTATTTGCCGAAATCCAAGCTATTAAATTCCAAGACTTGGTGAAGCTCAAAACAGTGCAAATAATGTATAAATTAAGAAATAAATTGCTTCCAAAAGAAATCTGTTTATTGTTCAAAGAAAGAGACGGTGGGTATAACTTAAGAAGGAAATAGAATTTAAAAATACAAAGTGCTAGAACAACTTTAAAAACTGTCGATCGCAATTGCAGGAGTTAAATTATGGAACAGTCTAACAGAAGAGATAAAAGTAAAAACATAAACCAGTTTAAAGTAAAATATAAAAACATAATTTTAAATAAGTATAAGAATGAAGAGAACAGGGTTAACACAGGACGGTAAATGTGGCTTGTTATGCTATTGTGCTTCTTTTGGTTTGTTTGGTCTTTCTTTTTTCTCCATAACTGTGAATCTGCTAATTTACACATTCTCTGTTTTCTATATGTTGTATTGTTTATTATATATATATATAATATAGATTTTTTCTCATAGGTGGTTTGTTTAATTTAAAACTTAAAGAAAATTAAATGAATAAGAGGTAAAACTTGGGGGTAGGGACAAATAAGTAAATATTTCTGCCTACTCCTTTTCAAACAAATAATGAAATTATATTTTGTAATGATACATGTGTGAAATGTTTGATTTCAGTTCAGTTCAGTTCAGTTTATTTTTATTTCAAACATTTCAAACAGAATGATTGATTTCAGTTCAGTTCAGTGCCGTTTATTTTTATTTCAATCATTCTTCACACTTTAATAACGTTGATGTGCTACATTGTCATACAATTGAGCTGAAACTTAAGGCAGTTTCTTAAGTAATGTAAATGTTACATGCTGCTAAGTGGACAAAAGCGTTTGAGGTTTTTGACTCTTAGTGTCCTTTTTAGGTTATACTTTGTGTTCAATCTTGGAACTAAATGTTTTTTAAATTCTAGAGTCAGTTTTAGAAACATGTATTGTAAAACTGTTGAATATTTACTAAAACGAATTCTGCGTCTGTTCCATTGTTTTTTGTTTTTATTCAAATGTCAAAAAAAAAATGACATGAATTCAGTCAGCATTAAAGAGCAAGTCACCCCCTGCCAGAGTATTACTTCGCTCCCACTTCCTATTTGAAAAATGCAACAAATGCTGTTGCCTAGCAGACCGAGAGGGCGGAGCCGCTAACAAATACACACCTAACATGTTTCTCAATGTGAAGGCGCCTGGCCTCGCTTTGCTTACGAGGACACTGTCCTTCCTTGGTCAAAGAAAACGGTTAAATGCTACAGACTTGCATCAGGTGACCGCGGCTTCCACGGCGGTCACGTAACGTCACGTGACACGGGAGATAACGTTATATTTTATACATATTAGTTTCAATATAAATATATAACGAGTCTTTTACTTTTTAAATCGTGTATATGTTTATTAAATTAAATATATAAGTGAGTTGCTACCCGCTATCCACCGAAGCTGCACCTGCTAAGCTACTGACCAACCATAGATAACTTCTTTGGATCTAAAAAAACATTTTAAATTAGTTGACTTATTTTTAAACTTGAAATTTGACCCCGAAGTAGCTGCCAGCTTCTGATCCGCCGTCCTTTTGAAAATACTGCGGTGAATTTTGGGTAATTTTTGGCCAAGGCTAGGCTACAAGACACCTCCTTTGTATCCTTGCTCAGCTAGCTAAACGGCTAACAAACGGAGAACACTGTCATGAACAGAACTCAGAAGACCCGTAATGACGCCAAACACAGTAAAGTTCCTAAAAAGTCTTTATTTGGATGCAGAGTTACCCGAGGAGGGCGAGGCAGACAGAGTCGGAGGGCAGGCATGAGTCAAAACCAGATCGGCACAAGCAGGTACAGGGAGCAGGCAGGAGACGTGGTAGAAGACAGGCGAGGGTCGTGATGGCAGGCAGAGTTCAAGGCAGGGGTCAGGCGAAGAACGAGGTCCGGAGGCTGAGATCAGGCAGGGTGGATGGCTGGAGAATTTACAGGCAAATGTTTTCAATAATCTGGCAGGGAACTGGTGGCTGACTGGTGAATATATTCCAGAGCTGCATGCTCTATCTTGTGCTCGTGTCATCTCTCTCTGGTGTTGTTGGCCGCTTGTGCTTCGGACTGATGGGAGAAACCAGTATCTCTAAGATCAGTGATGCCCACAGAGCCTCTGTGGCCCCTGCAGCAAAGATCCTACTGGAGTCGGGAAACCCTCCAGACCCAGGGGGAACTGACGCTGGCAGCAACGCTCCACCGGAGACTCCATACCCTGTCGCAGGGAGAGTTGATGGTGGCACAGAGACTCCAGCTGAAGCCCAGTACTCTGCGGTGGGATCTCCACCTACCAAGAGGGGGGTTGATGCCATCACTGACCTTACTCCACTACAGCAGGCGCTGATGACCTCTAAACTTCAGGTGGGTGACTTACCTACCAAATGGGGGTCAAATGTCGCCCTGTAAATCTGCTGGCTGACCCTGATCTCTCTGAACGCATCTGCGTGTTGACCGGGGGCCTTCTAGGAAGCACATCTGCTCCGGACCCTCGTAAGCCTGCACCTGCCTATAGCCTAAAACATTCTTGGTTTCAGTCTTCAGGACAGATAATGTTCCTCTTGTTAGTCACATGTCTCTGTCTGTTCTCTCAGCAGCACTCTCTAACTCGACCGAATGAATCTGGGTTCCCTCTAGGTGTCACATCCAGGGAACCCCCAGATACCTTGATGTCCATCCATCACTTGTGGTTCCCGCCAGTTCAGTCTGGCGGCGCTGTGACTTTCACTAGTGAGCGGGCTCTCCAGAGTCTCAACAATATTCCTGTGTGTTCTTTCTGCTCTGTTCAACAGACAGGTCATAAGATACCAGCAGGGGGCAGTATGACTCCTCATGATCTGAGGGCTTCTCATCCTGACCTAAAGTTCGCTCCAAATCCTGGTCACACAATAGTCACCTCTGGTAAACTGGTCAATAACCTTTTGCAGGAAAGGTCAGGTCCTAACCTGACGACTAAACCACGCTCTCCGGTCGTGTTTCTCATTAAGATCTCCAAAGGTAACAAAGTTCCCATTTATTTATGGGTCCACAAGACCAAATTTAAACCGCACAAAAATCCCTTGGATTTAGATATTGTTTTAACCAATATAGCTGACCACCAACTCGAATCAAGCCAAAGGGGGGTGAACTTCCGTGTGCTCTCGCTGGTTCTGTGATTTCGGATCACGTGAGTCCTGTTGTATGTGTGCGCATGAATGGCTTTATGTCTAAACATATCGTACAGGCTTTGTGATTTTTGGCTGTGTCTGCTGTGGGTTTTTCAATAATCATGTGATTTCAGAACATAACAGTTAAAAGGGAATAATTCCACTACCTGGTATGTCGATCCAAATTCAATCAACTCTTTATTTGACAAATTCTGGTGATCTTGATCACTTTTGAGGTTTAATCATTTGATAACTGCTTCAGTCAGTTTATGTTCAGTTACTAACCCTCACATTCAGGGCCTACTAACTCCACTGATTTACATTTTTAGTGTTTGACACTTACATATCTATCTTTTTATAGTGCTTTCGTTAGGGTAATAAAGTTTGAGAACTTCAAGAATTAACTTAGTTAATTTCTCTTAAAGGGCTACAAGCCAATTTTGCCCTTCATTCTTATAAATACTTTAATTAGTACAGATGATTTCTCCCATATCAGTTAGGGTTTGATTAATTTTATGCTTTTATGCACCACATTTTTGGCATTACACGTAGGTAGTGCACCCATTTCGTCACTTACAGGTTAATCCATATAATTCTGACACATAGTACAGAGGTACTCACAGTGACAGGTTTATAATTATTTCTTTGATTTGCATCAGACACAATCTTCGTGTGTCTATCTCACATGCTGTGTCTGCTCTTCTCACTCATGAGCTTCACCATTGGTCTTCGCTGCCTGAGGGACCTCCTGCCTGACGGCGTTCGCTGCCTGAGGGACCTCTATGCCTGATGCTACCCGCCTGATGTCACCTATCGCATGGAGCTTCTCTTCGGTCGTGGTTCGGGACATCCTGAGAGCCCTGCGCTGAGAGGTCGCCTGGAGGCCATCCAGGGACCTGCTGCTGCTGACGGCTGGTCGTCTGTCTACATCCTGCTCTGCTCTGTGTGGGAACCAAGCCTCCACGATGCGGCTCAAAAATTGAGTCCAACCCAGAAGTACCAAAAATTCCACCCTCATCCACTGGGGGCTGGTGTCAGAAGTGAGCAAATCCTCATTGACTCCCATGTTAAAAATACCAATTTCACAGCAGAAATAAACATGTTTACAGCCTGGTACCAAAACATGTTTTTGGTTTAAATGATCTAGTTTACACTCATGACAACTCTGAGGGGGGTGAATGTTTTTCTCACTCTTCTGTTTAAGTGTATTAAAAGCCTAAAGTTCTGTATAATTAATGAGCATCCGACCCACGTGACCGTCGCCTCTGACCCACGTGACCACAGAGTTAGCTCCATGGAAAGGCCTCAGTAGAGCCTCGGTCTGGCTTGGAAACTGTTCCGGGATTTTGAGTCTCTGTGTTTGTGTATTCTTTTTTGGATATTATTTGTGCAATTGTTGGACAAAATGACTTGCTGTGGCATTAATTGCACTAATAGAGCATCCAATGAGTCTCCACTTCATTTTTTTCAGTAAGTAAAATTATATTTATGTATTTTAGGTCACTGCCGAGCTGAGCTTAGATTTTAACATGTACTGTTTAACCATGAAATTTAAATGTAATAGGGTAAAACCCAGTGCATTTAACATAATGCTACACTTTAGAAAATGGGTTGAAATCGTCTATGGTTGAAATATAACATGTTGGTGGAGCTGGGTTCCGACTATCGGCTTGTGGAGCTCTCGGGAGACCGATGTTTTCCACCCGTTCTCCCCTCCCTGCAGCTCGATGCATCTCTGTCTGATCGCGGCTTATGTCTGCTGCGCGGGCTGCCGACTGGTTCTCCCCTCCCCGCAGCTCGGCGCATCTCTGTCTGATCGCGGCTCCTGACTGCTGCACGGGCTGCCGGCTTGTGGAGCTCTGGGATGGAAACCTTTCCACCCGGTTCTCCCCAGCGGCAGCTCTGCGCATCTCAGATCGCAGCGGCGCTTGTCTGCTCATTGACTCCCATGTTAAAAATACCAATTTCACAGCAGAACTAAACATGTTTACAGCCTGGTACCAAAACATGTTTTTTGTTTAAATTATCTAGTTTACACTCATGACAACTCTGAGGGGGGTGCCGGCTTGTGGAGGTCTCGGAGACCTCTGTGTTCCACCCGGTTTTACCCAGCGGTCAGCCCGGTGTATCTCTGACTCAGAAGCTCTGGTGTTGTGCACAGTTAACTCCGGTTGTAGCTAGGTTGCCATCTCCGTTAGCTTATTTCCCACCGCCGCGTTAGCTTTGGGTTAGCTTCAGGTTTGTAGCTAGTTCGACCGGGCGTCGTCACTTGATCCCAGCCTTACAGCCCCACCCTCAGCTCCACCTCTCTTCCCTTTTGTGGAATTGTCTGGGCTTGACGGAACCTGTGACACGGTTGAAATGGCGGTGGTGGCCACCTCCCATTTGGCCTCAAAAACGTGTTATTGGAGTCTATGGAAACCCATTGTCCAATATTTATGTTGATGGTTGGAACACAGGCTACCTTTATCCTTTTGCATATGCATTTGGAATTACTAATTATTGATAATCAACTGCTATTGAAATAGCTACCTTCATGAGGATTACTTTACAATGATCTACAATTGTTTACTTAACCAACTTCTCAGGATATGGTCCTGTCTTCACTGGCGTGAGGGAACGCTTCCTCACTCCAGCCTTCACCTGGAACACTGCAACAGCCTTCTTCAGAAAGTCTCTTCATGTGCTCAACGTCAGGTGACTTCTGCGACCACCTACCATTGACCAGGGGGGTTTTGTAGCGTCATGAATGGCCTCTAATTTGTGACAAAGGTCACATTTTCCCAACTGGGTCAAGCTGGGTCAACTGTAACTTTGCCCCACAGATTAACCACACCAGGAGCCATGATGTCTGCTGAAAATCATCTTTATCTGCTGCTGTTCTGTCCCAAGATGAAGGACACTTCAAGTTTCACAATAATAATTTTAAATAATAATTTTAATAAACTCTTGACTTTATTACTGTCACTACAATCATCATAAATAATCTCTTGGTTCTGTATAAATGTATTTGAATTACTGAAATGACTTATTATGCTTTGGGTATAATAATGATTATTGTTGATAATCCTAATGTGTGTTCAGTAAAACCAGAAGGTCATCTTGCACGTTTAACCAGCCTCATTCAGAGGATATCCAGGGTAAAGGGTAAAACCATCACGTCTTTACCTCATGACCAAGCTTTCTGATGCTGAGTGGGCATGTACTGAGGGTTTTGTTAAAACTAAAAATCCCGCAGCAACAGTTCAGTTCTTGAACCAAACCAGGAGACGAGGGACGGCCACCCGAATCTCTACTAAGCATTCTGTCACGCCGATAGAATTGCTCTGAATAAACGCACAGTAACCAGCTGATGCAAAACTCCTTCAGAGTTAAGCCAGACGCTCGACACCGTGTACCCGCGACATCTCTGGACCAGAGGATCGGTTCTACTCGAGTCTTCTCTACCGGACCAAGTACCCCTGAGGCTGACAACATCCTCCTTGACCTCCGGAACCACACAGAGGGTCTTCTTGCTGGGTGAGGTAGCACACAGATGGTGTTTGATGCTGTTCTTCTAAGAAATGACTCATTTAGCTGCAAAACAACTTTCCACCCAGAAACGCTTCTCTCGCTGAAAGAAACCTTCATTCATTCACGCATCCAAAAACTTGCATTTTCATTTTAGTTTTCCATTCAGTCACAGGTTTGCCTTTAAAACAAGTTTTAATATCAAATTGTCTGTTAAAAATTGTCATTTCTAAATTGTCAATTTTAAAATTGTTAGTAATATATTCTTAACTTTAAAAACTTGATTCTTCTTTGAAATGAAACACAGAATGGTGTACATTTCTGGTTATTGAAAAAGCAAAGATTCCTTTAAACTTCTGATGAAATAAATAAACTTTTGTTATTAAATTTAATTATCTTAAATTAAACATTAATCTTTGGATTAAAAATAGACCAAGCTCATTGGCATATGAACTTCTATCGAATATATAATATCCTAGATATTTATATATAATAGAAGCTTCATTGTTAACTCGTTTGGATCTTTTCTCAGAATCTAACAAAGCTGATAGCAAACAGTGTTGATTCTAGTATGTAGTTAAACACGCTACATAGCTTTGACTTTAGAAGTGGGGGGGACACTACCGGCATGAGGACCGGGTAGGGGAAGGGGGGTCTTTACAGTAAGTAGAATAAATATGTAATATTTCACTGGAAGTAGACTTCAACACAAGGGGTTGTTTCCTGCTTGGTTCTAGTGCTCAACCGGTGTCTATTATAGTGTCATATTGTTTAGAACGGTAAAAAGTGCAGGGGACAAATATTGACTTTGGAAATAGTCATGGGTGACGGACATATGAGGAGGAGGACTAAAAGGAATACCTGGGAGACAAGGGACAGAGGATATGGAAAACAGGACGACATGGACAGGGAGGGCGAGGACACCTGAGAAAACACGGAACGGATTATGAGGACATGACACTTAAATATCTAAAGTTTAATTTTCGTATCAGAATCAACTTTGTGGATCATTTAAAATGTTTCACATCATCTAATAAAGATTTTGCTTTTCAAAATTCCATTAAACTCTCAGTGTTTATCCAAAATGTAGATATTTGCAGATCAACTGTTGCTGATGATTTTGTCTGAAATGTTTGTTTTGAATGCATCAGCCATCCGTTTAATCCACATCGCTCCGGAAGAAGCACGCTCGAGATTTCTGTCCAGCTTTTTCAGCAGCTGGTAAAAGACTTTCTTTTTACACGTAACTGTTTTTTTTAATTAAAATTATTTCCATTTTCTCTCTGAACATTTGGCTTTTTTTCTGTGAACCTCAGAAGTGATTGTTTGCACTTTGTGTTTAGTTTCTTCTTACTTTATAGGTTTTATCAATTAAAAATAAAAATAAAAACTTCAGGAAAGTACCACAAGATTAGACACATTTATCCAGTTTGAACTCTCCAAACATTTTCTGTCTAAATGTTCTGATTTAAAACTGTTTATTACCGGTCGTTTGTAAAGTATATTATTAACAAGAAAACGTTCCTCATCAGCCGCCAGTCCTCTCTGCTCCGGGTTGATCAGGTTTACTTCCTGCAGCCGTTTTCCATCTTGGCATGAAACTTAAAACATCAGTTTGATCAGCTGGTCATCCCATGTGTGTTCTGTGCCGAGATCAGTAAATCTACCTGCTGACAGTGCTGTAAGCTGATTGGTCAGGTCAGAAATCACCTGCTGATTCTTCTGAATCTTGAAAAGAAAAAATGACTGAAGAGTAAACTTGGTGACATTTGACCCCGCATGAGTATCTGTGTCAGAAACACCTGAGCTGAACGATCAGATCTCTCTGCCTGACAGGTGAGATGGAAAATGTTGTCTTAGCCAATCACAACACAGCCGCTGGAATCTCATCCTGTCTCTGAATGGGGCTCTGGTTTCCATTGCTTTGGGCTGAACAGCTCTGTTTCTCTGAGCTGAACTCTGAGATGATTTCTGATGCATCAAATTTCAGAATATTTTTGTGTGAAAATTATATATTTTTAATTACATTTGGTGAAAATTAGATCATTTCTGGGGTTAAACGGGAATCCAGGTTCTACTTGTGCTACAGAATCAGGAGTTTAACAGACTGAATTATTTTCAATTTTGTCTCAACTGGTTGTTTAACCATTCTCACAGAAACACCTCTATGCAAGTTTCCATGATGACACTTCACACACAGTCTAAAGGTCAGGTTGATAGTGTGGCAGGTAAGGTGGGTCACATGGCTTCCTGTCTGACAGTAAAACACCCGATAGGCCAGAGCAAGGGGCAGTGCTATCACCCGATAGGCTGTAACCAGGCAACCAGGTGAGGAGGAGGAGAGAAGAGATGAAGAGGAGAAGTAAGAAGGAGGAGGAACAGAGAACAGACAGAGGAGGAGGAGCAGTGACAGGAAGCGATGGAGCGCAGCGTCATCCGACTGAATCACTGTCAGAAGGAGATCTTCTGTTTCTCCGTTCCAAAGGAGTGTCCAAGCTGTGGGGAGGAGCTGAAGGGGAGCAGGCTGCAGGAGGCGCCCATCAGCGTCCCCTCCCCCTTCACCAATGGACACAAGAGCTCCTGCTGCCTGCTGGTCGCCCCTGCACGGGACAACCACGACAGGTAGGAGCATACAGGTGGTTCTCACACAGGTAAATACAGGTCAGATTCAGTGGGTCAGAACCAGGCTTCAGTCAGAAACCTGGTGTGAACACCAACATCGCACCTGAACAGAAGTTCAGAATCTGCTCGAGTCCAGAGGGTGTCACAGGTGCCCGTCAGTGCGCCCCAGTGTGTGTTCATGGGTGGATGACTGTAGGGTTGTGAGGCGCCTTGGGGGGTTGTAGGACTCTAGAAGGCTCTATACAAATACAGGCCATTTTTACCATTTGGTGGTAACAAGAACCTTCATGCTTTCCTACACGATGGAACCAGAGGAGACCAGCCTGGACTGAGACTGCCACTCTGGTCTGAATGACACGGAACAGCTGCCAGGCCAAAAGGTTCTGGACCTTGTGTGTGTGTGCATGATGGGAGATCACTGCAGCAGTAGAGCTGTGAATTCTTTGGCTGAATCACATGAAGCTTTTTTATCATCTAATTGTAACCAGTGTCACCTGGTATGTTCCAGTTCAAACCAGTTTGAATTAGTCTAACCAGCATTTTCTGCTGTTTGTGTCTCAGAGACTTTGACGGGACGTCCGATCTGCACACCGGCATCTCTGACACTAAAGGTAAAAGCTCGACCTGAGGCGTGTTGGACCGGGTCTGTGAGGGTTAAATGGACTCAAGCACTGAAGAGAGCCAGATGTTCAGAGCAGAAACTGTTTATCAGCACTATCGACTGAACAGCCAATTGCAGCAGCAGCAAAGATGCTGTTAGGAGGAAGTCACACTCAAACGGAAGCCACCATCAGAAATTTGTGTGTTCACACACCTCCACGAAGCCTTGCTTACAGGAGAAGTTCATGTTGATCTTTGACCTTCAGGAGAGAAAAGAAAAAGTCAAAAAGATGTGAGCGACAATATCTAAGAAGGAAGAAACAAAAATAAATGAAAAAGTTATAAAATGGTTTGATGTAAAGATTTGCCTGTTTGTGTTTGTGTCCCACCTGAGTGTCTCACCTGAGTGTCCCACCTGAGTGTCTCACCTGTGTGTCTCACCTGAGTGTCTCACCTGAGTGTCTCACCTGAGTGTCTCACCTGAGTGTCTCACCTGAGTGTCTCACCTGAGTGTCTCACCTGAGTGTCTCACCTGAGTGTCCCACCTGTGTGTCTCACCTGAGTGTCTCACCTGAGTGTCTCACCTGAGTGTCCCACCTGTGTGTCTCACCTGAGTGTCCCACCTGTGTGTCTCAGGAGTTGTGTACAACTACACTCAGGATGGCGTGCAACGGGACCAAAGCGGATGGGAATGCTGCATCAGTGTCCCGCTGGTCCGACCTGATATGTTCCACCTGCTGGATCAGTGGGACCAGTACCTGGAGCGTTTCTCTGATGGACCCATGTGGGATCCTGTGTGGCACAAGTAAGTTTCATGTGAGACATCCAAAGTTCTCTCCGACCACCACCTGACCACCAGTGTGTATCTCAGGTTCCACGAGGACGACCACAACTGCTTCAGCTTCTGTCTTCACTTCCTGAACAGCGTCCTGGAGGCAGAGGGACGCAGCCCTCTGAGCAGAGAAGACTTCACTCACTGCTTCATCCTGCCCAAGATGAGGAGGGTGTCCAAATACACCACGCTGTACCAGCACATCCAGAAACACCAGTATTATGTGGTGGACAGACAGGAGGACACCACGCCCACCAGTTAAACCAACTTAATCAGGATGTCATTACCCCCAAAATACCAAAATTCTAAATTTAAATGTAACACTTAAAGAAACACTGCAGATATAAAGCAAATATCTAAAAACACAAACATCACCATAATGGAGAGGACCTCTGACCCGGGGGTTTCGGTGGGTTTGGTCTGTTCTGGTGTTTCAGAGAATATTTATTATTCATTTAATTGTCTGACATTGTGAATAAGTGAAACTGATTTCATGTTCTGTTTTTGTTTGAGTCTTTGGTCCTTCCTAACTTTGTTTTGTATTGTTTTATTTATTTTGTAAATAAAAATTTATGTGTGGCCTGTTTCAGACTCAAACAGAAACAAGTGTCTGAATCAATTAGAACCGTAAAGTGAACAAAAAGTCAACGTTTTAAAAGCTTCTGAAGATAAAGTGAAGTACCGGTTTATTGTAGATTATACTTCAGACAAAAATCACATGAAAATAACATTTCAGCTGTAGGAGGAACCGATAAAATTAGCCGATGTTGGCGCACGAACATATATTTAGTTACACTGCCTCGTCCGACAGTAAAACAAGTCCCCTCGCTGAGTGCTAACAGATGCGCTAACAGAATAATACCGACCCTACAGTTCTCACCATCAGCCCGGAACCAGCGCGGGCTCTGCCGGAGCCGGCACCATGCGGGCAGAGTTCCGGGCTCCCCAACGACGAACCCGGGTTTATGAGGACTACGAGGCTCCGCTGCCGGTGAGCCGGGACCCGCATGAGAGGAAGGTCTACCGAGCGGAGCTCATCAACCAGCAGGTTCTGGTCTGTCATCCGGACCACATCCAGAAGATCCACAACCAGGTCAGAGTTCGTTCACATTAGAAACCAGGTCTTGTTCTTCGTCTCCTGTCAGCCTGCCTTTAGTTTTTATTCCATTTCTGTCCACTCGGTTGTTTGGTTTGAATCGGAGGCAGGCGAGTCTCACGTAAAATGTAGTTTGTTTTGACTGACAGCTCTGGGTTGTTCAGAGATCCTTGAGACCTTCCACTGGTTCCTTCCCGGTTCCTCCACACTTAGCCCCCTGACCTTCTGAAAGCTGTCAGTAGAACACATCTAGACTGACCAGAGTTTGTTGTTTTCAGGGTTTCTTTGGAAAAGGTGTTCTGTCCAGAGCCAGGCCCAACCACAGCGTCTCGGACAAATGGGAGCGTGAGTTGACACCTGCAGTGATGTCACTGTCAATCTGGTCCAGTCAGTGCTGTTCACACCTGGTCTCTGTTTGTGTTACAGAACACGCAGGTCTACTTCTGCCTGTTGTCTCTCCATCCAGGTCAGTGCCATCATAAGCTACCTGTTCACACAGTGACATCACTTCTGTTATGATGATGTCACACGTTATCTTTCACAGGTATGAGGAGCTGCTCAGATGGGCAAAGGAGGCTCTCTCTGCTGAAGGACTGGATGAAGAAGTGTTCGGTAAAACCCTGCTCGCGTTGACTCGGGCAGTGGACATTGAAGATGTAAAGAAGGAGTTGGGAGGAGGGCAGGCAGAGGGGGAGAACGGAACAAGGGAGGAGGAAGAAGAGGTGAAGCCAATAGAAGCCTGTGATCTCCCAAAGGGGCAGAGGTTGGAGTCAGAGGTGGAGCCAGAAGCCAAGAGAGGCTGCAGGTAAATGTAGACTGTTTTATGTCAAACCAGCACACTTGGCTTTGTTAGAACCCTGAAGGTCCTGCTAAAGTACCAATAAACTAAAGACATGGTTAAAAATGAAAGGTACAGGTGATATTCAAAAGGACTGAGAGGTCAAACACAAATTCTGGCTCAGGACAGCATTTGTAGAATGACAGATCAATCTAGAGTGAAGATTTTCATGACTGTGTTGAAGCTGATAGAAACAGCAGGTTCTTGGTCCATCTGAGCTTGCATGAAGGTCCAGATTTCTATCCAGAGAACTGCCGTTTGGCCTGGGAGGGTTCTTGGGTCAGTGCTATGGGGCTCTCTGTATCCCTAATGGGCCAACATAGACCAGCTAAATCCCCAAAAGAACCCCAGTGAGTCTGATGAAGCCCCAAGTTGGTCAACAGGCATAGGTTTATAGGATTTTAAATGCAGCAGAAAGCCTTTGAGACCAGGGAAACATAATGCAGGTACAGCAGTAGCACAAAGAGGCTGATGGAGGGAGCTGTGAATTCAGGCCAGCGTGCAAGGAGTTTTGATCAGTTGGTTTTCTTCGACCGAATAAACCTTTTTCTTGTCAACATTCAGATCAAATCAACAGGATCCTGATTCTAGCTCTGAACAGGACTCTGACTCAAGCCCAGATTCTGGTCCTGATCCAGCCTCTGACTCGGATCTCGATAATGGTCTTATGGTTCCAGGTCCTGGTTTTGTCCTGGTGGTCTCTGAAGGTCAGGTGGGTCTCTGAAGCTGCAGGTCCTGTTGTGTTTCTGAGCTGCTTCTGTTGTTGATGATTTGCTGTCGTATGGCTGCAGGACGGAGGAGGAGTCAGAGAGGTGAGGCGGAGTCCACTGTCTTTCACAGAGTACCTGCAACTTGGTCTGGAGGAGGTAACACACCTGAGTCATGGACTTTGATTAGGTTTGCTTCAGTATTTACCTGCCCACTCACCTGTCTGCTGACCTACAGGCCTTCTTCCTGGTCTACAGTCTGGGTTGCCTTTCCGTCTACCTTCAGCAGGTGTGTAGTGTTAGTTCATCGCTTGGTTCCTATCATAAAGAGTTGAACTTGTCTCTGTTCTCTCCTGTGATTGGTCAGGAGCCACTGTCAATCATCCAGCTTTGGAGGAAGTTCCGATCGCTTCATCCTGACTTCATCAGCTTGTACGCTGCTTATCATCATTTTCGCAGCAAGGGGTGGGTCCCTAAAGGAGGAGGCGGGGCCAAGTATGGTGCCGATCTCAGTAAGAACAGAAATCACACAAATATCTAGTCAGTCAACAATCAGAGCAGATTTACCCAAAATGCTCTGGTGCTGTCAGATTTAAGGTAACGATGATGACTCTGAGAAACATTCAGTCTGTGTTTGTTTCCAGTGTTATACAGGAAAGGACCGCCTTTCTACCATGCCAGGTAACACACACACACACACAGTCGTACTTGTCTCCGTATCCTTGTGTGGACCCTCCATTGACTTCCTTTCATTTTTGTGACTTCACTTTTCCTAATCCTAAGCAAAACCCATGGGGTTCTATTTTTAACCCTAACCTAAACTAAGTGAATTCACACCATACCTCTAGAACCAAGTGTTTGGGTGCTTAGCGTTGTGTGGACCAGCAAAATATCCCCACAGTGTAAAAATGTCCTTGCGTTACAGGTTAAAGTTAAAAGTACACACACACACACACACACACACACACACACACACACACACACACACACACACACACACACACACACACACACACACACACACACACACACACACACACACACACAGAGTCTGCCAGTAGCTGTAGGAGTTTGGCCTCTGGAATAAATGATGGTTTAGTCTGCAGATCTACACTCGTATGATTGACGGAGATAATTTTACCATCTCTCATAAGTGAATAGATTTTTTTTCCAATACATTTTTATTTGTTCTCTGTTGCTGGAACCGAGTGATCCATGTCCTGGTAGATGATGAACCTGTTCCTATGACTCGTCCCTGTCCAGTTACGGTCTGAACTGGGGTCCTACGAGCTTCCTAACTCCTCCTCAGTGACTAAACATATTTCCTCTATTTACAGGACCCATATCTTCATTTATTACACTTAACTGCTCCCAATATTCTGGTGTCCTCCGTGTCCCTCAGATTGTCCCTGTTCTCTTCCTGTAGTTATTCCGTGGTAGTTGAAAGGACAGATGAAACATTCAGGGGCATGGCTCTGCGTCCGTTTTCATGGCGTTCTCTGGCCGCTCTCAGCAGGATCACAGCAAACGTCTCCAAGGTAATGTCCTGCCAGGTTTGTGCCGTCATACATGGCCATTATTCTGACTCTACTGATGCTAATCTGTGTGTGTTCGTCAGGAGCTGATGTTGTGTTACGTCATATACCCCGCTGACCTATTGGAGGCAGAGCTGGACTCACCTGTGTGCCTGAGCAGGTTGAAGGTTCAGGTAGTAACCTGTCAGTGTGTCACATATCAGCACTAACTGCACACCCCCGTCCGTAAAAACAGCCACATACAGTCACGTCCGTAGATATTGGGGCATCGACACAATGCTAACATCTTTGGCTCTATACACCACCACAATGGATATCAAATGAAACGAACAAGATGTGTTTTAACTGCAGACTGTCAGCTTTTATTTGAGGGTATTTACATCCAAATCAGGTGAACGGTGTAGGAATTACAACAGTTTGCATATGTGCCTCCCACTTGTTAAGGATCCAAAAGTAATGGGACAGAATAAGAACCATAAATCAGACTTATACATTTCAATACTTGGTTGCAAATCCTTTGCAGTCAATTACAGCCTGAAGTCTGGAACACATAGACATCACCAGACGTTGGGTTTCATACCTGGTGATGTTCTGCCAGGCCTCTACTGCAACAGTCTTCAGTTCCTGCTTGTTCCTGGGGCATGTTCCCTTCAGTTTTGTCTTCAGCAAGTGAAATGCATGCTCAATCGGATTCAGGTCAGGTGACTGACTTGGCCATTGCAAAACAGTCCACTTCTTTCCCTTCGAAAACTCTTTGGTTGCTTTTTCAGTATGCTTTTGGTCATTGTCCATCTGCACTGTGAAGCGCCGTCCAATGAGTTCTGAGGCATTTGGCTGAATATGAGCAGATAATATTGCCCCAAACACTTCAGAATTCATTGTGATGCTTTTGTCAGCAGTCACATCATCAATAAATACAAGAGAACCAGTTCCACTGGCAGCCATACATGCCCACGCCATGACACTTCCAGCACCGTGCTTCACTGATGAGGTGGTATGCTTGAGATCATGAGAAGTTCTTTTCCATCTCCATACTCTTCTCTTCCCATCACTCTGGTACAAGTTGATCTTGGTCTCATCTGTCCGTAGGATGTTGTTCCAGAACTGTGAAGGGTTTTTTAGATGTTGTTTGGCAAACTCTAATCTGGCCTTCCTGTTTTTGGGGCTCACCAATGGTTTACATCTTGTGGTGAACCCTCTGTATTCACACTGGTGGACTCTTCTCTTAATTGTTGACTTTGACACAGGTACACCTACCTCCTGGAGAGTGTTCTTGATCTGACCAGCTGTTGTGAAGGGTGTTTTCTTCACCAGGGAAAGGATTCTTCGGTCATCCACCACAGCTGTTTTCCGTGGTCTTCCGGGTCTTTTGGTGTTGCTGAGCTCATCGGTGCGTTCCTTATTTTTGAGAATGTTCCAAACGGTTGTTTGGGCCATGCCTAATGTTTTTGCTATCTCTCTGATAGGTTTCTTTTGTTTGTTCAGCCTAATGATGGCTTGCTTCACTGATAGTGACAGCTCTTTGGATCTCATCTTGACAGTTGACAGCAACAGATTCCAAATGCAAATAGCACACTTGAAATGAACTCTGGACCTTTTATCTGCTCATTGTCATTGGGATAATGATGGAATAACACACGCCTAGCCATGGAACAGCTGAGAAGTCAATTGTCCCATTACATTTGGTCCCTTAACAAGTGGGAGGCACATACGCAAACTGCTGCAATTCCTACACCGTTCACCTGATTTGGATGTAAATATCCTCAAATAAAAGCTGATAGTCTGCAGTTAAAGCACATCTTGTTTGTTTCATTTGAAATCCATTGTGGTGGTGTATAGAGCCAAAAATGTTAGCATTGTGTCGATGTCCCAATTTCTATGGACCTGACTGTATTTGTAAGTTAGAAATCCTGAGCACAGTCCATTACCATGGTGAGTGCAGGCTCAACCCACTTGATTAGGGACTAGGATGTGAAACTTTGGTGATATCACGATACAGTGGAGATGATACGATGCATCACGATGTATTCAGTCAGACATTATTAGCAATGTTTTTAGACTGAATTTGTTGTGGGAAAATTCAACAAACAGTCCAAACTGATAGGTAACATGTTAAGTATGAGGTATCTGAACCATAAAAGAGGGATTCACATTTCAGTGGTGGAAACAAAACCCAGTGCACACTTTTGCCAGTTAGCGGTCGGCGTTTGAATTGCATCAAAAGAAAAGAAAATACACAAATGCTTGCATGTAAATTCTTCCAAAAATTCACTACATGGCTTTTGATTATCGATATAATATCACAAGAAAAAATATTGCGATATATTGCCCTATCAATATTTTCTTACATCTCTATTAGGGACAGTTCACCGGGCTGCAGATGCTTGATGAAGCTGTGGGAGTTTGGAGCTTTTATTTCTCTTCTGTCTGTCAACATGTTTCAGTCTGCAGAACCTTCCAGAACACAGAGACTGATTCTGACTTTAACCTGAAAGACGAGCGTCAACTAAATACACACCTATCTTACAGTCTGCTGGAGGGGTCATTACAACGTTTCAATTCAGTGCAGTTCAGTTTATTTCTTTAGCGCCAAATCAGGACCAGAGTCGTCTCAAGGACCTTTACACAGTAAACACTCCAATACAGGTCAGGCCATTAAGCCAATCAGTAAAAGGTTTCCTATAGAAGGAACCCAGCAGGTTGCATCGAGTCACTGACTAGCGTCAAGAGTCTTTACAGCAATCCTCATACTAAGCAAGCATGCAGCGACAGTGGAGAGGAAAATTCTAGTAATGCACCGATATGAAATTTTTGGGCTGATATCCGATAATAAGGTCGCTGCTCTGGCCGATAACCAATATTTGCCGATGCAGATATAGCGACATTAATGCTTCTAAAATCAGCAGATTTAGAATATAATGAAAATTATTAAAGCTGAATTTAGATTTTAGGCATTTAGGGAGCAAAACACACACACTCAACATATTTACCAAGCATCGATACCAAGTAATGTTTCTATAGTTGCATTGTGATTTCTTAGTAAATATTCTATTTGGTGAGAGATACACTTTATTGTATTTATCCTAGTGAATCTATAATTAAAGGGTAAACTAGTAGTAGCACATTCAATGTCAAAGAGAGTAAAATGTTATTATCAGGAGAGGGAGAATGTTTAAGTGGTTAGCAGCAGTGTGCTAGCCGATGGCCCCCTCCATGAGGCCACCACAGCTCAGCAGAACACCATTGTAGCTTCTTCTGGCGAGAAAAACACTTGGAGAATAAATAAAATTAACAGCTGAAACCGCAGGAAATAATGCAGTTAAAGAGCAGATTGTAGAAGAAAGTAGTCGAGTGTGGAAAGTGGTCAGTATGTCCTCCAGCAGTCTAAGCCTAAACAGGACTTTGTGGACTGTTGTGAGCGTAACCACTTTTGCTTGTTTCCAGAGAAACATTCAGGGAGCAGACATGGAGGTGGTGGACACCTTTAAGTACCTGGGTGTTCACCTCAACAGCAAACTTAACTGGTCCAACACCACAGATGCTGTATAAGAAGGGCCAAAGCCACCTCAACCTCCTGAGGAGGCTGAGGTCCTTCAGAGCTAATTCAGCTGCTAAAATCCTTTTACCACTCTGTGGTTGGCGCTGTTATCCACTCTACTGTGCTCTGTTGGGATGCAGACAGCTCTGACTGAGACAGGAAGAGACTGAACAAGCTAGTTCACAAAGCTAGTTCAGTTCTAAGCTGCCCACTGGATTCAGCTGAGGAGATGTGTGAAATTAGGATGCTGGGGAAGATGACCTCCATCTTAAAAAAAAAAACCTCCCACCCACTGCATTCCACTGTGGAGACCATGGCATGAACAGCTCCTTCAGAGGCAGACTGAGACATCCCAGATGTCCCATCACTCTGGTACAAGTCTCTGTATCCTTGTACCTTGTACCTCTTTGATTGATGATGAAACTGAGTGTAGAACTCCTCAGTATAACTGGTACTGGCATTATCCTGGTACACAATACCACCAATGCAATACTTCGTATGTGTTTAATACTTGTGCAAGGTGTCTGCCTCACGGACTAAAGCTGGGAGCTGGTTCCACAAAAGAGGAGCCTGATAACTAAAAGATTTTCCTCCCATCCTATTTTTTAGATATTCTAGGAACCACCAGTGAATCTCTAGTCCTAAAAGATATTATCTATTATTTTCTATCAATTATTGTTTTTGTAAAACAGCAAAACTACAACATGGTTGCTTCTGTAAACATGACCTGATGTTCTCTCTTTAAAAACAGAGAGGCATTGTCTGCCCTCGTGCTTTAATCTGCATAATGTATTGGTTGATTAGACCTTGTTAAAAATTGCTCATAAAATTTGTATCTCTTCAGGAAGTGATCGTCAGCAGGTGGGTTTCCTCCAGAGAGCGAGCTGAGCAAGATAACATCTGAATGGCTGGCAGGAGAAGCTGGGCGGTGATGATGTCGCAGTGAAAATTGGAAACCAATCAGACAGGGAATGTGTCTGTCTTTGATTTAATGAAGAAAGTGTGGTTTCCTTGGACAGAAGAAAAGAGAAGAAGCTGCTCCATGGGATGAGGACAAGGATGATAATGATACACACTGGATCTTGACTGCAGTGTATTATATCAGGAGGCCTGTGGTGTTCAAGCGTACAGCTCTTCGTCCTGACATTTCATCTTTTGTGACTCAGTTCATTTGACTCCTCCCCTTCTGAGAATACATGAAACAGCTGTTTTTGTTAAGAACTGTCCTGGCTACACCAACATTAGTGATGTACAATTAGTGCTGATGGGCCAAACTCAGAGCAGCTATCACATCTCCTCATTAGGAAACTTCTGTTCACCAGAACCAGAACCAGGGCCTTAAGCATGTTGTCAACATGAAGTATTTGTAAGTAAACAGATTTCTTGTTTCAGGTTATGTTTTAGTTGTACCATTGAGATGTTCTAATCTATTGTTTTTATTTCCTCTGAATATATGAATGCTGCACATGTCAGTTGATGTCATGGTGGTTGTCATGGTTACAGTGGATGGATAAAAAGAGGAGGTTCTTTGCTGTCATTTCCTGAGAACTATGCCTCATTTAAGAAAGAAAAGGATCTTTTATATAACGTCTCTCATGATAAAATCACAAGGTGCTTCACAAAAACAAAGAAATTAAAATGAAAAGATTTATTTTTAAATGATTTTAAAAAATGTTTTAAATTACAACAAAAAATGGTGACGAAGGTCAAGCAAAAGCCAGTCTGAACAGGTGAGTTTTCAGCTGTTTTTTAAAGGAGACCACTGAGTCCACTGAACTCAGGCTCAGGGGGAGAGAGGTCCAGAGTCTGGGGGCCACAGCAGCAGATGATCTGTCACTTTTGGTCTTTAGCCCAGGGCTGCCAACCCTCACGCATTGTGTGAGACACACATTTGACCCTCTTCACATGCTCTCACGTCACCAACCCCCGCCACCCCCCACACACACACTCACACAGCCAATGAAGCTGGAGGAGAAGAGGGTTGATGTGGGTGTGTTTGGAGGACTTGGTCAGAAGCCGAGCAGGCATTCTGAACCACCTGTAGACGGTTCAGGGAGGTTCTGCTCAGACACATGAAACTAGAGTTGCAGTATAAGCGTAAGGAGATGAAGGTGTGGAGAACTGTCTCAAGCTCAGAGCAGGACAAAATGGGACTCTGCAATGTTCCCGAGATGGAAGAAGGAAGCGCGAACAAGAGAACTGACATGAGAATCCAGGGTGAGAGCTGGGTCAAAGGTCACACCAAGATTCCTAACAGGGGATTTGGTGTGAGAAGCAAGCTGACCAAGAGAGTCTCTGACTTTGGGGAACCAGCTTGTATGGGGCACATACATTGACATATATATATATACACAGATGAGCATCTCAGTCTTATCTTGATTCAGCTGTAGAAAGTTGCCAGGCGTCCAGGTTTTAATGGAGTCTGAGCCCTCACAGATGAAACCCATATTTGGCTGGTTGTTACATTTCTAAATGTTGATAAATTATAGAAACGCCAATTTGATGAAATAAGACACTTCTAGAACTGTCTCGTATCAATTCTCCATGCTGTTCAGATCTGGTTAGTAAAATCTCGCGATAACTCCTAGCGGTAACTGTTCAGACGACTCACAGTAGCCACGTCCGAATCCGGAGAGTTTTATTTACCGGACAGAGAGAAGCGACAGGTCACAGCCCACCGAGCCGCTGGGGATCCAGGTAAACTCGCACTCTGCTTTCGCTACCAGCCACTCTAACCGTCTGGGGCGAGGGATACTCCGTTCGAGGCAGAAAGGCCCGTCGGGTGTTAGCCCGGTGCTAGCAGTTAGCGGCAGATGCCCGGATGTTGAGAATCGTGAAAAGGCGCAAAGCCCTGGACACGCCGCTACCGCAGTTAGCGGGCTGTTAGCAAGTTTGGACTCGGTTGCCCTGGTTCCGCAGACCAGAGTTTCTACTCGGGACCAACTTCTGACCGAGCTCCAAAGAATTACCTTTGTAGAGTCATTACACTGAAGACATCGACCCGGTTCTTCCAGAACCCGTTTTAGTACAGTTTGTCTAATAAAAACGGCAGAAACCTGTCCGTGGTGTTACTGGATTTCCCCATCCCAGGTCACGGTCAGAAACGTCTTCACGGGTTTGAAGTTTGGACCACTTAGGTTAGACCAGGTTGTGGTCAGAAACGTGATCTGGCCTATTCTTTCATATCCTTTCTTCCTGTTTATGAGGCCTAACCTTGACCAGTTGTTGTGAAACCTGCATGTTTCAGACTTTTGCAGAGATTCTACCCAGGCTGTAGTTGGGACACACTTGCATAGTCTCACCTGAAATGATAAAGGTGTTCCTGCACCATTCTGTTTATTGGGTTAAATTGGTGACCTGGTCTGGTCAAAGGTGTCTAGATGCTGAAAAGCGATGAAATGGGCAATAGTCATGGCTGTTGAACGATGACTTCAGCTTTGTTCAGAAAGCCCATGTTGTGTAAAAGCTGGCTTCTTTCTAAAGTCACTCCACAATCCCACTCAGGGGTCACCAACCTTTAAGCTGGGGCTACATCAGGAGCCGTGGGTTTAGACCGTTTCAGCCCTTTGAACTAGACAAGACTGATAAACACATTTAAAGTATAAACATGCTGGCATTCTCAAATCTATCAATGCAAGTGGGTTTATAAAGAATTATGGAAATGTGAAGCTACTGCCCACACATTAAATTAGAGCACTATATTGTTTGAATGTGATGATTTTATTATTCTATTTGAATATTTTTTTAACAGTAGATTTTTTCTCTAAAAATATAAACATCACAAGCTTGACGAGCCAGACTAAATAAATATATTATAATTAGGTCTAGTTCGCTAGGCTAACATCTCGTTTGTACAATATCATTTTATTGAAAAACATCATACATATATTTAACTGTAAGGATGTGGAATTATTTTGTTAGAACAATAAATTAATCACCCAATTTTATTTAGCCGCGTGCCAGCTCCGTTTCTGCTCAGTGTCAGGTTGCTGAGCCCTGCTACATGACGAGACGGTTTCGCTGAGAGAGATGGCTTTCCTACTGATCACTTGTCAACACTTATTTTTCATTTAATTCTTCCTTATTTGAGCCATTTGATCTGCTGAGCTGAGTGTTGAGGACTTTATTCTGTAATGGGCCGTTCCCATCTGTACCTGGTCGGCCCGGCCCGGATAGCATAGCTTGCTTATGGGCCATTCCCATCTGTAGCGGGTCGGCCCGGGCCGGGTAGCGTAGGTTGTTTACATATCTGGGTGGCCTGGTATTTTTCCGGGCCAGCCAAGGCTCATTCTCAGCCCTCTTCTCGAGGGGGTCTGCTTCAGGCCGACCAGGGCCAACACACCCACTGCTGACAGCAAATTCACACCTTCCATTAGAGCAAGCCTCTGATTGGTGGGTAGAATCAGCCCACATGGGCTTAAGACAAGCATGTGTGGAATCAACTGGGCCAGGCTGGGGCCGACTGGGGCTACCCGGCCCGGGCCGACCCGGTACAGATGGGAATGGCCCATTACATATCTTGGTGGCCTGCCTTTTTTCAGGGTGCAACAAGACTGTTTTTCAGCCCTCTTTCTGAGGTGGCCTGCTTCAGGCTGACCAGGGCCAACACACCCACTGCTGACTGATAAGCCGGTTTATCAGTCAGCAAATTCACACCTTCCATTAGGGTAGAATCAGCCCAAATGGGCTTAAGGCATGCTCAATTCATTATCATTCATTATCATGCTGATTACCTAGAAGCTGAAAATGTCTCTGACTGCGTTCCTTGCATACCTAAGCAAGGATGTGTGGAATCAACCGGGGCCAGGCTAGGGCCGACCAGGTACAGATGGGAATGGCCCATTAGACAAAAGATCAGGACAGGCTGCTAAACATCTGGAAGTTGAATGGTATTTATTATGTTTAAAGCATATTTGGTTCTAGATGTTTGCTGAGCAGACGCCATCATCAGTGTGTTTGTGTGAACACAGCTTGTCTACTGGTTGACCATCCTGATGAGAAAGGTTTTATCATTTCAGTCTTTTTGTGTCACTACTGAATCCTCTCTGAGTGGTTCATCAGTGAATTTATTATACATGCACGCTACCTGTGTGCACACCTGTGTGTGGCTTACAGCAGCAGGTGGCTGATTTGAAACACAAGGCTTTTAGTCAAGAAAACTTAAAAGACCTGCCCTCACCTGTCTGTGTGTGTGTGTTGTGCAGGTGCTGAGCAGTAGGACGATGGCAGACGACCTGGACATTGAGGCGATGCTGGAGGCTCCGTACCGGAAGGTGAGACACTTGTCCTGTGTTCCTCCGGTCTAGTCCACACATAGCCGGGTATTTTTTTTAAACGATTATCCACCCCTCCAGAAACTTGCATCCACATCACCTCGTTTAAAAAAAAAAACTGTCCACATGTACCCGGATAAATACGTTGTTAAGGACATGCCAGACCTGTAGGCGGCAGTACTTCCCCCGAATTGTATCCAGTCAGCGTCGTCTGTGGTCTTCCCCAAGGAGCAGTAATTCCGCTTGCATAAACAAATAAGCAAAAAGCGCTTGGACAATTGATAAAGCGAGCGCAGCTCTGAGGGCATCCATGATGTCGGCTAGTGTAAACACAGGTCGCACACGTGATGTCAGCATTTTTTGTCGCGGAAAGTGACGTTGCGGACCTTAAAACTCCGGTTTTGTCTGTCCACACGCAGACACCCAAAACGGAGAAAATGCAGATCTTCACTTTGGCCGGAGTTTTTAAAAAACTCCGTTTTCGTGTGGATGACAGGCCAAAATGTAGAAAACTATCTACGTTTTGGCAGATCCCCGGCTACATGTGGACAGGGCCTCAGTCAGCTGGACTCTGCTGCTCCTCGTTCAGTCAGAACCAGAACTCTCCAGGAGTTTATCAGCAGGAATCAATGGTAATCTGAAAGGATGAGATTTATTTTAGTGATTTGCTAGTCTGGGAATAAAAAGATTACAGGCTTGTTTTTAGATCTTTTTTATTGATCAGACGAAACGGCAGCCTGATGCAGGTGTTTCCTCTACGGGTCCATGAAGAGTAAATTTCCATGGACCTGTTTTCCTGTTAGCGTTTGAAGGTTTTAATATATTTCTTTTTCTCTTAGATTCACATCATTCCACACAGAGGAAGCCGCAGACGAGCAGAAGAAAGATTTTTGCTGTAAAAATACATTTGATAAAATAATAGAAGTTTCATCGCAGGAAAAAAAAGTCACATATTTTCAAATTAATCAAAACATTTTCATTTATGTTTTGGAGACTAAAAGTAGCCATTATATATTAGATTTACATTGGTTTCTGGTGATCCCCTTCACTGACTTGATGTTCGGTGACCCACAGTTGGGTCCTGACTCGCCCTGGGAACCCCCCTCCCCCGAGCCAGAAACTGGGCAGTAGAGTCGAATGATTTCCTGTAATCATGAACAGACGTACGTCTGAAGTTAACGGATAGTAAATGATGAGAATTCATACAGGTTACATTGTATACAGGTACAGGTGAAGCAGGTAAAGGTGAGAAATGTCTTCATTCAGTAAGAAAATCAGAATTTATATGATATAAAAAAGTGACAATTTATTGACACACAGAATAATGTTTTCCTGCTCATGTTGTTTTTGTATCGCTCCAACAGGAAGACGACAAGAACCCGAGTCCTGGCGAACAGGAAGAGCGCAACAAGAGGTAACACGTGCTCACCTGTCTGACCTGTTGTGCTCATTTTAATCTGGACTTCTGATTGGCTGCTGCGTGTCCAACAGGAAGAAGCGCAGCCGCAGTCCTGACAGGAAGCGCAGTCGGGACAGGAAGAAAAGCCGCAGTCGAGAGCGCAAACGTAGCCGCAGCCGAGACAGACGCAGAAGTCGTAGCCGAGAACGTCGGCGCAGCCACAGTCGAGAACGTGGGGGGCGCTACAAAGACCACCACAAGCAGTGAGTCCACTTCCTGTTCTTAGGTGTCCAGGGTCCTTTCAAATCTGGATCCAAGTAAAGTGTGTGAGGAACATTCAGGCTACAGGTCTAAAGTTCTGGATTTAGACAGACGACAGTGTTGCGTCTGATTTTGCTGCTTTTTTATTTAATGACCTAAAAATCGTTTTGCATTTTAATCAGAAAAACCTGCTTGGGGTTCTCCTTTCTGCAGGCAGGAACTTTGAAAGGATTATCTTTAATTCTAACTCGGCATAGAGCAGTGCCAGGAAGCTCAGTCCTTGTCCTCTAAGACCCTGTCCCAGTCGGGCCAGGTGTGTGTGGGGGCACAGCCCACAACAGCTGAAGGCTGACGGACTGTTTGTGTTTCAGCCGCAGAAGGTCGAAGAGCAAGAGTCCCATCAAGAAGGAGAAGAGTCCCATCAGGTGAGATGTGGTGTTAAAGCCACAGGTGTGTCTCAGGTGTACAGCCCATTACATCTCCTGGTTTGTGGTGTGGTGCAGGTTACCTGTAGATAATCTGACACCAGAGGAGCGAGACGCCCGGACTGTGTTCTGCATGCAGCTGGCAGCCCGGATCCGACCTCGGGATCTGGAGGAGTTCTTCTCTGCTGTGGGAAAGGTAAACGGTCAGGGCTGCATGGTGGCGCTGTTGCCTCGCAGCAAGAGGGCTGCTGGTCCAGTAGTTTAATGCTTAGCACACAAAACATAATCAATGAGCAAACAATGAAACGAACACTTGTGCGAGAGAGGTTAAGAAGGCCCAACAGTCTTGGGAATCCACCTGAAGTGCAGGTGTAGCTCGAAGAGTTGGTGGTAGTTTATTTCAAAGGAAAGGCTCTATTAGAGATGCACCGAAATAAATTCTTGGCCAAAACCGAAAATGAGGAAACCAAGGCTGAAAAACCGAAAACGTTGAAAGTAGTTATCACTCCGATGTGTACTAACCTCACTAAAATCAAGGCATCGCAATGAATCAATTAATAAACCATGAAAGTGTTCATTTAGCACTGAGTCAGGGTGGCCTAACAACCTGTCCAGGTGTGACGCCGGCTTGTCAGCTGCTGACCACGGTGGCTGGAACCGGAGCAGCAGGGCTCGGGGAGTTGGTAGGAGGGGTGGACTGTTCGGTTTCCCCAGTGACCGATGCCGTGTCCCCTCTCCCAGGTTCGAGACGTGAGGATGATCTCTGACAGGAACTCACGCAGGTCAAAGGGCATCGCTTACATCGAGTTTGTGGAGGCCAGCTCAGTTCCTCTGGCCATCGGCCTGACAGGGCAAAGGCTGCTGGGAGTTCCCATCATCGTTCAGGCGTCACAGGTAGACATAGACGCGTCTCTATCACTAGAGACCACAAACAGCTGTGATTAAGGACTCAACTCTGCCTATTGTGTGTGTGCGTGTGTGTGCTTGCGTGCGTGTGTGTTTGTCTGCGTGTTTTCAGGCTGAGAAGAACCGGGCTGCAGCTGCAGCCAACAACCTGCAGAAGGCATTATGTGGACCGATGAGACTGTATGTCGGCTCGCTTCACTTCAACATAACCGAGGAGATGCTGCGTGGAATCTTTGAGCCATTTGGACGGGTGATGCTCACACACACCCCCCCCCCACACACACACACACACACACACACACAGGTGTGTCCAGGTGTGAAGTCTGTTATTACTCATACCTGCCCTCTGTTGGTTAGATTGAGAACATCCAGCTGATGATGGACAGTGAGACGGGTCGTTCTAAAGGCTATGGCTTCATCACTGTGAGTTCATCTTAATCATCGATCACTGATCGATCTGATCAGTAGAATATTGGACTTGTTAGTTCTAATCAGCGTGGGGAACATGTGATGATCACATGGCCGGTTATTGTGGCATCAGTTTTCAGACACTGAGTGTGCTAAGAAAGCTCTGGAGCAGCTGAACGGGTTTGAGCTGGCGGGTCGGCCCATGAAGGTGGGTCATGTGACGGAAAGGACCGACCCCTCTATGGCTTCATCCTTCCTGGACAATGATGAGATGGATCGGACCGGAGTGGACCTGGGAACCACCGGCAGACTGCAGCTGATGGCTCGGCTGGCAGAAGGTGAGGCCACACCTCTGCTCTCACCATGTCAGCAGTCACTTGTAATGATAATAAAATAAACATGTTACGTAAAAGCGCTTTTCTAAGAGGAGCAAGGCGAATGAGAGCAGATATGGAGGATGGAGCCAGGTTCTGAAGCTTTGATAGTGATGAGCAGAATGGGGGTGATGAGACTAGGAGTCCTGGTGATGACGTGTGCTGCAGGTATGATGATGTGTCCCTGTGTGGGTGTGTGCAGGCACGGGCCTGCAGATCCCTCCAGCTGCTCAGCAGGCTCTACAGATGAGTGGAGCTATCGCTATCGGAGCGCTGGCTGCTGTGTCAGGTAAAACGCCATCTCCATCATATTCTGTAAATTCTCCTTTTTGAGATTCTCAAAAATCCAGCTGGCCATTGGTTTTGCTGATCGGCCAATAAAAACATGCAAGCATGATTCTTTTTACCTGACCATGAATTTGCTGTTCCTAAGCAGAGATTAGATGGACCAAGTAGCCTACAGGTGTTTCAGTGTCATAGGACCAGGTCACTTACAGGTGTGCAGGTAAAAGTCTGACTGTGTTTCAGCTGCCATGAACCCGTCTCTCAGCATGAACATGAACCCTCCGCCTCTGAGTCTTCCATCTCAGCCAATCGCCACCCACTGCTTCCAGCTGTCCAACATGTTCAACCCCAACAGGTGAGCACACCTGAGTCTGTCACCTTTAGGCTCTGAGCCGCTATTCTCAGTATGATGTGGGTATTTGAAGGGTTAGCGAAGAATCTGAGTGAGAAAGATCATAGCTCAGAGGCCAAGATGGTTCTGATCCAAATGGGTCTGTCTCACTCTGACCAGCTTCAGACCCGGTTGTTTAAATGTAGCTGATGTGATGAATTCAGGTGAACCTGTCGAACGTTGTGTTCCAGCTGAGTGTGTGTGTGTGTCTGTGTGTGACAGAGTGTGTGCTGTGTTTCAGTGAGAACGCTCCCAGGTGGGAGGTGGACATCCAGCATGATGTCATTGAGGAGTGCAACAAACACGGAGGAGTCGTTCACATCTACGTAGACAAGAATTCAGCTGAGGTACGCCTCTCTGCTGACCTCTGACCTTTGGGTCACTTACCCCACCCCTCCATCAGGTCTGATAACACACACAAACACTTCACAACCTTCTCGGGTTACAGATCCGATCTAAATCTGCTGATCCAGCCCAGAATCAGCTGATTGTAGCGTGGTGCATCCCTAAAGCCCCGTTCCGAGTTTGTTTTGGGAATTCAGACATCGTAGGACTGGATCAGCCTCGCTGCTGTAGAAACCTCATGAATGTATCAGAGTCTTCATACATGCTTATTTCTGTACTCATCGACCTCGTGACCTTCTGATGACATCATGTCACACATGAACTGCCGTTCATCCACACCTTGTCCATGACCGTGACTTCTTGTCCTGTCAGAGCTGCCTGTGGCGAGTCGTCCTGTTAGTGTTGGGATCTCTAATGTCTCCTGTCTTTCAGGGAAACGTCTACGTCAAGTGTCCGTCCATCCCAGCTGCCATGGCTTCTGTGAATGCTCTTCATGGACGATTCTTTGGAGGTAAGACCTGCCGTCTCACTGTGGTGTCTTGTTAACCAGTCAGAGAACAGGTCTGACTGTCCCACCTGTTTTTTCAGGTAAGATGATCACAGCATCATACGTCCCCCTGCCCACCTATCACAACCTGTTCCCAGAGTCTGTCACTGCCATGAAGCTGCTGGCTCCACCCCCAAGGTGGTGATTATTAACCCTGTGCTGTGATTGGACACCAACTCTGTTCACTCATTGGACTTGTTTGACATCAGGTCTAAATGCTGTCCAAGGACAAAAACGTCTCGCTCTCTTATTGGCTGCATCCTGATGCCTAGTCACGTGTTCACATGAACATGTGACACACTTCCTGTTTCTTTTGTTTCTCAGTAGCTTTCCTGGACTTGTCTCCACATCACCCTGTTCCTCTACATTATCCAGTAATGAGCTCTGTGAGCTGTGAGGGGGCGGGCCAATGGGATGCTGTCTTCCTATTGGCTGTTTAGTATTTAAGTGTTTTCTAATCTGGTTTGATTTTGTAAAATTATTGATTAAATGTTATTTTTCTTGTCACCTTGAACCTCTGTGATTTCTTCTGTGAGAGGGAAGCACTCGGTCCCAGACACAAACTACCCAGAATGCGGTCCTAACGTAGAAGGTTAAAGGTCAAACCTACATGGCCTCCTGGATCACAAATAAGTTATTCTGCATCTAAAGAACTAAATGTAGTTAACAGACATCTGGTGGATGACCTTTGACCCTCATGAGAAACCATTGTGCCACCGTGTTTAACATCTCAGATTCAGAAGATGATCGTCATGGTGACTTGCAGATCCTCCTATGAGGGTTTTAAAAAGTCCTCTTTTTTTTTTTCTTTGCTACATTGCCCCGTCAGCAGCTACATCAGAAATGTGATCTGAAACTTTCCCATAAAGACGAGGTGACACGCTGAAGTCTGGTCAGGAACTCTGCAGACTACAGTGGACACGTCTTCTCGCTGCTTTTAGGACAAACGGACTGCTGAAACCTGCTAGACCGGGGCTCCAAATGGTGGCTCACTGGCCATTTGCAGCCCCGGGTTTTATTTGCGGCCCACTGCTGCAGTTCAAGGATGGTAAAGCCTGGTTTATACGTCTGCGTCTGTGCGGGGATGTAACGCCATTATGCTTCAGCACAAGAGCTCCCCGACGGGCTGACGAAGGTGACGGAGACATGCCCAATTTTTTAAACATTCGTCAAACGTGACGGAGACTGCAAGCTTGTGATTGGTCAGGATGCCGCTTCCTGTAAATTTGTCACTAGCACCGATGTTGCCCCTTTAAAAAGTAAAAAGGTATTTAGCCGCAGACCCACAACAGATCGTAGATCATGGATAAAGTCTGAAAATAAGAACATTTATTCACCCGTGAGTGAAGGCGTACAAAATACAGAGCAAACATTTTATTTGTAGGTGGGAAACTTGGGTTTGGAGGCGGTGACTGCATGAAGAGGTGTCAGGTGGAGGAGAATGAAGGACCAGGTCCATGTTATAAAGTCTCTGAAATGTGTAAACACGCTAGTGGACCAGATACATGCGTGTGTGGTAGGATGAACAATTTGGTTCATGAAGATTTGTCCAGGTGGATGACATTCTGGTGATTTTGGGGCAGGGCATGCTGCCTTCATAAGAGGCAGATACCTGCTCTCTAATTCCAACCCTCAGCACTGAGCGTGTTTGAGGTGGCGATATGCCGGGTGCATCTGTAAGTAAAATCCAGTTTACTGCCTCATTAGTATTTCCTCTGTGACAGCCTATGGTTTATCTGTAGTGAGTGCTGGTTGGAAGCTGACGCTCATGCAGCTCCAAGCTTACCAGCCAGAGCCAGTGGCAGATTTAGCAATTTGAGGGCCCAAGGCGAACAGTCATGGGGCCCCTTACACAACATTTTCGACAATCTTACCTTTAACTGGATTTGCGAAACTCTCCTCTTCTGACATGAGTTATTTTCCCTTTTTATTGGTCCTCTTTTTTCCTGTATTTCCCTCCCTTTGAGCGCTTTCAAAATTTGCTCTGCTTTCTTTTTCCTGTCAGTGCTCCTGTGCTTTAGCCTTAGTTATTTTTTTCTATTTTCTTCCCTTTAAACGTTTTCCATTGTCTTTCCTTTCTGCTTCCTTTTGATGTTTACATCAAAAAACGACGTCACTTTCAGAAGTGAAAATAAAAGCTTTTATGAAGCATGATGCTTCTTTCTCTCATTGGAGCCACTAGGATAACTCCATTTCATGCTTAATGGTTTGACTATCGCGTTGAGTTTGTTACGAACACTCCCGCCTCTCTTCTTATTTGTGGTCTTATGACACTTGGCAAACAACAATTTGGTGCATTACCGCCACCAACTGGACTGGAGTGGAATGACTACCAATCACTTCCTGTTTGTGCATCGCCGTCTTAATAACCCTCTTATGACCATAATTATAACGGGGCCGCCCGGTATTTTTTTTAATCTTTTGGCTGTAAAATTGTAATAAAAAGTGCAAAGTGTGTGTAACTTCTTTTTTCAGAACAACCTCAGCTTTCAGTGTATGGTTTGTATTTAGAATGTTTCTATTAAAGCCTTTAAAAAAATCAGCATAAAAGTGAAAAAAGCAAAAAATGGATTGGAATTTTTTACAATTATTACTGAACAGGAACTTCAAAATGACTTGCGCAAACAATTTGGGATGAACAATTTAAACTTTGAACTGTAATGCATCTATTCTTAAAAAAGTTTGAACCTTGGTATCTTTTCTAGCAGTTTTTAAGACCATTTATTTTTGTAAACTTTCAGACGTTTTTATTGGATGTGGTAGGCCTTGAAGCAGTTTCTCTCCAGCTGCAGGCCGAGTCCTAAACATCTCACACTGCCATGGGGTGCTTCTCTTGCACACTGTGCACTGCTATACCCAGGCCCGGATTTAGGACTGAAGAAGATCTGGGGCTTAACACACGCGCATGTGCGCACACACGTGACACGCACTAGTCAACATCATATATATTTGTCTTGTACTACATAATTTTTAATCTGAAGCTACATATTAAGCATATTCAGGGCAGAGTATTGTTCCTGTTAGTGTTTAGTGTGAGATGATAGAAAATATTCCCTTTCTTTTTCCAACAACTTTACCTGATAGTAAGCTAACTTTAGGCAAACCAGCAGCACAACAAATATTTTCAAATAAGACTCACAAACCTGAGTCAGCACCAGTCTCATCAAAGCTGGGGTTCTGTCGCGGTATTTTTTGTCTAAAAAAACGCCCTTATGTCCATCTTTACATTTGCGTTTCAGGTAGAGACTGTAGAAGAAGCCGGATAAATCCAGGGATCACTCCGCGTTTATCTGAACAGACCCTTTGTTCTCTTAAACTATTGTTTGTTTATTGACATGTACAAAAATAATCAAATTTTTTGTAATTAAACATGCATGTATTGTGGCTCGTGAGTCCAGTTAGCTTGTTTTTTGGACAGAACTGTACCCGGATCATCTGGGCTGTTTTCAGACGAAGCGATTCAGAGATGCCTTCAGATTTAAGGAATGTTCGTTAAACCAAAAATCCCGGTCGATCACACCAAAGATGAATTTACCTGTGAGAACACCAGATTCCACCGCTAAAGGCTATGTAGACAAATAGTGTTCTATTAGAAACATGTAAACATAAAATCTAAAGCTGCTTCCTCTTGAGGTTTCATTTCTTACGTAACTAACCTCTTATGACTTCATTTAGACACGTTTACAAAGCCGGCTGATCTGATGAATATTCCATCGAAAACACGTCTTTCCAGCATTCATTGAGACGGGAAGATTTCTCCATGTGTGAACTTTACAGCTTCCTGTTGAGCGTTTGTCTCGTGTGTTAACATTTCATCTGTGTCGCTCCTAACCAGCAGAAGTGTACTGAACAATGACCGCAAGCTCAGAACTCATCCTTGTGGAGCTCCTGCTGTAGGGGGGTCGCATCCATACAATACTCAGCAACCATCAGTTTATTTGAGCTTTTTCAGGTCCTGGCTCCATCAGGACTCGGTCTGAGTATAACAACATCAGAGACTCCTGTTCTGCTGCCTCGCTCTTTAAGGGACTGGAGAAACCTTTCCAACAGACCCACGAGGGCCCGGTTTATCAGGAACAGAGTTGCTTTGATCAAATCCTCTTGATGAAGATGATGTCAAATTTCTGAAGATGAAGCTGGCTAATCTGCAGGTGTCGAGATAAAACCACCTGTCAGGCAGAAACTTTGTTCCATCTTCAGAGGGAGAATTGAAGTTGCACGCACCAGCTGGCTTTCAGAGGGCCTCGTGCAGGTGTCAGAGCTCGTTCAGGTGGATGACGGTGATGGTGATGTCATCACGGTACCTGCGGGCCAGGTCAGAAGGTAAACTCAGCATCTTGGCTAGGCGGTTTGGAGCCACGGCTCCATAGCCATCGTCTCCCAGTGCGTGGCGCAGCAGGTGAGTGGCAGTGTTCTGGTCCTCCAGAACTGCCTGGACTCGACGTTGCCTCTCCAGCAGGAGGCGCTGCAAGCTGCCCAGTGTCATGTCCACTCTGGGAATGATGGGTCTCTGGTGCTGGAGGCCTGACCAAAAATAAAACAAATTCAAAAATACAAAGTCAGCTTAGTAAAGAACCGGACTTCCTGCAGCTCGTTTATTCTGCTCAGATGGTTTTAGTTCTTAGTTGTCTTTAGTTTTGTTCTAGTTTGGACTTCCTGCTCCTTCAGGTTTTAGTTTGTAGTTCATCAGCTGATGCACAACATGTTCTACATATCCAACACATTCTCACTCCCAGCGCGTCAAACACAAACGCTTGGTCAGCCACCCACTGCGTCAGACCCCTGACGCCAAAAGTGCCCTTTTTCGTCGCTTATGTGCGAAAAGGGGTTTTTCCCTTTTCTGACTGCAGATCCCAATGCAGCGTAAAACTGACGCGATGAGACATCTGCAGCCAGGGCACCAAACAAGCTCATTGTACCTCACCCTAACCTTATCCTCTTGTTATTTAACTATCTCCTCACCCCATCCTAACCTTAACCATCTTGCTAGCGAACACGTTAGTGATGTGTCGGTCGCTCTAAAAGCTCTGCAGAATCCTGTTAAATCACTTCTGATTTAAATCAGGTGTGGAAGCAGTGAAACAACTAAAAGGTGGTGGATAGGGATCACGATGACCAGGGTTGGAGGGCTCTGCGTTAAAGGGATATCTTGTTTATTTTGAAGTGTCGGTTACCTTCAGTAAGGACCAGGTTACGTCACACAAAGCAAGCAGAGGCAACAGGAGGAAGTCCTCCATTTGGAACCAAAGTCATGGCTAACTAGATCGCTAACAAACGGTTTAGACTCCTCAGCGTACGACTCAACTTCACTATCAAAGGCCATGGAGACAAAGCGTGGGACATTCATGTAATCTCTGAATCCCAGACACAAGGATGGTTTGGTTTGTCCCTTCTCAGCTACCGTAGTCACAGGAATAAAACCAGCCTGCTCTGACAAATAAGAACATTCCTTTTCAGTGCAACATGGATGAAACCAAAACTACAAATGTTGTTAGGTATTTCTGCGGTAACGGAATGAAATAACTGTGTTTTTCCCTCCTCTGCACAAGACTAGTCTGCATGAGAGATAGGCCGTGTTCGAGTTGAGCTGTGCCTCGCCTGGAAAACAGACGAGAGCAGACGAACACAGCAAGGGGAGTGGCTGAAAGCCGGCATTTAAGTCGGACACAATTTCCTGCATGTGTAGCTCGCGGGTGACAATGGCTGAAGATATCGCGTTAGAGTTCACACACGTTTAATTTTTTATTTTAATTCTGGTGCCTGTTAGCAGCTGAAACACATCCTCACATGCTTGTGGATATCATATGTTGTATATATAGACAAGTCTGTAATGATAAGTAAAGGTTATCAGCTGTAGCTTCAGTGTGCTCATAGGAAACGTGACAAAATAACACAAATCACATTTCTCTTTATGGCCTATATTGTTGTCATCATCAACGTAACATGATTTACAGAATACATGTGACCAACTATCATTTCATGTTCTACCACCGGATGTTTGGATCAAAATATGAACCAGTCAGATCTTAGATCAGGTGAGAGCCAGGCGTTTCCCATCATCCCCTAGGTTTTGCAGCCGAGGGAGAGCAACTGCAGCGCCTTGCTCCAAAATCCGTGGCCGCCTTGATCTCACGAGGTTATCGTTACCCACTTATGCATGACGTCAGAGCAAGTCGGTGTCAAGTCGGACACATATCTAACCGGCATGCACTGCTCGCCGATCACCGCTGATCTAATCTGCGCAGAACTAGCTTATCTTGAACACGGCCATAGTCTCAAGGTCTCATGCATTCCTTCTAACCTGCTTATTTTCAGCTCAACAGAAGAATGAAGAATGAACTCTTTTCTTTTAATTCATCAAATAACTATTTTAATAAAGCTAATCCATCAAAGTGTTAGTCAATGAATAAGATGTGACCGATCTATGAAATCAAAATATTAATTACTTTATTATGATCCTATAGAATATAATAAGTAATATGACTTTAAATGTTCCAACAGGACTCATTTCACGTAGTGTTAAAAAGACATAACACATTCCTTTCACTGATCCAATCAGAATCTTACAGATCTGATGGAGGCGTGGTTTTGATGGTGTTTGATAATTTTCATTCGAAAATAAACCATAACATCCGAAGTATAAAACTACGCCACGTCATCTCTTAACGCCAGTTCAAAGCGTTCCAGAGAAAGTGACGGAGTGGCCAATCCTGATCTACACTCTTTAACCAAAAGAACGGACGACAAGCTGAAAAATTTGTTGCTATTTCAACTGCGGCAACAGTTCCTTTCAGAATAAAAGCTGAACCATCAAGACCTAGACTTGGGTCTCACCAGACGCCAACAAAGTGCCGTGACCCGGAAGTAACTCACAGACTGGACTTATCAGCAACCACTGCTTTTCCTACCGGCTCGGTTCCAGAGAAGGTCAAACTGGACCTCGATATTCCTGATCTAAAGGGGACTTCCACGAAGGGTAGGTAGACCGGCAAATGGTGACTGTGTTTCTGAACGTCCTAACTAAAGCTTAATGCGAAGACATCACCTTCAGTTCCCGTCAGAACTAATCGCTTCTTCGGATTGGCTGGTTCTGGTTAACATCACACTTCATCCATTTACTGTCTCATCCACTTTAGTTACACTATACATTTAATTTTAAAGTCAATCTAGTTTAATTTGTTAGTAATAAAATTCTTAATTTTTAAACTTGACTCTCTCTCTCTTCTGTTGTCTCTGAGTGAAGACGAAGTGGTTACCTAATCCCTGCAGTAAAAAGATCCAATCTTCTGGTTTAAATAACCTCACAGATCCGTAAGGTGGATTTCATATTTCCTATGGAATCCCACGCCTTATGGCTTATTAAATAACATGTAATCTAAATCATTACAGATGGCGAGCCAGCCAGGAGGTTACACTGCCAATACATGACAACACGCAATCTTAATGTCAAACTGAGCCATCCAGATGATTTCTGACCTGTCAGATGATCTCCAACCAGCTGGATGACAGTCTGTCGATGCATCAGCTCCCACAGTCCATCAGTCGCCAGCACCAAAAACTTGTCTGCAGGTCTGATGAGGTGTCGGGTGATTTCAGGTTGAGCACTCAAGTATGGTGGGGTCAGGTAGTGTGGTGGAAGCCCCCACACTGATCCACTAACTGCAGACCGAACATTTGGTCCGCTTTCATAAAGCTGATTCAGCATTTCTGGGCTCCATTTGAAGCGGACGTCACCAAACGCCCTGAAAGGCAGCAGCAGACCGAGCAGGCGGTCATGGCGGACCGCCGTCCTATGCTCAGAGGGAGGATGCTCTCCCAGAACCCTTTGAAGCTCGTCTGGATTCTGTGCATTGTGGTCATTAGTGAGACTGATGGCTGACCAGTGTCCGTCCTGTTCCTGGACTCCCAGGACAGCTCGACTGTCCCCCAGGTTAGCCACATGCAGGACACCACTGGAGACATAAGCAACACAGGTGGTAGAGCCTGACAGAGCCACTCGGAGGGGAGAGGACAGGGCCAACCCCTCCCCAGGGAGGGACATTTTTCTGTGGACAGAAAGAAGATTCAGCCCAGAAGCTACAGACTGAAACACCAATGTTTAAACCTGGATGAGTCGCTATAGCAACAATCCAAACATCTGTCCAGCAGACTAGCTCAACTCTGGTCGGGCCTGAGAACATGAAAATGGGTTCCTTTTGTTTCATGCTGACTAAAGGTTCTGCAAACCTAAAGCTGCCTGAAAATCCATTCTGAGTTAGGCTCTTGATGTTTTAAGGGAGATGTTTGTCTCAGAAACATTTTTAAACCTAGCAGTCAATCCTGAAGTGAGACAACCGGACCTGGGTGATGACTGCAACAGCTGGGCCTGGGCCTCCACCGACAGGTCATAGTCCAGACGGCAGAATGCATCAACCAGTGCTGAGGTCACACCTTCCTGAGGACAACACAAGAAAGGAGGTCATCTTAAATTTTGTTTCACTGGCTGAAGAGGCGGAGCCTTAACTATGATGACCGACTAATAGAAACAGGAAGGGAGGGGTCTTCAGTGTGCCACATCTCCTGGAAATGAGTTCAGCTGGTTCAACATGACTACAACCAGAGCCAGGATCTGAGTCCAGGTTGGACTCGTTCCAAGTCACTGTAGCACTAGTACCAAATATTGTGGTGGATAAATGCCAATAAATTCTAGGTTCTGAGGAGTAATAAAGAAGAATTTTAGTTATAAACTGACAGGTTTATTTCAGTGATGCACAACATATTTACAAACCCCAAAATAAAATAGAGTTCTTTAAAAAAAATAGAATTACAAAGGAACTGGATTTGCTTTCAATCCATGTTTACTTATTCAGTTCTTGTTCAGATCTCTTCTCTTCTGGGTATGATTCTACAGTTCACGCTGTTAATGGACACTACTCGGGTAGGGTTGAGAGTGTGTGTGTGTGTGTGTGTGTGTGTGTGTGTGTGTGTGTGTGTGTGTGTGTGTGTGTGTGTGTGTGTGTGTGTGTGTGTGTGTGTGTGTGTGTGTGTGTGTGTGTGTGTGTGTGTGTGTGTGTGTGTGTGTGTGTGTGTCTCCGTGTCCTCAGCTGGAAATCCCGATAGTTCCAAAGTTCCAAGATGAGTTCACAGTAGATTCCAGTAGCAGCTGGCCAGTCTACTAACAGGAATCTTTGAAGTCTCGTCCATGGTTCTGGCTCACCATCACGTCGTTTAACTTAATCGCTTAATCAACGAACGTGCACACAACCGGAGAGTTGAGCCCTACCCCAAACAGGCACTGCCGAGGGTCAAAAACCGCAGCTCTTACACTATTAATCTATTGGTAACCAAACAGTGTGTGGGTTACACCCTCCCCCCTTAATTAGCATGAGTCCTATTATGCGGCTAATATTCAGATCTAAACGTGGTGAATTTGCTGATCAGGACAGTCACTGAAAAACTCAAGTGCCTGATTAAAACTGTCCAAAAATCCCTGAGCAAAGGAATTCAGAGGTTTTCCTAACTGTGGGCAATGAAACCGACATGTCTTATCCTGTCGGATTTCCTAATGTCTAGTTTCTCACCATCTGTGTCTTTTACAGACTGTTGGTCAGGTGACTCCATCCTGGACTGGTCATCATTTATGTCACTCACACCTAGAATAGGCAGAACATCTGTATCAAGACTACCCGTAACCTCCACATTAGGTGGATCTACTGCATCATCAGAGTCACTTTCAGCTCCCAAAACTTCATCTGGAATCACCTGAGGGTCATCCGCAGTTATAGGTAACAGGGTGTTGGAGGTGTCTGGCGCAACTTGCTCACTAGGTACCGTGAGGGTTTCAAAGGGCCCATTTTTGTCATATACCTTAATGAAAGTTCTGTATGAACCGGTGGGTCTACCTGAACATCAACACACTCATCCTCAGAGTCAGAACATTCAGGCTGCTCTAACTGTGGTGAGCTCTGCCTAGTTCTTGGTCGTCGGGGAGGTTTTGCACTTTCACTGTTAGTTCCAGACAAATGACCACATGGAAGCAAGAGATCAGTACGCGAAGGGCCATCTCCACCCTCTGGACTAACAGTGTATACAGGCAAGATCCCCATTTGTTTCAAAACACGGTACACAGTGGACTCCCACTTGTCAGCCAGTTTATGTTTTTGTCGCAGTCGCAAATTTCGGACTAAAACCCTGTTGCCAACTTGGAGAGTAGCTTCTTTAATCCGCTTATCAAAATGCTTTTTGTTGTGTTCAGCCAGCTTTCCAGAGTTCTCCTGTGCAAGATGATAGCTCCTCCAAGTGAGCTTTGAGCTGTCTGACATACTGGGAATGAGGCACTGGCTCATTATCTTTCACTGGAAGCCCAAAGGCTAAGTCAGCTGGTAGTCGTGGTTGTCGCCCAAACATTAATTCATAAGGGCTGAACCCAGTGACTTTGTTTTCGGTACAATTGTATGCATGAGCAAGTGGTTCAACGAAGTCACGCCAATGGACTTTCTGCTCCTCTTTTAATGTGCCAAGCATATTGAGGAGGGTGTGGTTAAGCCGCTCCACTGGGTTGCCCCTTGGGTGATATGGGCTAGTTCTCACCTTCCTGATACCTGCTATTGCACAGAGTTCTTTGATAACACGAGATTCACAGTCTCTGCCCTGGTCACTATGAAGGTGCTCAGGACAGCCACAGTGTACCAAGAAGTTATCCCAAAGGCATTTTGCAACTGTTGTGGCTTTCTGGTCTCTTGTAGGTAAAGCAACAGCGTATTTTGTAAAATGGTCAGTGATGAGCAAAATATCCTTTGGATTCTTGCTATTGGGCTCTAGAGACAAGAAATCCATGCAGACCAATTCCGTTGGTTGTGATGTTCCGATAGTGTCTAAGCAGGCCACTTTTTCAGGTTGAACTTTTCTCCTCACACAATGCCCACAGGCCTTGATCTGGGTCTCAGTGTCTGAATCTGACGCCCTGGTAGCCTTGAGCGGCAAGCAACAAACCCCCTACGAAGGGATGCAGACATATGCTGTGAAAAACCGACCCCCCCTCCCCCCCCCCCGCCGCCTTCGGATTGGTGGACTTCAGCCTGGCGAGGTCATCAATCTGTAGGAGTCAATGTGCTCTTTGCTTCTCCCAAGATCTCCCTCCCACCTGTGACTGTACAGTAGATGAGTGCTGTAGATGGCTGCTCTCGCTGGGGGAAACAGGATCCCAGCCCACCCCCTGTCTTCCTATTGGAGTCTCATGTTATGTTGTGTTGTCTGAAGTCTGTTGCATATCTGTTGAGGTGCTTATTTGCAGAGCAAAGCTGCCCTCCTGGTGGGAGGGTAACTCTGAAGTACCTTTTCCCCCTCCACCTGAACCAATCCTCATGTAACCCTCTTATCTCTATTAAGGTAGCGCGACTCGGGTTGCGAATGACCACAGTCACCAATTCTTGTCATGTGTCTTGCCCATGTATGTCTGATCTCTGAATTGAGTGTACTGAAACTCTAATTTCCCTCTGGGATTAATAAAGGATTGATTGATTGATTGATTGATTGATTGATTGATTGATTGATAAAACCGGGATCTTATTGGGTGAGTACGCTCCCACCCCATGTGTCCCATGTCATCACGGAGGAGCCTGAAAACAGTTGGTCTTAAGACTGCTGGAAGAACCAATTGATAAACCGTTTGTCCATGACATTGCCGTGCTCTGGTGAGAAGGCAATTTCTCATCTCAAAATGTTTCCACTGCTCATTTTTTGAGCTACATGGGCCATTAACACACAATCTCAATAACTGAATAATGTGACTTATCACAGGGTCGGCTTCTTGCTGCTCTCTAAGGTCAGATTCGGAGAAAAGAGGCACTGTCACTTGACCAAACATCTCTTCTTCAAACGAATCAGGCACAGCACCAGCATGAATAGCCAGAGACTCAACCAATGTGATGGAAGTAAACTGGTTGTCTGTCTCCTCAAGAAGATGCTTGTGACACACTGCTGCAACCGAATCAGAATCCATGCTTAGGTCAGATGAAAATGATGTCTGGAAGCGTCTGGTGAACTGTTGGATGCGCTCTGCCTCTTCAAGAGAGGTGTTGTCTGGAATGAGCTCACGATGAGGTCGTCGCGACAACCCATCAGCATCCTGGTTTGCTTTTCCAGCTCTGTACTTAATGCTGAAGTCAAAAGTTGACAGGGCTGCCAACCAGTGATGGCTTGCCGCATCTAGTTTGGCTGAGGTAAGCACACATATTAATGGATTATTATCCGTCACCAATGTAAAAGAATTACCATAAAGGTAGTCGTGAAACTTATCAACAACTGACCATTTCATAGCCAAAACTCCAACTTGTGAGCTGGATATTTGCTCTCACTGGGTGTCAATCCCCAACTGGCATAAGCACTGACCCTTATCTCCCCTTCCTGATCCTGGTACAGAGCAGCACCCAGTCCAGTTGAGCTGGCATCTGTATGAAGAATATAAGGGATTTTTGGTTTGGCAAAGCCCAGTACTGGAGAAGTCGTCAGTTTCTCTTTGATGCACCCAAAAGCTGCCTGGCAACCAGGTGTCCACCTCTCTGCAACAGGCACCCTGGGGTTGAAATACTTGCCGGCAGGAGTAACCACTTTCTGGGTTTTCCTCAATGGTGGGTAACCTCCTGTAAGGTCATTCAAAGGCTTCACAATCTTAGAATACTGCTCAATGAAACGGCGATAATAGCCAGCAAGTCCTAAGAATGATCGAAGCTCTTTCAGGGTTTGCGGCACTGGCCAGGTTTTAATGGCAGCTATTTTGTCAGGGTCGGTTTCAATGCCATTCCTCGAGACAATATTACCCTGGTACCGCACTGATGTTTGGAAGAATCTGAATTTCAATGGGGAAAGCTTTAAACCATTCTCCCTCAACCGCTGGAGAACATGTTGCAGTCTTAACTCATGTTCCTCTAAGGAATCAGAAAATACAATCAAGTCATCAAGGAATACCAAAACTTCCCTGAGGTTACTGTCCTCCATGCACCTCTCCATTAACCTCTGGAAAGTGCTGGGTGCATTGGTTACTCCCCGTGGCATCTGGTTAAACTCCTAAAAGCCGAGAGGACAGACAAATGCAGTCTTGGCTTTGTCCTCCTCCTCCATCTCAATCTGATAATAACCACACTTTAAGTCCATCACAGAAAACCATTTCGACCGGCAAAGGGCTGAAAAAGTCTCTTCAAGGTTTGGGAGTGCATAAGCATCCCTAATGGTTAGTGCATTGAGTTTACGATAGTCAGGCGAACAGGGTTACATCACCTCTGGTCCCGCTTAAAGAGCAAGTCACCCCTTACAAGAAGCGTACTTCACTCCCACTTCATGTTTGAAAAATCCAACAAATGCTGTTGCCTAGCAGACCGAGTGGGTGGAGCCACTAACAAATACACACACTCACGACATTGTGACATCATAATGTACCAGTTTACATCATAGCATACCTCTTAGCCAATAGCGGTGGCAGATTTAAATTCAAATGCAGTGCAGAGTTTTTACCTGACAACGGCACAACACTGCCAGCTTCAGGCAGAAAATTTAAATTTTAACTAAAATGCACTAAAGTGCAAAACTATTGACTACACGTGTCTGCAGCACGAGTAGACATGCATTTATATAGTTTATCAGAAAAAAATTGTTGGTTTAGGGGTGACTTGCTCTTTACAGGACCTGGATTTAGCAGATACTGCCATCTAGTGGCTGGTGTAGTGCCAGCAGCCATCTCTAAAATAAAATCACATATAAATAAGAAAGCCATGAAGATCTTTGTTCTTCCTTAGAAGTTTTCCTTTTGTTTTTCTGCTCTTACCTGTCTGATCAGACTGGTCCACTCACCTGTCTCATCTTCTTCTGATCAGTATTTGTCTCATTCATAACAAACATCTTATGAAACACTTTCCATAACAACTGATTCCTCTATGTTTTCTCTACCATTCCCTCACAACAAATATCTTGATCTTTGGTTCTGGGGTGTTACCTCCTGCTCTCCATCCTCCTCTCCCTCCAGCCTCTCCTGCCAGTAGTTACGGAGGCTATGGAAGGAGATCGCCCCGTCGTCGAGGCAGCTGGGATCTTGGGGATGTTTGTGCCACTCCAGCAGGGGCGGAACAGCTCGGTCCTCCTCCACAGCCCACTCCAGTTCCTGCAGCATCTTCAGCGGCAGCATCGCCACGGTGATGTAGTAGAAGAGCCTCTGGCTGATCACCTGTGCACATGCTGAACCTGCATGACCATCAAACACACCAAACAGGACCCCTCCTCGCCCTGGGAGACAGGTGGCGTTGCTCCGACGATCCTCACTAGGTTGGTTGGATGGGAGTGTGTTGCTATAGAAACCCAGGACTCCATGAGAAGCGGGGCCTCTGGGGAGGGTGTGACTGTACTCGTTGGCCTGTCAACAAAAGACAAACATTAAGAAACCAACTGCTGAATGTTGAATGTTGTGCCTTTCTCACCTTTAAGACCTGGTTTATCTGAGCTGAGCTTAGCTGAACTGCCCCTGGCTCAGCATGGGACTTCCTGCTTCTGCTGCCTGCTGGGTAATGGACTCTGTGGAGCTCAGGTGGAGGGGAGGACAGGGCACGATACTGCCAGAACTCCAATGTGTAGCATCCACGGAGAGTTCCTGATCTTCCCAGCATGACTGCTAGCAGAAGGAGCTGCAGCAGAACCTGGAGACATCAGCAGAGAAGAGATGAGGTCAGAGACACCTGCTGTCTCTACATCTGTAACGTCTCACAAACCTTCCAGAATCATTCAGACAGGTTTCACCTTAGATCCCAGAGGTCCAGTAGGACTAGCTGTGCAGTACTTTATTAACCTGGCAGCAGTACCAGGATGTGTCCTTTAATCCAGGCATGAATGTTTCCATGACCATCTTTGTTCACCTGAGGTCATCGGAATCAGAAGCATCGTGTTCCAAAGTCAGAGAGAAATAGTCCAAACATCTTTTATTGGATTGTTGTGCTTCTTTAGGATCAGAATATTCTTTCAGAACCTTCCTGTGTTCCTCTGCAGCTTCCTTAGGTACCGTGAACCTGCTCACAGAACCAAACACCATCCATCCATTATCCCCCTCCTAAATGGAGTCGGGTCGTAGGGGCAGCAGCCTAAGCAGGGAGGCCCAGACCTCCCTCTCCCCAGCCACTTGGGCCAGCTCCTCTAGGGAAATCCCAAGGCGTTACCTGGCCAGGTGAGAGACATAGTCCCTCCAGCGTGTCCTGGGTCTACCTTTAGGCCTTCTCCCGATTGGACGTGCCCAGAAAACCTCACCAGGGAGGCGTCCAGGAGGCATCCTAACCAGATGCCCAAGTCACCTCAACTGGCTCCTCTTGATGTGGAGGAGCAGCAGATCTACTCCGAGCCCCTCCCGGATGACCGATCTTCTCACTCTATCTCTAAGGGAGAGCCCAGCCACTCTGCAGAGAAAACTCATTGCAGCCGCTTGTATCTGTGATCTCGTTCTTTCGGTCACTACCCAAAGCTTGTGACCGTCCAATCCAATCCAAATTCAATCCAACTTTATTTGTATCGCACTTTATACACAACATGTCAATCAAAGTGCTTCACACACAGATAAAAACATACCGCCATAATTCAAAACAGTAAAAACATGGATAATATATTAATACATACAAAACCAAAGGTGAGGGTAGGAACGTAAATCGAGAGCTTTGCCTTCCGGCTCAGCTCTCTCTTCACCACGACAGATCGGTACAATGCCCACATCACTGCAGACGCAGCACCAATCCACCTGCCAGTCTCACGCTCCATCTTTCCCTCACTCATGAACAAGACCCAGTGACACTTAAACTCCTCCCTTTGGGGCAGGACCTCCTCCCTGAGCTGGAGAAGGCATTCTACACTTTTCCTACTATAGACCATGGGCTGGAGCAGCACCAAACCGATCCTATCAAACTGATATCGCACTGGCAAAAATACAAATGTTACACTTTCCCATGTCGTCACTCATCTGACTCTTATTTAGTTGTACGAGTTTTTAAATTGCAGCCAGAACTGGTCCAGAAGTCCAGAGTCAGTATGACCTTGGCGGTCGTTGTCTTCTGGAAGTTGTTTGAGCCAACGGTAGACCTGCGTGAGTAGACCACCTTGCAGAGCTAAGTCTTTTGCTGCTGCTATGGTTTGTCCAGAGCTCCAGATTTCTGCTAATGACCAGAAACATTCTAAACTTCCTGTAAAAAAGCAAGATCACAGAAATCTCCATGTTTCATTGTGTTCAGAGTCATGGAGGGTCTGGAAACTATCTTACCACAGGTGGGAGGCAGGGTTACACCTAGACAGCTCCCGGTCCCGCTCAGGACCAGCACAGACTCAGACCCAAATCCTAGGAACCACCTCCACTTACTCCTCAGATCAGTTTAGCTGCAGCTCCTTGCTCACCAGGAGAAGCTCTGTTTGGGTTTGAAGAACAGCCCCTTCCTCGCAGTTTTCACACACAAAAAAGCATTTTTATTCTTTCATCTTCATTCAGAGTTTAAAACCAGACACTGAACAGGCTGCAGGAATCAGAGCACGTTACTTCCTGTTTCCCGCAGGCGGGCAGGTGAGCTGTTTATTCTCTCAGAGTGACCTTTGGCAGCTTCTGTACCTCCATAATCAGTCACAGATAAACCTCCTCTAACTGGAAGGATCACACCTGAGCTGTGAGTCTAAATCTCACAGAATAGAAATACACAAACTTCAGCTCCAGGTTTTGTTTCAGCTCACTGCACTCATGTGTAGGAACAATGACATCATATAAAATAAAATATCTTACAAAGCAGGTGATTCCTTTGTCAAATTAGTCATGTGAATCTGTTTTCACCAAGATTTAAAATGCAGAGACAAACATGTTCCCATCCTCTCACTTTCCTCTAATGCAAGGCCAGCTTGCTGAGGTACCAGATCCAGGAGGGGAACCTAGGTCTCTCTCCCATCAATGATAGCCCCCTGCTCCTTCTGAGGGATCTAAAGGTGTTCTCAAGTAGGAGAGGGTGTTTCATCACTCCAGTCAGTGTTGTGGGTCTCTTACCAATGACTGGAAAACCTCCAGTTGTAGACAACCAGTAATCATCCTCTACATGTGGAGGAGCAGCTCTACTCCCTCAGATGATAAAGCTCCTCACTGCCTCATCTCTGTACCTAGCAGATCATTTCAGTATTTTGGTCCAGAATCTCATTCTCTCACCAAATCTCATGACCAGCGGTGAGGGTCAGAATGAAAATGAAAAATCAATTTTTTCTAAATCTCTTCATCTCAACTGATCAAAAAATGTCCTTGTCCTTGTTGCAAATGAAGCCTAGAGCTGTCTGCCTAATTCTCCTTCATCCTGTCACTCAGAAACAGAAATAAAATCACCCAGTGTGTGCTGAAGGTACCAACATGAACTCTAAAAGCCCTTCATATCAAGACTCCTTCTAAAGATTGATATAAAAATGGTTTGATTATTTATTTTATTTTATTTTATTTTATTTTATTTTATTTTATTTTATTTTATTTTATTTTATTTTATTTTATTTTATTTTTATTTTATTTTATTTGTTTTATTTAAAACTTGCAGGGCACTGCTTCTCCTGTAGAGGGCAGTGTATTAAAGTATTTTGGCGGTCAGAGAGAGAGAAGCAAACGACGTAATGACGTACTTCCAGTTGGGGCAACGTGTTTTGTTGGTTTAGGCTACATTTCTCGTTTCAGGCTGATAAGCTTTGGACTAAAGCTTCTAACATGGTGAGACTTTCCGTTTGTTTGCATCCGGATCGTTTAACCTTTTAGTTTTCAGAAGCTAACACGTCCGAGCGGATGTTTAAGAGACAGATGACCTGGTTTAAAAGGCATCTTTGGGTTTATTTCTGTGTTGAATTAGCCAATAGCTGAGTCGCGTTTGGCGCAAGCCTGCCTGTTTTGTAAAGTGATGTAAACCATTATTTTACTGAAAATGTTCTCTCGGTTTGCGTTCAAGTGGCTGTTTTATGAATGGAGTTTGGTTCCGCAGGTGTGTGTGTGTGTGTGTGTGTGTGTGTGTGTGTGTGTGTGTGTGTGTGTGTGTGAGAGAGAGAGAGATTACTCGTCACATGTTTGATGGAGAGTTCTGACTCTTGTCTCTGTTTGTGCAGGCGAGGAACGCAGAGAAAGCCATGTGAGTACTCATCCGGAACCGGTGTTCAGAACCATCGGTACAAAACTAGTTCTGTTGTGTTTTGGAGAACGCAAACCCATCCCCTGATCACAGATTAACCAAAAGACCTGAATCTGACCTTTGACCTGGCAGTGTCATCCGACCAGATCAGATGATGGCTCTGTTCACATCCACCTCAGAAAACACATTCAGATCTCTGAAGACTGTTCTGCACATTCACCATGACCCTCAGTCGTTGTAGTCTGCGTCTCCTGATGTCAGGAAAACAACAAACGTGTCTCTGGACTCGTCACATCCTGGTCACTGCCTGATTCCAGCTGTTGTCATTAGGCAGGGGATTAGGATCACACAGATCCAGAACAAACCGCCTTGGAAACGATATTTATCTAGTAGCAATCATGGTCTTAAAGTCACATTTAAACACCGGAGGGGGAGTTAGGACCTTGCCCTGTGACCAGTGGTTGCCAGTTCGAATCCAAGATCCGTTAGTGTCAGTTGTATTCTGGCACCCTAACCCTAGCTCATCACCATCACTGTAGTGTGATGGTGCGGGTCATTAGTCATTAACAGAACATGTCTTCCTGTCCTCTCCCAACAGAGGCCTTAACTCAACCAGAACATTTCTTCTACATAAGTGGACCTCATGCATTTAGAATATAATATTCCTTTATTTTTATGGTATGCTTCTCTGAGTCGTCTGCACCATTTCATTTTGTTTTTTTTTAAGTGACAAAGATTTGATTTGACGCAGAGCACTGTGGTTCTGCTCTGATTTACTGTGTTTCTCTGTTTTGTCTCTTAGGACGGCTCTGGCCCGCTTCAGGCAGGCTCAGCTGGAGGAAGGAAAAGTCAAGGTCCAGTCTGCTAACTCTGGCTAACTAGATGTGAATGTGTCGCTGACCCGTCTGTGTCTGAACCTAGCTTTTCTGACCCATTTCTCCAGGAGAGGAGACCTTTTCTGGCCTCGGAGTGTAGTGAGCTTCCTAAAGCTGAAAAATGGAGACGACAGGTACCGGCGCTGTTCTGATCCTTTTAGCGTTGTGTGCCAGGAGTTCCAGTCACTCTGTGGATTTCGAAAATTTAAAGAATGGTTCTGTTTCAGATCATCAGTGAGATCTCAAAAAAAGTCGCTCAGATCCAGAATGGTGAGTTCTGACCCATGTGCTTGTCTTTGACCTGTCTGCCTGTCTGACCTGTCTGTCTCTCTCTGACCGTCCTTCAGCCGGCCTTGGAGAGTTCAAGATTCGGGATCTCAATGATGAAATCAATAAGCTGCTCAGAGAAAAGGGTCATTGGGAATATCGGATCAAAGAGCTTGGAGGACCTGACTACAGGGTAATCCACTCCTATTGACTCATGGTTGCTATGGAAACCAGTCACTTATCATTATGTACATTATATTACGGATCATCAATAGATCTGATTATTAGTAGTAATAATTTCAGCGCTTCGGTCCGAGGATGTTGGACCACGAAGGGAAGGAGGTTCCAGGAAACCGGGGCTATAAGTACTTCGGAGCAGCCCGGGACCTGCCTGGTGTCAGAGAGCTTTTCGAGAAGGAGCGTATGTATCTTCACTCCTTTGTGTTTCTAAGGAAACTCCCCTGTGATTGGTTCTCACTAGTCATGTGACCCCCAGCTACCCCGGCACAGAGGAAGACGAGGGGAGAGCTGATGAAGGACGTAGATGCAGAGTACTATGGCTACAGGGATGAAGATGATGGAGTTCTGCTTCCTCTGGAGGCACAATACGAGAAACAAGGTGAGCTCATACCTGAGGTGTGTGTGTGTGTGTGTGTGTGTGTGTGTGTGTGTGTGTGTGTGTGTGTGTGTGTGTGTGTGTGTGTGTGTGTGTGTGTGTGTGTGTGTGTGTGTGTGTGTGTGTGTGTGTGTGTGTTTGTGTTTGGTCGGTCTAATGTGTTGTATGTTCTGTGAATGCAGCCGTGTCTGAAGCAGTGAATAAGTGGAAAACGGAGAATGAGTCTTGTTTGTCTGGGGAGAAGCAGGAGGAGGAAGAGGAGGAGAGCATCTACACCGTCCACAACGAGGAGGTGAGCCTCCTCTTTACCTGCTGACCTCAAGAGGGTTTGACAACCGGAATGAATCCACAACTCCCTGGAGTTCCCTCTGAGTGTTCCTGCTTCTGAATCAGAAGGGTGTGTTTGATTTGTTCTTCTGTGCAGCTTGATGAGGAGAGTCGGGAGGAGCAGGAGGAAGAGGATGGAGGAGTTGCCTTCTTTGCACATGTTCCTGTTCCATCTCAGAAAGAGGTAAGAAACAAGGTTTTTTTGGGGGGACATGAATCATTCAGAGACCCAGATCCTGGTTCAGAGAGGAAACAGGATGCATCGTTGTAGCTGTCCTCACTGATGTCTCGCTGTGGGACCTGTCTGTCTCTCAGGTGGAGGAAGCTCTGGTCCGGAGGAAGAAGATGGAGCTGTTGCAGCGTTACGCCAGTGAGACTCTTCAGGCTCAGAGTCAAGAAGCCAGAACTCTGATGGGACTCTGACCCTTGTCTGTCTGCATGTTTTTTGTAAATATTGATAATTTTGTAATTTTTCAATAAATCCTTGTTCAACTCAATTTTTTTGTTTCCATTTGAGGGGGGGGGGGGGGGGGGGGGTCAGATTATACTTGCACCAGGTGGAGAGGAGGTGGACTTCTGAATATGGAAGCCCCAAAGGTTTCAGCTCAGTCCAGTCAGGTTTCACGGGTCCTCTGAAAATTTGTATATTATCAGAAAACTCTGAAACCGGCTGAGTTATGTTTACGATGACATCACAGAAGGATCCAGTGAGCATGTGCAGAGGGTGGCGGTGGAGATCAGGCAGGTGAGGAGTTACTCAAGGCCATGACTCCTCGGGCTCTGTTGCTCTGGACTCTGATCGCGGGTGTCAGATCTAGTTTTTGTTCCATCTTCTTTTGTCCATGGGTGAAGGCTTGTATTTGTACACCCCAAGGTGCTTCACAAGACAACCATCATTGACTCACACATTCACATGTCAACAGAAGAGCATCTCTGTGTCCTCATGCGGTCTCAGTGTGGCTGCTGATTGGTTGATTAGTGGCCTTCTGCAGCATGTGATTGGGAGATTAATGACTGAATGCTACACGTGATGTCATGTGACAAGAAAAATGCTGCCAGCTGCATCTAATTAGTGTGTGCATGCATGCTCCGTGGATGGAAGCGTCTCCTGCAGCTCTGTTTGTTTTGGAGCCACAGACTTGATTCTGAAGCAGTTTCCAGATTCAGGTTTGGGGTTAAATTTTGGCTTCTGTCTGAAGTTTTACCACTGAAAGCTTTGTGGTTCTGATCCAGAAAATGTCCCGTTTGAAATAAAAAACTAAACTGATCATATGAAACAAACCTCCCAGGAGATGTTCGACCTGAAGCACCTTATCAAACAACTGAGTCAGCCTTTTGAACTTCACTTTTCAGGTGTTCTTCTCCTGCAGACACCAGAGTCATAATCACAGGCTGAATGAACATGTGGAGTTTGAGTTTTGTGTGTTGGTGGAGTCACAAACGTCAAGCTCCCATTGGCTAGTAGGTTGTCAGTCACACTGAAACCACACCCACAAATCAGAAACTGTGTGCTATTCTAACCCAGCTCAGGACAGGTTGGACAGATTCATCAGCTGATCTTTGTTTTGTTGTGGGGGACACCTGAGAGGGGTTCCCGGGGTTCTTTCGGAAACAGTGGTCTCAATTTGTGATGATGTCACAGATCTCAGGAGGTCAGGATCCAGATGGTCCAATGAGGTGAGATGAGGAGGGAGGAGCTGAACTCACCTGACAGATGTGTTGTTCTTTCTGATTTTGACAAACAGCTGTGTGTCACATCATCTGCGATGAATAAACATGATGACATCTCCCAGACTCCTCCTCCACGCTGACATCACACCCTGTCATTTATTAGGCAGCAGCAGAGAGTCTGTCGGACAGATGGACATCATGTGGTGTCGAGGGTTTCTGAAGCAGGTCGTCCGTCACTCGTCCAGCGCTGCACGGGTCAGGGTAAGGTTCTGAGGGTTGGTCAGTGTGTGTGTGCGTGCGTGTGTGTGTGTGCAGGTTAGTGAGTGAGTGTGTGTGTGTGTGTGTGTGTGTGTGTGCAGCATTTACTCACACACAACACAACTAGTTCTGTCTCACCTGTGTCTCCACCAGGCCGGCGTCCTCTTTGATGTAGATGGTGTCCTCCTCCGCGGTGGTTCTGTGATTCCGGCCGCTCGACGGGCTATAAGGAAACTTGTAGATCAGAACAACAACTTCCTGTTTCCTGTTGTCTTTGTCACCAACGCAGGAAGCTGTTTGAAACACCACAAAGCCCAGCAGCTGTCTCGCCTGCTGGACGTCCAGGTAGGAGGGACGGGACACAGAGTTGGAGGATATTTTCCACCTGAAGCAAACTGAACAAAGTTCTCTGATGAGGGTTTAGTTTGGATTTTGTTCAGGTGTGTTTGAAATTAATTCAGTATTTTGATTTTAATTCTTTGAGTCTGTATTGTTGCTGTGAAGTGATTAGTCCAGCTCAGGTCATGTGATTTCTCCACAGGTAACACCTGAGCAGGTGGTTCTGTCCCACAGTCCTCTACACATGATGAAGAGTTTCCATGATAAATGTGTGCTGGTGTCAGGACAGGGACCAGTGAGCCGCATCGCCCACACGTATCCTTTACCTGCTACCTGCTGAGTCACCTGTTAGATGAAGCAACATTTTCTTGTGAGCACCTTTTGGGGTGACCTGCGTCCTCTCAGGTCACCTGTCACCTGTGACAGTGTCGTGCACGTGTGCAGTAATTAGTTTCAGTTTTTAAGTGACTCCCAAGTGTTGAACTCTTGACCTCATCGTTCTTAGACTGGGTTTCCAAACCGTGGTGACCATGGAACAGCTCTCAGAACAGCACCCCCTGCTGGACATGGTGGACCACAACCGGAGACCTACAACACCTGTGAGTCGGTCACCTGAGACAGAGTAGCTGTAAAACTCAGATCTTTTGCAGATATTTGTTGGTCTGAAATGTTCAACAAACTAGTAAATTAGTTCTCAGGTCAAAATACAGATAAATTAATTTGTTTTTAAATCACAGTAAAATGTATTTTTAAATAAATAAGAATGTTTGTAATTTTTAATTTAAAGTTACACAATAACTTAAATTAATTTAGTTTTTCAAGAGAAGAGAAACTTCCCCTCAAATACATTATTTCACAATAAAAGACTGACTACTTAAATTGTTGAAAGTAATCATATTTACTCGAGGACTAAAACAAAGCGTGGGGGAGGCTGTGGTTTTGGTGCTCTTGGACTTGACTGCAGCATTTGACACCATAGACCACAATATCCTGATTGGCCGGCTGGAACACTGGGTGGGAATATCAGGCTTTTCACTCCAGTGGACAAAATCTTACCTGTCAGGGAGGAATTTTTGTGTAAGACTGGGGGACTGTTCGTCTGATACTGCTGATTTGCAATGTGGAGTGCCTCAGGGATCAGTTCTGGCACCTCTCCTCTTTTCCCTCTATCTGCTGCCGCTGGGTGACTTGTTTCGTCGGCACAACGTCAAGTTTCACCTGTATGCGGATGACTGTCAAATCTATTTACCAGTATCATGCAATAACTCAAGTTCTCTTGGACTGCTTGGAGGAGGTCAAGTTATGGATGGCTCAGAATTTATTGTTCTTCAACCAGAATAAAACTGAGACTGTCCTGTTCGGCCCGAAAAACAAACATGGATGTGCCCAAGGGATTGACTCTCCTTCATTAGCGCCTTTTGAGAAGGCTGTGGTCCCCAACTTGGGGGTGAAGTTGGATGTAGAGCTCACACTGGACAGCCAGGTCAATGGAACAATCAGATCCTGCTATTTCCATCTCAGGAGAATAGCTAGGATTAAGCTGCTTCTTTCACGTAAACATCTGGAAACTGTCATCCACGCCTTCATTACCACCAGACTGGACTACTGTAACTCGCTTTATGCAGGCATCAAGCAGGTCTCCATAGTGAAACGGCAGAAGGTCCAAAATGCGGCAGCCAGGTTACTGACTGGTACCAGGAGATCTGAACACATCACGCCCGTCTCGGCATCCCTACACTGGCTTCCAGTCTCTTTTAGAATTTTGTTTAAAGTTCTGGTGTTTGTTTTTAAATGTTTAAATGAGTTGGCTCCACGTTATCTATTGGATCTGATCCATCCAGTATGTTCCCGCAAGGAACCTTCGGTCAGCACAGCAAGGACTGTTGGTCGTTCCTAAACAGACTGAAATGTCGAGGGGGTCATGCTTTCTCGGTGCTGGGGCCGAGGCTCTGGAATGAGCTACCTACATGTGTTAAACAGGTCACCACACTCGCCAAGTTTAAGAGCCAGCTGAAAACACTCTTATTCTTTAGCTTTTATTCAAGAAGAGCCTCATTACCGGATGGCTTTGCACTTTTTTGCTGCCCCACCTAGATTTTATCTACATGTTTTTGTTGGTTTTTAAATGATTTTATATGTTTTTATTTTTTATGTTTATTTCTGCTGTGCAGCGCTTGTTTGGTCCTTGGGCCATGTGAAGGTGCTATATAAATAAAGTTTAGTAGTAGTAGTAGTAGTAGATTTGTTATTGATCCACTTCCTGTTAATGACCAGTTTATCTGTTTATTGAATAATAAAGTTTACTTTTTTTTGTTTGTTTATTTCAGCCATCTCCTCTGCAGAGCCTGCCCCAGATAGAAGGTGATCAACCAGCAGGTTTCTGTTTGAAATTTGTGTTTGATCCTTTTCTTCAGTCTGGGTCACTGCGGAGACTAAACATCTTCTCCAGACTGCTGGAACAGAGGAAACATGTGGTGAACATGTGATACCTAACAAGGTTAACGGTCAGCAGGTCAGAAAGATGATGGTGGTAAACTAATAATCAGAGAAAAGTCTGTCAGGGGAAAAACACTCTGAAACTCGTCATTTTAAAGATAAAATTAAATATTTTATTTACAAAGTACATTTCATCATCCAGTCTGACCAGAACTGTTTAAAGCAACCCTGGTTATAAAGGGAGGAGCCTAACCCAACCCACAACAATAACAACCTAAACCAAGGAAAAGGGTTTAATCCATGAAAAAAATAACCAGACAGCTGAGAAAGTTCTGAACTCACCCAAAAACAAACCAACTCATTTCTGACATTTTATATAAAGTTTAACATGTGAATAACTGCAGCCAAACTTGTGACTTTCATCACCAATGTTGTGCGTTGTCATAGCGATCATCCTGTTTGGGGAGCCAATCAGATGGGAGACCAACCTGCAGCTGCTGATTGATGTGCTCCTGACCAATGGGAGACCCAACTGTGTGTATGACACTCAGGTGTCAAACCAGCTACCTGTCCTCGCCTGCAACATGGACCTGCTGTGGATGGCCGATGCCGCGTCACCACGGTAACAGATTGTGATTGCTAGGCGTCAGGTGGAGGGTTATATTAATGATAAATGACCAGTGGCTTTCAGAGTAAGGACTCCAAAGTGCTTTACACTACAGTGCACCATTCATCCATTCACACACTGGTGATGATGAGCTACAGTGCAGCCACAGCTGCCCTGGGGCACACTGACAGAGGCGAGGCTGCTGAACACCGGCACCACCGGTCCCTCTGACCACCACCAGTAGGCAGGGAGATTTAAGTGTCTTGCCCAAGGACTCAAGGTCAGAATTCCCTGCAGGGAGATGGGATCGACCTGGCAACCCTCCGATTACTTGACATCCCACTCTACCGCCTGACTTGCTGTTGCCTCCTTAACTGATTAGAAAAGTGATGAGTTGTGACCCGGCTGAGTTGTTGCAGGTTTGGTCATGGGATGTTCCTGCTCTGCCTGGAGTCGGTCTACAAGAAGTTGACAGGCCAGAAGCTGCAGTATGAGGCGCTGCTGGGGAAACCCAGTCTGCTGACCTACCAGTATGCCAAGAAGCTGCTGAGGCAGCAGAACCACAATCACAAGCTGTCCACCATCTACGCTGTCGGGTAATACCAGCTGTCAGATCAAACCAGAACCCTGTCGACTTACCAAACTGTCTAAAATGGTCGGGTAATAAAACAAAGAAGTGTCTAACTGACTTTTGTTTTTGTTACTCAGAGACAACCTGATGACTGACATCTATGGTGCTAACCTATTCAACCGCTACCTGGCTCAGCAGCATGCTGCCATGACAACTGGTGCCAAGTTGGTTGCCCAGGCAACAGGGAGCCAGATGACAATGGCAGAAGAAGAGCTGGTGTCTGCTTCTCAGTGTTCCTCCATCCTGGTATGTAGCTGATTACTTGATCTTACTATACCTAAAAGAAGGAAAGGAAAACCACAACCTCCTCTGACTACAGGTGTGCACTGGTGTCTATAACCCTCATGCCCCCATGCCTAGTGACCAAGACAGAAGCATGTCTGAGATGATATTTGGTGGTCATAGTGACCTGAAACTGGAGCTGGACCTAGTGGAGCCTAGTCATGTGGTGGAGGATGTGGAGGCTGCGGTTGATTTGCTGCTACAACAGGAGAGTTCTGACACCTGACATACATTACCAACACCTGGTACCCGATTTACACCTGTTACCTGAGTCACACCTGTTACCTAACTAACACAAATTATCTGAACAACCTGTTACCTTGCTGACACTTATGACTGACACCTAATTCAAACCTGACTGAACATGTTTGACGCTTGATCTCCTGTCTATTGGTTTTGGAGGAAGTTCCTGTTATAAATTAGTGAGGTTTGACATTGACTTTTTTTGTTTTGTTTATCATAACCTGCAAACATCTTTGCACAGAGTCACCTGGACAGACTCCTTGTTCGTGTTGGTTTAACAATAAGCTTGAATCTGATGAATTTGGAAGTAAGCCTGACCTCCAACATGTTCGAAGCTGCACATCTTCTACCAGTTTGTGTGTTTGTATGGGGGCTTTAAGTTTTGTTGGGAGATTGCTATTTAATGAGCCAACATTTTACACGTAAAACTTGTGGTGCTGTGTGATTTCGGTTTAAGGCTGTGAATGTGATAAAAAAATAAAATCATGTTAACATACACTGTCTTTACCTCATTTTATTTTCATATAAAACATCTAAAACAGAGCTAAGGGTGACAAGCTGATGTGTGTCCAATCAGAGTATAGTTAGATTATTCAGCCTAACCATTGTTCAAAGGACATTGTAATACATAATGTATTACATGTCCTTTATAAAAACAAGAATGGTTTGATCCCAGACTTTTGATTAACAAGAAAGAGGGAAATTCTGCAGAAAATAAGATTTAAGATTTGAGCTATTTGAACAGGTTTGAATAACTTTGTAATGTTCTGGATTATCTACATTTATTTTTATACTTCATTTTTATGTGGTGGAATTTAATAGCTTATGCCAAAAACATAAGGAAACACAAAGTAAAAGTCAATAGGTGTTAACGCCGAAGTCAAATCTACTTGATTTGCTTCTCTAATTGAATACACAGTTGCCATCCCGCCTGGTACAATTTTAAAGAGCAAGTCACCCCCTACAAGAAACTTACTTCACTCCCACTTCATGTTTGAAAAATGCAACAAATGCTGTTGCTTGGGCAGACCGAGAGGGCGGAGCCGCTAACAAATACACACACACAGGCTCACAATGGCATTGTGACATCATAATGTACCAGATGACATAATAACATACCTCTTAGCCAATAGCAGTCGCAGATTTAAACTCAGATAGTGCAGAATTTTTCCCTGACGACGGCGCAACACTGACGGTTTTAGGCAGAATATTTGAATTTTAACCAAGATGCACTGAACTGCCAAATTATTGACTACACGTGTCTGTAGCACGATTAGACACTCCTTTATATAGTTTATCAGCAAAAAAAAAAAAGTGATTTGGGGGTGATTAGCTCTTTAAAGTTCAAACGCTTTTGACCTGCCTAACATGGCGCAGGGAAGTGGACACGTCGGCAAAGGAAGCAGGTCAGCCGTTGCGCACGCGCAGTGGTCCAGCCCGGGTCCCTGTAAAGATGTCTGAGCAGGCGGGGAGGGAGTGGAGCGGAGGACTCGAAACCAGTGCAGAGAACCCGTAACTGTCTGTCGTTTCACCGCTCAAGGTAAGAGAAGAAGAGCCTACGTGACATCTCCGAGCACACCGACTTGTGGCTGAAGGTTTCGCCCTGCAGAATGAGCGAATTCCCGCGGTGTGGAACGGCCGAGTTTGTAGTTTGGAGCAAAAGTGTTGATGAAGGCGCGCAGAGCTGTTATGGGGCGTGTCCGCCATCTTGTGAGCAGCAGCTGCGTGTGCAAACAGAGCTAGCGGACCGCCTCAGATGGCCGCTAAAAGCCAATCTTATGGCGGAGGTTACCGTCATTCTGTGTATTTGTGGCACTTTGAGTAGGATCCGCTCCTTCGTGGAGCGGTACCGACCGCGGTGGTGTCGGGTGTGCTGAGCGCTGGCTTCCAGGAGCAGCCGCAGCCTTTGTTGTCCTCCCCCTCCCCCCTGTTTTTCGTAAACCTTGCCAGGCGCATGCGTGTAACTATGGCGCTCATTTCTGGGTATAAGAAGGAAAACAATCAAATATATCGACGGTACGTTTTAGGGCAGAGGACTCCGTTGCTTATTTCACTGACCAAACCGGATCTCTGCGCTCATACGTTTCCTTCTTCACATCTCGTTCGGTGTCATCGTTACCGGTCCAGCGGCTGTTTCACATCAGTTCTCTAGAGCCGGAGAGCAAACAGCCCCAGACACTTTCAGATGTACCCACTCCTGTTCTCGTCTCCATACCCATAGTTATTCACAGATCTGTCTTCAGTGTCCCGCTCACACCTGTCCTCACACGTGTCAACACACCTGTACACACAGCTGACCTCAGGCCGTCCTGGTACCGTCAGCAGCTGTACCACACTGTAAACAACCAGTTGAGGATGTTGGATCGGTCCTGATGAAAGTACTCACTGCTGATCACTTTAATCACCCAGAGAACTCACACCCAGGTGAAACATGAAGTAAACATTATGCTGTAAACTGGAGCTATAGTCAGGATTCTGTCAAACGTGGAGCTACAGACCAGAAGAGACACTGCTGTGAGGAAGTCTCTCGTCTTCAAGCTCAGAGTGAAAGAGACGAATGACGAGTTTAGGGTCAGAAATAGAAGTTGTCAAATCCTGGTGTTTCTGCTCCATAAACCCTGAGAGGACCCGACCTTCTGATTGCAGCTAAACTCTGGATTTACATCATAACTACATTTGACTCATCGATGGTTCTTAAGCGTGCTTGTCTATAAGCTAGAATAATTCTGAAGTAGTTCTCTGAACATAAAACTGGTTTCTGGGGGGAAAAAAAAGATTCCTGCAGTCATGCAACTGAGATTCCTGACAACTTTTTCCCTCGTTCTGACTCTCATCTCTTCCTGGGCTCAAATCCCAACCTGGTTCTTTCAGCATAGAGTTTGCATGTTTCCCCTGTGCATGCATGGGTTCCTCTCCGGGTACTCTGGCTTCCTCCCACAGTCCAAAAACATGACTGTCAGGTTGATTGGTCTGTCTAAATTATTCGTGTGTGTGTGTGTGTGTGTGTGTGTGTGTGTGTGTGTGTGTGTGTGTGTGTGTGTGTGTGTGTGTGTGTGTGTGTGTTTGTTTGTCCTGTGTGTCTCTGTTGCCCTGCGATGGCCTGGCAACCTGTCCAGGGTGTACCTTGCCTGTTTGCCCGTTGACTGCTGGATATAGGCACCAGCCGCCTGTGACCCTACACGGATAAGTGGGTTGAGATAATGGATGGATGATTCTCATCATCTCCGATTCCTAGAAACATGGTTTTTATTTTCCCTAAATATTCTTCCATCTTTAAAATTTTCCTATATTCTGCATGTAAGAAAGCTTCGGGGAAACGGTGTGATGAAGTGCGTAAGTTCATCAGTTGTTCCAGTGCAGACCAACATTACAGCTGATGGTTTTCCTGAAGCCTGATTCTAAATGGCATTTCCAGCAGCACCATTCTGACCCACGTGATCCACCTGAACCAGCGGCTCGGAGCCGTGCTTCTTGTGTCCTCCAGTTTGTGAAGAGTTCCAACAGGGAAAAACTTACTTTTGCAAAACTTCTCCAAAAATCAGATGTCTGTTGCATTGGTTTGCACTTACTAGTGTTATCATGTTCTGAATACCTGCATCTTGCTTTACTGGACCACCTGTGTTTTACTGTGAAAGTTTTCTTCCTGTTATGGCAGGTCCATGTGATTCTGAAGAGCAGCTGAAATGTCCAGTTGCAGCCAGGGACCTGTGAAGGGGGAGGCAGCCACAATAGTGCCTCCTTCTAGCTCCACCGCCTCACAAGGACCGCCCCTTTCTCCATCCACCTCCTCCAAGTCACCTGAGCTTCCAGGTACACAAATCCAGTCTCACACATTTCCCACCTCTTTTGGTTTAGGAGTCTGTTTTAGGTTTTGTCCATATTTTCTTCTGTCTTCTTTGAATTCTGTTTTAGGATTTCAGGACAAATGTCTCATTAAATATGATTAGATATGATTAAAATGACTTTTGTTACATATGGCCAGATTTCAATGGGAAAATGAACAGGAACTGTTCTAGTCAGATATAACATGTAACAAGTTTTTTAAACTTCCTGAAACATTTAAAATAAATGTATTCTTAACTCATTCGCTGCCAGCGTTTCTCACCGTTTTTACTGTTTAAGAGTCGCAGAACATTGCTCGCTAGCATGATGTCGACGCCAAAACAACTAAAACAAAGTGGAGACTCACCTCTTACATCAGGAAGAATCTGCGCGTTTCGAGCGTTATCCGTTCTTTCATTATCCGTTGTTGAATTGTGATCGGCAGAAGCTTTTCCGGTTCGCACCTCACTTTTTTTTTTACAGCAGCGACCCAAAACAATCTCCTAACACATGGATGTTCTGCTTCCTGATCACGTGATGTATGCGGATGAAGATCGGCTTTAGAGCTGAGATGTTTGTTCTCACGGTGCGGGGGCTCGTCCGGCGCCCACACAGTGAATGAGTTAATATTTGTGTTGTGGGTTTTTCACATGAGAATACATAATCTGCTGTTCAGGATGCTGACGTCTCTTCTCTTGGCAATTTTAACAGAGTTACCTGTTTTAATCTTAACTCTGAGGATTGTTTATGTTAGGCTATATCTTAACAGATGTTGTTTTATTTGTTTAACAGCTGTAAAAGTATTAAACTCACTCTAGCTGGAAGTCAGCCTAATGCTAGCTCACTTCCTCTCTTTTCCGTCATCATCTTTTCCTGTGGTTCTGATTTCTCCTTCACTAACTAAACTTACCAACATTAATAGTGTCTAATGCAGTTTTTTACTGCATCATGTGAATCACGGGGCTCTACTTTCCCTCACCTGTGTTTGGCAGATGAGCTGGTCCAGGCCGGATGGGCCAAGTGTTGGTCCCGTAGGGAGAACCGGCCGTACTACTTTAACAGATTCACCAATCAGAGCCTGTGGGAGGTACCGGTTCTCGGTCAGCATGATGTCATTGTGAGTCCTTTTAAGCCATACTGTGCAACTTTTTTCATATTTTAAATCGTTTTCTTGAGCTAGTAAGTGCTAAAATGACCCTTCACAAGGTTGATGGAAAGTTTCTCAGCCCCTTCTGCTCCATGTGAGCAGGATTCCCCATTTGCAACTTACGCCTCTACCCTGAAGTTTACACCTCAGAACATACGAGCTATACCTGGTTAGCATTGATTGTAACATGTTTATCATGGTGGAGCCTCAGAAGAAACAAAACATTGATCTGATGAAGCTAAAAAAAAAGGCAAGAACGTCCGACCACAGTGGGAATCAAATTAGTCGACATTGGGAGTTTTCTGAATCACGAGAGCTCAGGCATGTGTTAGATTGGCAACACAGCAGATTTGTTTGATTTAGTGATGAACTGCTCCTGTAGACACTAATGAAGGCTGAGGAGACATTTCAGCTGTTAGATTAGGGTGTTAGAAACAAGAACGCACAACGAGGAGATTTTCAGTTTTTCGTTTTTATGACGGTGAATTGAAACAGACATGAGGGGGTGCTAAATGCATGCGTGTTCCCTTCAAAATGCAAACAAACAGGCTTTATTCATAGAAGAGCTTAAATGATTTACCAAACCCTTATTTAAAAACCTTATACATCAATGCTGAGAAATCCTGTTGATGTAAACATTTAAAAATGTTTCACTTTGAGTTGAATAAAAAAGAAACAAAGATGATAAAAAATGAGGTCCACTTAACTGGAACCACCCTGTTCTGGAGAACACCCGCTGAAGTTTCTGATCTGTTTGTTTGCAGTCCGACCCGTTGGGTCTGAATGCGGCGCCAGCAGAGGTCAGTGATGGAAACCTTGGAAATGGTCAAAGAAAGAGGCGGAGCTCTGAGGAACAGGGGGCAGGGCCTAACAGTTTCAAACGTACAAAGGTAAGCAAGCCTTACCTGCATCTGTGCTGTGGTTGGTCATGTGATCAGGGTGTGACTGATGAGCTGGGGTTGATGGGAAACTGAGTCTAGTCTTGTTCCAGGTGGAACCCAGTACCCCCATCTCTCCCAGCACCCCTGGAGCCAAGCCTTGGAGCTCCGCCCCCGATGAGAAGCCAGCCCAGATGGCCACACCCACAACGGCGAGTCCAGCTCCAGCCCCGTACAGACCGGCCGTGTAAGTTCTCCTGCTTCACACGTCTGGTTCTGCTGGAAGGTTTATTGACCCGGTACTGGTGTTTGTTCCAGGATCTACTGGGATCTGGATGTTCAGACTAACGCAGTGATCAGAGAGAGACCTCCTGCCAATCATCTGCCCCCCCATCCCGAGATCGAGCTGCAGAGAGCACAGCTCGTCACCAAGCTGAGGCAACACTACCATGAGCTGTGTCACCAGAGAGAAGGTACCGATGTTCCTGTCTGCTGGCAGCTTTTAATTACAGGATGTAAAATCAGGGAACCCAAACGGATCTGTAGAACCCTGCGATGATCACAGGTCCAGTCTGGAGTGTGTAGAGAACACGATCACCGTGTGTCTGGAATTCTTCCTTCCTTCGTTTGTGTTAACGAGCTACTCCCGTATGCTCAGGTATCGATCCGCCGCGGGAGTCCTTCAACCGTTGGCTGTTGGAGAGGAAAGTGATTGACAAAGGTCATGACCCTTTACTACCGAGTGACTGTGAGCCCATCATCTCACCGTCCATGTTCAGAGAGGTGATGAACGACATTCCCATCAGGTACGTCGCTACTGCATGTGGGGCTCAGACTCAGCAGGAAGTTGTTCTGATCTGGTTCTCGTTACTTCGTTTACGTTCCTGGTGGAGTTCACAGGTTCTGCTGGACGTCTTTCAGGAGTTCTCTAATGACGTGTGGTTGAAAGGGTTGTCCAAAGAAAACTCCTCACTGTGGGTCCTGTTGTATCGGTCATTTGTTAAAATAATAATAATATCAGTGAAATTATCAGTGAAACAATGTCACTAAAATTAAAGCTACAGTGACGTCGAGCCGAGAGAAGCTGAAAAGTCAGACCGTGTGGCAGCTTCTTCGAAACGTCGTGATCACATTTGCAGCTTTTTCTAATTTTATTTCTATGATATGGATCGAAAAAACGAATTTTTAAATGTTATTGCAAGTTATCCATCTAAACTTTTCAAACCGACACCAAATTTCAGCAGATTTTATGTTTTAAATTCCAACTATAAACCTGTATCCTCATCGCCGGCTCGCCCACAGCGGGGCGCCTGCTCAGAGGGAGGTTTCTCATTCAAAAGTAAAGCTGTGTCCAGTTATGATTACAACAACCACCTTTACACCCGTGAGGTCTGCTGCTCCTCAGATCTTTTTGATCAGCAGGAAAATGGGTTGTTTGAGGACGTCTTGTGGAGTTCCCAAGTTTCAGGAACGTGTGTGTGTGTGTGTGTGTGTGTGTGTGTGTGTGTGTGTGTGTGTGTGTGTGTGTGTGTGTGTGTGTGTGTGTGTGTGTGTGTGTGTGTGTGTGTGTGTGTGTGTGTGTGTGTGTGTGTGTGTGTGTGTGTGTGTGTGTGTGTGTGTGTGTGTGTGTGTGTGTGTGTGTGTGTGTGTGTGTGTGTGTGTGTGTGTGTGTGTGTGTGTGTGTGTGTGTGTGTGTGTGTGTGTGTGTGTGTGTGTGTGTGTGTGTGTGTGTGTGTGTGTGTGTGTGTGTGTGTGTGTGTCTGTAATCATGGGCATGTGTGTGTGTGTGTGTGTGTCTGTAATCATGGGCATGTGTGTGTGTGTGTGTGTGTGTGTGTTAGAGATCATGTCAGGACAGAATTCTAGAATAATATAAAAAAAAAATTGGAACTTGAACTGAATATTAAGAGATAACCGTGCCACTGTAGCTGAGTTGGATCATAACTAAAGGTGGAATTGATCCTTTATTAACGTGTTTATCTCAGATTGTCGCGCATTAAGTACAAAGAGGAGGCCCGGAAGCTGCTGTTCAAATACGCCGAAGCTGCCAAAAGGATGATTGACTCCAGGTGGGTCGAACTGAACCAATCACAAAGCTGGATGCAGAGGAGTGGGTGTGAATAACGATGACCTTTGACCCGTGTAGAAATGCAAGTCCGGAGAGCAGGAAGGTGGTGAAGTGGAACGCTGAGGACACCATGAACTGGCTGCGTAGAGATCACTCTGCCAGCAAGGAAGACTACATGGTAACCTGACCATTCTAACTCCGCCCCCTTTAGGAGACCAGGGCTGTCGTTTATCAAACGTTTGCAGAAACTGTCCCATATTCCTTCCAACGAATGACATTTAGAATGTTTGTATGAAAAATCCTGATTTATGAAACATGCGGTGGCCACTTATATGCATGTTCCTCAACTGGGCGTACATGGGTGCTCATGTCCGTTCAATCATCTACATACAGAAACATTCTCAATTAACCGTATTTGGTCACACCACATCCTCTGCTGCGTGCTTCTCGAAGACAAAGAAAAACGTTGACAGCGAGATCGAGGCATTTATTGCCAATGTAGAGGAGAACCAAACAAGTTGAGGTTGTAAACACGGTTGGGACAGAGGAGAGGTCCCAGTCAGAAATAAACATAAATGGTAGAATAACAGCTTGTCATTTACATTTTACGTTTAAGGAGCTGTATGCATGTTCTGCTTGGAGTTAGTTTTGTTGTCCGAGTGCAGCCCCCACTGAGCCGTCCTTAAGTTTGGTTACCTTGGCAACGCATGTATGTTCGGGAGCAGAGGAGGTTCTGGGGGGTTCTCTTATTGGTGAATATGGACTGGAATAAAATTTGTAAAGTTGTCCTGGTCACGGCATAGCTCCACACGGATCTCCTTCAGGAATCAGATCAGAGCGCTCACGAGGACCCGTTCCCTCCGGAGTGCGTGCTCTGCCAAATCCTCCAATAACACAAGATCAGACAATGTAGTGTCAGATTCCTGTAGGTCACAGGTGTCTTTGTAGGTTCTAGCAGTAGTTATATGAGAAAGCTGTTTCTTCACAGATATCATTACTGATGTGCGCTACTTTAAGTTGACTAAGGACCTGGCTTACGCACATGTTGGACATGGAGAGCACCTGCAGTGCTGCTGCTGAGAAGGATAAAATTATGAAATCCTGCAGCATTATCACTTGTACTGCTTCGTTTTCATACAGAACAACCCGACCCGATTGATAATGCGCCCTGGCTACTTGAATAAGGGGGATCTCCGTTTGGGTGACTGGTTAGCGTGCGTGACTTTCACCCGGGAGTCTGGTGATCAAATCCCGATTGGACCATGCTTTTCTTTCTTTTTTAAACACAGAAACAGTTTTGTTTACCTGTTTTGTAGCCGATTGGACCATTTTATTTATATCCGCCACAGATCTCTGAAGAATTCAGCATTGATGGCTTCAGCAACGCTGTGCCACTCTGTGGATTTTCTCTTATTTGTTTTGCAAAAGCACTTCCTTTCATTTCTCTACCTCACCCACAGGTACCTCAATTTCTGCTTCTGTAAAATTGCGCTTCCTTGATCTGCCTTGATCTACGGTCGCCATCGTCATTGGCGGAACGCTGCAACAGCCGGCTTATGTATATTTATGAGATCCACAAGGCACTTTGCATTGACTATTTATGGCAGTAAGTGGGCGTGGTGAGGGCGGGATGTGACTAAAATGCAGCTGAGAAACTTTCTAGATAATTTCTGATTTATGAAGCGGAGATTGCGTGCAGCTGTGTGTACTCCATGTTTGATAGATCACAAACCTACTTGGCATAAGTACTTTTTTTTGGCTGAGCTTAAGTACGGTTTTAGTAATGATTCTACGCAATGTTTGATAAATGAGACCCCAGGTCTTTAGTTTATCACCTTCACTGCCTTCTGATGTTGATGGACCTGGTTAGAGCCATCTCTGGTCATACAGTGATAATTAGGAAAGTTCTTTTTATTTTTGTATATAAAAAAAATCAGCCTCCAAAAGGCCTCACCAGATGCCACACAGACAGGAGCTATCATGGTGATCTCCCTGAAGCTGCACCAAGCAGGCTTTTCCTCCTGCACCCACAGGTGCAGCCACTTGGTTCACACAGCCAGACCAGTATCACTCAGTCTTTACAGCAATCCTCATACTGAGCAAGCATGCAGCGACAGTGGAGCGGAAAACTCCCTTTTAACAGGAAGAAACCTCCAGAGGATCCTGGATCAGTGAAAGCAGCCTTCCGCCTCGACTGACTGAAGCCTAATTTATACTTCAGCTCCGCGAGGGAGAGACGCAGACGCATTGACAGACGTTTTGCTTTCAGACTTGTCCGTCAGCTGGGGCTTGTTGTGAAACCACTTCCTGCCAGGTCAGCAGAGGGCGTAGCTTCGTTCTGAGATATCCTGTCACCATTACAGTCACGTATGCGGTCCACGATAGTGTATTTACTAATGTGTTTACATTGTTTTAATGTATTTCAGACTTTTTTAACCCAGACAAATTAGTCCCTCATTCCTTTCCACCTCTTCACGCGATCAGCACCTCTGAACTCACCTTTCTAATCTCTTCCATCCACGAGTAACACTTGCTGCATATCTTTGTGCTCCTTCAGTCACGGGTGAATAAAAGCTCATATTGTCAGACTTTTCCCACGATGTGTTCTTCAGTCTGTTCCGTGTCTGCCGCTATTGAATTTTGAAGTGGCAAAGGCGGTGCTGTTGATGGAATTTACACGAAGCAGCGTCCTGACCAATCACAAGCTTGCGTTCTCCGTCTCTTTCGACAGATAGTCAAAAATTGGGGAATGTCTCCCATCTTCCTCTGCGAGCGCGTCGGAGGGCTCTTGCGTCGGCGCATCTCCCGACTGAGAAGTATAAATTAGGCTGGAGTGTTTGAGAAGACAGCAGATGAGCTAGTAATGGCACATGCTATGTTAAAAAAGTATTCAGATCTGTGGTGTTTATGACATTAGTGACAGGCCCCACTTCTCTGTGCGTCTGTCTTACCTGCGTTCACGGTTACCTGTGACACTGCCTGCTGTGACTGCAGGACCGCCTGGAACACCTGAGGCAGCAGTGTGGACCTCATGTCACTGCTGTAGCCAAAGACTCTGTGGAAGGCATCTGCTCCAAGATCTACCAGCTGTCAGCGGAGTACAGCCGCCGTCTGAGACAAACACACCTGAGTCTGCTGCAGGACCCGCCTACAGGTACACGCACAGTTACACCTGTTGACTTGGTGTTTCTGAGTGTTGTGTTCACCTGTGTGTCTTTTGCTGCCTTGTGTAGAGGTGTCTGCATCGCCGCCACAGCCACGGCTCGTGTACTGTTACCCTGTGCGTCTGTCCATCTCGACACCCCCCCTCCCACGGGTGGAGCTGCACTTTGAGAACGACGTGGCGTGCCTCCGCTTCAAAGGAGAGATGGTCAAAGTGAACCGGGGACACTTCAGCAAGCTGGTTAGTTCTGGCTGCAGGATGCTAATTATACTGCACCAGAGCCACGATCCAACCGCTTTAGGGTGTTTCACAGCTTCAGCACATCTGAATAACTGATTCTCTTACCTGTTCATGGTGTTCTCACAGCTGTTGTCCGCCTGATGTCTATAAACAGGTGTGTTGGGGTAGAGAAATGTCTGAAGAGCATGGGCAGCAGCCTTGTTCACTACCGGACCGCTGATTTTCACACTAAGCAGTGTTCTCCAACACTCTGATCTCTTCACCTGTGCCCACCTTTCTTTGTTCCAGGAGCTGTTGTACAGGTACAGCTGCATAGACGACCCTCGCTTTGATAAGTTCCTGTCCAGAGTCTGGTGTCTCCTAAAACGATACCAGGTCAGCTGACTCTATTAGCTCATCGCATTTTAGATTCAGTTGCAACATCTGAAAGTTATCAAGGTGTGTTTATCCTTTCAGGTGATGTTTGGCAGCGGAGCTAACGAAGGAACGGGTCTACAGGGGGCTCTTCCAGTGGCGGTGTTCGAGGCATTAAATCGACAGTTTGGAGTTACGTTTGAGTGTTTTGCTTCGCCGCTCAACTGCTACTTCAAACAATTCTGCTCCGCGTTCCCTGACATCGATGGCTTCTTCGGCTCCAGAGGGTGAGACAGCACCTGTACTTACCTGTGTTGGGACAGGGTCAGTAGAGTTGTGAAGGTGAGCTGTAAGGTTGCAAACAGGAAGAGGAAACTCGTTGGGAATGTTCTGTAGACACTCAGAAAACTTGATTAGTTGTTGATTGTGACCACATGAGTGTTGGGTGTGTTTCAGACCCTTCCTGTCCTTTAGTCCAGTCAGCGGCTCTTTTGAAGTGAATCCTCCCTTCTGTGAGGAGCTGATGGCTGCAATGGTGACACACTTTGAGGTGAGTTCCCCCTCTGGTTTGTACTGGTCAGGACTGGTTTGTACTGGGATGTACTGTTGGACAGTTTGTGGCCGTACTGGACTGTAGAGACTCTGCCTTGTTTCTGTCAGGACCTGTTGGACCAGTCTTCTGAGCCTCTGTCCTTCATCATTTTTGTCCCTGAATGGCGTGACCCGGTGACCCCAGCTCTGACCCGCATGGAAGGTAGTCGGTTCCTGAGACACCAGCTTAGTATCCCGGCCTACGAGCACGAGTATCGCTCTGGGGGTCAGCACATCTGCAAAAGGTACCAGAACCAGCTCCACTCTAAAGACACACGTCCACTTGATATTTAAGGTTTTCGTGGTGTGGTAATCTTTCGCTGGACAGCAGCAGTGCATAAAAATGGTCATACTTGTGTTTTTAGGGAGGACATGTACTACCGGGCAGTACACGGTACCGCAGTACTCTTTCTCCAGAACGACGCAGGATTTGCTAAGTGGGCTCCAACACCGGAGCGCCTGGCCGAGCTGACCACGGCGTACCGTCCATCTTTAACCCGCACCCCGTCCCTGTCCTCCCCTGGCCCCGCCACAACTCCTGGAGACAGGGACTCCACCCCCAAGTCTTCTGATAGGACACAGACTGGCATGGTGTCACCTGGTGGCCATGACAACAATAACAGCAGCAGCAGTAGCAGCCCTCAAGACAAGGTTACTGCTGTCTAAAGGGGTGTGGCGTGCATTGGCCACGCCCTAATGTATATATATGTGTGTTCTCCAGCGTCCCCTGGCCCCATCTGTAGCACACCCTCACCTAACAGCTCTTGCAATTTGGGGCAGAGCCTCATTTTATGTTCACAACGTCCTTTTAATGTTTTGAAGCTCTGGAGCTTTTTTCTCACCTGCAGCTGAGTCATGCCAAGGTGGGTCTGCTGTTGCTGAGCAACAAGTTAGTAGGAAATGAAGGAGCATCAATATGTCAAAGCTCCAGCAATAAAAAATAACCTGTGTCATGTGACTGAGCAGGACTCTTATTGGCTCCCACTCCCATACAGCTTGGTGATTGGTTGACAAGGCAGCTATTGTTTTTATTGGACTCCTCTTCAGTGAACTTGGACAAAATCCAGCAAGGGCCGCCTCTAGTCCCTCCTCTGAAGGAGTGGGTGGAGCCGGAGCTGGATTCAGACTGGTCAGATGGACAAAGGGGGTGGGGCCACTGTCCTAGGTGGGGCTCCCAGGTGACCCTTTTGGTGTGAAGTGAGATGAGCTTTTATTTTCCATGTTTATATTTCAACAAATGTCATTTTCCTGTCAAAAATATTAATGCACATTTGGTACTGGTTTAATGTTTCTTTTATATAGTTTAATTTTACCATTAAAGTAATTTTAATTGGCTGAACAGCTCCTTAAATTATGTATTTTTCTACAATATGTTAATTTATAAGAATGACTTTATTAATTGGATAGTTTTTTAAGTTTAGTCTGGATTAATTCAGATCAGTTTAATCTGTTTATTCTGTTTTAATTTGATTTAACCCACTTTGGTCTGGTTGCATTTAGTTTCATTCAATTAATTTAGATGAGCACTCAAAAAATTTCTAAGGCTCCTCCCACTTCTGACTCCCAGCAGTCGGGTGTTTTCTGATTGGCTGATGGTGGAACTTTCAAGCGCCTGTGTGACACCATTTGAGTAAATATGTACAGTTGAACTGATCTGAAATCTGTTAATGTTTTTGCTGTTTGTTTTAATTTAACCTTTTTAAAGAGATGAGATGTTTGTGTATTTACCTTTGTTTAGATTATTTTGACCCAAACCAAAGTGTTATTAAGAAGGTCTATATCGGTGTGTACAGTACAGGTGTGTAAACTCTACAAGAGCTGAGATACTCTTTTTCTTTGTGCATGAAAACGATCAGACTCTAAATGATGCTTGTGGTTTTCAGAGCAAACGTCTTCTCATGATCACATCTTTCCTCACGTCTTTGAAAACATCAGCTGTTTATTGTCAAGGAGCTGTCTTAGGACGTGGCTGTTAAAAACTCCAGAAGAGAAAAAATAAATAAGAGGCCTTTATTGAGATGATCTGAAAAAAACATGGGCTACTCAGCTGATGTTGACCATTTGATGTAAAGAAGGTGCGTTTGACTTTACCTCTTCATAAGAATGTGAAACTCTGACTTTGCATCAGAAAAACACTCAAACTGAATTCAGTTTTGATGAGTCATTTGAGCAGAAAACATCTCTGGTTGAATATCAGTGAATCTGATGTAAACATGCTTGTCGTGGTGGCGGCGGCTATGTCTTGTGACACTGTAAAGGCTCAAAATCCAGAGTCTTCGTCACTGCAGAGTGTAAATACAGTGTCCTTCATGCAGCCTGCGGACAAACTACAGTTCCTCTCCCAGTAAAAATATATCCAGCCCAGTTTAAACCAGTGACCTTGTCTTTCTGCCGCTCACACGTCTGTTTTGTAATCACCATCAAACATGAAGTTTTTCAACGAATCATCACAACATTTTAAAACAGAAAAGATGCAAACCATTGCAAATTTTAAGGGCCCTGATGTTGAATTGTAACTTGTCTTCAGTGCTGGATGCTTGATTTACATGTCAGAAAATCAAAGCATAGTTAAGTGACGGTGAACATGAAACGGCTGCATGTCTAAAGTTATTGTTTTATATTATGGTGGCAGAGTAGATCAACCTGAAGATATAAATATCTATTATAAACACGGCAGCAGGAATGTTTTAGTCTTTGAACAATCAAAAATCTGACACTTTTCTACATGTTTCTGGATTAAAATATTTACAAATAAACTCACTGATCTCAGTTAAAATGTTCACTCCAATCTTTGCCACTTCTAACTTTTAATTTGGAACCGGATGAGCGCGTCTGATGCTTTTAATTCGATACGTTTTGTCCGGAAGTGGAAAAAGCATATTTGCGGAAGTGGCCGGAGAGAAACTTCCTGGAAATAAACAAAACAAATTCTACCGATTTTTTTCATCAGCAGCTGTTCGTAAACCACTTGAATACCTCTGCTTTCCGAAGAGTCGAACCGAACCGTCGCTAGAACCTAAACATTTTTGGGCCTCAATAATTTAGCTGTTGTTAGCTTAGCAGTATTACCACGGTCCTATCAAGAGAACCGGAGAGTAGCGGTTTCACAATGGGAACTCACCGAAGCGAAGGAGCCAGAGACTGGCAGGATCAAGACGGAGCAGAAAACCCAGAGCAGAGTCCGGTGAGAACCAGCAGAAACTACTTTGTAGTTCTGGTCAGATTCTGGGTGTGTGCGTCTCTGGTGGTCTCAGGTGGTTTCAGAAAAAACTGATGAGGGTGAAGGTGATTAACCACACGTAGACCTCGCAGACGTCAAGATATCAAAACTATACCAGAAAAATGTTTCCACGTCGGTGATGATATTAAAGTATAATTAGACAAATGCACACAGAGCATACAAACCGTTGATAAAAAAAAACTACATTTTTGTCTGAATTAGAAAGTTATATTTAACTGAAAGTTTGTCTCTAAGACCAGAACAACTGGATCCAGTTTAATCAGTCATTAGCCCTATATTTCCTGACCATGGTACTTCTAGAAACCATGTGAAAGCGAATAGAACTGGTCCCAGTTCAGTACCCTGTGGCACACCAGAACAAAGTGACATTTCAGATATGATGTGTATAGAACTGTTTTCAGTTTGAAGTTGTGCCAATTTTGTGCTCTGAAGACCGCAAATAAGCAGGTTTAGGATTATTTTATTTTATTATTATTTTGGTCGTGATCAAAGCCTACTGGTTGTGCATCACCAGGCTAAAGACCAAAGGTGGTAGATCATCTGCTGCTGTGGCCCCCAGACTCTGGACCTCTCTCCTCCTGAGCCTGAGATCAGTGGACTCAGTGGTCTCCTTTAAACTCACCTGTTCAGGCTTTGGTGGGACCTTCGTCACCACCATCTCCTTATTCTGCTCTTTCTACCTATTCCGCCTTTCCCAGGATCCACTGATTTCCCTCTTTCTTATTTTCTCTCTCCCTTTCCTTACATTTTTTATTGACAATTAAAAATTTTTTTTTGTCATTTTAAATATTGTTTTAATCCATCCCACAGCGAGAGGGGGTTGCACACGTTCCGCTGCTGTTTCTCACCAGTATCAGCTGATGGAGGGCTCTAGTTTCGTTGCACTGTTCGTGTCAGCGGACACGGTAGGGTCGGGGAGGGGGGCGGGGCATGATGCTTAGCCTGGCGGGTGGGCAAGCAAAGCCTGATGGGCCGCCAGGCTTATAAATCGCTGGAGGAAACCCTGGTTTGCTTGTGAACACCCCTTAACATGGCATTCATAATATGAGAATATTAAAACAGAGCTCACTTGACGGTGAGTCAGTTCATGAGAAAGCATCCGGAGCGAACCCTCTTTAACCCAGAGCTTTCGACAAGCTAAAAGCTGCTGACAGCAAAATGGTTCCTTCAGCTATTCAGAAACAGCTGCTCTAGACGTAAACGATTTAATCTGGATTGGATTGGATATCTTGTGATCCGGGAGACGACTCTGGACCGACCTGGTCATACTGCGGTCTTTTATACAAACCTCGGTACCTTGGGGTCACCCCCCCCCCACACACACACACATCTCGGATCCGAAAGGGAGTCTCCTCAGGGGTACGTAGAACACAGCCAGGTTGCGTCTGATGCCGTTTTTATAAGAACCAACTTCATAGTTTACTGCAAACCAAATTCTTTGAACACCCAGAACTCAGTTCTTCTAGATACACATCATTAAATCATCATACATCCCATCCCATCCTCTTAGATTCATCCATCACAGTAGCCTTGGTTAACTTGTCTTGTTTTTATTTGTTTAGAAAATAAATTTCTTATCTTTTATAAAGCTGACTCTGTCTGAACTGAGACGAAGTGTGTTTGATCCCTGAAAATGGAAAGAATCCTAGAATCTTCTGATTAAACATCCAAAGACCAAGCAGGTTGATATTCTATATTTATATAGAATATCACAGCTTATTGGTCATAAGTAAAGATAACATATTAAGCTTAAAAGCAACAATATTATACCCTCTACATCTTTCTATTTATTTTTAAAATTTCAAATAATTTTCAGGAGTTTTAAAGAACATATAGCATGTCTAGATCCTAAACCAGTTATTGATCCCTAATTATTTGTGTGCAGAGACCATGGAACCTAATGATCAAGCACAGATACGTTCAGAGAAGAGGACGCCGCTCACACACCACCGTCAGGTCAGTTCTCTTTTCTGCTGGTTCTGGTTTAACTGGTCCAGTCCCATTCATGCTTCCAACCTGTGTGCAGCTACACGGATCCTCTGGTGTCCATGGACCTGCTGAGGGCGGTGCTTCAGCCCAGCTTCAACAATGACATCATGGCAGTATTCAGGAAGTACCAGAAGGTCAGAGGCCACATTGAGGGAGGACAGTTACCTGCTTTGAACAGGTGTGAGCATGTGTGTATGTGTTGCAGTTCTTTGAGAAGGCAGCAGAGAACGTGAAGGAGAATGTGGGAGATGATGTGCAGCCAGATCTGCTTATCAGAGAGGCCTACAGGAACGTTCTGGAACATGTGAGATCACTTCCTATTGCTTAGCCCCATATGGTCATGTGCCACCTTCACTCACCTGTTTGTGTTATGTCATCATCAGGCCAAGCAGCTGTTTCCAGAGGGGGAGGGGAAGAAGGCAGGGTCGGAGATCCCCGTTAAGGTAGGAGACCTCAGACCTACAGGAAAAAACAGACTGGTCTGACCTGGTTCTGACCCGGTTCTCCTTGTTGTTCAGAGAGCCAGACCTATTGATGAAGAGTATAGTCACAGAGGAAGCCCACTCCCCAAGAAGGTAACATGTGGCACAGGTGTTTTTATTGATCTGATTGATTCGTCTGGTCATAACTCTGCTCGTTCTGCGTTCTCAGAGGAAAAGTCGCCCGGGTGCCATCCACTCCTCAGACCGCACTGTGAACTTTTCTCTGTGAGTACCTCACAGGTGACATCATCAGTGTCCAGGTAGATCCATTCTGATCAGTGAGTATCTCTGTCCTCAGAGTGAAGCCAAAGTCAGAACCAATCAAGAGGGAGGGGCCAAAGGTGAGTCTGACCCCTGGTTTCCACAGGAGCCGTCAGCAGCACGTTACTGCAGCAGCACGTCTTGCTCGCGTAAGCTGCTGCTTGGCCCTTCCCACGAGACGCGAAGCAGCAGGGGAGCAGCTGTCACTGACCGAGCACGAAGTCACACGAGTGACTTCGTCAGTAAACACAACAAGAAGCAGGAGAAAACTACAACATGGCTCCAAAATGTTTGTGTTTTATGTTCTGTCCATTTTATAATCGCCAATACGGACCTGAAAAACAAAGGAGACCGCTAGCTAGGTGATAACTTCTCACGGGGCCGCACAGTTAGTAACCTTTTTTAAAGTAAAGCAACCGGAAGGCAGTACGTTCTTTATTCTGAAAATCTCGGGAGCTCCTCTCCATTTCCGCGTCCGATTTCCTGTCTTTCCTTCCCCAAAAATGTCGAACTTGACCCGTTTCAGAGGCGTCGCGCGTAGAAAATAGCACCGGCGCGTAAAGGCCGCGACACGCTGCTCCTGAGACGCGGCCGACTCGCGCTGCTGACGGCTCCAGTGGAAAAGGTTCTGTTGACCACAGCGGTTCCTATCAGCAGCTATGACGTGCTGCTGCAGTAACGTGCTGCTGACGGCTCCTGTGGAAAGCCGGGGTGACAGGTGAACTGCAGCATGTCAGATGGAGTGTCACCGTTTCACCACCTTGTACAGGTTAAGTCAGCTGCAAATATCAAAGCTGCTCAGGGATTACCAGCTGAGAAAAGATGATACTGATGTTTATTCACTTTTTCCTGAATCCACCTGTCCTCTGCAGACAAGTGAGTTTTAGTGCTAAACCTGAATGATCTGTTTCAGTGGGATCCGTCCAGACTCACCGACGGCAGCACATTTGTTCTCGGGTCCAGAGCCAACAAGTGAGTCATCACCAAGTTAAATTCTTATTTTCACATAAATACAAGATAAACAGAATGTAATGCATGCAAAGGTTCACATCCCAGACAAGGGAATTGAACAGACGGGTAAAGGTTTCAGTATCTTTAATGACTCCATATATGATCAAAATGCTTTTGATGCTCAAACACAAACAGCCTCAAAAGAAGTGAGTCATCAGCTGCTGTGATGTCATCACAGGGCACTAGGGATGGGTGGGACCAGAGGACGGATCTATATTAAACACGCTGACCTGTTCAAGGTAACTCCTGACATCAGGTGTCTGCTGGACCTAGTAAGGGTCAGGGGACTGTTTCCTGTGATTAGTAAAAAAAAAAAAGTGTGTGTGTTTCAGTATGCAGCAGATTCTAAGGATAAGCAGTGGTTGGCAGAGAGACATCACATGAGGGCAACAGGAGGAAAGATGGTGAGAATCTGCACACGCACGTCAGTCAAATGGCCACACCCACTTTTAGCTGCTGACCTGATCACTGCAGGTGATCGCCTGAATCAGTCATCAGATGAAGTTTGTGTGGCAGTGCATCATGGGTAGTTTAAAACCTATTTAACAATTGTGTGTGTGTGTGTGCATACCTGCAGGCTTACCTTCTGATTGAAGAGGACATCCAGGATTTGTCTCACAGCGATGAGTACAAGTTAGTATCCAACCTGAAACACAAACTTCTGGATCCAGCTGCAGAAAACAGTTTAATCACTAGAACAGAACCAGCTACCAGTTTTATTGACCTTATTCTAGCATTTGTTGTTCTGATGATGTAGTTGATAGCTGGTGAGATGTGTGTGGTTGCCGTGGTAACTTGCATCCCTTTTAGGGACTGTCCGGATGTCAGGATGGACGAGTTGAAGCCGTTCTCCGTTCCTCCGTGGATGGTGGAGAAGATGCAGCGAGCCATGGAGGCTCAGAGAGACTCTGACCCCTGATGGTCACATGATCAGGGGCCACACGGCATGTGACATCACAAAATCAGATTTTTTTTATTTTTTACTGCTTTTCTTTTAAAAGAAAATTCAATTAAATCTGATTGACAACTATTTTGTTTTGTTTGATATAGTTTAAATTCTTAGAGGTGACATCACTTCCTGAAGATCAGCTGATCAATGCTAGAATTAACAGGTGAAGATTTCCATACCAGCTGTTCCTTTGGACATCTGAGTGGGATCAGATCTAGTTCCAAACCCTATTTTTAATAGTGTTTGGCAATTTTGTCGAAATACTTGTAAAAGGTATTGACTAAACACAGAATCTGACATCTTAAGTTTATTTAGAAAAACAAAACAACAAAATGAGGTGAGGTCAGAGGTCAGGGTCACTCGATGCCTTCCTGTTTGTCTTTGATGGCAACTCTGAAGCGTTCTTCCAGCAGAGACAGCTCACTGATCAGATCTGTGATGGCATTGGTGAATGCTTCCTGTGGAGGAAATGACATCACATTTGGTTAGGTTTCCAATTTCTATCATTATTGTGTCTCAACCAATCAAGACACAAAACATATGAGAAACAAATCCAGACCCACTTGGGTCCAACAGCATCATGAGGCTTAGACCACCAACATGTATAAAGACCAGCTGGAGGACAGTGCAGAAGTTGAAGCTGAAAGATCTGAAAAGCCTCCAGAGGCTGGCTCCAGTAGAGGTTTTATGCCCCAACCCCTCTATCTAAACCAATGAGAAATGATCTTGTTTAAGAACACAGCTTACACCATCTTGACTCCTGTTGGTTTGCGTCCTGCCGGCAATGCGGACCAAAGCTCCGACACCGGTCATACAGGGACCTAACAGCCCGTATCAGAGGGCCTGGTACCCCATGCTCCTGGACTACCCCCCACAGGGCCCCCTGAGGAACACAGTCGAACACCTTCTCCAATTCCACAAACACATTTAGATTGGCTGGGTGAACTCTAACGCACCCTCCAGGACCCCCCTAAGGGTACAAAGCTGGCCCAGTGTTCCACGATCAGGATGAAAACCACATTCGTCCTCCTGAATCTGAGGTTCGACAATACGACGGACCCTAAATAAAATATATATATAAAAAAAAATATATATATATATATGCATGCACACATTCCTTCACTTCTCTGGTGAAGTCCCTACAGCCATCTTTACTTTATTTGGTGTTGAAGACCTGATGGGTTACCTGTGGACTGTAGTCAGGTGTGGTCTGCACTCGGATGACGATCTTGTGCTCAAGAGGATGAGGAACTTTGTAACCCGCGAACAGAACCTGAGGATCCTTCAGCAGCTGACTGACACACAAAAACACACAATTAGGGGCCACCAGACAGGACACCTGTGTCAGAGCTCCTCCCACAGGCGAAGGCCGGCTGCTGTCAGTTTTTTTTTTCTTTCCAATATCAAATTGTGTCCTTGAGCTCAGATGATGTTCTCCAGTGTGTGTGTGTGTGTGTGTGTGTGTGTTTTACGTCCAGATGATGTGCCCCAGTGTGTGTGTGTCTTACGCCCGGATGATGTTCCCCAGTGTGTGTGTGTGTGTGTGTGTGTGTGTGTGTGTGTGTGTGTGTGTGCGCGTGTCTTACGCCCGGATGATGTTCCCCTGTGTGTGTGTGTGTGTGTGTGTGTGTGTGTGTGTGTGTGTGTGTGTGTGTGTGTGTGTGTGTGTGTGTGTGTGTGTGTGTGTGTGTGTGTGTGTGTGTGTGTGTCTTACGCTCAGATGATGTTCCCCTGTGTGTGTGTGTGTGTTTTACGCTCGGATGATGTTCCTCAGTGTGTGTGTGTGTATGTGTGTGTGTGTTTTACGCTCGGATGATGTTCCTCAGAGTGTGTGTGTGTGTGTGTGTGTGTGTCTTACGCTCGGATGATGTTCCCCAGTGTGTGGTCTTCCTTGTTCAGAGTGAACAAACACGCGTTCGGGACCTTGGTATCTTTACTGATGCCGATCTTTTTCTCTCCTTCAAAGAGCAGAAACGACTCGAAGGCTGGAGGTGCGTTCATGTTTGTGCTAGAGCAAAGAACCCCGAACCGAACCACTAGGATACTTCCGCTCAGCTTTCTTTGTCTGGTTTAAAGACTGTTAGGAAATCAGCTTTGTGTGGCATTACCGCCACCTGCAGCACGATAAGCGAAACTGCATATTTAAATCAATAATAGAAATTTGCAGCACGTAGAAAATGTTTACTTTCACAATATTAGGATAATACATGTTTGACCTAAACACGGTTCATGTAAAATTTGCAGCATTTTTTTGTTTAATAAAAGCTAGGACCTGAACAAAATACATCAAACACAGTTCATTTTAACCAGAAACACACGTTTCAGTGTCACCCTCTGCTTTTCTGCAATTTACCAGGTGATTAGCCAAAACGCTGCCCATGGCAACCCTGATGGTACCAGATGTCACCAGATGGTGGTGTTACCATCTGGTGTTACCATCTGGTCTCCTCAATGCACCCATGACTCAGAGGAGCTATACCTTTACAGCGTGTGACGCCATGTCCTATTTTCTCCTCCTATAGCGTAAATAATTACTTTATATTAATGAGATTCGTGTAGGAGTGCATCGAGAGTAAAATAAAAAATGGCTCCCTCTGAAAAAGAACTGGAGAAACTTTCCGCGCCTCCGCTTCTGCCGCGCGTTCGTGCCGCTCCGTGCCGCGCCGCCAACCGTCTGCCGTTTACCCGGAAAAGGAAGACGCGGGGCTTCTGCTGATGGTCTTCTGACTTTCTGATGAAATCTCCCACTGCAGCCATATAGACAGACTCACGGAGTTGTGCGGGTGCCAAAACTCCTCTCTGAACGGATACCGGGCAGTATTACCGGTGGGAAGAACTCCCTTCCATCAACAGTCGACGAAACCAACCAGAAAGCGGAATTTAAATCGATAATTTTAAGTCGTCGCTGGGAAGTAAACTAACCGCCGTTTGCTTCTCGTGCTAAGCTAACCTGCTAACCCAGCAGAACCTCCCACCCGCGATAAGCCCCGACAGGATGGCTCGTTTTTCCGCTTCACATTGGGACTTATCATCGTTTCACGGCTCTAGCATGTTCAGCTCGGCTCAGTTTTCCAGCTCCGGTACCACACGGAGGAAGTCTAACCACCACTCTCAGCGGAATGTCGCCGGCTCCGGGCTTATGGACGTTATCTTTTGGGTTCCTGGCGGCCACGTTAACATGTTCTAGTGAGGTTTGACAGCTGTCAGTGTAACTTGCTAACACCGCTGCTGTTTCAGGGAAATTCATTTGTGCACTTTAAGTAGATAAAATGTTCAGAAACATAAACGCCGAAGAATGTACGTGTGGAGGAAAACGCTCGTCCCACCCACCCAGCCCCGCGGTCACATCGGTCGGACAGGATAGCCAGGACAGCTCGTGGATCCGTCTGCTGTCAAGGCCCGCGCTGTTGCTGCGGCGGAAACTCCGCCAGTGGAACATCGCTCCGGCGGAGCTCAGAAGCAGCTTGATGAGTGAAGAAAGTGAGACTTTAAGACAGTTAAATGGCATGATGCCCCTCAGCCAGTCCGCACCTGCTCACCTGACCCACCTGCAGTGTCAGCACGAGGGGGCAACCGGCCTGCTGGAGTCATGGGTCAGCAGGTCCGCTGCGTCTCTGCGGGACTGTCAGAGCCCTGGGGAGATGGAGCTCTGCCAACAAATACCGAGCGTATATGTTTCCTCTGTCGGGACTTTTTTTACCCAGGTTCAGTTGATCTCTCAGGAACACATCGGAGGAAAGGTGTGTGTGCCAGGGAGCTTCCCGGTAATGGGGGGCTCCACAGGTAAAGGTGGACCATGGTGGAGGGGTAGCATTCTGTGGGGTGAGGAGAGCCCAGCCAGGGGGCTGCTGTCAGGATATTACCGGCCTGAGGAGGGGGCAGAGACATACTATCTTTGTCCTCAGGCTGCAGCCCAGACACATGTTGCTGAAAAGAGCTCAGTGTTGGAGGTGACGAAGGGAGAAAACGCTGGACCCCCCCACCACAAAGAACCAGCCAACAATGGAGGCCTTCATACAGTCCAGAACATAGGGAGCTGCAGTGAGGGGGGGCATCCCTCCCCTGAGCAGGACAATGGGTACTTCAGCCTGGAAGAGGAGCTCTCACAGAGGGGCCTCCTCTCCCAGGTGAAAGCACCCACTGAGGAACAGAACCGAGAGGACCCCCGCACACCTGAGATGGAGGCGGAACCTCAAGAAGAACAAGCCACCTCTAATGTGGATAGCTGTGGAGGGGTCATGATGCTTTCAGCTCCCCAGTGTCAAAACAAATCCATTGCTTTCATTATAGGCTGTCCCTGCAGTGATGACAGCAGCCAATCAGAGTCCAGTGATGATGATGATGATGATGGCTTTGACAGCGAGGGTTCCTCTGATCTGTCTGACTCATCAGACGACGATGATGATGAAGAGGATGGTGAGGCTTCAGATTCTGACAGTGAGCCCGACTCTGAGTCCAATCGTCTCTGGACATCTTTGTGCCAAAGTGTGGATCCATACAATCCCCGAAACTTCACCGCCCTCCTGCACACTAGCAGCACCTTGCCTCAGACCATCCCCAAATCTACTCTCACATGCTCTCCCCTGTCATCTCCTGTCTCCTCTCTTTCCCTCACTTCCACCTCCCCCCCTGTCCTCACTCCCTCTTCTCCTCCTCCATCCAGCCAGGACACGTGGGACGACTCTACATCAGCTAGTGAGGTGGACGAAGCAGAAAGTCTCCGCCTACTGAGCTCCTTTGCCTGCTTCTCTGACCCCTACAGCCCATTTAACTTCCAGGCTCCACTTAGGACTCGAGGGCCCATTGGGCCCCCTTCCAAAGCCAAGGTCAGACCCAGTACAGTTCCCCAAACTCTCCCCCATGTTCCTCATCATAGCCCAGCATCTTCACTGGAGTACAGGAAAGAGGAGGCAGAAGAGAGGCTGGACAGTGGCCTCTCTGAGGCCCTGCCTTCTACCAAGACTCAGAGTGGCAGGTGCTCCAAGAAGGTGAGTTTATCTCACTTCCTGTCATATTGTACACCTGATGTGCAAGTTTATCAGCTGTGAACAGAGTCTGCTGCTGTGAACCATCAAACATTCAACATAACAAAGAAAAACGCTGGTTTTACGCAGATCTACAGAATATGTAAAACAGTTTCTCAGCTGCGGAGGAAGCTCAGAATAAAACCAGGAGAGAGAATTTCCAGCCTGATGAAACACAAAGTGAAACTAATTTTAGCAGAATCATCTCATGTTGTTTACAGTCATCAGAAAGCTTGTAACGGATCTCATCGGAGACCAAACACATCCGTCAGGATATTTAAAACCTCACGGAGACACGAGTCTGTGAGCGTCCAGGTGTTATATACGATCCAGCTGTTCTTCAGAGCTTTCTGTCGAAATCATGTGTGGCTGCTTATAGGTCTGATCTGAACATGTATTCAGGTTGTTTTGTTTACAGGTTGTTTACCGTCGTGTGAAGTCACAAGGTTTTCAGACCTCTGACGCTGTGAGTTTCATGTTTCTGGGCTCGCAGCGTCTTGGGTTGCAGCAGCTCACTGACATGAAGACATTCAGAAGGAAAACATCCAGAGTCCCAGATGAACTCATCGCTTTATGATGAATGAGTCATCGCTCAGTGATGATCCTGCTGATCACAACATTGTGTTAGCCCCTCTGCCTGATTTACTTAAACCACCAATTTATAAACCTTTCAGCTCCTGACATGCAAAATAATGGCAGCAAAGGTGTGAGGTGGTGTAGGTAGGGGCTAAGGTTCACTGCCAATGACGACTAACTTTGTCAATGTCATTTGCATTTTTTTTACTGTGTGGGCATCGGAACGAGCCCCTGCACCGTGAGAACAAACATCTCAGCTCTAAAGCCGATCTTCATCCGCATACGTCACACGTCACATGATCAGGAAGCAGAAAATCCATGTGTTAGGAGATCGTTTTGGGCCGCTGCTGTAAAAATAGTGAGGCGCAAACCGGAAAAGCTTCTGCCGATCACAATTAGACAACAGATTATGAAAGAATGGATAATAAAGCTCGAAACGCGCAGATTCTTCCTGATGTAAGAGGTGAGTCTCTGCTTTGTTTTGGTTGTTTTGGCGTCGACCTCATCCTAGCGCGCAACGTTCTGTGACTCTTAAAAAACCCGGTAAAAACTGAGAGAAACGCTGGCAGCTAATGAGCAAGAAAACAGACCTGTTAAGACATTATGAAATGCTCAGATTTTAACCTCCCTCTAAATTCACATTTTAAATGTTTTCCAGATTAAATCAGCAAAGCTCAGTCCTTCAAATGAAAGCTTCTTCACAGTTTAGATTCTGAACATTTATAAAGTAAAACTACTCCAGTAAACTTTCATCCTAAGTGTGTCCCGTCGTACGCGATCACTGCTCAGCGTTAACCCATAGCACTAGACATCTGCTAACGTACACAACTCAATCACAAAGTGTGTGTGCACTCGCAGACGTACCTAGACTGATGCAGAGCTGGCAACATTTCTTATGAACCAAAAAGTCTTTGAAAAGTTTAATGAATAAGCAGAATAACATGAGAACAATAATGGTAATTGTAGAGGTGTAGTTCACAAATGAGAGGCATAGCTCTCAGCTATTACCGTGGTAGTAGGGAAGGGGATGAAGGTGCACTACTTTGTTCTCTCCGAGAAAAAAACTCAAAATTTCTGCTTCAGAACTATGATATGGTTCTGCATCTGTGACAGCAGCCTTGTGTGTTGGATGTGCATTGACCTGTGACCAGTGTTGGGAAAGTTACTTTTAAAAAGTAATTAGTTATAGTTACTAATTTGTCAAAAAAGTAACTCAGTTACTAACTGAGTTACGAGATTATAAAAGTAACTAATTACCAAGAAAAAATAACTACTTAGTTACTGTTTTCATTAAAGAATGCAAGAAAAATGGGTTAATTGAACTTACTTAATTTGCTATAAATTACTATAATAGTGAAATATAAATGACTAATGACTGGAACATAATAAAATGTATGTCCAAATGTTTTTAATGAACCTGAATGATTTCAATAAATAAGCACTTAACAGGAGGAACTACTAATAGGAACATTACACTAATCAAGACTATTAAAAGGTCACTGTGTGATATTTAACAAGACCCCAATCAGCTAAAATTTAAAATTGCAAATAGAAACACTTGTAAAGGTTCCCGAGCCTTTAAATGGTCTCTCAGTCCAGTTAAATTACAGAAATGAATGCAATTTTGCACAGCATTCTAATTTTTCCAGCTTCACATAATTGTGTGTTTTTAGCAGCATTTCTGTTGCTGGTCTAGTAATGGTTAAATAAATAAATAAAATCCTTTAAAACGACACTAGAAGAGGCACAAGTCTGATGGAGGACTTACATTTACTAACGTGGGTCAGACCCAACCACAGAAGAGCTGAAGCTAGGTGGTAAACACACACAGGTAGTTCTAATAACACCTGAGCTCCATGACGTCTGACTGATGCATCAGTGTTACAGTGGGACTAAAGACGTGATCAGAAACAGGTTACAGCTGGATGATCTAGGAAGGTAGAAGATCAGGACGTCTGAGCGATGAACAGGTGAGCGGACCTTCGGGACGTCCTGCTAAAGAAGGTCACGGCTGCAGATCCACACCTAGTGTGGCAGTCAGAAAGCCTCACTGTTGCTCAACGTTCGACAAGCACATAGTAATGCACAACCTTCCGTCCCCAGTAACGGTAACGGCGTTGCAACAGTGAGAAAAGGAATTAATTAGATTATTCCGTTACCCAAAAAAAGCACGCCGTTAGTAACGCTGTTATTTTAAACGGCGTTATTCCCATCATTGCCTGTGACCTCACTGAACTCTCCTTTCCCGTCAGGTGCAATTCTGTGATGATGTGGAGGAGTTCTTTGCGAGCTGTGGGGAGGAAGAGGAGGACCGGCGGGGCCCATGGGAGGAGCTGGCCCGGGATCGCTGCCGCTTCCTGCGACGCTGTGAGGAGGTGGAGAAGAACATCTCGTACTGCCTGCAGCCGCACCACCGCCGCCAGGTGCTCCAGCGCCTCCTCTCTGACACCTGAGCAGATGCTGCAGGTGGAGCGATGGAGCTGGTTCTGGTTTTGAACGCTGATTCGGCCACTGACTGACCTGGTTGTGTTGTTAAAGACCTTCAGCTGTGTGTCGACTGTGAGGAGAAACTAAGAAGTCCTTCAGACTCCTGAAACAAAAATACTAAAAATAGTCTGAACTGGTTGCGGTGGTTCTGTTTTTTTCAAATGCTCTTTAAAAGTCAGTGTATTATCTCCGATGGGAGAAATCTGCCTTCAACTGCAGAAGTTTTAATTTGTCGTGAATGATGAGTAATAAAGAGCTTATTTCACAGATTTAAAAATATCTGAATAAATATCCACAGGAAGTCCGCTTCCGAGGGATAAAGTCTGCAACTTCTCAGTGTCTGAGGAGGAATCCAACTTCCAAGTGTGTTAAGGAGCTTGTTGATGGGGGCTGAGCCAGTGTTTGTGTTGTGTTGATCAGTTCAGTCCCACTAAAGCCAAAGATAATTCAATTATTAAAGAAGGAAAGCTGCTGCTCCGATCAGTGTTCTGCTGCTGACCAGAACCACTGTGGTTCTACTGGACTCTTAGCAGGAGGGTGGATATGACTGCAGATTAGATCCATGTCTTCAGAGTGTTTTTAGGTTTCATCATCAGAATCAATCTGATGTCTGAAGGGAATCTGATGATTGAAACCTTATCCATCAGTTTGATCGTTTTGAATTGATTCCAGAGTTTGTTAATGAGCCGAATTCTGAGAAAATCTGTTTTGGTTTGTGAGAAAAAACTAGAAGAAAGTTAAGTTTCTTTAAAAGAGAAATGTTTAAAATGACTTGTGTGAAACACTAATGTGAACTGTCAAATCAGAGGTAAGCTATGAGTCAGACTCCATCTACATCTAATCTCACGTAATTTATCTACTCTGGATGTTAAACAAATTTCTCAGAAACCCAAAGATGTTCAAACTGAAAACTAGTAAATCCAGATGTTCCCAGCATCCACCTGATCAGTGATTGCGTGATTGTTTCAGTTGTAACATGACACTCTTTGGTACTGTTAAAAAATATACTTTAAAGAGCAAGTCACCCCTTACAAGAAGCGTACTTCACTCACACTTCATGTTTGAAAAATGCAACAAATGCTGTTGCCTAGCAGACCGAGAGGGTGGAGCCATTAACAAATACACACACGACATTGTGACATCCCAATGTACCAGTTTACATCATAGCATACCTCTTAGCCAATAGCGGTGGCAGATCTAAATTCAAATGCAGTGCAGAGTTTTTACCTGACAACGGCACAACACTGCCAGTTTCAGGCAGAAAATTTAAATTTTAACTAAAATGCACCAAAGTGCAAAACTATTGACTACATGTGTCTGCAGCATGATTAGACACACATTTATATAGTTTATCAGAAATAAATAATTGATTTGGGGGTGACTTGCTCTTTAATAAAACTAAGTGGATGTGAAGGAATCTTAAATGAATAAAAACGCACCAGTGTAAGATGATTTGTGATGTTTTAGTGGAGCAGCAGACAGATTAAAGTAAAAACAGGTGTGTGACCAGAGATCACTGTGATGCTGATGTATAAGCGAGTCACTGAACCTGTCCAGACTCTAGACTGAAAACCAGACTGAGCATCGCAGTTTAACAGTGTTTGGTCATATTTAGCCTAAAGAAGCTTTTTATTTTTGTAACTCATTGGTGGGTGCTTGTTTGTTCTTCCTCTTCTCACAAACTCATAATTTAATAAATGATCTAATGATTAAACTGTGTTTCTGGGCTTTATTTGAACACAAAAACAATGTGTATGGTGCCTTCAGAGGCGACTGGGAATTCTCACTATTAGTCTGAAACACATAGTTCCTACAAAATTATTCATGAGTTTACACACAAAACTTTTGGTTATAGAACAATTAGGAACACTGACATTTCTGAGACCAGATCTCAGACTGAAACATAAAAAAATTAGTGTTTCTGTAAAAGATGAGAAAGTTGCTGACCTGTTTTTCTCAGTCTGACAAACGCAACCTCTGTGAAGGAGTGATGGAATCCTGTTAGCTTTTAGCTCCGCCCACCGCAGGAACTTAAGAAAAACCGCCTATGCGGGTGAAAATTGACCTTTGGACGTTACACTTGTTACCAGTAAACTGGTTGTTGCACAATAGTCATTTAAAAAGCAATGTCATTCAAATATAACAACGAAACGCAGCATAACAATGGATGACTCAGAAGTTTGCGGGGCTAGCAGTGAACATGAAAGTTATCTTTCAGCCGTCAGAGATTAGAAGCTAGCTACAGAGCTAACTAGCAACAGAGCATCAAGCCAAAGGAAACAAATGAGGTAAGATGACAATTGTTTCGGGTTCATTGTTACAGTACTAAATTCTAGTTTTGTTTTGGTTCTGAAGCCTGTTAACTTGGGTGGAAGTGTTTATGGTAGTTTTAATAGACCAACACTACTTTACTGCTCATGCCTAGTGGTAGGATGCATCATTGCAGGCGGTTATCTTAATGAATTGAGTTTAAACGAGTCGTTCACCAAAATAAATTGAGTTTTTGAGTCATTTGAGTCTCAGTCAGTTGCCAAAAGTGCAGAAAAAATCCCCACATTTGGCGGTTGGTGAAATTCTTTTTGGGTGGGGCGCATGTTAGATGTGCTAACTCCACATTACCAATAGAGGGCGCCAAATTATTATTATTCTTGTGATATAATCCACAGTTTTTACCATCGACCTATAAATATTTGACAATGGGTTTCCATAGCTCCAATAATACGTTTTTGAGGCCAAATGGGAGGTGGCCACCACCGCCATTTTGACCGTGTCACAGGTTCCGTCAAGCCCAGACAATTCCACAAAAGGGAAGAGAGGTGGAGCTGAGGGTGGGGCTGTAAGGCTGGGATCAACTGACGACACCCGGTCGAACTAGCTACAAGCTAACCTGAAGTTAACTCAAAGCTAATGCGGAGGTGGGAGCTAAGCTAACGGAGGTAGCAACCTAGCTACAACCGGAGTTAACTGTGCACAACACCAGAGCTTCTGAGTCAGAGATACGCCGGGCTGACCGCTGGGTAAAACCGGGTGGAACACAGAGGTCTCCGAGAGCTCCACAAGCCGGCAGCCGCTCAGCAGACAAGCGCCGCTGCGATCTGAAATGCGTGGAGCTGCCGCTGGGGATAACCGGGTGGAAAGGTTTCCATCCCAGAGCTCCATAAGCCAGCAGCCCACGCAGCAGACAGAAGCCGCGATCAGACAGAGATGCGCCGAGCTGCAGGGAGGGGAGAACGGGTGGAAAACATTGGTTTCCATCCAGAGCTTCAGAAGCTGGCAGCCCGCGCAGCAGACAGAAGGCGCGATCAGACAGAGATGCGCCGAGCTGCGGGGAGAACCAGCCAGCAGCCCGTGCAGTAGACAGAAGCCGCAATCAGACAGAGATGCGCCGAGCTGCGGGGAGGGGAGAACGGGTGGAAAACAGGTCTCCCGAGAGCTCCACAAGCCGATAGTCGGAACCCAGCTCCACCAACATGTTATATTTCAACCCATTTTCTAAAGTGCAGCATTATGTTAAATGCACTGGGTTTTACCCTATTACATTTAAATTTCATGGTTAAACAGTACATGTTAAAATCTAAGCTCAGCTCAGCAGTGACCTAAAATACATAAATATAATTTTACTTACTGAAAAAAATGAAGTGGAGACTCCTTGGACGCTCTATTAATGCCACAGCAAGTCATTTTGTCCAACAATTGCACAAATAACATCCAAAAAAGAATACACAAACACAGAGACTCAAAATCCCGGAACAGTTTCCCGGCCAGACCGAGGCTCTACTGAGGCCTTTCCATGGAGCTAGCTCTGTGGTCTCATGGGTCGGATGCTCATTAATTATACAGAATTTTAGGCTTTTAATACACTTCAACAGAAGAGTGAGAAAAAAATTCAGCCCCCTCAGAGTTGTCATGAGTGTAAACTAGATCATTTAAACCAAAAACATGTTTTGGTACCAGGCTGTAAACATGTTTATTTCTGCTGTGAAATTGGTATTTTTAACATGGGAGTCAATGAGGATTTGCTCGCTTCTGACACCAGCCCCCAGTGGATGAGGGTGGAACTGCAATTTTTGGTACTTCCGGTGTCGGTACAAGATCTGCTCGGGTGCAAGATCGGCTCGGGGTCCTTCGACTGCCGATAACGTCAAAGTAGGGCTGGGGGTAAACGATTATTTTTAAAACGATTATTCTGACGATTATTTTATCGAATAGTCGACTATTCTAATGACTATTTAGAAAATTAATCTAATGATTATTTTTCTATTGCACAATTAACAAAAACCAGAAAATCTCAAATAAATTCCTCAAAAAAATTGATAAATTCTTACTGTAAGAGAATAAACACTACAGGCCTTCCATTTTGTATAACACTGCTTTTATTGTGTTGGTTGGTTATGTTCTGGTGATGTGTAGAACTTGGGAGTGCAGGCTGCTGCCTGAGAGGTGGTAGAAGATGGAGTGTCTCCATGCTGCTTTGTTTTGGTCACTTATGTGTGTGAGGCGAGTGATCTTACGGGTTAAACCAAACTCAGGTGATATTTTACACTAAACCGAAAACCCACAACACTCTAAATGTAATAAAAGGGAGATCTACACCACAAAAAAGATGAACTCTAAACCAAAACGTAACAGCTTATCCAAACGCAAGAAGCTGTTAGCGAAGATGCTAACAGTAGCTTTACCAACGTTAAGTTCAAGTTTCCAAGTTTAAATAAACCAAAAACACCCAGCAGCAAACAGACCAGCATGGAGGAGAGACTGCTACCACCAAAACAGCTCTCCTCATGTCTGAAAGAAGCTCCTTAATGAAGGGAGAAGCGCTCCCGGTGATTTTCTACATCTGCGATAGACACGAAGCAGCGCATCTGACCCCGGAAGTTGTTGTCCGTTGCCGGGAGACGAAGGGGCAAAACAGGAAAATAATCTAGTAGCGGACGGACGTTGTTCCGGGTCTTCGGTATTTGGCGGAGATGTTAGTGAAGGCGGAGAAGAGGGCGAACTAGAGGAAAAACAGGCAGATTCCTCCTCTATTTACAAACTCCTGGGGATGCAACAAGTGGGCGCGGTGCGTCGACTTCCGGATCTGACGTCGACAAATTTTTAGAATCGAGCCGTCGACTTCGTCGAGGCTTCGCTACAGCTCTACGTCAAAGTACGGCAAACCCACTCGGACAAAATACACTACACATCTATACTGTTGGAAAGAATTTAGCAGTTTCTGTATTAAAATAATGTTTCTTAAGACGTAAGTTTGTGTTGATATTGGTATTTGTAAAATAAAACACTATATTGTATTGATAATGTTGAACTCCTCTTTGAGCACATCCCTTGAAGGATCATAGGTATTAGCAACACCTGTGAAACTGTATTTGCAGGAAAAAAGTGTGTCCCGTTTATTGAAGTATTTTGTGTTTAGTTTTTGACGTCTTGTCCATGCGTAGTTCAGTTACGCTCATAGCTGCTAGCCAAAACTCTGGAGTTAAAAGTTTTCTGGCTTTACTAAAATACCTGTCTGTACTTATTTAATTGATGGTAGTTTTACTTTCTATTAGACTCCAAATGTAATCATTTGGCACGTTTCTAATTCACAATTTGTAATAATGTAATCGGTGATATTAGCATTAGCATTCCTATGGGTTTTTCCACGTATATTAGCATTGCGCTAACCACTCGCTGCCAAATTGCTGCCTTTTGCGATTAGAAAATCTTCTTTTGTCACATCGCAATTTAATTGCACATGCAGTTAATCGTTCAGCCCTAATATACATGCAGCTCTATGCTAAAAGTGTATTTTCAAAGAGGTAATGATGGATTTCTTTGTAAAAGTTGCCCATCTTTCCAACAGAAAGATTTGCCTGGACCAACGTAGCGTGATAACAACGTAACGTGATTACGTAATTCCGTAAGGTTCATGTTCAGCCAATCAACTACTTTGACGTCATCGGCAGTCGACGGACCCCGAGCCGATCTCGTACCAGATCTTGTACCAATACCGGATTGGCCTCAATTTTTGAGCCGCATTGTGGGGGCTTGGTTTTTACCTTAACAATGACGCAAAAATGATGCTAATTAAAAACTCTGAAAAAAGCTACACATTTTGAGAAAAACACAGGGTAGCAACGATGCATTATGATCTTATCGACAGCTTTTTAAAAGTAAAGCCCAGACTCCTCTTTGCAACAATATAAGTGCTGTTACGCTACCTGCAAAACTCAAGGGACTCAACAGCAAAACAACCAAAGCTAAGTTCGTGAAGTCCTTTGCTGTTTTGTGACCATATTAATCCATGTTGTAGTAAAAAAAAATTTGATTAATGTATTCACTGAGGTGATTTCTGACCGTCTTGAGCTTTTGTTACCTGCTGGAGAGTGTTTATAAGTATCTGATGTCAAATTCCATAATTTTCCTGTTCATAATTAAAAAAAAAAACTCTACAAGCTTCTCTCCGTTAGAGCTGGAGCTCAGATTACCAGAGACCGCACAGGGACTATGGAGGACAGACACCTAGGAGTGGATTGTTAAAAAAAACTTAACAATCGTGATTTTGATTGCAGTAAAAAGCAAGTTATGTACAAGATAAATGGAAGTCCGCGGCAGCGCAGAGACCGCCCCATACCCCCTTTATTACAGCCACGGTCTGAGAACTCATAAACAACCTACGGCTCCCTAATGTTGACATGGCGTTGCAGCAAATTGATGGCATTGTTTTTTAAAAACGGCATTTAATGTTTACACACCATGGTACAAAATCTGATTTACTTAGAACAATTTTTGTACAAGTATGAAGCAAATAAATACATTTATAAAACATTAAGGATAAATAAGTTACAAACTTATAAAATAAAAAACTGAACTGAAAACAGGGTTCTGACACCTTTTTTGCTAAAATCAAATTCAAGCATTTCCAAGCTGGGTTTACATGATTTTCTACTACCTTACACTTTTTATGATTTACACTAATTGTAAACTGAATATAATAATTTAACTTTTTGTCTCATTAAAATATCATTGTGCTAAAGCTGATTTCAGTTACAGTTTTAGTCACTTTCAAAGTCTTGAAAATACTAAGTTTAATTTAGTGTTTCCAGTGAGTTCAATCACTCTTAAGTTCCTTGTAAAAACAAAAAACAAAAAACATTTCGAGAAATAAAGTGTAAAATAAACTGCTGCAGTGAACAACATTTTATCTACATGAAAAAGAGCACAACAAAATAATTCAGAACAAAGTCACTATTTATCAACCCAAAGTAAAAAGTGAATCCAAAACAAACGTGAGCTGTTCACCACAACCACAGTGGACTCTTATCACATTGAGTTAGGCATTGCAGTAGAATTATAACGAGCCACACGTAGACAAAATGCTCACTAGTGTGGTTTGGTACCACAGATTTACTGCTGTCACCCAACCAGCAACATCTTATTTTGGTACTGGCCACTAGCCAAGCTCCAAGCTCAACCATGAAACAACAAGATGGGCTTAACTCAAACCATACACAAACTACCGCAAAACTCAACTTGGTGTTTGGAAGTCTAGTTATTTTATCTTCTAATCAAGAATCCCGGACAAGCCCCCATTTATATTACGACCCAGCATGTTGGGCCACAACATAAAATGGAGACTAAACAACATGTTTGGAGTTTAGGAGTGTTTTTATTAAAATCAGCCATTCAGAATGCTCAGCAAACCATCAACAACACAATCAGACAGGAGCAATAGTGATAATCTCCTTTGGTCTGCACTGACAGGAACAGTCGGTTAAGTCAAGGCCTGCTCAACGTCCTGGCCACTGAAGATGCAGAGGCACATAACACAGGAATTTCAGATTATGGCTAATGATAAAACTATTGCTGAATTTAACTTTTACATTTTGCAGCATTTTCATTTATTAGTTGCAATCGTTTTTCAGATATATTTATTTTAATTTTAAATTGTATTAGCTCTCTAATGTGGTGACAGCTAGTGGCATAAACAACAAATTACAACCAACATAACTTGCGTACTTGTGACCAGAACATTTCTGAAATGGTCCAGAACAACATCCTAAAGATCCTCAGTTTTTGTTTTTGAAAATGTCCCAGTGGAGGAGAGTAACCTCCTGCTGCCTCAGCTGGACCTGGATTTTGTGGACCTGGAGACAGTCGGGACTTGGTGTTGGATGTTTAGCTTGTGAACACCTGTGTGTCTCTTCGGTCTGGCTCAGATGAGGTGTTTGTTGGTGACCCTGCTCCTTCACAGCTGTCATCATCCACCAGCTGTTGCAGGTATTTAATGTACCTGATAGCGGCACGCAGGGTCTCCACCTTGCTGAGCCGCTTGTCAGCACTCTGACCTGGCAGATGGTCTCGCAGCTTGGCATAGCCCAGGTTCACACACTTCACCCGCTGGCGTTCACGCTCGTTACGCTTCTGGATGAACGCCGGCTCGAATGGACACTCGTACAGGCTGAAGTGTCCGTGGTGATGAAATGGGGTCAGGTAGGGCAGGATGCCACTGGGGTGCCGCAGTGGGTCCTTATAAAGGCTGAGGGCAGCCGGGTCCATACTGGGAGGGTAGAGAAGGAAGGGGACAGAACTGGAAAATGACTCAGAGTGCTGAGAGACACAGTGGCCCTCCAGTCCAGCAGTGGGCGACACACCAAACCGATCAAAGAGCGAATGAGAGAAGGTGGAGCTCATCATGTGATCCACACTGACCAATTAGTGAAGAGAAGACCTTGCTGGATCAAGAAAGGTTCATGATCATACAAATGCCCACCTGTCGAGACAAAGAGGGAGGTGTTCAGCTTAACATCATCTCTAAAACGACATTTAGTTTCCTGTTAGATAATTATCATCATTTAACTTCTTTTTAAGAATTTATTCCTGTAATTTTCAGACAGAATATTTTTTCTGCTTCTTCAACATTCGTAAAATTTTCAAAACACCATGACCCTCTTTTACCAACCTTACCGTACGAACTGATCTGTGTGTATTTTCTGCGTAGGAGGGATTTTACGCATTGTGTGATGTTTACCATTTTGTACTTGTGCATAGAAATGTTCCTAAATATAAATAAATTGGTATCCAAAATTAAGACTTACAATATCAGATATCAGATATAAGTAAAAAAAAAAAAAAAAAGCCAATATCGAGCATCCTTATTTAAAAGCAACATATTTTCATTCAGGTTCTTATTTTTTGTCTCATTTTTTGATGGGGGACTGATTTGTGTGTGTGTGTGTGAGGATACACTGCGCTGCCAGTTTCCTTATCTCCTAAATGTGCTTACACCCTGGTCAGAGTTGACCTGAAGTTGCCTCATTCTCCTTTAAATTTTTTCTTTATCAATCACAAAGTTTGTGTAGAAAGTGACTTTCGCAATTTTCAGACCTTGTTTTGTGTGTTAGCAAGCTTTATAAATGAGGCCCCAAAACATTAAAAAAGACTCTGGACTCTCAAATCAAAAGTCCTTATCACTTTACATCAACTGACCAATCATAGGCCTTTCTCAGCTGGGTCGACGAGAAAGGTAATGCTGCAGAGCTGGAGCTGGAGACGGCCGATTTATGCCTGCTGCTGCTGCAGATTCACGCTTCTACTGATGGCGCAGGCGTGAATCTGCGGTCTCCTGATCTGCAGCTGTCCGGTACCGTGGCCCTGCCTGCATTTGGCAAATAAAGTCAGTGGGAGTTTCAACCATCTTCCCGTTTACATACGCAACTCCCACTGTGCCTCATCTGAATTTCCCTCAGTGACATGGGATGGTTATATCATGAGACACCCACTCCCTTTTTTTCTGTGTGTCGTTATTCTCAGGATCAAGATGGAGAGTAAACACAATGGAGAAGTGGCAAAACTATGAGAGTAAAAAAATCAGCTGTTCAATAAAAGGCTGGTAAATGCACATAAATGACAGTGTCTGTCAGTATACACACCGATGCATCATTTCCAGGAATTAGAAGTGACCCTCATCACAGTTGAGGCTTCAGAAGGCAGGTTTTGGAGTCTCCTGATATTTGGACATCTCTCCTCTGATTGGCTAACAGCAACACAACTGTACCACTGACTCTGTTTCTCTGCAGCGTTGATGTTTTATCTCCACAAATAACACAAGCCTGGAGGAGTTCTGCTGTGTGGTTGTGTTGCTAATGCTAACAGTTAGCTTCTACTAGCAGAGACATCCACTGCTGTTTCCTGGATGCTAAACCAACAACAGCCTTCCCCATCATGGTCAAGATGGATGAGTCCATGAATGTTAAGTGATAGTGTGACGTAGATCCGTCAGGCTTTTCCCATCCTAGAGTTTCACAGTCTGTTTTCTATCAGAAGCTACTGCAGGAGATAGGTGTAGGAGACTATTTTCATGTTCAGCCTGCATGAAAACCTCAGAATGATCCAGTATTATCAAAAATAATCATCAAAAAAGTTTGCAGTGCTTCACACCCTTAATGTTTCCGGATATGCTTATGGGGCTATAAAATAATTTCCACAGGTTAAAATGTTACATATTGGCCACTGTTGAATGAATTAAATCACACAAATCCCTCAGTTCCTTTGAGAGAATACAGATTCAAAAGTTACAACTTAAACTGAAAGTTCACCTTTACAGCAAAACCTTTAACAAGAAGAATTTTCCACCATGACCATAGTCGTGTGTATACAGGCTTTATCAGTGGAGCACAGATGCATCAAAATCACTGCTCATGTGCCCACTAGATGTGGAAGGACAACCGAGTGGAACAAAATGCATACATCACTGTTCATAACAGATGATTTAAAATCACACAACAGTATCATTAGTAATGTGCTTCATTCATCAGACAGGGTAAACCTGTTTTATCTAAGGTGTCGCTCCTTGTATTTAAATTAAAATAATTCATACTTGTTAAGGATTACATTTGTAACTTTTTATTCGTTGTGCCTATCTTTTAATCTTGATTTAACTAATTCAGTAGTTAAACATTTCTATGTGTGCTGACACACACGACCCATTTTAACCCGTGTATACGATTTTATTCATACCCCATGATGTTGAAGTGATGCTGGGGCCTCTGTGGTCCGACTGTAGTTCGTTCTGATTGATGCTGCAGAACAAACAGTAAGAAAAGCGCACCAGCCTTGTTTATACGGAGCTCTTCTGCTTAGAGATAACCAGAACCAAACAGACCCACTTAGCTCCAAGAACAGTTCTGTGAGAGTTAAACATTAGGTCTGAGTCAATAATCCTGCTGAGTAAACATCAGTCCGATCATTTAGAATTGATCTGAGTTAGAATTATTCCAAATTAAACATAAATCAGGTTGTTCAGCTCATCTGATTACTGAAGAACGTTCATCTCACCTTCAGATTCAGCTGCACGGTTTCATCCTCCAGCGTCGCTGCAAGTCTGACTGCAGGATCCAAATCTCAGTCTTTACCTGCCTTTACCTGCTGAAGCGCCGCCCCCACAGGTGTGTGTGTGTGTGAGAGAGAGAGCGCTCTGATCACTCGTTTCTGAACATCCTTTTTAGTCCTGGCTAGTTGGTCGTTTTCCCCCATTTCATCCCAGCCAGTCCTTCCGGTTCACCTTAGTCCATCCCAGTGCCCCAGCTGGTCCCAGTGCTCCCAGTCCTGACTGCTAATGTGTACAGGGTTAAGGAGTCGTGTTCACATCAAAGCATGCTGACAGACAGAATGAGTGTTTGCAGTTTCCTCTTCCTAAATCCTGTATTTCCAGATGAAAGACATCAGTGACACACACCCTTCCTGCCATCACACCACACACGCTGATGGTTGTTTACAGGTACACCTGCAACCTGAGACTCATCTGTGATGATCCGACACTGCAGATGAAGACAGAAACTCTCATTATTCTGAGATTCATCTGATCTGAGAGCAGTTCTCAGCAGAACACAAATCACCAGATGGTAACTCGGTTAGATCTCTGAAATTCTGAAACTAGATCTCCTGATCCAGACCAGATCTGTTAGCTTTTCTGCCCGGCAACCACTTTCCCGGAATTCTTTAGTGGTCCGGATCAATGTTTCTGAATGAGTTTTTATTCAGATTTTGGCTGACTCTTCACTCAGTGTCAACCTTCCTACCTGAACATATGCAGAAGAATATTTTCAACTTTGACCTCTGAACCATTCAGACAGGAAAAGTCTTCTAACTCAAGGGATGAGCCAGCATACAGTAGCTGCACTTAATCTACTTATGCAAAAGTACAGCTACTGGGAAAGGACTGAACTATGGCTTTTGACTTTTCTCTGGCAGAGTCTTACAAGAGGAAGCTTCCTGTGTGTGTGTGTGTGTGTGTGTGTGTGTGTGTGTGTGTGTGTGTGTGTGTGTGTGTGTGAGGAAGATGAAAGCTGCTGCTGCTGCTACATGTGCAAACATGATTCTGATCAAATCATCCTTCAGCTATTGAAGTCCATAAAGAACCCGAAATAATCCTGAACATCAGAATTACTCAGAACCAAACAGGTCAACATCCTGTTTACAGTGCTGGGGTAAACAATTACATTTAAAACAATTATTTGGGCGATTATTTTATCGAATAGTCGACTATTCTAATGACTAGTTAAACGATTAATTTTTCTGTTGCATGATCTCTGCATGACAAGAAAATCTCAAATAAATACCTTAAAATATGTAATAAATTGTTACTGTAAGAGAAAAATCACAACAGGCCTTCTGTCTTGCTGCTTTTATTGTGATGCGGTGGGCTGTGTTCTGGTGACACGTAGAACTTGGGAGCGCAGGCTACCCGAGAGCTGCTTTGTTTTGGTCACTCGTGCGTGTGATGGTAAGACGCTTCCTGGGGAGTTTGGCTCGTGTGCAGCAAGGAGGGGGCAATGAAACAAGATTTAAAAGTTTAAATGATGAACAGATTTATTTACAAGAATAACTTAAATCTTTCCACCCACTGGTCAGGAATACTAACAAAGAAAACTAATACGGGGGAAACAATGGGGAATTTAAACAAAAGTACAAATAACAAGGGTTTTCAACAATCGGATAACTAAAGATGTCCAAAGATTACTGGGTTCTAGACCAAAATAAGGATCTCAAAAGGTACAATCTCTAAACTGGGTGGTTAAACCAAACTCAAGGTGATATTTTAAAGTAAACTAAAAACCCACAGCACTCTAAATGTAACCAAAAGTGAGATCTACACCACACAAAGACCAACTCTAAACCAAAACGCAACAGCTTATCCAAGCACAAGAAGCTGTTAGCACAAATGCAAACAGTAGCTTTACCACGTTTAAATAAACCAAAAAGACCCAGCAAACAGACCGGCACGAGGAGAGACTGCTACCACAGGAAGCTCCCTAATGGAGAGTAAAGCTAACCCTGGTGATTTTCTACATCTGCGGTAGAAACGAAGCAGCGTCTTTAACGTCGGAAGTTGTCTGTTGCCAGGAGCTGACGGCTTTGGGCGAAACAGGAAGGGAATCTGGTAATGGGCATTGTTCTGGGTCTTCTGTATTTGGTGGAGATGTTGGTGAAGGTGGAGAGAAGAGGGCGAACTAGAGGAAAAGCCGGCAGATTCCCCCTATTTACAGACTCCTGGGAACACAACAAGTGGGCATGGCGCGTCGACTAAGGGATCTGGCATCAACAAATTTTTAGAATCGAGTCGTCGACGCTTCGCTACTACTCTACTGTTTACTCCCTGAACTCACTTTCTGTCTTCCTCCACCTTCACAGAAAAACAAAACATGGATATAGGTCTAAGCTGACTTTCCAATGATGGTATTCTAATTTATTCTTCTCTTACAAACTTCCTTCATTCGTTCCTACTAGAGACCACTGCAGATGTGTGTAATTAAAGTGAACCACACCTTTAAGAAATTAACTGTTTATTGTCACAAAAGAACCACGAGAATTTACAGACAGGCCAGTTCTGATCACAGAAATCAGTAGTAAACTTCAACGTTAGGGTAGGAAAAATACGCCACACATCAATAACAGCAGAGAATCACCTGCTGCAGGTGCTTTAACAGAAACACAACCACATGAATGTCACAAACCTGGACTGGTCTGGTTTCCTCCACCAACTACAAATATGAATCCAGAATCAAAACCTACATTCAGCATTTAGTAAAACCAACATTTCCAATTTCTGGTCAGTTAGACGGCAATCAGATCATTAGAAGCTGCTGTCTCCATGATCATCAGAACCAGTTTAGCTGTACTTATCCTTGGATTAGCAGAACATCAACTCTTATCTCTCAATTAGTTTGACTAAATGTTTGAAACAAGATTCACATAATTTAAACCTGAAAAAGAAAGCAATAAAGCAGCGTTTAGGCATTTTCTTTGGTGCTGATCCAGAGATTGATAGATTCCCTTTGCTCCAAGTGAACACAAATAGGTAGCCTCTGACAGGAAGTGACAGACTGTTTTTAACTAACACCACATAGGTGAAAATGGATAACTTCTTCCTGCTTCATCTGATGGACATTCAGATCCAGAATCATTGCAAAAAAGGACGGACAGAGGAGAGGCGAGGTCTGCAGGACATACTCTGCTGAAGGACAGAGGGACAAGTGGACGGGCAGGTGGAGGTCAAGTGTTCTCAGCCCATGTATGGATACTTCCACTCTGTGAGAGGGACATGGGTTTGCTTTACCACCTGTGGAGATGTCCACCTGAGGACGTAGTGAGGACCTCCAGGTTTGTCGTTGGTGCCTTGAAAGAAAAGAAACTCCAGTTATCAAAGAACTAGTCAACAAACCACATAATCAGTCAACCAACTAAACAGCCACCCCTGACACAAAAACATAAAATCTCATTATTAGTTAATTTAAAGGTCCAGTTCCCATTGAAACCGAGTAATACTAGTCCTTCCTGAAATACGACCGGTCCCACTGAGTTACACATGCATGCTGAACATGACTCACATCATTCATTCATACTAGAGACCCCAGCAGATTTACTAAAAAATAACTGAATGAGGGGTTGATTGATCATTAATACTTTATTTCTCACAAACAAATGTAAGAAACTGATCAAATTGACTTCAGATGTCTTTGTGATTCAAGCTTTATTAAGGATGACGAAGCTTGAAACTTGGATCAGTTAGCATTGATCTGGAACCCTGACCTGAAGCTCTGGCACCTCCAAACGGCTGCTGGCCTACGACAGACCCGGTGGACTTGTCGTTCACATAGTAGTTCCCCGCAGCGTTTCTCAAAACTCGGGCCGCTTCGTCAATCACCTTCCTGTCACACAAACAAAAAACTTCAACCAACCAGAGCAAAAGATCCTTCTGTACTGGGTTGGGTCATCACTGAGGTCAGTGGTACCTGCTACATAAAGCTGCTTCAGACACTAAAGCCTGGGGCACACCGGAGGCAGACGCGCTGCGTCTGGGATTTTGAGAAGTCAAGTGGTCACACAGCACGTGTCGCGCCGCTGAGCGCTTCTTGGACAGTCACGCGATAGTCACAACACCCCGCGAGACTTGAGAACAGGAAGTGGGAAGTGACTATTGTTTATACGTGATCGGACTTGCTGTCGTGTTTTGTGAGAATCAAATTAATTAAAATGGGTAAGCACACAATTTATTTGAAAATTTTAAGATCAATAGTACTTTAAAGTTGTCAATATATGTGAAGCACTTTGTGATTCGGTCTGTAATAATTACTATATAAATAAAATTTACTTACTTAATTTAGTGTTTTCCAGTATTTACAGTGAATTAATAATTCATGGAAGAAAATTAAACAATTTCAGTAACATCGTTTGTTTAATGTGAACACGATCAACACGCTTTTTCTGGTCTCTACTTGATTGTCCATGTGCTAGCTGCCATTAGCATTAGCCAGTCTAGTCTTGAATTGATCTCAAAATTTTGGATATCACACCCTGATAGGGTTTACACACACACGCACGCACGCACACACACACAGACACACACACACACACACACACACGCACGCACGCACGCACACACACACACACACACACTCCTCAGGAACGTGGATATCTTTGTCTTGAGCAGTGTTGCTTTTATAGATGGGGCATCCTGCTCTGCTGTGTGTGTCCTCGCACAGAGCAGCTCAGGCCTCGACAGCGCTCTGTGTGTGTGCTCCTCACAGCACACACACAGAGAGAGACATCTTCACTCAGAGGCGATGTTTACTCCACAGTATCCAAAATGATAATGAATCGCACATGCGGAAAGCCCCCACTGGCTGATTCTACCCACCAATCGGAGGCTCCCCGATGATAAGTGTGAATTTGAGCCAGCCAATCAGTCGGCAGTGTTGGGCCAGTTCAACTCGAAGCCTTGGGAAGAAAGCTGAAAAAATGACCAGGTGAGCACGGAAAAAATCCAGGCTGCACAGATGTAAACACTATTCCAGAGGTGGGCAATCCTGGTCCTCGAGAGCCACTATCCAGCAGGTTTTAGTTGTTTATCTACTCCCAACACACCTGATTCCTGGATGAATCACCTGTTCAGCAGCTCATCAGGCTCTGCAGCAGTCTGTTAATCACCAGCAGATTCAAACCAGGTGCGTTTAAGAAGAGAAACAAATAAAACCTACTGGATAGCGGCCCTCGACGACCAGGATTGCCAACCCCTGCTCTATAACATACCTGGGCAGAGTAGAGAGGAACCTGATGTGAAGGGGGCTTATTTTCGTTCACGGTACCTAGATTACCATGCTGTGCACCAGTTAAATGTGTTCAGGCTGCGGTACGCACATTTAAAGAAGCCTTGAATCAGTAAAAAAATGACTTGAGGAATTTATTGACTAATTTTTTCATTTCAACCTTGACAGACAGATCATGTTGGGCGCATGCTGTGACTAGTGATAAATGTCTTACTGGTCATGGGCGAACACTGCTCCTGTCAAAGCATACGGCGATGTGCTGTCGATGAGCTGCAGAACCTCACCGTAGTTCTTCTCTGGATAAACGTACACTGAAAGAACCGGCCCAAAGATCTCCTACAAAACACACACACACACACACAGACACATTATAAAACATGAAAAAGAAACCCTATTATTGCTACATTTAATCAGGATGGTATTTATTCAGTTTTACTTAATTGTGCATTATTATAATAGAATAGTCCTTTACTGTCATACAAATGACAGTGACATTAAAGGGGTTCTAGAACATTGTTTTGCAATAGAAAATTGAATCGATAAGGATGGCTCTGTAGCGTTTTGCTGCAGAGGGACAGAGGAGGCTGTGCTCCACGACGGATCACACCTGTTGACACGGAGCGGAGCTGTGGAGCAGTGACAGAATTCACAGCAAAAGTTTAGATATTGCAGCGATCTGTGACAGATTGTTACTTCTCTGTATTTTAGTGGGTTTTTTGTATAAAGGAGGATGAGAAGGATGAATGTCCAGCAGACAAATCAGCTGTTTAGCTCCCATCTCACTTGGAGAACTGGTTTGGGATACAAGGGTTCAGGAGTAGTTCAGGTCATATTGAACAGAAAGAAGCTTGTGTGTCCCTGTTGGATCTGCTGAGTCTTCTCCAGTAACATCTCACGTGTGAAGTACTTCTGGTCTTTTCTGGGAGCTCTTCTTTTATCATTGCATCCCATTCCTCTGGGTTCAGTTATCAGGAAATCTGAGATGGCTTTTCCTTGTAATGCAGCCGGCAACAACCAGATTTATGTTCCATATGTGGTACTTGCATGTGAGATTCATTGTCATGCTGGAGGCTGTTCAGTAAGCATCTATGTCTGTAGCAGGCATAGGAACAGGGAGAGAGAGATGCATTGTGTGTGTGTGCGTGCGCGTGCGTGTGTGTGTGTGTGGCCCTGTCCTCAGAGCAGCAAACTCTGCACAGAGCTCTTGGCCCAGTGAGTTGGCAGACAGCTGCTCAGTGGGAGGAGAAAGCATTTTGTGTGTGTGTGGCCCGCAGCAGCGGAAAGCAGAGTTTTAAGGGGACACACACACCAAATTAATAAAATAATGTGCTTCAGAGTAGGGCTGAACGATTTTAGGAAAAGATTGAATTGCAATTTTTCTAGCAGAAATAGCGATTTCGGTTCAATTCAAGATTTTCTGCAAACAAAGGTCCAAGACTAGCCTGCCAAGCCGTCCTGTATAGATTAAGTGAAAAGATGGTCTAGATTCTAACCTAGTACAACAAATCATTCACATTAAAATTTACTACTTAATCATACAATAAAAACAGTTCAAGCTATTAATATTTTCTCCCATCATTATCTTTTTTAAATTTTTAATGTTTGTGAAGCAACTTGTGCTTGTGATTTTTATCTAGAGAGGAGCTTTATAAAAGCATCTTCT